TGACATGGGAACCTATCGACGTAATGGAAAACTATATAGCTCTCGACACCTTTGAACTACGATACGGACCAATTACGACTTCGAATGGACCCCGGAAAACAGGAGAATAGGAGGGGGGTATTATAACAGGTTGAATCCTGGTGAACTATCATATGGTTGTACCATGTGACCTACCAACCGTGTCAGCAAATTGGGCGGAAGGAAATGTTAACGATTGATTGATTGGCTAATTACGTGGGAAATCCACAGAAACTAAATAGTCCAAATAACATGTAAACAAAGCAAACAGTAACCATCTGACACACCCCTTCAACTTTGGATGTAAGCATCGAAGTTGCCTAGCTAGACGCGAAAAGTATACTAATATCACGATAAAATTGCATAAAAACGAGGCTTTGTTGAATGCCTTTGAACAAGTGTTGAAATTGACGCTGTTGGAGCTTAATTGTGGTATAGAAACCATATTCCATAGGTTCCTACATGATTGGTCTTTGTAGACCGACGCGGAAAATCTTGATGAAGGGGTTTTACTCGATCAATTCTTCCATATCTTCTATATTGAGTAGCTTTACCCAAGATTCGAACCGTTGTCTGGGTAAGATCTTGGTAAAACCATCAGCTACCATCTGGGCGGTTGGGACCTAATCCACCTTAATAGTACCGGATTGCACCTCCTGTCGAAGCCAATGTCGATGAATGTCGATATGCCTAAGCTTGGTTTCGAATCCATCTTCCGAGGTGAGTAGGGAAATGGTGCGTTGGTTATCGTAGTTAAGGGTGACTTGGTTAAAAGGTATTTCTAATCCGATGTTGGTCAGGATCCTTCTCTACCAAATCAGGGTCTTTCCTGTGTCGGACAACCCTAGAAGCTCTGCTTCTATAGTTGATGTTGTAACAGTTTTCTGTTTTAACGCTTTCTAGTCTATTGGTCCACTATATAGGGAGCAGACGAATCTAGCAGAGCTTTTCCGATCAGGATGATTGCTGTATGATGCATCGCTTAAGATCTAAAGAGCTAGATCATCTGTTTCTAGTTTTAGGGTGCTATAATAGAGTGCCTGATACCGCGTTTAGTATAAGTAGGTGATGACTCTGTCTACTGCTGCATGATGCTGAGGTCCTGGATTTAAGAGGAAATATGAAAGCTTGGTGGCCGCTTTTGTAATGTCTAGGCGAGTAATCGAAGCAGGGTATTGGATTGATCCAACCTTTTCTTGATAGAGCTTCGTTTCTGCTGTAGTTGCTGTTCCTTCAAATGGTCTTATGTCTTCAATAGGGAGTGGTGTTGAGACTTTTAGGCGACCATTTAGCCTAAATTTGGCTGCTAAGCTAGTCAAATAGCTATCTTGGCATAGCCAGAGTTTATGGGTTTCTCGATTCCGGATGATGCGAATATTTAGGAACTATTCTATATCTCCATGATTAGTCAATTCCTAATGCTCTTTAAGGCGCTTTTCAATCAGCTTTATATATATATCTACGCTCTTATGACTTGCGATCAGGAAGTCATCAATATAGAAGAAGATAATGATTCCTTGTCCAACAAATATATAGGGGTCCTCGGCTAGGCACTTTAGTCCAAGCTTAAGAAGAACACGTGATGCTTCCTTTTGCCATAACTTAGGCGCGATACGCAGTCCATATAATGCTTTCCGCAGCTTCTAGACTCTGCCTGACTTCCCTTAAAAACCTTTAGGAAGTTATATATAAATATCTCTTTCTAAGAAGCTGTTTAGAAACGCGGCTACTATATCTCTCTGTCGCAGATCTAGGTTAAAGGCTGCGACTAGTGTAAAGATCATTCTTATAGTTTTGATGGCAAGTATAGCTGATTTGACTTCGTCCGGAGTTATCCTCTCTAAGTCTCCGCGGACGTAGATTTGTGCCTTATATTTCAAGAGGAGGCTATCTTCGTCAAATTTGTAGGTAAAAACCCATTTAAGCGGTAGGACTTGTTTTGAACGGTCATTTGGCCGATCCACCTCTTGAAAGGTTGTTTTAGCTGTTAGAGCTTGCACTTCTGATTGTATTATATCATTAAAACCATCTTCGAATTGATGTCCTTTTACTTCGCGAAAGGACTATGGAGGAGGAGGCAAATCGTCTCTATGTCTTCGCATATATTGATTCGAAGAGGGTTCTACCATTCTGGTAAAAAGAGCGGTTTGGTATAGAAGTGGAGCTTCTTGCTCTTCTTCATATTCCGCCTGAACTGCTTTAAAGTACGACTCATCTTTTGTAGTAAAGCTGGCGAAACGTGTAGATCCACGGGTTCGCCCACTAGGGATGATATTAGACTCGTCTAGGTCTAAACCGATCTCCTTATATGTTTCAAATTCCTATTGAAGTTGACCTACTACATCCTGTGGAAGTTGTTCTTTATCCGGTATCAGATCCTGCTCGATTTAAGGATCTTCTGCGTCTCCTACCCCTTGATCTGAAACTAGGTGTCTAATATCTGGTGTAGGCATAGATACTAGAGAGTCAGGGAGCCTTATTAGTGGTGTTTCTAGGGCTTATAGAAGTGCTCCAGGGACTGATTCCGATCGATCTGATTGTAATCTCTGCTCGTCTGAACTTGGTGGTTTGTTCGAGTCTAGAACTTGGATAGGATCTGGCGTAGATTTAGGGTTTAAAGCCTTATTCCTATCTAATTCTGGTGTCATATTTAAATCTGCTGAATCTAGTATTGAATTCACTATATTTAGTGTTGATTATGTTAGATCTTCGCTTAGATCTTGTACACTATCATGCTCTAGCATTAGTTCGTGAGTATTGACTCTAATTTCTTGTTATAGTGCCTATTCCCTTTCTATATCATCCAGAATTGTAGGCTCTTAGTCGAATTGAGCAGGAAGAGGCATCGGAATTTCCTTCTAAGGTTGGAAATTTGGTGAATATCGGCGTTTCTTGTTAAAAATAGCGTCTCTGACTAGCTCTACCTTTCCGCGGTGAGGGAACCAAATTCTCTATATATTAGATGCTATATAACCAACAAGAAAACCAATTTCTGCATGACGATGCATCTTATCCTTCTTCGCAATCTTTTGTATATAGTAGTACGCGAGGCTACCATAAAGTCGTAGATTCGAGAGGTTTGTCTTCGGCATCTTGTCTCCTGCGAACAGACGAGCTTCCTCCTAAGGAATTATCCATTTCCCGTCCACTTTGGTTGGTGTATGGTTTAGAATATAGACTACAGCTCTTACTGATTTAGGCCACAATTCCGCTAGGAGCTTCCCTTCCTTAAGAAGAGCTCTTAAGTATAGTATAATAACTCCACCTACTCGCTCTACTGGTCCGTTTTGCTTAGAATGTCTAGGGATTATATGACTGATGGTGATACCTTCTTATCTAAGGAATTTCTCTGCTGTGATGTTTATAGCTTTCTTATTATTATAGTAGAAAGTCTTGATTGGTAGCTTCTACTAGTTTTTGACTATAGTAATAAACATTCTAATAGATTCGTTTATCTGCCATTTGCCTTTAAAAGTGGTCAGCCAATATATATGGATACCATCAACGTAAAAATGAGATATCTATTGCTCTTTGTTATATATAATTGATATATGAATCAAATCCTATGAGATTTATCTAAATCATCCGAAGTTGCGGCTAAGTGGGCGTCGACTGATCTATCGAGGTGCTTATATAAGATGATAGGTTTCGTAGAGAGATTCAGGTTCGTCTGATCGCTCTATCTTAATGCCTTCTACTAGCTTTGGAAGCTATAGGATTGGTTCCTGATAGACATGTCCAAGGCGTCGATGCTAAAGCTCTTGGCTGCCTTTAGACGTGAGCTGCTTTATCGAACGTCGTGTTAATAAGGTGTTTTGGTTTAATGTGACCAGAGCAGTTTATTTAGCTGGAGGTTCAATCAGAATGAGTCTTTCTTTCTTCAATCTAATGGTCTTCATCAGAGGTTTCAAATCTCTCCCTATCAAGTATTCTTTGTCCGGCATCTATTCCCCTCCTTTATCCGTAAATAAGTAGTAGGAGAAGAGGTTAAGGACAAAATCTGGAGTATATACTATATCTACGATAGTAATATTCACTCTCTGGTCTATCACTAGGTGGACTCCGGAAATGACATAGGTTCCTTGTCCAAGAGTCTTTATAGAGCCTTTACCCATATTTAATCGACCATTCATCGGTTTAAAGTTGATGAAGCTTTCTCTGTTATTATATATATATGTTGTTGCTCCTATATCTAGGATCCAAGAGCCTTTCAAGCCTTAGGAGTTAGGACTAGTCAGGAGTGTGATCTTAGCCTTTAGATCGAATTTAGAATCATAATATAACTATCGAGTAGATTCTATGCTAAAGCCGTTGCCTATGAAATAGGCTGCTTCCATCGCTAGGTTGGCTTTGTCTATCGATGCGGTATTGGTTAGAGTTGATTTTTCAGAGGACTCAGAGATAGAACTTGTCTTTGATGCTTTCTGATTTGCGCGGTTTATTCTTGAGAACACCTATTCTTTCTACTTAGGATCGTCCTTGAACGCAGCTTCGACCGCCTCTTTAATAGAATTATTTGGCTTATAGTTTGGCGGACGATTCGACTTCTTGTTTAGGAACCAGCAGCGTTTAACAGAGTATCGCATACCATATGGGCATCCTCTTTCTTTAAAGCTTAAGGGCTTTAAATCTATAGGAGGTTGGTTCCCGGCTTCCGGGTTGCCTTACCAGGTAGCGAATGCTCCTTTAAGGGCTGTTCCGGGAGTTGTTTAGGTGTTAAATGCTTCGTATATAGTCCTAAAATCATCAAGAATAGTCTGAATATCAGAACTATCTCCTTAAATGACAACTTTTGAGTGCTATTGCTGCCACCAGAATAGTAGAATCTCGCGTGTTAGACGAATGAAGAGAGAACATAAGTCTTTGCTGTCTTTTGTAAGGACAATACCCTCAGATTCGGCTTCCTGTCTCTTGGTTTCCTAAGTATCTAGCTAGAGTAGTATGTTCGTTCCTTCTCTTGGCGGATTCATTATGATATTTATCTATTGTTCAAGAATATTGGTGTACTTCGACGTCGATTTTCCAAAGTGTTTCTGGAGAAAGACAAGCTTTATATACAGACCTTTCTGAGATAGAACTAGATCCTGGAGGGTCTGCTCAAGATTCGTAGTAATATACTGGTTCAGTTCGCCGATTGCTTTATGCTTCTTGTCCCACTCATTCTTATGGTATTTGAATATGTCGACATCGTCTCTCCATTCTCTGCGAGCACGTTCGTTCTTTCTGTGTGTCTCTTTATCGTCTCCTCTCCTCAAGGTTGGTTTCTTAGGGAAGTCACTGGGTTCTGGGCCAAGTTGCCTAATCTCTGACTTAGAGAGATCTGGGTCAATATATTCCAGTATACCTTTGTCTTCCGCAAGCGTGGTCACCCTCTATAGCCATTTCGGCCATTGAGTGATGTTTTTAAGCTTTTCGCTGCTCATTACGGAATCGAATTATCGTATGGTCCGATCTTTCAGGAGTAACCTAGTAATAGATACTCAGGGCTACTCAGGACTACTCAGGGGTAAGATTCGGGGGTTTTCCTTCACAACACGCCAATTGAAGCTGTTGAGGGTTATTCGGAGGTAAAATCGAGTAGAAAATAGTATAAACCAGTGATTTCTATGGATTTAACAGCGAGCCGGGCTCATAACTGTCAGCAAATTGGGCGGAAGGAAATGTTAACGATTGATTGATTGGCTAATTACGTGGGAAATCCACAGAAACTAAATAGTCCAAATAACATGTAAACAAAGCAAACAGTAACCGTCTGACAAACCGCATACCTCACGATTCCACCCCGAATTGTTCACGTTCTTCAAGGATTTTGTAAATAGCATGTGCCTAGCTAGTTCTGAATTTAAGATTAGCTTTAGCCCTTCACATATATAGCTGATTTTATACCACATAAGCTGGTGGAGATGCCTGTTTTTGCTGGTCCTAAGCCAGTTATCCTGACTAAAGAAGAGGCTGACGACGTCCTCTAGAGGGAGATTAGAGTCCTATAAACCCACCTACAGACTAATTTACAGGAGATGTTACCTGAAACACAAGTAGTTGACCATTCATATCTATCTGATCAGGATACTAACAGTCCTATCCTCTCTCTCGATGCTCGATCAGTTCAACAACCTGACGCATTTACTGGAAAAAGCAACCAGTCTGGTGTATCCAATAATGCCGAAAACCCATTTTTCGGCCGAAATACTAGGCCAAATACACCATGATACCCTACACCAACAGAACATGACTGGATTCCTGGACATTCCCAGAAGACCCAATCGAGCCTAATATAACTGACGACACACCAAATTCACCAGATTCGCCAGACTCAGTGCCAAATCAAGGGGTAGGGGTGGCTCCTATAGAGCCAACTGAAGGGGATTCGCCCCTGTTTACTGCTCAAGACAGTGAACCACAATTCCGACAGATTGGTCTAGACTTAGACGAGTCGAACATTATCCCTGGTAAACGTATTCGCCATTCAACCAAGAGAGATGATGCCTACTTTACACAGCTTATGCTGCGGATGGCTTCACGAAAATCTTGCCAAAACAGAGATTTGACGCCTGGATTCGTCTTCTCAACTTGGAAGATATAAGTGAACTGCTCTAATCTAGGGTCTTACCCCTAGATTCAGAGGATTTAGAGCATCGACTGCCTAAATCAGGATATAGACTACGTTTTTAGAGGGAATTGAGGCGATTCAACAGCCCAAATCGGCCCTGTGTTTAAGGCCAGTTTACACCTTGGAGGGGTGAAAACTGAAGGGGTGTGTCAAAGGCCCGATTCCATTTACAGTTAGTCTATTTTAGTCAGCATTGGAATCCCACAATGGGATTCCTCCATTCTACAATAGATACACATACACACTTTGGTACGCATACTGCGTTCTCATTTGCCTACTAGAATCCACTATTCCTTGGTAGTCGACCTCCATTTGACACAGTTGGTGGGTCACGTGGTACAACCACGTGATAGTTCACCAGGATTCAACCTGTTACAATCTAGGCCGATGGGATCACTCGTTCATCCATTTAAACTCTTATTTAGGCTCCATTTTAGCTTTTCAGTAAACCAAGACTCCGTAAACACCTTTCCTTTAAAGATAAGGTAGGGTATATTTAGGTGGGTTGGCCGCCCAACAAGGATTTTCTGATCAATTATTAATACCGGTCATCATAATAGTTCCGTACTTTCACTATAAGACTAAGCGGCGAATACACCCCTCTCTTTCTCTCTAAATATCTGTGGGAAACAAGAATAGTAAAAAATGCTTAATAATCCTCATGCCAGCCCATTGAAGGAGCAGAGGTTTGAATCCCTGGTCGGACAGACATTGAATCGATGGCACGTACCTGGGATGGCTATCGCCGTGGTGGATAGTGATCATACCTGGTCAGAAGTACGTACCCCTCTATGGCCGGGTTTGGTGAATACTCTCATACATCGAAGAGCTCACCGTCACCAACACGGTAGATCCATAATAATAGGGGTATGGGCTCGCGATTCTGCCTTCCACACCAGTCAACTGTCACGGAGTTGATAATCTGGAAATCATGTGACCGTTATATAATACCCACAACTACTTAACCGATCCGTACCCGGATCCCCCATGATTCTTTCAAGAATCAGTCTTGAAATGTTATCGAGTTCTTGTTCCCATCCTTGTCTTCTCTGTAAAATCCAGTAACCCTTACAATTCTGATTCTTCTCTCGATTGATCAAAGAAGACATTATGGCACCTCGAACCCGAAAACATAGCACTAGCACACGAGACTCCCTATCGGTCCCCGCTACTATGGTTGAGCCTGCTATCAGTGCAACCTTCACCTAATCGGGAGCGAATCCACTACCAACCGCCCCCGATCCCGAGCCAGTATCAGGTTCAGAAAATTCTCTAGACCAATCAGAGTCTGACGAAGAGATTCGTGAACTTCGAAAAATATCCCGTTGTACAAAAATGAAGTATATGCTCTAGAAGCGTATCAGAGAGTACGAACAACAACTCGAAGAATACGAAACCCCATCGAAGCGCCGCCGGAAGGCCGCCGACCGACCCTCGTCCTAATCAGGATCAGATTTAGAGCGAGAACCAAAGGGACTCCGCGAGATCAAGTTTAAAGATATCGATAATTTTACCCTTGATTTCAGTCTTCAACAACGGTTAGAATGGATTCGTGATCTCGAACAATCCTTTAAAGCGAACCCCAGACACTATCCGAATTCGAAACGGAAGGTTTACGCTGGGATTGCGCACCTGAATATAGAATATTGTTAACGCTGGTACACCTACTGCGACGAACTGAACCCTGAAGAAGCCTATGAAGCAAAAAAGTCTTGGGATTACTTAAAAGATTGGACCAACCAGTTGGTCGCTAACCTCGCGACGGGCCTGATTGAATACCGAATCCGACTAGAATCCGCCCGTCAGAAACCAGACCAAAGTCTAAGCGAGTTCTATCAACACCTTCTAAGCCTGGAACAATTCGCCGGAAAACAGCCCGAAGAAGACCGTGCCCTCTTCTTCGTAAAACTTAGCTAAGGACTCCGAGATGCGATCATCTCTGCGAGAGCAGGCGATCTCCCTACTACTCGAGACGCTATGGTTACGGAGGCAAATCGATATTGGCAAATCCTTAAACGCGCCTTAAATATCGCATATAGGAATGGGGAAAAGCGTAAAGAAGCCGAAAAGGACGGAAACAAAAAACCAAATTCAAGCCCTTTCCAAAAAACCTACACCAGCTCCACCTTATCGACAAAGAAGCCTTCTTTCTCTCAGCACGCGGACTCGAAACCCTAAAGAAACAATAAAGACTCTAAGCCGAAGGGATACCTTGGAAAAAAGACATAAGTCCCTGATGACTGGACTTTTGTTTGGAACAAGGAAAAGAAGCGGAAAGAATATAAAATCTGCTTTAGTCCCGACCATGAAAGCCCCGCGTGCCCGAAAAACACTACTAGGGTATAGGGTGCAACCAAGATCGAGTCAAGAATATCGATCGACAAACCATAAGTCAAAACCACTAACTGGTTTTTTATACCGATTCGACTCTAAAACAAGATCGAAACGCACGCGGACCTTGATACCTGCGCGGAAGTAGATCTTGTTAGTATCTAATTCGCGAAAAATTATAAACTCAACCGGGCGCCGATGACAGCATCTATCATCTAAGCAGTCGGAAAACTTAACGTCCTAATATTTGGAGTATGGAGGGTCCTAATGACTATCACCGACTCTCGCGGAACGACCAGGAATCTTGAACGATTCTATGTCGGTATCGATCGAGAAGCTGATCTCTTGGGAAGCCTAATCCTCTTATCGATGATAACCTGCCGAGACGAAAGAATCCATATTTCCACCTGGGATAGAAAATGGTGGTTTTAAGTACGAAACAGAACCATTTTGATAGACTCCCTACACAAATTCGTAAAACACACCCGGAATGAAGTGAAAGTTTTCGCTCTAGTCTGGATAAACGAGGATATTTGACTCCTAGAAGACGACAATGAAAGATAGGGAGAAGACACCTTACCTCCCGAATTCGAGTCGTTTCGTGACGTTTTCGACCACGAAAAAGCATCTTCTCTTCCACCACTTAAAGATACTGATCACGCTATTGACCTAATCGACGGCGCAACCCCGCCTTATAGACCAATATATCCGCTTTCATAAACTGAATTAGCGATAGTCAGGGAATAGATCGATGAAGGCCTACGAACTGGCCGGATGCGACCTTCAAAAAGTCCCGCTGGCGCCCCGATCCTTTTTGTGCTAAAGAAGGATGGCGGTCTACAACTCTGTGTTGACTACTAGGGGCTCAACCGTGTTTCGGTCAAGAATCGGTATCTATTACCCCTGATTTCGGAGATCCTGGATCGCCTTTCTAGATCTAAATTCTTCTCCAAAATTGATATTCGCGACGCCTATTATAGGATCCGTATCAGAGAGGGGGATGAGTGGAAAACTATATTTCGTACTAGATACGGATACTTTGAGTATCTGGTCATGCCATTTAGGCTAACTAATGCACCTACAACATTCCAAAACTATATTTATATAGCACTTAGAGGTTTACTTAATATTGTTTATATTATATACCTCGATGACATCCTTATCTTTTCGAAAACATGTTAGGAATATTCCGAGCATGTTTCGCAGGTCCTTTAGCGCCTACGCGAGGCTCAACTCTACGCAAAACCCTCGAAATGCACCTTTTACTAAAACAAAGTCGACTTTCTAGGATTTGTTATCGACGAAAACGGGATCTTAATAGACCTAAAATGTGTGTCCGCCATCGAATCGTGGGAGATTCCCACCAGTTTTCATGACGTCCAGGTATTTCTGGGTTTCTGTAACTTCTATAGGAGATTCATTCAAAATTACTCCTCTATCGCACTACCCCTGATAGATATACTAAAAGGGAGTGTGAATGGGAAAAAACCTGGAAAAGTCGAACTAAATCTAGAACAAACCCAATCCTTTCGGGAGCTTATCCAAGCTTTCTAAAACGCACCTCTGCTCCGATACTTCGATCCTTCGAGGCCGATTCGGCTAGAAACCGATGCATCAAATCTTGGTATGGCTGGGATACTGTCTTAGCCAGACCCAAAAAATGTTTGGCATCCTGTGGCCTTTTGGTCAAGAAAATTTACGGGGCCAGAATTGAATTATTCAACCCTAGATCAGGAGCTATTTGCGATCGTCTAATCTTTCAAAAACTGGCGACACTACTTAGAAGGTAGCCGATTCACTGTCGAAGTGCTCTCGGATCACGCCAACCTCCAATCCTTTATGCGGTAGACCATATTAAATGGTCGATAAGCCTGTTGGTGTCTTTTTCTAACACCATTTGATTTTGTTATAAAACATAGGTCAGGGAAAACCAACCCCGTAGATAGGTTGTCCCGAAAACCAAATAAAGAGAGTTCCTCTCGAAACGCTGATGTTCTAGGACCGATTCGAAATAGGATCGCAAGGGCGGAAGCGCTGATCACGACGAAACCCTTGACGCTACCAAAACTCTTCTCTTAGAAGAAAAAAATCAAAACCGAGTGCAAATCTCTATAGCGGAATGCCTTATCGCAGTCGAGTCGTGCGCCATTCGACTACGTTTCGGATGGTTGCCGGGGCCAACTCGCTGTAAACCCGGGGAAAGGAGAACCTGAGCGGATTCGTCCGTGTATGGCCTCCTGTAACCTAAACATTGGGAAAGGAGAACCTGAGCGGATTCGTCCGTGTATGGCCTCCTGTAACCAAAACATTGGGGAAGGAGAACCTGAGCGGATTCGTCTGTGTATGGCCTCCTGTAACCAAAACATTGGGGAAGGAGAACCTGAGCGGATTTGTCTGTATATAGCCTCCTATAACCAAAACATTGGGGAAGGAGAACCTGAGCGGATTCGTCCGTGTATGGCCTCCTGTAACCAAAACTCTGGGAAACAATCTCCCTGGAGTGATCCCGCGAATGATGTGTTATCCACCCAGGATTCGCCTAGGTATCGGGACCTATTCGACGAGGACCCGGATCTTAGAGATCCGGCTATCCTTGAAAACCTGGGTCGCTCCTAAACCATTCCTCGCTAAGCCTTAGTTGCAGCAGCGAGGGAGGAGGACATTTTCTCCGAAAACCCAAACTTTGAGTTTGAAAACCTGATCGCTAAGGTCCAGGGTGACGATCCTGAGACTCGACAGCGTATCGAAAACCTTTCTAGTAGAAAACCCGGCCAAATCGGTTGGACCCTTGACAGCAATAACCTTTTGTGGTTTAAGGAACGAATTTTCGTTCCGCAAGGAAATTTACGAAGGTATGTTATAGAACTTCACCACGACGATCTATATATAGGCTATTTTGGTTAAAACCATACTAAAGAGCTTATCAGGCGAAAATTCTACTAGGTGAACCTCCAACAAGATGTAGACGAATATATAGCGACTTGCGCAGTATGTCAGGGAGCTAAGGCCCTAAGGCACAAACTATATAGGAAATTACAACCCTTGCCATAACCAACTCGTCCTTGGAAAGAAATATCGCTAGACTTCATCATAGGCCTTCCTCCTGCAATATGGAAGGGCTAACACATCGATGCGATTCTAGTCATTATCGATAGGTTCACGAAATACAGCCTATTTGTACCTGTTTCGAGCACGATAAAAGCGGAAGACTTCGCCGAAATCCTCTATAAGCACGTTGAACTCCGATTTAGAGTCCTAGACGGGATCGTTTCCGACCGAGGAAGCATCTTCACCAGCAAGTTTTGGTCCCGAATCTGTTACTATTCGAGAGTGAAACGACGTCTATCTACTATATATCATCTATAAACCGATAGATAGACCGAACGGATAAATCAAGTACTAGAATATTACCTCCGATGTTTTGTCGGAACCGAACAGGTTGTTTGGCCAAAACTTCTGATGATAGTAGAATATGTATATAATAACGCTGTCAATTCGACAATAAATCTGTCTCCATCCGAATGCCTTCTAGGATACCGCCCAGAACTCCGATTCTGTGACAGCTTAAATAAAAAAGATAAAGAGGCTCTAAGCGCATAGGATCGCGTGGAAAAACTCCACGAACTATAACAGAAAACGGCAGAGAGCTAGCAAAAAGTAAATGAATCGATGTCGAAACACTATAATAACCGATATAAACTAATGGAATTCAGGGTCGGCGAACTAGTAAAACTCTCTACTAAAAACATACGCCTCGACTAACCATCAAACAAACTAGGTCCAAAATTCATTAGACCATTCAAGATTCTTGCCTAAGTCGGAACCTAAGCGTATCGTCTAAGCCTTCCCATAAAATACGATCGCATTCATAACGTCTTCCTAATTCAACTACTTGAACCCTAGAGGTCCCGAAATAGTGACGAATCAACCATATTACCAAATTTATAAGATGACGAAGACTGGGAAATTGAAGAAATCCGGGACGAATCTGTCATTGAAAACGAAACATACTTTCTAGTCAAATAGAAGGGCTGGCCATCAGAGTACAATTAATGGGTCAGCCAAGACGATTTAAACATAGACAAGCTTATCAAAAACTTCCGAAAAAACAAAAAACGATGAACCGATTGGAACCCGAATTCCGGTCGAGACGCCCTCGTTAGAGGGGGGATGGCGATAATGAATCAGATCGAATTGGTATATTTTATGGCCATATTCAAAATTGCCATCTCAACATTTACTAGAGGAACTGGAGCCCTATCAGGCAGAACAAATTCTTGAGAAATATCATAGAAAAAGGCCTTGATCGCAGTATTCCATGAAAGGAACCCTGCCTCCCTATGACCGATTCGACACAGAGTATCGGGAAAAACGATAGGAAGAACCTTTATAGATAATTGTCTACAAGCCTTATCCTCCTGAGATATAAAGTAATTTCGCAAGTTCTTAGTGTCAAAAGCCTTTTAGAGATCAAGCGCATGATCACTATAATGACTCTTAACCAAAGAACGGAACGCTACCGAAAGGGCACCGGTTGCCAATCGAGCCGCCGCTGTTCCTGCTATAGTCCAAGGAAATATTTAAGGAATCACTCTAGGCGTCCCAAATTTACCTGACAAACCAGTACTTGGCAACGCTACCGCAGAATCAGCGTTCTTAGCCTAGTCTAAAAGCTCGTGAAACACCCAGGACTTGTATAAAATGCTAAACGGAACCTGTGAATCAGCAAAGGAATGATGCCGATATCAAGCTGAATCGTACTCACTGAATGACAAACACCATAAGATTGGATACAACTATCGCACTTCTTTGAAGCTACTCTACTCTAAACATAAGAGATAGTAAGCAAACGCCCTTCACGCCACACACTCTTGGCCCTTCCGACGCAGGCGACGCAGGCCATATAATCCGCCGAATATATGAAATCTCGACCTATTGCCTCTGTAGGAGCGGGAGCGGGACCAGCAGCAGCCATATCGAATGAGAGTCGATGCGATTTCGAAGGAAAAAACTGTTAAGGAAGTTGAAGAAGAAAAATTATGGAAGAAAAAACGAGAACTGTCTTCTTCTTAAAACCCTGACGGCTTTGTCCTCTGAACCATCAGGCAAACCCCCATCTCTTTATCACTATCAAACACCCCACTTCTTCAGAATCCAAGATACGCCCATCTTGAAAATTTCTTCCTAACATAAATCATGGACAACTCGGTCGCGATTCGTACGCAGACCAAGATGTGAGGACGAACCAATCTTTGCCTCACGGGAAAACAAAGGACTCAAAGGAACCTAGCCGACCGAGTCGTTCGGCATTAGGAAGGGGAATAGTTGTCACGGAGTTGATAATCTGGAAATCATGTGACCGTTATATAATACCCACAACTACTTAACCGATCCGTACCCGGATCCCCCATGATTCTTTCAAGAATCAGTCTTGAAATGTTATCGAGTTCTTGTTCCCATCCTTGTCTTCTCTGTAAAATCCAGTAACCCTTACATCAACCCCTCGACCCTTTTCTACGCGGGTAGTACAACTAAAGCCTTCACCGCGGCTATGCTAGCCAAACTTATAGAGGATCCTGCCATAAAGATTCGATGGGACACACCTATCAGGCAATTGCTCCCTGGGGACTTTACTTTACTAGATAAATGCGCCGGGGACCAGATTACCGTTGAAGATGCGCTGTCGCATCGGACCGGGCTCCCGTCTCACGACCACGCTAGCTCTCGTACCAGCGTTCGGGAGAACGTCCGTCAACTTGCCCATCTTCCGCTAACAGCTAAGCTCCGTACTCGGTATCAATATAATAATCTTATGTATGTGGTGGCCTCGCATATCATCGAGACTGTCTGGCCCGCTTATTCTGGCAGCCACTTGGGATGACCGACACTTACTTCGCCTTAGATGATGCGCAAGCTGCCCCTAAAACCCTAGCCCGGGGCTACTACTACTCTGATATCTACCATAAAGCAGATTGGATGCCAGTAGAGGAGGTATCTGGTGCTGGGGCGATCATCACCAACGTTCTCGACTACGCTAAGTGGGTACATGCTTTACTTCGACCACAAGCCTTAGTCGAGAAACGTATCTTCCAGGACCTAGAAACCAAACACCAACTATGGCAGCCGCGGACCCTGATGTCTATAGAGGCTTCCTTCATAGGTCCTCGCGCATATGCTCTAGGCTGGAGGACTGGCTGCTATATGGGTATTCAGATATTTGAGCATAGCGGCGGTATGAATGCATTCGGTGCGCAGCTCCTTTTAGCCCCTGAACTCGAGTTTGGCGTCATTATTCTGGCGAACATAGCGCAGACCTCTAATTATGCTGCACAGTTCCTCGCCTTTCATCTTCTCGATGAACGGCTCGGGATTCCTAGGCAGCAGAGATTCGATTGGGATCGAAGGAACTGGTCCTTGATCGAGCAAGAAAAACAACGGGTGGCAGATAAAATTAACTATCGTCCGCCGATTGTTCTCCCGTATATATTAGCATTAGACGAATATGCTGGTGTATATACTCACGCGGGTTATAAGGATATTACTGTGTACTTAGACAGCGAAGGTGTTCTACGCGCTGACCGGATGGATGACTTGGCCTGAAACAATTAGGTTTCAGCATATAACTGGGGAGCATTTCTTGATGCTTTCAACACATAATGAGCATTTTGGGGCATTTTGCCCCGAGGTCTACGATGCTGAATTTCGAATCAGCATTGAAGGAAATGCCTGGACCTTGGGGATTGCCTGGGAGAGAGCAATGGGAGGTGAAATGATCTGGTTCGTGAGGATCTAGGTCAATCCTGTACTCATATTAAAAATATACCGTTTGTCACAAAACAAGACCGATCTCAAGGGGAATTGCTAGGCTGATAATCAAACAACCAATAGTTGTTGACACTGTGGTATAGATAGTGTGTTATGTGAGAGTATATAGTGAGATTTAGAAGAAAGAGGGGGCATTTTCACGACATAAGATTGGAACCTATATCATGTACATACTACCTCCAGAGCTGGGTATGTAGCTACTAATATAACCCTTTTTGAATAATGGATTCATCCTAAGAATCTTGAGGGAGTATGATTTCTAGCGTGTTTCATTCTATTGAAGTAATTTCTCGGTCAGTCGCTAAGCCTCGCTCTGAGAAAAATCAACGAAGGGGTGAGCATTAATATGGAAAGAGAACGCTAAGAAGTAGCAGAGGAAATCCGTACCTAGGTACCTTCCAGAGTTGATTATATGTAGGTCCTAAGTAGGTCCTACGTAGATAGGTACAGGTACCACCTAGATAACCTCTTTGAATTGTTACATTGCCCAGGTGAAATCTACATAGGTACCTATTTAGGTACCCGTCTAGGTAGATGTACTTGACAGCCTTGGACACGACCACTACCTGCAGTGAATAACATTTGAAAATGTTCCCATTGATGGCAACATATATATTGTGGTATACCCTGGGCATTGGAAAATGGCTCACCTCCAGATGCCCAGACCCATGCCGGACGAAAACCAGAGCATCCATCTGCATCCATCTGCATCCATTCCAAGGTTATCAGTGAAAATCCCCAAGGTGTTGATCGCGACGAAGATTCAGAGTATCTTGAGGAAGAAAGAAAGCGAATGCATCAGGAAAAGGCACGGGTTATCGGAATAAGGAGAAACTTGCCGGGCAATAGAAGTCCTAATACACCAAGCACAGGGCAAACATCACCCTTGGAAAAAGCCACCACGAGGAAAACTTGGAAAAAAAGGTACTTCAAGAACTTGAGAATGAGAGAAGGCGAGGGACCCTGGACATATTGTTCAATGCAACCTGTATTGCGGGGAATTGGCAATTTGGCAAATAAAGCAAGAGTAAGTTTCAAGGTTTCAACTTTCTGCATTCGCTCAAGAGAGCAGACTAGTGTAACTAGAGATCTAGACTGTAGACTAAAATATGTACCTAGCGGGGAAGTATTCATGAACGACGTCACTGGACTCGACTAACCTTTTTGAGCTTTGCAAAAGCTCGGGTGCCAAACCTTCCCCATTCCAGATCGACTTTCGACCTTCACTCACTGTTCACCCCGGCTTGATTGGGTCGCTTCGTTTCGTGGGATCGGGCCTCTTGTATGTTGTTCTGTGCTTTCGCTACTGTTCAGTCACATGCGCCCGTGATCATAAGCTAATCCCTCAACTAAGTCTTAGCGGTTTTTAACTATTGCGCCGGGAGACATTGTCGACACTTTCGACACTCTAGGCCCCAATATCCCGAACACCCAATTGCCCTCATTCGTACTGCTAGTCTCCACGGTGATATTTCGATCATCCATCTACTTGCCGAGATCTTCGCCGAGACTTCGCCACTGCTCTCCGCTCCCGAACCTTCTCCAGGCCCCCTCAACCAAAGTGCAGTGCCTAGGTAGATCCTCCTGGATCAACGCCTACACTATCACCTCTATATCTGGGCTATACCAAAGCTATACCAGTACAGTGAATGGATAATTGTGGGACGCCAAACGGTCTGCTCTAAGATTTGAGAGACCGCTTCGCGTTCCATAGGGTTCCCAGCCTGTCGACTATATTATAAACGACAAGGCTACTATCAGTGCCTTTTTGCGCAAACCCCATTTACTCTCTGGTCCAATTTCAATGGAATTCTCCTAGGCATGAGTGTTGATAAATCCGAACATGCGATTTTACCCCCGTCTTCCAAACCGATAGCCGCAATGCCGACTCAAAACGCCTGGATCGTGGATCATGAGACCCGCAATAAGTTCATGAAGAAGTATAAAACCCAAGTGGCCTCAGGAACTTCCACTATATGCGCGACTCTCGCGGTGGTATGTTACTTTCTCGCGATAACTTGGAGAAGGATGCTTATGCGCGATTGCTAGACACCCTTAGAGAATATCAAAACACGAATGCAAACGTACGTGATAATTTGTACCAACAAGTATTTCTACAGGCTGGCTGACCTTTTATAGCCACAATTTCAAGAATATTTGGCAGTGTGCACGGTATCTGTGGCGGACTGAGGGTCCGCGTGGCTACGTGGCAGGTATGTAGCCTTGTATCATGTTGCCATTGGTACCTTTATGTCCAAAACTAATTCATTCTAGGTGCTATTCCTCCGCTAGCTAGTGTAACGGTTGTTCGTGTTGTCAACTTCACCACCTACAACCATGCCAAACATTCAATCTCCGACTTTTTTCAGCGCATCACCGGAGAATCCCCGCTAGATGAATACAACAAGCCCGGAAGTACCCCTACTATCACTGGAATATTGACCTTTACCACTGCCGGATCATTGGCTGGCTTAGCGACTTCGCCGTTTGCTTGTAGGAGCTCCTCAACCCATCTCTTTCTGCTTGGTGCTAACAATTGAATACCCAAGGCCCATTTGAACTAGCCAAGAATGTTGTTCAAACCTCAGTTCTAGTCCATAACAGATCCCAGGCAGCCCCTGGTGCAGCCGCAGATCTTTCCCTGCGCCGCAAGCCCCGTCTTGGTACTGTGGAAGCAATCAGGGAGATTATAAAGCGATATGGTGTTCGAGGTCTATATACTGGCTTCCGTCTCCATGCTTTGCGCGATACTGTGGGATCCGGTCTCTACTTTAGTGTATATGAGACTGTGAAGCAGATCGCTGCCAAAGAATTGGGCAAAGATACCTCTCCTTTCGGAGCTCCAATGATTGCTGGTGCTATCTGTAGCACCGTCCCATGGTTCTGTGTAAGTCGAAATATCTTTTTGTCTGAAGAATACAGACTGATATCTTTTTAGACTTATCCTCTCGACACACGTAAGACTCGAGCTCAGAGTGTGTTGCTTGGTAAATCCAAGGAGGTTGGCGAAGCTAGTATGGCGGTCGCCAAGTCTAGCATGTACAAAGGTATCTCTATTATCCTTATTCGTACCGGCATTAACAACATGATCCTACTGAGCATGTTTGAATATATCAAAGCTCAGATCAACGAGCTTCCTTGAAGTGTCTGAGGAGCTCCGGTTTTGTTTTTCCCCTTTATTTTTGTGAAATATCGTTGCATCTGTATTTTTTCCATACGGTCTTGATGCATATACGAATCTTGAAGGTTCAAACTGTGCTTCGTAGACATTGAAAAGTAAAAGATTTAAAGTTGCGCCTTAGGCACTAAAACTGGACCCCACGTCATCCGTTGCCAGGCAAAGGTGGGGTTTTGAGATCTTCATCAACAAAGCTTTCTTTCTTCCTACGCTGTACACTCCAGCTGTTGTTGGCAATGGCATCGTGAGTCCATTTGTACAGGTATACTATCTTACTCATCTAATCTTATTCTCACAGGAATATCCTACAGCTCCCGTTCCATCGCTCTCATGCGGTCTCGCTCTCCGATGCCATCACGCAGTACATCTCGTCTAAATATGACCAGCGTCCGGATATGTTTGCGGAGGATCTCCTCATAATCAATCGTCTTCGATCCGAGGCTATCAATGTCCAAGAACCGCATATCAGTGGTATCAGTCGATTAGTCACATACGCGGCACAGCTGAAATGGTTGGGAGGAAAATTCCCGATTGATGTACGCCTCTCTCCTCGCGCTCGAAACCTCATTTTCTGCATCTCGTAATGCATGCTAAGAGTGTTATAGGTTGGGGTGGAATTCTCCTGGTATCCGGCGTTCGGGTTCAATTCTTCAAGGCCTGGTGAGTAGCAAATAAGAAACAGTCGGAGCGTGTAGACCCGGTTGAGTTAAAAACTCTTGGAATGCATACTGAATACATTGAGTCTACAGTGTCGCAAAACAATTTACGATTTGAATTGGCGCATATCTTGTTTAATCTAGCGGCCTTATACTCCCAGCTTGCCTACGCCGTGAACCGGACGACCGCGGATGGATTGAAGCAAGCATGCAACTATCTCTGCCAGTCAGCTGGAGTTTTGAACCATCTTCGCACAGATATCATCCCCGACCTTCGCTCATCGCCGCCGGAAGACATGGACGAGATGACTCTTCAGAGTCTAGAGCAACTCTTGCTGGCCCAAGGCCAGGAATGCTTTTGGCAGAAAGCTGTCAAGGATGGCTTAAAGGATGTATCTATCGCGAAGCTTGCAGCAAAAGTATCCGATTTCTACGCTGATTCAGGTGACTTTGCTGTCAAGTCTAACGTCATTAGCACAGAATGGATTCACCATATGACCGCAAAGCACCACCACTTTGCAGCTGCCGCCCAATTTCGGCAATCGCTTGACTGCCTAGAAAAACGCAAATATGGCGAGGAAGTCGCACGGCTTCGGGACAGCCTTAATTGCGCCAATGAAGGCCTGAAGGAATCGAAGTGGATTAATCGAACCGTGCTGGGCGACTTGAATGGAATCAAAAGTCGTGTGGCAGAAGATTTGAAACGGGCTGAGAAGGACAACGACGTTATTTATCTCAGCCCGGTCCCGCCCAAGTCTGAACTTAAGATGCTTGATCGGGCGGTTATGGTTGCTGCTAAAGCGCCACCGCAGGTCACAGATGCCATCTCCATGCTGGGCCACAATGGCCCATTAGGCCAGCCTCTTTTCGCCCGACTTGTCCCGTACGCGGTGCATATTGCTGCTAGCATATACTCCGATCGTCGGGACCGACTGGTCAATGAAACGCTTATTGGGGAGCTCGAGTCTATGACAGATAAGCTACGAGAGTATGTATTTCACGAATCTCTTTATGAAGAAAATCAGTACTAAACTTTATAGTCTACTCTCATCTTTAAATTTGCCGGGGTCTCTGCAAGCGCTGGAAAAACCTCTGGGGCTTCCCCCGACGCTTGTCTCTCATGCCGAGGAGATGCGCCAGCAAGATGGGTTGAACCGTCTGCGTCGGTCCGTTGAGGACACAGCACAGGTTAAAAGAAATGACCGCGCAGTGTACGAAGAAGGCGTCGAGCTGTTAGCTGCTGAAAAGGACGAGGACATTGCAGCACGCCGCAAATATGGGACGGACCGATGGTCACGCGACACATCCGAGAATGCTGCGCGGAAGATATACACCAACTTGAACGAGATCAATGGCTACTTCACATCTGCGCAGAGCAGTGACGATCTCGTTGAGCGTAAGCTCCGGGACTCCGAGGCCGTATTCCGAGTTCTGACGGGGTCAAATCGAGATTTGGAGTCTTTTGTGCCTAGCAGCCGTCGAGCTATCATCCTGCCCGAGGTGGAACGAGAGTCTGGCAAGCTGCGGAGCTGTCTGAGTGAAGTAAGTCGCATGGAAAATCGACGGCGACGTCGGATTCAGGCATTCAAGGACAAAGCTCGTGCAGATGATATCCATCCATCTCTTCTCAATGAAACTGCGCGCCTCGAACGAGAATTTCCTATGCAGGCCATCCAGGCTGGCCAATTTGAAGATCTGTTTGAGGAGCAGTTACACTACTACGACACAGATCGGGATATGATCGTCCAGGAGAAACAGGAACAGGAGCATCTCACAGAGAGGTTATACACAGCACATCAAGCTTTTACTCGGGCGCACAAGGGTGACACATCGTCAAAGGAACGTGAGAGGGCACTGCAGGATTTGGAGAACGGATACTTGAAGTACAAAGAAATAATTTCGAACCTGGAGGTTGGACGCAAGTTCTACAACGATTTGGCGAAGATTGTAGGTCGGTTCCGCGACGATGCCAAGGCGTTTGTGCACCAGCGTCGGATGGAGGCCAGTCAACTGGAAGGGTCAGTATTCTCCGGTAGATTGGTGGCTGGTAGTTTTTACTGAAATTGCTTTTTCTGCAGGGATATCTCCAATGTCGCAGCTATGTCATCACTGCACATCTCCCAACCTCGCTTGCACCAGGCGCCGCAGTCGACATATGCAGCTCCTCCGTCCCAACCCCCGTCCCAACCTCCCCCGCCCGTTCACACCCGACAAGAGATCACCGCCCCTCTCACAGCACCTCAGCCTCTGAGGGCAGCAGTAGCTCCGCCCTCAGTCCCCACACCGGGGATGTGGTCTCCAGATATGGGTATCCGGTTTGGATCCGCTGGGGCCCCCCAGGAGCGAACCCGAACCCAAACCCAAATGCGGACCCAGGGCTAAATGGGGATCGAGGACGAACAGGGATCTGGGACCCCACTCAAGGTGTCCGATTCTCCTGATTGTTCGTACTCAGGGACTGGGAGTAATGCTATGTCACATTTGTAGAGAGCATATAATCATACAACGCAGCAAGTGGCTTACAAAGAGTTCGAGTTTACGTCACACCGTTTTTAGTTGTGTCATCATGAAAATCATCATTTTACCCCAGTACAACCTTACAACCTTAAGCCCCGCAATTCCACAGGTTCCAAGTTAAATTCAGGGTTCGCTGGCATTGACGTAGAGATAATGATAATCGGTATCTAAAGTATGGTGACATGGTATCCATGGTATCGGTAATAAAAGGCCAAGGCCGGGACGATATGCCACGAGTTCAACTCTAACTCAAATTGGGCCGGATTTCGGTACTCGGGACTAAAACAGACGACATTCAAGCAGAGAATACTACCGCTATATAAACGGACCACTTTTTTCAAATTATTGTTAGAGTCGCTGAAATTACCGGAAAAGGGTTAGCGGCAAACTCCACAGTGTACGCGTCTCCCAGATTACCTCTTACGTTATTAGTATTGGATTTGACGAGTCCAGGAGTCCGGGCCTAGACTTCACAGGCGTGCCTTGTTTTATGGGGTCGTGATCTCAGGCATTGCTCGGTATATAACTACTAGTTTTAGCTTATTTCATACCGTACGGATACTAATAACATGGGACTTATGGGATTTAGGAGTGCTGAGTGATATATTGTAAACGTTTTAATTTTCCTTCTTATCCAGCGGAGCCGGGCGGCTTAATAGATGACGTCTCCAGTGGGGTTGGATCCACCGGTCAAGGGGAATGTTAAAAGATTCCTCTCATATCAAGTGTTGACAACATGACATAGGATAGAACAGAAATTGGATTCTGATCTCATAGGAAGTAGTATACCAGGGGTCCCAAATCAAATGAATTATAATAATTCAGATCAAGTACTAAGAAAGTATTAAAAGGCCCACCATAATCAGTCCGCTCTTTAACAGGACGAATCAGGATAATCAGAATTTTAGAAGACATAAATAGATTTGGCTGATTCAGCCGACCAAAGAACATGAGTGGAACATGAAGAAGGAAAGACGATCTTTGGATCCGCATCTGAAACCAATTTGTATTGTGGCAGTGTTCCATTTGTAAAGGAACATCTCAAACATACAGTATTGGTTTTTGATCGACCTTACACTCACATCACGCATTCCCAGCCTGAAACCCTGATTTGTGGCTAATCCTTCCTTTTGCTGAATTTCCATTTCCTTCAATCTCCTTGGTACCATGGGGCTTTCGTTCTGTGGATGAGATCAACCTGCAGCAAAAAGGAAAGAAACCCAGTTTGAACTCGAAGCTGTCTTCTCCAATTGAGAACCCCCATCACACCCTATCTCTCTTTTATCTCCCCACACTCCTTCTCTCCCCCTCTCTCCCTCTCTCTTTCTCTCCTTCTCTTCTCCTCCCTCCTCCTTTTTCCCACAATCATGAAGCTCGGATGGTTAGCCGCCGGGATTTTCGGAGCCGTCCACCTCGTTCAACCCGCATACGCAACTAAACTTCTTCAAGCAAAATCTCTGACACCATGTTCGGACGACGGTCAAATTGGAATCGACTATTTCAGTATTGTTTTTACTCCTGGCAATAACAGCGCCGCCGTCAGTTTCGAGGGTTCCATTCAATACACTGGTTATGTTCTGTTGGATGTAGAGGTTCTGGCCTACGGATATCAGATTCTTTCCAAAACCGTTGATCCTTGCAGCTTCGGCACAGTTTCTGGACTATGTCCCTTGAAACTAACCAGTCTGAGTATTCCATCTGCCACATTGACTGTCGCAAGTGATGCTTTATCAGGTTTACCAGGTGAGTTGGACCCCAAAGTTACGACGTTACACTCCCGGCAGTCAGCGGAGTTTCGGCATGGGCCTCTTCCTAACTCCGCATTCCTTAGACATCACTTATTCCGTCCCCGATCTCGATGCCATCGTTCGTCTGAAAGTTGTAACAAAAGACACAAAAACTGCCATCAGTTGTGTCGAAACCCGCGTTACCAATGACAAAACAGTTGATCAAGAGGCTGTTGCCTGGGTTCTTTCCGTTATCACCGGAGTTGGTCTCGTGACTAGCATCATTCTCTCGATTCTCGGACATTTTAATATCGCGACCCATATCACCTTCCGAACATTGCTACTCCTCGGTTTCATGCAGAGTCAGGCCATGGCTGGATTGAGCGCCGTGCAATTCCCGCCGATTGCCCAGTCCTATACGCAAATGTTTGAATGGTCTGTTGGAATCGTTCATGCGAACTTCTTGAATACCATATGTACATGGTTCCAACGTGCAACAGGTGGTACTCCTTCCACCCTGCTAGCGGAGGATGGCAAGGAATCAGTCTTTTTGGCCAAGCGAGCCTTCAGCGAGTCTGCGAAATTAATATCCAGATCTTATGACACCACCGTCAACGGTACCGAACAAACAGTCCGAGGTATCGAGCGCGTGGGTTTCCGCATCAATATCCCAAAGACCAACGTTTTTATGACCTCCTATCTTTTCTACTACTTTGTCGCAGTCTGCATGATAATCGTCGTCTTATTCTTTTCCATGGTCTTGCCCGCCATTAACAAAAAGGCGAGATCGACCCAGATCGAGCGGGGAGGATCTACTACCGATTGGAAGACCTTTTTGCGTGGCAGTCTTTACCGAGTCGTGGCATTGGGGTATCCGCAGATCTGTGCTCTGGCTATGTGGGAAATGGTGGTGCGAGACTCGGCCGCTGAAGTCGTGCTTGCAATTACCATGTGGTTAATTATGTCGGCCGTTTTAGCCTTCGCTGCTTTCAAGGTCGTCCACCGCGGCTTCTCATCCCGGGCCTTGAACGAAAGCCCCGCCTACACACTCTACTCCGACCCCGTTTGCATGACTAAGTGGGGTTTCCTCTATATCAACTATAAAGCCCAGTACTACTGGTTCATGGTTCCGGCTCTGGTCTATACTGTCGTGAAGGGCATGATCATCGCATTTGCTCAGACCAACTGGGAGGCACAGGCTATCGTTCTTTTGATCCTGGAAGCCGGAATGCTGGTAGCAACATGCGTGGTCCGACCCTACATGGACCGACAAGCGAATTCATTCGCCATCACCAATTGCGTGTTCATCTTCATCAATTCAATCTTTTCCCTCGTTTTCTCTGGCATTTTCGATGCGCCTCAAATGGTGTCCAGTGTTATGGCTGTCTTATGGGCACTATTCAGCGCCGTCTGGACACTGACTCTCCTAATCTGGCTTCTAATAAGCTTCTATTACGCCTTCACCCTCAAGGAACCGACCGAGAAGTACAAGCGCATCGACAGCCGTAATTCCTTCCGTCTCTCCGAGAACAGAATGACTACAGAACTTCTACCCCTCGAGAAGACCGCCAGAGGCGATGACAGCCCTCCTTCATCTCGCTGGAACATCGACGAATCGGCGCATGCCCAGTCCAACAGTGAACTCCAGTCACATCTACGACAGCAAGGATCTCGTTGGAACGTCGAAACGGCCGTGCCTCACGATCACAACAACGAGAAAATCCAAAGTCCCCTATCACCCTTTAATGACGTTCTGGAACCTACCCTTCCTTTGATTCCCAGCAGTACTCACAGCTCAGCGAGGAGATCACCGCAACAAAATGCGCCCCCGCATGTTCCCAACGAAAATCTTGTCTGAGGAAATCATTATTTTTTTTATTATTTTTTCATTTTTTTATTATTTTTTTTTTCCAAAATTCCACCTTCCCTCTATTTCCTATTCTCCTTCCTACTATTCTCTTTACATTTTATACATCCCCTTTTCTTCACATAATGTGTGATACTTGCTCTCTATCTCATCTTATGTACACATTTCTTTCCCTTGAGTTCCTTTCTGTTTTCTTGGAGAGCCTGGAGCTCCAGCTTCGCAAATTTGGCGTTGAGAGACTCGGTGTGTTCTCGGTGTAAATATTAACCAAGTCCTTGATACTTTGAACATAATATGACATATTCTGGAGACTAATTCAATTCTAGAATCTACCCACCTGGGTGGGAGCAACCTTGAATTGGAGTATTCTCAAAGACATCTAAATATTCATGGATAATGCATTGATTCAAGCCCTAGAGTTTCCTTATTAAGTATTATGGTTTATAAAAATACCCTCTATACCTAGCAGATGTTGTCTATCGGCTCCGAAGTGCAATTCAGTATATTTCAAGGTTGGCCGTTGGCCGTTGATCATTTATCTCGTGATCATCAATTGTGTAGTTTCTTTTCAAGGTTATATGAAATCGTGCTTGCATCCGGGCAGGGAAGCACAACCTCAAGAAGCCTTCTCATGAATCTCCTCAAGCTCAGACTCATCTTCAGACCGATCATCCTTCTTAACGCCATAAGCGAGGAACTTCCACGCACTACGCAAAAGACAATACAGCCAGAAGATATTGAGAATCTGTAGCAGGGCCAACAAGGCAAAAGTGATAATATTGGAGATCCAGCATTTATACTGCTGTGTCTCCCAGTTGAGTTCATAAGGCCCGACAGTCCGGAACTCGGTCAGCAGAGAGTAGAGAATCCGTAGATTTAGGTAATGGCGCAGATAGATCCAGGTGAATACATTCAAAGCATAAGAAGGTATGACCAGATCTGAGTCGATATAATGGAAGGATTTGGATACCTAGAAGGATGAGTAACATGTCAGAGATGGGGAAAAGAAAGGAAGATCCATACAGCCAGAAAGAAATCACTGATATCATGGGTTGTGTAGACAGCAACACCAATATAAGTGAAATGAAACCGATAACTCAACGCGATGAGAGCTAAAGTAACAATATGATGCGCAACAAGCTCCTTGTAATCCTTGCGCGGCTTTTCCATTCTGAGAAACATTACAAGAGCCTGTTGGGCCCAGTAAGCCGCCTCAAACAGGTAATAGAATTTAAACGCCGCCTCATGAGTGCGATGCGGAAAGGCTTCATACATGCCAGTCGTGTTGAAATACCAGACAGGCGTCTGACGCATGACATACAGACCAGCAGGGCCCATGATCCCAAAGTAGATCGCAGTATACATCTGCTCCATAAAGCGCAACTGCTTCGCACACGATCTAATCGGAGAGATGCGAGCAAGTGGGTCCAGTATTTCCTGCATGATGAACTCACGCGTGAACGTCAGGAAAATAGTATAGAACACCACGAATGCGATGTCCCATAGTCCCTTGCCATATTGCGCCGGGACTCCGGGTTCCAGCGGCTCTTGCCTGTAAGAGAGGAAGAGGAAATGATGGAGTATGTGGCTCTCCGTCGGATCGATGGCGTATAGACCAAGAATTGTAATCAATAGAATTAGAGGTATGGTCCATGTGCGTTTTGTTATGGGTGATCGGGGCTGGGGCGGCTGCGTTTTACTTGATTCAGTTGCCCGCATGGAGCCGTTGGTTTTAGTCTCATCGACTACATCTGCATGCTGGTTCGGCCGAACATTCTTCTGAGCTTGGCGACGCGCTGCGGCGTCTTCGGTGTTGCTTCCAGAATGGGGCATCGGACTTAGCGTTGTACGGCGCAAGGTACCAAGCCTCAAAAACAAAAAAAGACCTGGATGGAACGGACTTGAATTCCAAGGCTGACGGCTGTTCAATGGGATTCCCAGGGGAAAGGATTGAATAAGCCAATGGTTCCCCTGAATGATTCGGAGTTCCAGGGAGAATAAGCCGGGTTCCGCGGAACCCGCCAATAGTAGAAAGTATACTGGTGTATCTTGATTTGTTCAAAAAGAAAGGCGTCTTTTCTTATATACACTAAAATCCAACAATTTTAATTTTACTCAAAGCTTCGACTTCATGTTGACGTGCACAGCTTTGACAATGGAGTAAGCCTCGAGGCCAGCTTCTCCAAGTTCTCGGCCAATACCACTCTGCTTCACACCACCAAAGGGAATTCGCCAATCACTATCGTTGCTAGAATTGATCCAAACCATACCAGCTTCGATCTGTTTCGCAACACGGTGGGCACGGGTCAGGTTTGTAGTGAAAACAGCGCTTCCAAGACCATAGATTGTGTCGTTGGCCATGTGAACAGCTTCATCCTCAGTCTTGAAGCGAGCAATACAGGCGAATGGACCAAAGACTTCTTCTTGGTAGATGCGCATCCCGGAGGTCACATTTGTGAAAATGGTAGGCTCAATGAAAAAGCCCTTTCCGTCACCCACTCCCTTGAAGGGTTTACCACCACACTCCAAGGTCGCCTTCTCAGCCTTTCCAACGTCAACATAGGACATGATGCGCTCATATTGAGCTTGTGTGACCTGAGGACCCTGGAAGGTGCTCTCATCGAAAGGATCGCCGACCTTAGAGACATTCTTGATCTGGGCCTTGAAAGCCTTAATAAAGCGGTCGTAGATCTCGTCTTGGACTAAGATCCGGGATGTGGCTGTGCATATCTGGCCTTGGTTATACATGATCCCAATATGTGCCCATTCCACGGCCTGCTCGAGATCGGCATCGTCAAATACAATGAGGGGACTCTTGCCACCAGTCTCAAGAGTGATGTTCTTCAGATTACTACTAGCCATCTTCATAATCTCCTTCGCAGTAGCAGTACTGCCAGTAAATGCGATCTTGTCAACATCCAGATGCAAAGCCAGAGCGGCACCGGCAACGGCACCGTGACCATTCACAATATTCACCACACCGGGAGGGAAACCAGCTTCCACAATGAGGTTAGCAAGAAAGAGGACCGAGAGAGGAGTCTGTTCGGCAGGTTTCAACACGACAGTGTTACCACATGCGAGGGCAGGACCAAGTTTCCAGGCGGCCATGGAAAGAGGGAAGTTCCATCTTTACAAATTAGAACTTAGCCAGGTCTTCTTAGACTTCTTAGAGGTGTGTGACGACTTACGGGATAATCTGACCACAAACGCCCACTGGCTGACGCAGGGTATATGTAAATTTGGCCGGAGTAGTGTCAATGACTTGTCCAAACACTTTATCTGCGTGCCCGGCGTAGTACCGGAATGTCTCAGCGGTCTCGGTCAAGTCGTCGTGTAGGGAAACGAGATAGGGCTTTCCATTGTCGCAAGTCTCGATGGTGGCCAGAGTCTCCTTGTTTACTTCGACAAGGGCGGCGAGTTTGTTCATCAGTTTACCACGCTCAATGCCCGGCATGTCTCGCCAAGTAGAGTTGTTTAGGGCTGCGCGCGCAGCTTTAACAGCCGTGTCAACATCCTTTGCTGAACCAGCATAGACAGACGTGATTTCCTTCGCTGTTCTGTATTTTTTTTTGTTTGACTGATTAGGATTATCCAAATTTCAAAGCTCATAGGATGATAACTTACGTGGGGTTGATGCTGGCGATCTTATCGCCCTCTGATGATTCTACCCATTGATTGTTGATGAACAAGCCGGTGGGCTGGATCCATGTGCGCCCATTAGGGCCAGTAAGCTGAACAGACAATGGCATAATATTTGTAAATCTTGAATCCGTAGCTTTCGTAAGAAAATATAGAAAGTACGGCGAACAGCTCTTTAAAGTCATGATTCAAATTAATATCTTACTGATAAGAGCTTCGGCAAGACATTCCGAATGAGGAAAGGCGAAGAATAAGATCCATTTTGGATCCACTTCAGATCGAGCTAGTCCTAAAGTAGTAGGTACAGCATTGATCTGAGATCCGTCTTATCGTAATTCAAGATTACAATTGTACCTAAACTATCTGCACTCAGGTAGTGGTGGGTTACAGGGGTTTATCCTAGATATAGCTATTCAGATCGAATTATGTCAGTCTAGTGGTCTGTCACTATCCGTACAGAAGAGACTCGAGTATCGGACATTACGAGATTAGTGGCAAATATCATCTTCACGTGGTTTCCCCAGAAAAAGAGACTAGATAAGATACGCTACGCTTGCATATTTGGCATCATCACAACAATGTTACCTTCAAATTACTATTACTCAATTAATTGAACTAGAACCAAATTAGGGCAAAGAAATGAATCTCCAAAGATTCACCAAAGTAAACGACGAGAAAGCAACGGAGAGAATCGCGGAGAGTAACGTGGACATCCTAATCAGGAAAGTACATGCGGTCCTTGATCTTCAAACGTTCCATCCGTGGACTATATAATGGCCACCACACCGGGGTTGAAGAAAGTAATCATTCACATTTCTCCTGCACTTTGCAGTATTCTCTCTCACACACACCATGGCGTCTGTTATCCCCGATACCATATCCATTCCTGGTTACACAATCTTTAAGGAAGGAAGCTATGATAGCGTCGCTGCAGCTGCTATGCTCCCGACCGGCACTCCCCACCCTTTAGGTAGCACTTAGGAATTAACCAAACCACGAATTCCCAAAGCTGATTCGGTGCAGATCAACTCTCTATCTTGGAAGTCCCAAAGACTGCCAAGATTGTCCGCGAGCATGTCAGCCCTCAGACAGTCAAGTTCAACTGCATTACCTTGCGGGACCCCCTCAAGGCCGAATACAAGTCTTACCTCGCATGCAAAGCTCCTATGCCAGATCGCCGTGCCTTTGCTATCATCATTGTGCGCGAGACACAACAGGTGGCGGAGGTCGTTGTAAACCTGAAGACTGGCAAGGTTGAAGAGTACAAGGAGGTTAAGGATGTCATGCCCACTCTGACTCTAGAGGATCTCGATATTATGGAGCGTGTCTGCCGTGCAGATTCCCGTGTTATCCGCGCTTGCAATGAGCTTGGAATTACCGACATGTCTAAGGTCTTCATTGACGCCTGGGCTATCGGTGTGGATGAACGCTGGGGCTTCGACCGCCGTCTCCAGCAGGGTCTGGCCTACTACCGCATCTCCGAATTTGACAACCAATATGCTCACCCTCTTGATTTCTCCGTTGTCGCCGATACTGAGAAGGAGGAAGTTCTCAGCGTCGATATCCGCTACGTGAATGGAGAGCGTACTGCCATTCCCCTCAAGGAGCACAATTACATGCCCGAGTTCATTGGCGACAAGTACGTTCACGACCGCCTCAAGCCCATCGACATCACCCAGCCCCAGGGTGTATCCTTCAAGATCCGCGGCAACGAGATCTCATGGGCCAACTATAAGATGCACATTGGATTCAACTACCGGGAGGGTATTGTCATCTCCGATGTTCGCACCCACGACATGTACGAGGACCGCGAGCGTACCCTCTTCAACCGTATCAGTGTCGTCGAGATGGTCGTCCCCTACGGCCAGCCCGAGACTCCCCACCACAAGAAGCACGCCTTCGATGTCGGTGAGTACGGTACCGGACTCATGACCAACTCCCTGAAGTTGGGCTGTGATTGCAAGGGTGCTATCCACTACATGGACGGTATCATGTCCACCGCCAATGGCGAGGCTGCCGTCATCAAGAACGCCATCTGCATTCACGAGGAGGACAACGGCCTGCTGTACAAGCACACCGACTACCGCGACGGAACCGTCATCTCGGCCCGTGACCGCAAGCTCATCATCTCGCAGATAATCACTGCTGCAAACTACGAGTACGGCTTCTACCACACCTTCACCCTCGACGGCACATACAAACTCGAGATGAAGCTGACCGGTATGCTCAACACGTACTGCCTGGCCCCCAGTGAGGAGGCTGCTCCATACGGAACCCAGGTCGCTCCCCAAATAACCGCCCACAACCACCAGCACATCTTCTCCCTACGCATCGACCCCGAAATCGACGGCACAAACAACAGTGTCGTGCAAAACGACGCTGTCTCCACGGAAGCTCCCGTCGGCTCGCCTGAGAACCTCTACGGGAACGGCTTCTACAGCAAGAAGACCCCGCTCCGTACATCTATCGAGGGCGCCGCAGACTACTGCTATGAGACACAGCGCACCTGGGACATCATCAACCCTAACCGCATCAACCCCATCGCCAAAAAGCCCATCGGCTACAAGATCGTCAACCCCAACTGCCCCCCTCTCCTCGCCAAGCCCGGTAGTGTCGTCTACAAGCGCGCCGGCTTCGCTCGTAAGCCTCTATGGGTTACCCCGTACAAGGACTACGAGCTCTTCCCGGCCGGCGACTACGTCTGCCAATCCACCGGCGATGAGAACCACCCGCACAACCCCACAATCGTGGACTGGGCCAACCGCAACGAGAGCATCGAGAACACCGATATCGTCGTCTATCTGCAGTTCGGTCTCACTCACTTCCCCCGCGTGGAAGACTTCCCCGTCATGCCTGCCGAGCCTGTCAGCATCATGCTCCGCGCATCAAATTTCCACGAAAAGAACCCTGGTCTTTGGGTTCCTCCTTCTGCTATTTGTGTTGATACCGTTTCGGCTAATGCTTTTGCTGCTTCGACGTCTTGTTGCTCGAGTAATGCACCTACTAGCGGCTCAAGATTATAAAGTGAAGTGACAATATTAACAAGACGCATTGATTTGATGGATATGGCGTTTTTGCCCTTTGAAAAGTCCTTCGTTATGACTCATGAGTTCGTTTACAGTAGCGACCACTATCGCCTTCCATGTTGGACAACATAAAGAAGCTCTTTCAACCCCTAATCACATGCTACGCTAATCCAACTGTGGTTATCCTCGTATTTGAGATTCTGTACCGAGGCGGATGGTAAGGTACTAAACAGGAATTTTTGAATTGGGTAATTTGTGCATGTATTATTATAGTTCCAATAATACGCGTCGCCTACCATGACGCCGCTTCAACACAAACGTATCAGCTCTAGCATCAACACCACAAACGCTGCAGAATGGCATGAAATTTCGATTACTGGCTGTAGTGACTATGTTCAATCGAGATTATTGTATATAAGAGACGAATTTATTGGATCACTTTCCGCATGCTGCCGAGCGAAGTCGCTTTTTACCCCAAACGTAGAGAAATTGTGTACGGAACCCACGGCCATGATGGAATAATTGATTCCTATGGATAGGCTTCAGCTTAATATTAAATCTCCAATACCTAACAAATTTAACCTCTTTACGAGTCGCTGGGTCTTATCGTGATCTGAACCCAGGGCCTTCTCGTAGCCTGCCAGTGCTCGCTGGTACATCTCCTCGGCCTCATTCAGCTTGCCCTGATCAGAGTAGAGAAGACCGAGATTGTTGACTGTATCGAGAGTAGATGTATGGTCTGGACCTAGGGCCTTCTCGCAGCCTGTCAGTGCTCGCTGGTACATCTCCTCGGCCTCATTTAGCTTGCCCTGCTTCCTATAGAGATTGCCGAGATTGTGGACTGTATCGAGAGTAGATGTATGGTCTGGACCTAGGGCCTTCTCCTTGCCTGCCAGTGCTCGCTGGTACATCTCCTCGGCCTCATTCAGCTTGCCCTGATCAGAGTAGAGAATACCGAGATTGTTGACTGTATTGAGAGTAGATGTATGGTCTGGACCTAGGGCCTTCTCGCAGCCTGTCAGTGCTCGCTGGTACATCTCCTCGGCCTCATTCAGCTTGCCCTGATCAGAGTAGAGAAGACCGAGATTGTTGACTGTATCGAGAGTAGATGTATGGTCTGGACCTAGGGCCTTCTCGTAGCCTGCCAGTGCTCGCTGGTACATTTCATCTGCCTCATTCAGCTTGCCCTGATCAGAATACAAAATCCCCAAACCATGATATGCTCCCCACAACACACTATTATCGCCTGAACAACCAAGATAACGTAAGTAATTAGCGTGTGGAATAAGCCGCCGCTGAAGCTCCGAATAGCCCCTATCACTTGTAGTAGGCACAGCGTATCCAACAGATATCAGCGCCAGTTCATTAAGCTGCATCAAATCCATATTTTTATTTGTCCTGCCAATATGAAGGCACCACTCTTGTACCACTGGATGCATTGCATAGCTTCCTTCTTGTTGCTTACTTTCAAGAAGAGAGAATCTAAGGAGAGGCTTCACGCTAATTTTGAACGCGAGTCCGCTTGATATAGTCCTTTCGAACCAAACTGGGACATTTAGGCTATCATAGCCACTCTCCAGTAACTCGTACCAGATATCTCGATTATCAAAACAAGCAAGTAGCAGTAGAAGGTCTGCTGCATCTGGGTCCCGCTTCTGGATCTCAAGATATGAGACCATCCACGTTTGTAGTATATTGCCTTGTTGGTACTGCCGACCAGGGCTTGATTGCGACTGTAGTTCGGACCAAGATTTTCGGTAGTACTCTAAGTACTGAGTGATGCTGGTTCCAGTTTCACGCATAAAAGCCCCAGCTATGATAATTGCTAAAGGTAGTCCATCCAGACGATTGGCAAGTGTTATTATATCTAAATAGGTTAGTTTGATCTATAAGATCTATTCATAGAGTGCCTAAGTACCTGGGTCATTCTCAAGTTCCCTTATAGCGTTTTTGGCTGATAGACCGCTACTTTGTAAAAGTAGTTGAATTGTGTTATGAGAGTCAAGTCTGTGCACCGGAAACGGCTTCCCTAGCTCACTTAGCCCCGGAAGTCGAGATGTGATGAGAATAGAGCCATGATCTGCTGTAGGAAAGAATTTCTCAATATCATATCCATCTCCAATAGCACTGCTTAAGGGAGAGTATTGATCGACGTTGTCAAAGATGATTAGCCAGCGCGAGTTGCCCTTTAATGCTAGCCACTGTATCATATGCCTAGCTCGTTTTTCGACTTCGCTGTCATTTGTCGCCTCGTCATCCCTAGGCTGTCCTGGTACTCGGTTTAAAGCGAAGCTTAGCGATTGTACGAGTGTATCTCGATTTTTGCCACTCAGCCAAAAGATAGCCGTAAAACTATCTTTATGATCTCGCGCGAAGCGAATCGCTAGCTGTGTCTTTCCTATTCCACCAAGCCCGTGAAGAATTGCAACTTTCCGTGACGATAAATCTGTCGGTTGTAGGTGCTGCCATAGGTTGGCTAGCTCGTCTTGCCGTCCTATAAACTTTTCAATCACAGGCACTGCGGTAAGGTCTAGAGGGATAGTAAAGCGGTGACCTATATGATTGAAAATATTGTTTAGATATTGATATAAACTAGGCATCACGGATTGAAATTTAGAAAGCCTTACCAGATTCTGCCAAAGCTTCTTGAGCTGTTGGAGTACTTTCAATCTGATCGATTGGAACCACCAAGACAAGCTCTTTTGTATAGGCCGCTGCCACCACTGCCGCATATCCTTGCCATTCTTTATTTTTGTGTGAGTCCGCATAGTCGCAAATACCCCGAATCACTAGACATGGAAAGTCATTCATAAGCCCCGCCGCTTCCATTTCCACACAGTACATCCCTAGGTCCCGAGCCAGCTGATCTCGCCGTCTGCCATCTTTCACTACCTGATTTGCAGATGCAATCAGCCCATAGTGGATCGCTGGTTCTTCATAGTCTCTCGATGGCCGTAGAGTTAGTTTAGATTGATCACAATCAATACATGTACTCGATGTTCCATGGTCATATTCTGTTTGGTATAAACAGTCCTCTTTCGTTGGTCGCGCAAAGTTTGCAGCTGCCCGTGGTTTCATTGTTGCTTGGATATCAGAAATGAATTCAAGAACTCGACTATCTTCTGTAAGGTGGTGGGCTTGGAGTGCAGCGAGGGCAGTCAGTAAGACCTTGGGTGGCCGGTTAAGCATCCCTGTTCGCTGAAACCGACCGCCGCTTAACGCTTTTCCAAGATCGTATTGAATCACGCCCCCGAAAGTCTCCGTTGGCTGGCTCACCACAATATCGCCTAGTCGAATATCCGCGCCACTAGTTGGTATACCTCCACCGATACCGACCATCAGACCGAACCGGATAGAGTGGAAACTCGAGAGCAACTGTATCGCTACTGTTGCAGCTGATATATTGCCATATGCGCCACTTGGCAAACAAGCAATAACGATGTTATGATCCCCGATATTTCCCAGAATATAGGTATTGTGATCTGTCGGCGGGCGAGGTAAACTCGGGTGTATTGAATCTAACATCAGCTTTGCGGCTGCCATCTCTAGGGGTAAAGCGCATATCCATCCAACCGTGTAATCGCGATGGGAAAGAGAGGCCCTGTCCGCCATGACGAAAAAGAAAATTGTTGTGTATTGAGACTAATGGCCTATTTCTGAGTTCATAGGAAGATGAGACAAACAGATATCATGGGAGTCGAGGTCGGAAATGAATGTCAGAGCGGGGCTGAAAAATGAGGCTGAGGCATATTACTTTCACAGCCAATAGTTAATAATGTCTTCAGCGGATTGGAATTGTTGACATATGGCCTGCTCAAAGACTGCTATGTTGGTAGAGTTTGCATCGAGATTTCTAGTGTAGTCTCTCTAGGCGTCTTGCTTTATACCCTTGTATTTTTCATACTGGTTTTTTCAGCTCGTGGTGTTTATTACTTCGTTAGGTACATATTCTATTAATACAACAAGAATTTCTCTGAATTATCTTCAAGTGTAGAGGTTTTATTGGCGTGATATCGTTACATCGGTCACTTTGAGTAATGCATCACAAGAGTCTATTGAAGACGCACGCGACAACCTTGGGAACTATCCAGGAAACCTTCATATTTCCGATTCAACCTTATCCTTCTCAGGCAAAGGATCAGACTCCTGTTCAACTCCCGTCAAAAAGAAATCAAGCTCACTAGGACCACCAAGTGAATGTTCGTTTTCCGCAAGCTGCTCCAACAAAATAAGGAACGGATCAGTTTCCAAGCCCCCAGTCTCGCTACCTGCTGTATGCGAGCCACTAGTCTGAGACTGGGCACCTGGTGTTAGAGCCGTGCTTCCGGGGTAATTGAGATTGTGAGAGGTGTCGAAGGGGAAAGTAGCATATTGGAGTGTTGAGTGTGAGGTTGGGACTATGTTTAGTTGTGAATCGCTTAGGAATGCAGATGGGGAAAGGGCAAATGATGTCGTTGGTGAGAAGACGTTGAGCTGGGAAAGATTGTTTTCTGATTGTGTGGAGGTTGAGGGTATGTCTCCTTGGCCAGGGCTTGGGGTTTGGAGTGGGAAGATGGAGGAGAGGGACAAGGGTGGCGAGGCTGACTGAAGGAAGTTGAAGGTTGGTGAGAATGGTTCATTATTGGAAAGTGACTTTGAAGTCATGAAGTGTGATTTTGTTCGTAGATCGGAGTCTTGGTTTTGTGTAGATCGTATTTGAGGGTTTGACCCAGTAGAGAATGCTGGGGCTTGATATGGTGGCGCCATCGGTCGTTGGTAATAATGATCTTGTCGTTCAAGGAAGTGAGCAGCACTGGATATGAAAGTTAAAATGGCGGGCAGAAAACAAAGAGAATGGCATATTTACCCTGCTACATGATCAATCCTTGTATCTATGAGCCGAACATGAGCACCTTCTACAGTCAATCCCGGATATCGGTCTAAGAAATCCTCGAGGTGAAAGACAGACGAAAAGCGCATTGGGCTTGTAGCTAAATTGCGCACTAACTCGGTATGGCACGTATATATGATCTGAAGCAGCTCACGCTGATGCTGCACGCCAGCCCACGCATTACGTAGCCAGGCCAGTTGGTGCATCTCGCGAGTGAGGAACTCCGCACTGGACGAAAATACCTCGCCCTCTCGGCCCTTGTAGTGCACACCGTGGACATGGACCGTGCCAGCGGTGCATACGCAGTAGCTGATGAATGCAGGCCACTCTACAAGCGGATAATTACGACCCAGCTCGACGAGCTCGGCGATCGCGTTGGAATGTGAGAAGCAAAGATTTGTTGCCTCGATCTGCCATGACTGGTGCTGGCCAGTGCCTCTTAACTCCACGAGGTCAATGGGTAGGAATGGCCGGTATAGCAGACAGTGCACGAGGTGGTAGATTAACTTGCTGAGGAGCAGTGTCGTGCTTTCCCGGTGGCCGAACAGTGCTTCGATTGATGCAAAAACATCTTGCGTCCCAGCTGCCCATATGTCTAACTCCTGTCGAATCTTTGATAGCGTTGATAATGCATGCCAAGGAAAATGTGAGTCGCCCTTGACGCCGCCAGCGGCCAAGTACCGATTTGTGACTCCCAAGATTCGGGTGATGTCAATTAATAATGATGCCACGCTTGGGTGTTTACTTCGCGAGTCAACTGAGTATTGGATGTTAGGTCCAACATGAAAAAGTTCTCCTTCCATGTTGAGACCTGCGGCATGTGGTGACCAAGACGGAAGACGCAGGACAATTGAATGGTCGGAAATGAGAGACGGTCTACGAGACCCGCAAGTAATAAAGCGATCTAAGAGGTATACGGACCAGAATAGTCGACGCTTCATCTCGCGCTCATGAGGCGACATATTAGCTTTCGAGGGCACTTCACGGAACAGGTCCAGTACGACTACCATGGCCACACAATTTGCTGATCTGGGTCAGTAAACAGAAAAATGTTGAAAAAGAGCGAGAAGAAGACATACACAATGTCATGTAGGCCTTCTTCCCTAATCCATAGGCGAAGAAAGTCTGCGAGAGCAACAAGAGCGTCTGCAAGCCATCTATCGAGGGGTTGTCCACGTCAACCATTTGCCGCGCTTGTAAACCTGCATCCAAGCCCTGTCGCAGTAATTTTTCTGGCTCGCCGATGGCGTATGTGTATCTAGAGCGCATTAGTTGCCTGATCTCATCGGAGGCTAGTTCTCATGCCTACCTCGTCGTCATAGCCGAGATGGCCAAAGATAGATGCGTTGGTAGCTGGTTCGACTGATATTGCTGTCGCGTAGTCGTTTCATCGACGATGAAGAAAGGCTTGCCATGTATTCGCGCAAAATACGTATCAAGAAGTCCAACTGACAAAGCGCCATTTTGTGATGGCGATGGCTGCTGAAGGTTATATGCCGAAGTAAAGCCCGTCGGACTGTGAAATGGCTCTCCGGACTGAGATATTGGAGTTGATTGTGCCGGTATCGAGTCCTTGGACGAGTATAGATGGAAAGAGGAGGTATTAATTGTATTGCGGCGCGCCGGTCGGTGGTTCGAAGGTAGTAGATCGACTGTTGCGTCTGGAGTGGGTGAGCCAGGATTTTTCTCATCCTTCAGTCTTTTTTCAAGGCCGTCGACACGTTTTAGCAGCGCTTCTAGCATCTCGCTCTTGGGGCCGCGTTTTTTGGGAACCGCATCTTGAGAAAAAGGATCAGATGGTGGTTTGATCGGCCCGCATTTGGGGCAACAACTCACCGTATAGACATGGTGTCTGGAAGACTTTGCAGGCTTCACAGCTCGGTCGCAGGCGATTGCATTTGATCTAATTGGTTCAGTTAGTACAAGACTAGCACTGCGGGGGTGTTCGTAGCAAAAAGCACCTTTCTTTTGCGACAGGAGTTGCAGTTCATAGCCTCTCTCGGCTCTACCGTCGCACGACGAGGCGTGAGACGGTCGATACTGACCTGCAAACGAGACATAGCTCATTGAGATGAAGACATGGAAGACGATTAACTGATGGACAGAAAAGTAGTATGACATAGTGGGCGATTCAGAGCAGGTAGGTCTAGTCCGAAATAGTAAAGCCGGGGTAACAGTTGCGGAGAAAAACCCGAGAAAAGCCAAGCCATCAGGCACTTCAAATAAACCTCGGTAAAGCCTAGTTGTATCGCTGCTTTAGTCTCTTACTTCTCACATGAACTTGTGTTATTATCCGACTTCATTTATCCAAGCGAACTGACCTGATTCTCTCTACCCCGCTCATCCTTCATCCTTCGTGCAAGACTTCCCATCACCTTTCCTATCACCTTTCCATTGGTCTGCATAAGAAATGTGGCGTCTTATGCTCTACACTGAAGAATATCTATGGCTAAAATAAAGGCCGCCCTGATGCCATTCGCACAAAATCAAAGGGAACATTCTGCCCGACTAAAAGCCGTAACGTCTCAACAAGAACAAAAGGACTGACATCTTCTAATCCATAAGCCGTCCACCCTGCACTAGCAGCTACGCCCAATGGATCCCCTGTCCGAGGCCCAATAGTCAAATCAAGGTAAACTCTGCCCCGCGTTGACTGAGGAGTAGGAGTAGAGCGGCCGCTACTACTATAATGCCGCAGAAGAGGCTGTACGAGCAGCGATTTCTTCGGTGGCAAAGCTGAGACAATCACAAACGGCTGCTCCACCAGCTTCACTGATTGGATAGATGTAAATGGTTCCAGTCCTGCTGCAAGAGGACCAACCGCCTTGAAACCAACTGTATAAATGGTTCCTATTCCGAGACTACGTAGTGCAAAGATCGCAGCTGATGCGTCGGTTTCGGATCCGGCTAATATGATCGCTGCCCGTTCACAGTATGCTGATGGCACGTACTCTCGCGTTAGAGTCGCCCGGATGCCCTTCCATGTGGCATTTTCTCCGATGAGATGGGGTTTGTCAGTGTTACCATCTCCTTGTAGGTTCATGGCGATTGTATCCACCAGACCGATGGCACGCGCCGCGTCACTCACAGACGGGAGCAAGGAGGTGGAACTAGAGATGGGCGGGTTTACTGAGGCACCACCGAATTGAGGCTGCGTGATCACAGACTCCATGACACCCTTGGGACCACGGTCAATGGAGGCGAAAGTGTGCGGCAAGCCAAGCTCATTCAGACATTTCTCCATGAACATGGAGTGGGGCGTTGATCGAAACGAGCCAATCGCATATAAGTCACGTTTAGGTAGCTGGCCCATGATGTGCATAGCTTCGTTGATCTCCGCTGCAGTTAGCTGACCCGGAGCTGCAATCATGGGCAAGAGGGGATGGGTAATGGGCGAAAAGACTGTATTGAGTGCGCGAGAGAGTTGGCCCATCTGTCCCATATTCACGGCAGACAACAATGGGCCAGGGCCGCGGCTTTTGATTGTCGACCGGAAGTATTCCAGCTCGTAGTTCGCCTGAGTTGTGCTCACCATCGCAATCATCTTGACGATATCTGCATACTTGGCACTCTCAGCGAATATGCGCTGCGCCTCAGGTGACGTCCACTGCCACGTCGCTGAGAAATCATGGAAAGCCGACATGATGATACAATTTCCTTTCACCTCAGACAGTTTTCGCCTGATCTCCTCTGGAAGCCATAGTTCCACGTCGACGTACTCAACACCCCATTGGATCGCTCGTCGCAGATATTTGTAAAACAACATCGGGTCATCCATAGGAAATTTGCCATTCTCTTTCGTGCATCGAGTCGTGAATATGATCGGCAATTCAGTTTGTTGGCGCAGAAGCATCAATTGCTGGCCTACGTACTTGAGGCTAGGAACTGAGTCAGCTGCAGCCTCATCCAACCTAGGCTCAACGAGCAGATCAACACGAATCTCCACGGCATCCGAGCCCACGGACAGAATATCCAAATTGGGCAATGCAGCATGAACATCTGGGAAAGTGGTCGATATAAAATTCGTCCGGGTTTTCGTGCGCAATTCCTCGTGAGGTCTTGTCTGGCCCAGAATCAGGGACAAGAAGCGGGTTAGATCACGCCTTAGACAAGCGCTGCGCGAGTATAAAAACTCGTAGTCGCACCGGTCTGTAAGTCGGTCTTCCGGAGCAGACCCATCTTTCACGCAATGTGTATTGATCAGTATTGTAGCCGATCTGTCGCATCGCTCTAGAAATTTATCCAGATCTTGCGCCAAAACTCCGACAAGCCCTATGCCTTTATCTAATGTAGCCAGGGACGTCTCTAATGTCCAAGGTTTGCCTAGCACATCAGCGACCAGCTGTACTATGTATTCCTGATCTGACCCAAACACAATCACAATATTTGCCGTGAGATCCTCGACAGATGAAGCTGGTAGAGCTTCGGAGGATGCTCCAGTACGAGAAACAGAGATAGGTACGGGGGTCGAGATTATTGAAGAGATGTTGAGAGCGGAGGAGCTATTAGGGCTGGTGGAGGAGGTCGGGTGTGTGAGAGTCGCAGGTGGTAATGGCGTTGCCATGGGAAGGGCAGTTGGCATCATCACAACGCAGGCCTAAGCAATTTCATACTTGGATAAAACGGGTGAACGACGAGCCCGAAGGGAAGTGAAAGCTGTAGTCTACCTAGGTAGTGTATGAATAGCCAGCATCAAGTCGTACGAGCTTTACGTTAAGCACTGGGTAGAGTAAAGAGTGAAATTGACTGTGCAGAGCTCAGATGAAATTCCAGAGATCAGTACAATGGCCGTCCAGAGGGGCCTTATGCATGGAAGTAACATCAGGAAGAATTGGTGGGTTTTGCAATGGCAGAACGAGGATGAGAATCGCGGGGGAAGATTGGTTGACGGGGATGCATTTCTCCGCCAATCAGAGGCCGTAATTTGTAGATCGAATGTTGCTTCTTGAAGTATTAGTTGATTATTCAATAGTCTAACGTATTATCTTCGATTTACAGAAGATATGCCATGCTTGATTTCAAGCTCAAATGTAGCAATGCCTCATCCTGGGGCTGATTGGTATGGATAATCCTCCTTATTTCAACATCCGCGTAAAGATAATAGCCAATGAAGAAGTCTAAGCCTGTTCTCAGGATAAGCTATGCAAGGATATCCCGGTAATATCAGAATCAGACATTATGTATCATTGGAACCAATGGATAGATCGAGTAGAGTAAAGTAGCTCGTAAATAAAGCGGTCTATGGATACATTAAAAATACGAAATACTCCATAGAAGCGATACAGGTACAGCTGATGGGATGTGATATTGAGGTGAAAGAAACCCCCCTTGGCACCACTCAGACTCGACAGTCAAAATAAAGAGAAGAAGATACCAGCCGATTGAGGAGGGGTATTAAGAAGGGACTCAAAAGGAAAGCTCAAACGACAAGGAAGAAAAACCCAGATCTTTTTTGATAAACGACATATCGCCTCAATTAATTGGCCTTCGTTTTTTTTTTCTTTTCTTTTCTTTTATTTTTTCGCTTCCATTAGGCATCACGTCGGGGTAATTGCTATGTACGAGAGATCGGAGAAATCGTTTCGGAAATTTATCATATCAACAAGTGAACAAGGAAACCGTCAGATCCAGCGCGTATCTTTTGAAACATCTGGACAAGATAGCTCTGATATGGGTATGGCAGAGTCGAGAAAAATAGAGAAATATGGTGTAGTAGCATGGTGAGAAGGCGGATTTGATCCAATCTTAAGAATAGATATGGAATAAAATGGACGTGGAGGGTGGGTTAAATATCGACAGTTGAGATGATGTGTTGAAATTGTCCGCACCAGCTGTCACTCGAGAGCTTGTGGTACATCCCATAGAGCACGAAGTGGATACGACCGGCGTGATCCATGCACTACCAATCATCTAGATGTCGGGCTGATGTGAGGACATGTTCCAGATTACTGACTGGGATAATGCCAAGAGTGATACATAAGGGGCCATGCGTGTAAGAGAGGAAATGGAGGGATTGGGACGATCTCTCTCACTCTCTCACTCTCTCACTCTCTATAAATCACACCAATTAGCTTGGTGGAGATATCGCCAGGCCCCCCATCAGCTTGGGTAGTGGCTTTCTACGGGCGTTATTTGCCGTCTTGGAAACTCGAGGAGCCCCGTGGATCATGCGGGGTTCTGACATGAGACTGGAGTCCAATTTAGAAGGAGCTGTGATAAGTGATGTTAGTGGAAATTGCGATGATTGAATGGTACGTTACTCTTACCTCTTGCGGCGATGCGACTGAAGTCACTAGGGATATTATTCTGACTGCGACTGCCTGGCACGAAGAACGTGGCATTTGCAGTGCGCCAAAGATGACTTGAAGTGTCTGACAGAAAGGTGGTGGTCATACGACCGGAGAAGATCGATGCACGGCCACGATTACGCTTGGAGAGAACGATCTCATCGAAGAGAGCCATTTTCGAATCTTTGGTCTTCGGGTTGGTTCTCTCTCGGTCACTGATGAATTCATTGAATCCCTGTGTCTGTTGCAAAACGGTCATGTATTCAGCATGCTCACTTGGCAGGCTCTTAAGGAAGGCGTCCATGTTGAAGCTGTAATATAGCCCCGCCTTCTTCTTGTCACCACTGGCTGGTGTGAGGAACTTCTTGTACGTGTAGAACAAGCTGGCAAAGCATCGAACAAATGCTGCACGGACTTGATCAGGGTGGAAGGCAGCTTCACAGACTAAGCAGACCTGCGAAGCACAACGGTTGTGAACGATCAACTTGCACGCGGTACACTTGAGCATATTATCCTCTGCTTGCTCGTCACAGATACTACATACCAACTTCTCATCCCACGCTTGAGTCTGGAAGTAGTGACCCTCGACCCAGCAAGTTCCCTCCGCATTGCTGACTGGCTGTACAAAACCCTGGGGGACAATCGTGGAAGCAGCAATGGTGGATTGGGCGTAGACAGATGGGGCATAAGTTGAGCCCTGGCCGAATTCATTGTTGTTCATAGTGCTAACGGACAGGTTGGATGCGTGTCCAAGGAATGGCGCGCTGGGACGGCGACCACCAATTCCAAAGGATGAACTTCTGCGCGATGCCGCGTCAAAATGACCTGAACGCTTCTCACGCAATGTGGCCTGCAGTGCCATACCGGAGTCATTCCGCGACGGAGGTGTAGGTGGCGGCGGAGGGAAGTGACTGGAAGAAGGAGAGATCTCCCTTGGAGAAGGGGGAGAGCCAGTCATCCTAGGCGAGCCGTTGCCAAATCGGTCATTGCCCTTGGATGAATATCCACGCGAGGAGCCATGCTCTTGACGCGCATGCAAGAAAGCGTTGAATATAGGTGGTTGGCAGGAATTGGGAGGTACGGCACTGGAGCCGAATGCGCCGGAATTGATACCCACATACTTGGCAAGATTGGTTGCCTGTGCTTTCGATGTGTATGTCGCTGAACTTTCCGACATGAACATGTCCCACGGATAAGTCTCAATCGCGTAGGCAGGAGGGCCGGTTGGGACGCCGCAACGGGTGTGGTGAGGAGCAGCCAATTGCAAAAGCGACAATAGCTTCCTGCGCTGGTGACGAGGAAGTGAAGTTGGGCGGATTGTGCTCTCAATCATGTCACAATCCAGATCCACGAGAACAAAGTCGTCGGTCGGAAGCTCAACCTTTTCATATCGACGCTCAATTCCTACGATGTATGGGCAGGGTGCTTCGAGAGCCTGAATCAAACGGGCAGGAAGAACTGGAATCAGCACGCCCGTCCATTGGATTGGGAACAAAAGATCTACCAAGGCTCTGGTCGCGAGGTAGAGCATGGAGGTGTGGGAGGACAGGAAGATGATGCGTGAATCTGTCAAGGCATACTCAAAGAGAATGACGATGTTAGGGACTGAAAGGGTTCGGAACAACGCATATAGATCGGTATTGCGCGATCCTGGAAGCTCATTAGTTGCTTCCTGTCGAGCAAATAACCGCAACTCTCGAATTGCGAGCTCGACTTGTGTTTTGGAGGACACCGGACAGAACGCCTCAGTGCAAAGATTCATCACATAGCGCTCCAACGGTTGCCAGACACCCATTCGTGTTGAGGGAGCTGGTACATGTTGAATACCCTCTGTCATGGGCACAACGATGGCTTTCAACCACTCCTTCCAGAAGCTGGTCATTGTGCTCTCCCGGCCAAGGATACCGTACGCGCGGGGAATCCAAAATCCAGTATCACCGTCCGTCAGACCCTCGATCTTTGATGCTGCACCATGACGAACAGGACGCAAAAGATCGGTCATAAGCCCAATTTTCTCTTCCACCGCACTAATCTCATCCTCGAGCCTTTCACGGGATTCCGATCCAGACACTACATTCGGTAATTGGGCAAGCAGTTGTGACAGCTTAGCCCGCTCAGATGCCAGTCTCTCGCCCAGACTCGCTGCCAACTCGCGCTCCTCGTCCGTCATATTATCCCGTCGCCATTCTTCGCAACGCCTTTCGAGTTCATCCGCTGCTTGGTGATTCAGAGGAATCCAGATGATCACGCATATTGCATGTAGCTTGTTACCGTTCTCGGTGGTCATGGCAAACCCGTGCCAGGTAGATCGCGGCCGTTCATCGGAGGATACGATGTTGATATCGTTCGGGAATGCAAACATAGGAATGTAATCGGGAAATTTGCCGCGCTGTTTCAACTCATCGGTCATGCCTCTGGTAGGGTATCGGTCGAGCAAAACGGGTTCAAATCGGCGCTTCAACGGATGCATCGTAGGGGAAATTTCGAGGGGTTGCGGAACTGGAATCACCGAGTTGTAGTTACTCAATCGTCGCGAAGTTCGCACAGAAGCTGGGTCGGGTATTTTGGTCAGTATATTTGGCACTCGGAGCGATTACTGTCGCGTGATCAAATCAGAATCGAAGCTATATTATTTCACTTACATTGGCGGGCAATTGAAGGCTGTCGCTTCATACTGTTCATATCTCTAAAAGCCATGTGTCGTCGTACACTCCCGATACCAGATCTAAGGAGGCCAGAGCCTTGCGACGGCGCATCCTCGGCAACAATCTTCTGAGTGCGCACGCGAGATCGCGGGCGCGAAGTCGGAGTAACGACGCCTGCGCTAACATTCAAATCCGTCAAAAAGACCTCTCTCTCCGAAGAGAACTTTAGCAAGGCTGAGTCGAAATCGAAATCCTCCGAGAACAAAGCGGAGCTTCGAAGTGGGGAAGACGCGCCTCCTTTAACGGTGACACTGCTTCGGTTGCTGTTATTGCCGCCGTTGGTTCGATCCGAGTCTTTGGATTGAGTGGATAGTCTCTGCGAGGACGCGCGCCGAGTGGGACCTTTTATGATCGTTGAGCCGGGGCGGCCGTCTAACATGTCGTGTTCCTCCTCGGCATCGGCATCCTCTTGAATGGCGTCTGCGAGTGCCGGACCGGGAATGTTGTTGGCGTTGTTTATTATGCGATAATCGTCTCCCAGTCGCTTGTAAGTTTCGAAGACCTCTGAACCGTCGACACCAGCTATCCAGAAGTAATCTGCTAGAGGGGCCCCCTCCGAAGAGGCCGTGGCGCTGGAAGAAGGCATTGTATGATTGTCGCAAACACCAAATACCCTAGTCAATTGCCACCGAGATCAAAGGAAGTTGTTACCACATCAATCGCAGGATATCTCGTATCAATCAGGGGTTTTTTGAAAGTCGCGAAGGAAAAGGGAGTTGTCGCGGGGGAAGAGAAGAAAGAATTGATAATCGTAAATTTACCAATTTAGCAATTTGCCAATTTCCCTAATTTTATTTAATTTCTCTTTTTTTTTCTCTTAAAGAAAAGAAAAGGGAGAACCGGAGGGGTTGTTGAAATGTGAAGGAGGGGTTTAAGGAGTGAAGATCAAAAATGGGTGTAGATGGTAAGTGGAAGTGGTAATAGAGGTGAAGGGGAAAAAAAGGAGAGGATGACGTCCCATAGAACTAATACCAAATGTCACCCAAGTTTTTAAGGGGACTATAGAGATCATTCCTATCGGATGCTTACTAGAGAATTATCTATTTACTGCTAAATAAACTGCACAGACTACTTTTTTTTAATTTTTTAACTGTGCACCCGAGCGGTTCCCCACTCATCTATAGTCAACTCTATTCTTGAAGATTCTGACTCTATATCGTACTGCATATAAATTACTGCTTATATCGTACTACATAGGAATTACTACTATGGGGTATTCCCCAGATGACCAATACTTTGATGGTTCCATGGATTCAATGGATTGGATTCAACGGCTTATCATTCTTGAATCCGAGGCCAGTCTCACGCCGAATCCGGTCTTTTAAGACTTCAACAGTTGATATCAAGACACGAAATGCCAGGTATTTTCTTTTTTTTTTTTTTTTCTTTTTTCTTTTTTCCCTTTTCCCTCTTTTTCATTTCTGACAGGCTGTCATTAGTAAGACATGGCTTTCCTTCTCGGGTTAGACTCGCTGATCAATTTGCCCTGGTCAACGGGGGGTGGTAGATACCTGAGTCAGGTATGCCGAGTCAGAATAAGAAGGTTATGATCTTTTATATTCAGTATGGCCTGAACTACAATTTAGTACTATCAACGGAGTAATTTACTAAGAACCTAGTCTGTCACTCTGCTTACTCTATCACTTATGCTTCTACTATTATACTCCCCCTTACTTAAGGGTCAAGCTGGTGGGGCAAACTATCTACTACGGAGTAAGTAAAACGCCCTCAGCCGGTAACACTAGGACAGTTACTAGGATGATACCAGAATTATCTACGACATACCTCAGTAGTTTACTCCGTTTACTCCACTATCTATACTCACATTCAGTAGACGTTTACTTATCTGCCTAAATACACAGTAACTATCAGAATCTAGCGAATTTCAAATCTATACTCCCCCTTCTCTAACATAAAAATAGATTAGTGGCGTTTTATTGCTAAATGCGGTGGCCCGGTTTGCTATGAAAAGAACACGCTAGATTATTATTGGTTTGATGTGCTAGATAACCCTAAGAAACTATCCAAATTGGGTCTATCCTGTTGGTCTAGACGGTCCATACTTGGTTATCCATACGCAACTGTCAGTGGTCCGCCAGTGTACCCACGAAGTCCAATTACCCCATACATTTATCCCTTTACAGTCAAATCTGATTTCAAAGTACCTGAACTTTGATAGTTGCATTTTCGACATGCTGTCGGTATCATCCAATTCTCATGTGACGTCAAATAAACAAGCACGAGCTTAAATGCATGCTAAAAAGCCCTTTCTCGATCCCTGTCAGTGGCGCCAGGGATGTTGCAAGGGGTTGTGGCGCCGGAGATACAGATCGCAGAAGTTAGAATTATGAGAGTAGGGCTAGACTCTGTCCATTCAACGCTTATTCAGACTTGCTGCATGTTTCCTCTTTCCCGGGAATATGATTGCGATCTATTAAGGATCAGCGTACAAGCCTTGCCTCCTGTATAAGGCCCCTACAACCAATGAATATGTCATTTGTACCCGGGAACTTGGCCTAGATGTGATTGTACGGCATCGGAAGCGACCGTCGGGCCCATACCGCGTTTCAGGTACGTTTCCGACTCATCAGATTGCCTGTCGTGAGGAATCCCTTGTCTCCAATAGAACCGCGCCATTCAATTGACAATTGGCCCAATGTAGCGCGGCCATCCCGCCGGAGATCTTTCTGAAGGGCTTCGAGGCCGTCATGTTGGCCTTCCTCCTGTTCCACCAAGAAGGCCACCTGCAGAACATCACGTGGATTCAGAGTGGGAGGCGCCGCAGCGTCAGGGCCCATCGTCTCCCAGTTCAAGGATTGAGATTTGAACGGTGGCTTGGCGTTCAACTTAGTTTGCTAAATGCCATCAGCTACAACGACAACAGATATTGGGGATATCGTCGCGACGATATATTGGAATGACGTACCTTGACCACCACTGCGCCGTCCCCAACATTCTCCAGCTGAGCCTCTAGGGCAAACCGGAGCAAACGACTTTTCCCGTATGGACCGAGAGATTTGTTGTCCACCTCCAAAGGTGGAAGTTCCGATGCTTTAGTCCGAACGCTGAGACATGGCTGTGCTACAAACTGATATAGCTTACGGAAAGTCCGGACACGACCACTAGCAGCTTGAGAGTCGTGCCCAATCCTTGTCTCTGTGTAGCTGACGCTGACAGCTAGTATGTGATTTCCTTCCTCCTTGAGATCATACCGAACAATCTTCTGCAACGATTGACCAATCTGTAGACCATCTGATTGCGCCAAGTCACTCGATGGGTCTAGCTCAAGAACTGCCACAGATGATGGGGTTTGCATCTCCGCGACAATGCGGACCGAAGTGACGACTCGTCCGGTTTCATCTCCGCTGATTTCGTTGTTTGCGCTGAGTGTACATGCAAAGGTTTCTCCAACGTAGACTGATCCGAAGGCAGGTGGGAGGGTGAGCTAGGTCCATTGTTAGCAAAGAGCACCGTAGATAAAACGCTTGTCTAGAGTTACCCACAATAGGTGTGATAATGAATTGATTATCAAAGTCTGCAGATGGGAAGCTCAAAGAGGCTTTGGCGGAGATCTTTGTATTGGCGGTTGGGAGGGGGGATTGATAAGCCAACGATGGTCGAGAGAGACTGGGAGAGATCAGACATCCTGTTCGTATAAGATCTATCACCAGAATAATGAACATACCGTAAGACTATTTGAAAATACCACTGTTAGAGTTGGAATTCCTTTTCTTCTCTTTCCATAATGTATATACACCATCAGACTTACATACCTTTCAAGGAGACCGCATGAGGTTCTTTCGGAGCTTCAGCGTTCGACACGGCTCGAGGGCGTACCATAATTCAGGTGAGGTGGTTTGAGATGAAGAAGGAAAATCTTTTTTGTAGTTTTGACCTTGAAGGCACTGGAGTGCTGTCAAAAAGTCATATTGAATAGTCAAGTGAACTGCTGAACTGCTGTTGGCTGATAGCGATAGTGCTCTTTAACAAACAGTGCAAACTCTGGCAATACTCCGTAACCGGGCCTTACATACTTAATTTCAGACCCTACACGAGGGTCCCCAAATGGACTGTTTTTCTAAATTTCTACAACCACCACTCTACTAGAGATATATATATATATATTTCATATAAAGATAGTATGAATTAGAGACTAAGCTATAGTTAAAACTAAAAAGAATTCTTTTTTAAGCTTTTTTCGATCTTCCATGCTTCCTAATCTCAACCAATACCTTCTTCCACTTCTGTCGTATCTTATCTTGATGAGCTTTTTCATTAAGCTTGAACTCTTTTAGCTTCATATCTTTGACTTGATCAGAAGTAATGATGCCTGTGATCCTTGTGTAATGATGAGAAGCACTATATCGGGCGTGGCGTGCTGCCATGATATCTTTTGTGTTGTCAAATCCCCGCTGTAATTCTATGGCTAGAGTAGCCTGAGCCTCTAAGTAGGTAATAGATTCACGATTGATGACAGAACCATTGAATAACTTCTTCTTTGGCTCTCTTGTAATGATCTATTGGTCTATTCTAACACTAATTTGGAAGCTAGTCTCGTCAAAGTTATAGATATCCTGTTGACAAATACTATATTTTATGATGACACGTTCAGTCTTTAAACCATCGCTCAACATCAATTGCTTATCAGCGTCGACGATGGTATTCAGGATGACGTTTAAGGAAGCGCTTTAACCAATGGTCGCCGATTTGTGGTGGTTTTGTTGTTGGGTCTATATGGGCCTCTGTAAGAATTGAATTGGCTGCAATTTCAATTTGCCCGTGACTAATTGATACTCCTGCCTTACCAAAGCGTTGTTATATTCGCAAAGAGCTAATTCATAAGCACAGTTAAGCTTACGACCATTAGGTTGTCGTTCAAATAGTGATTTTCCACCATGCCAACGCCGATGAAGCCGATCGCAAGGAACCGCGAATTCTCGTGCAGTTTTCGTAATATTTAGTTTTGATTGATATGGGGGGATTTGAGGGCTTTAATAATCCTATCTTCAATGTCTTTATTACCTGAAGGCATCTTTAGTGGAGTGGTGGTTGTAGAAATTTAGAAAAATTGTCCATTTGGGTATTTAAGGTCTGAAATTAAGTGTAATTTATGTAACATATGTAAGGCGTTACCACGTACCATTGAGGCATTAACTCAAGGTGGAGAACTCGTTCACTTATACTTCCCAGGTTGATCGAATAATATTTTCTTTTTCTTCCAATGTTTAAAACTGGTGACAGGAATATCCAATTATGACAGACTCTTCAATTAAACGGATCTATCGTTTTCCATAAGTTCGTGATGACGTCAAATATAGCACCCAATCCCCCTTATACCTCCTCCACTTCATTCTCTTCTTCCAACATCGAACGCTTCTACCACATCAGTTGATAACTCTACTATCTGGAAATTATCCACAGATATTTTGTGCCCAGTATTCAACTTGCATAGGTTGATTAAACATGCAGTCACAGAGGGTAAGCTATGAAACCATGGGTCCATACCAGATTCCTAGCCAGCTCCGGCGTTGTAGAAGAAAACACTTGAATATCTGAATTTGACTGATAACAGCCACAGACTCAGCAAAAACGCAAATCAAAAGTCGTTGCTGAACCGTCTCATGGCCATGAGTCGCCAGAACCGGAACCTGTCAGAAAGAAGCCGAAGGCTCAACCTCGCAAGAAAAAGATTTCACCACTAAAAGACAAAGAAGAAAAACGTGCACGGAGGTTCAGATCTCATGCTCCTCAATCATTCCTTGAGCGCTTGGACAGAATTAGAGTCCAGAGGTATGTGTATCGTGCTGTTGTGTTGTTCTGAACCCTCTAACGAGATCTTCAAGAATGTTTGTAGTCGCGCATCAAGTTCAAATTCAATCTCAAGCTAGTGCAGATGAGAATGCAAATCAAGGTGTCCCGGAGTTTTACTTCACTATGGTCGGGACAACCGGCAATATCTACAAGGTTACTATCGGGAAGGTGCCAACTTGCGATTGTCCAGATGGAGAGAAGGGCAACCAGTGTAAACACATTTGCTACGGTAAGTTTCGGAGCACCCGATAATGCTATACCATCATTCCTCCTATACCACTCTCGTTATACCTAAGATTTATCCTTACTAATGGCTTATGAAGTCCTCGTGAACTGCCTAAAAGCACCCCAGCATCTGCAGTATCAACTTGCTTTCTTGTCCTCGGTAGGCGACTGAAGTTTTGACATCCCTATCCAGTGTTTCGGATACTCAATCTTGACAATTTGATAGGAGCTCCGCCAAATTTATCAGGTTTATGACCGGTCCCCATTACGTCAAGCTCAGACCGCATTGGAAAATGACGATGGTTCTCACAATGATACTGAAGATGATATTTGCAAGGCCGCTGAAGAAAATCACAAGCCGGCAGATGGCGACTGCCCCATTTGCTTTATGGAGTTCAAGCCTAATGAGAAACTCGTGTGGTGCAAAGCCTCTTGTGGTAACAACGTCCACAAGGTCTGCTTTGATCAGTGGGCTGCTACAACACGCAAGTCAGGAGTTCGCTGCGTCTACTGGTAAGTCTTAGCCCACCGCATCGATAAGTTGGATCAGTTATCCCAGCTAACTATTGCTGTTCCAGTCGTGCCGATTGGGAAGTCGATGCAGCTCACATCCCTGATATCAAGACTCTCCAGAATGAAGGACCTACCAATGAAGAAGGCTATCGCAATGTTGCCTCAGCATTCGGATTGTCGGGTCAGCGTGGTATGGATCTGCCCTTGTAATTCACCCCCACTGGCTTCAGGGGTGATGTACAGATCATCAATACATAAATACTAACAAAATCGTGGGCAGATTACTCCGTATACTCATCTTTTTCAACTGCCCATCCATCGTACTCTTCTGGGCGTCGGTACAACTCCTATAGACAGGACTAGCACTGCTAGGATATGGTCTAGTCGTGCTCCGCGTCAACTCATATCTCGAGTTATCTTCATCGTTAATGCGTGCATTGGAGTTGAAAGCAAGCGGCAACTCAGATGCGAGAAGAATTTGCTTAAGCAGGTTCATTGCTTGATACCCTATACCTAACGTTACTTTGCTCCCTCTTCTTATTATCCTTCGAGTGTCCTTTGATGAGAGAGATATAGGTATTCCTCACAATAACATCTCTAATTGTGCCTATTTACCAAGTCAGGATTCATAGGTAATCCCAACATAGAAACTGAAACGTAAACTTGCATTTATATCTGCTGAGTATGGGGTATCACCGTAAATTCCGAGTCAAACCGTACACCTTAATATCAAATACGCCATAAACTAGGCCATTCAACCCGTTTTCTTGACTCGTCGACCTCCACGAACAGCAGCGGTACTAACTCCATCTTCACCCGTCATCCAAGAAGGCATGCGCTCAGGATCAACGATGCCAATTTCAGCGAGTTTGCGAATCCCACTGATGACATCCGATCCAGTGAACGAAAGAGAAAGCGTAGGTAAAGACAAACCAACAGAGCCATTCTCATCATCATCTTCTTCTTCACTAACAGTAGGTTTGTCTAAAAACCGAATATCGAGACGATCCAGTGGTGCCGGGGTCATTGAGGACCCAAACCGAGAAGAAACAGCAAGTTTCCTCTTCTTAGATGTCGGAGAAAGAGAGCCGGCATCTTGATCAGAAAACAGGCGTTTGGCTTTGAAATATTTGTGATTTAGTGGTTCCTCTAGGTTGATTGCATTCTCTGGACTCTCGCCAGCATGATTGAGACTTTTACGAGCATGCTCCTCCGCAGGGACAGTATTTGACAGTCGAGGATCCAAAGGACTTCCCTCAAGAGCGGCATCGGCAAATATACTAAACGCACCATTTGCCGCAGTTGAACGGCCAGGCCCACGAAGAGCGAGGAGTGTCGGCAGATGCTTGGCTGTCAGCCCTGTAGCATTTAGGCTATATCTATCATGAGGGCGTGAAAGAGCCTTTGGAATAGCATCGCGGACGATACGCTGCAGACTGCGCGGATCAGTTGCGACAGAGCCTTTTGGCGCAGTAGCCTTGCCTATGGATGCAGATATAGAGGTATAGACGTGGGGCGAACTGTCAGGAAACGCCACATACATGACACGGGAAGAGTCTGCAAAAATCTCAGGTGTTTGTCGGGGGGAATTATAGGGTGAATCGACGACAAAAATGCGTAAGAATGTGATGGGGAGAGAAGATGATCGAACGATATGGTAATGTGCCTTGACAAGCGGGGCAACCTCTTTCTGAAGAGCCTTGATGAAAGTAGCCGCTTGTATGCGTGGGAAAGAAGCTGACCAGTCTTCTAGTTTAGATTTGTCATGGCGCGTATCGATGCGACGAAGCTCTAGTGCTGTCCATCGCAAACCTGTCGGATGGTCGTCCATATAACGGATATCTGCCATGGCGAGCTGGCGCAAGGTGATTCCATGTCGCCAATCACCTTCGAGGATGCGCTCTAGAACCTCTCGTTTCCCGCCCTTTCGTTCTTGCAGATCCTCGTACTCTTCGCGGACTTCTTCCACAGTTTCTGCGGCGGGGTATGGAACGATTTCCTCGTCATCGCCCTCGCCTTCGCGTTGAAGATATGGTGGAAATAGTATAGTGCCTCGGTCGTCATTAAGCCATGTTAATGCTAGCTCCAGTAGGGCTTGTCGAGATAGCCTGCTTAGGTTCTTGATAAGGGACGGTGTTGTCGATGGGATACGTAGGTTGTTTGGAAGACTTGCTGTCGTTGGGGCGCGGACTATATTAGGTGGTGCCATAGCTGATTATTATAATGAAGAGAATTCCACGCATATCCGGTCAACAGGCTTGTATGATTTGGGATAGCTATGTTTTTTTCGTAGATTTCACGCGTTGAAGCATCAACATGGTCACGTGTTGATAATATTTTATCACGTGTCTCTTGATAGAAGTGGATCTTTAAAGGTCTACTACACCAACTAGCTATGTCTCTTGTCTCATTCAACTTGATATCAATCAATGACTGGAGGTGGTATGAACTCCATACAGCATTTGGATTGGAGCCCCAGCGTCACTCGAATTTGGTGTATCGAGAAATAACATGCTGTGTCATTCTTCGTTCAACATCACAGAGCAGAATCCACAGCCCCATACTTTACCCCCGTAGGCCGGAATGGGTCCCGAAATATTTCGATATTCGAGGTCCCTTTCCGATCAAATGCGACGAAAAGTATCTAGCAGATATACATAACTTTATCATCCTTTATGATAAAAAAAGGTAAGTTCTAGTAGCGCAACGATACAGGCTGAACTTTCAACTTGTTGCTACAATATTATCCATTCAAATAAGATGACCAGGCCACGATAGTCGATTAATTAGGGAGGATTTCACCACCCAGACCACCAATTTCCCGTTCTTACTGAGCTTCGCAAGTCGCACCTACTTGAGGAAAATGTCGCCGACTTCGATGATCGCTTTTTCAATTAGGACCTTATCGGAGTGTATTTATCTATCAAGGTAGGTATAGTTAGCCCGTTCGCCTCAGAAAGTGACCTATGCCACCAACGCCATGGAACCCATACGTTTGGCATACATTCAGGCTGATGATGAATTTTCTGAATGGCCCACCCAAGGTGAGATCGCATTTGTGGATGTAGGCATTTCTTGGAATACTGCCGAGGAAAATCCCTTACTCGACCGCATTAACCTCCGGATCGGTGCTGGGGAGAAATTTGGCATCCGTGGCAGGACTGGAAGGTGACTTTATTTTTTTCTTTCCATTGACTCCTAGTTTCAAGACACGCTTCCCCCAAATAGACAGACTGGACTAAACAATTACTACAAAATAGTGGCAAAAGTACATTGGGACTATCGCCCCTTCGTCTCAACGAGATTGTTTCATCGATGGAAAAGATATTGCCCTTATCAAAGCGCCGACAATTGAACCTATTATCAAGCTCACAAATAATTGATGTACTTCAATCTGTCTGACTTTGGGACTGCATTGCGATAGATCATAGCTTCACGGATGAAAAGGTTCTGAATTCAATCCTGGATAATAGCACTCTATCGCAGGGCCAGAATTAGCTGTCCTGTTTGGCCAGAGATCTGCTGAAGAGGAGCAGAGTTCTGCTTCTGGGTGAGCCAACAACCAGTTATGTTCTCGGCTTCATTCAGCAGGTGTTTTTCACCAGTTTGCATGGTAGCTGGCTATAATATTGTGTGTAGCCTGAACCACAAAGCAGATGCTCAAGTGAAAAGGTCATACGGGAGTCTTTCAGTGGCTGTACTATGATTATGGCGACATATAGAATCCAGTCTGCTTGAACTTTACCAAGTCGCTGTCCTGAATAGCGGTCAATTTGTAGAATTGGGACAACCACAGGAGTTGCTGAATAGAGCGGGTGGGAAGTTCGCGACATTACTGGAACTGGAGTCGTAAAGCGTGTGGCTCCGTTAAAGACTAACCAGCTTGCATTAAATGATTAAGTCGATACAATTTTATTCAACTGAGATTTCTATTTCAGTTACTACCAATCTTTGAAAGCTCTAAGCCCTGGAGTCATTTATATAGATAAAGTGAGTCAGAGACGCCCTATACGGGTCCGCTTTTTATATTCGGTTCCGCTCTAGATCCACCCTTTTCCTCACTCATGCCAACTATGGAACATCTTTGACAGACCTTTATCTAATATGATAGACCTTTACCCAATAAGATAGGGAATGCCGTCCGGCACTGGTAATCTATGTGACGGCCGGTTTTCCGCAGATGAAGCTAGGACTTAATAAGGATGCTTGAGTGGTCGGAGAGATATAAACATGTTCAGACTGTAGCTGATGAATTACCTATTATCGGGCATTAGGTCGGATAGGACCTATGATTTTGAACAGTACATTGCTTCAAGCTTAACAGGTCCATACTGGCTTTTAGATATGCTTCATTGCCAGGTGGCTGTGGAACATGGGAGCTGATTATGCGCTAAATTAATTGACGTAGAGCCTACTCTTACTCGGACATTTGCACATCCATTCTTTGAGCGATATTGAGATCAGTTAGATTTGAATAACTATCTACCTAGATACATTATTTGACTTCCAAGATTCACCTAGTGATGGTTTCCAAGGGTTTCATCTGGTATGCTTAGATCAAAGTAACTCGACATATTGAACAATTGAGTACAAAAACTACCCATACTGTCTACGTGTAACCTTGGGTAGTAGTAGGATCGAAGTCAAGGAAAAGAGGCAAAAAAAAAAAAAAAAGCAAAAAAAGTCAGTGCATCATCCGTGAATCGAACACGGGCCTCGTCGATGGCAACGACGAATTCTACCACTAGACCAATGATGCTAGTTGATGAATAATCTTACCATTTCTAAGATTATATAGGAGAAATATTGTAGTCTGAGTAAATCAATTACTGACGGGACCGGGAGATCATCTTACCAATGAAACCTTGGGCTGTATGGAATAAATTCGCTTATTCTAGCTTCTAGCTGTGGCTGTGGCCGAAGCCTAACAATTACCGATCACCGGCCCGGGGTCTCGGGATTTGAGCCATTTAGTATGATACGAGGGGAATAAAGTATTTCACCACTGAACGGGTCACACTACTGAACGGGTCAGTTTGACCCACTTATTTTTATGAATCCCAATAACTCCATTATTTACTATGTAATATAGTAAAAAAAAACTACTGAATGGGCCTACTAGGACAGGTTTCCCTCCTATGTCCAGGTGTCTTACATATCCCACACCGGCGTTGGGTTACAGGCGCCCTTACAGGCGCCTGGCCCTCTTGTAAATTGGCATCATTAAGTTTAGGGCCACCATTCGACGCGTCAACCAGGTCTAATCCCTCCTGAATTGTAAGACCCCCTACTACTGTTAATTGACGATTCGGACGTTCTTTTTGTTTTTTCTTTTTCTCATGGGCGGCGCGTAAATCTCTGTTTTCCAGGCGTAAGAGAGCATTCTCTTGATATAGGTAATTTGCACCCTTTACTATCTGGTCTAATGCTCTCTTAGATGGTGTTGGTGGCGTTCGAGATACAGTGCGTAATATAGCTTGGTGTTGACGTCGTAAATCTTTCTGCGTCCTAGGCGTCTTAGGTGTCCAATTTCGACTTGAATCGCTTCCTATAGAGGGTGGTGGTGGTGGTGTATCGACGCGCATAGTAAGCTTTTTTAACACCCTAGTAGGGTCAAGTGGCACGATTCCAGTTGCAGCAAACGCATTAGAAGCAGATGCAAATGCTTCAATACGCGCAGTAGGATATATCTCTAGGAAATCTCCTTTACTAATGTGGGAAAAACCAAGCTCTACTCTAGACTCAACCAGCCGAGAATAAGAGCGTTTTAACACCGCAAAACACCCAACATCAAGAGGTTGAAGAAGATGAGACGCATGCGCAGGCATACATAATGGTATAATATCATGCTCCTGGCAGATTTTGTCGAAATCAGGTGTTAAATGGCTACCATGGCCATCTAAGATCAGAAGGCGATACCGTCCTTTAGTACGAGCAGTAGCAGGTATAAAGAGCTTTTCAAGCCAACGGAGCCCTATTTGATTTGATGTCCAGCCATTAGGACTAATCTCAAGACGCCAATTAGGTGGTAAACCTAGATCAGGAGCAAACCAGCTCTGCATCATCACCTTACCCTTAAAGATAATACAGGGTGGAGGTGCGTAACCAGACGCGCCTAAACACTCTATCACAGTAACCCATTCCCGGTTACCAGGCTGTTTTTTTGCGCGTTTACCATAATAACCAGCTCTAGTAACCACTCTCGCGGTCGCACATCGTCCCATCGCAAACCCAGTCTCGTCAAAATTATAGATATCGTCGGTGGTGATACCATATTTTGCGATCGTGTTTTCAACCAGTTTGAACCAATTATTGATCACATTATAGTCCTCTTGACGCGCACGTGTAAAATCGCGCGGTGTTGAATAGGTCGTCTTAAGTTCAGGTAAACGCGTCGCAAACCTAGTAACCCAGTTTTTACCGATCGTAAGAGGAGGGTTGGTTCCGCGGTCGGCGAGTAGGATATTAGCCATTCTACCAACATCTTTAGTTCTAGGAGCACAGCCGCGATCATCTAGAGAGACGACCCATTGAAGTAATGAATCCTCTTCAGATTCAGTCAGTTTAGACTGCGGTGGGTGTGTTTCAAGACGAAATTGGACACCAGAATGGCGGCGTTGGAGGGTTGAAAATGGTATATTAAACATAGCTGCAGCTTTACGCATTGATGATATATCGCCATTCTTGTAAGCTTGGTAAGCTAATAAGACCCTATTCTCCTGATCCTGTTTGTCTTGGACATATAGAGCATTTAGGGGGGGCATGGTGGGTAGTTGAAAATGGAAACACCAGACTGACGCGTAAAATTGATGGGGTGACCCGTTCAGTAGTGTGACCCGTTCAGTGGTGAAATACTTTAAAGCGAGGATTTTTAAGGACACTTGGGCAAGTTTCAATGACCTCGGGAGGCGGTACATCTCCGCAGTCTCATGATTGAAAACCATCAAAGTAACATTGATTTCGTGATTCTTGTCGGGCATAATAATTAACTAGTAACACCAGTTAACCGCCGGGAATTAGGACCTGGTCTGAGCATTTAGGCATATGTACCTAAGTACTGAATAGTACTAGTTCAGGATCAGAACGCTTGCACCTGCCCAGTTCGCTCACTGGACCGTATGTTATGCAGCAAAACTGACCAGGAATGCCTAGCCCAATATTATTGAGGGAAGTTGCCTCCGAGCTCGGCTTTTGTCATTGTCATTGTTTTATCACCAATAAGAGATGCAGGAGAAAGGCGCGCTTATCGCTGAAATGAATTCCTCATTTTCTATGTATATGATTCTATATTGCGACGTACTCAGCACTTGATGGTAGTTAGTGAGCTTCTTATAAGAGTTAGTATAGAATAGTATACGGAGCAACAACGAGGGATATTGTGCGTGCGGCTCGTTTAACTCTATTTGGAGGGTTTCCCGTGGTTGATTTAGTGGATTGCCATCCGATGTTCGGCTTTCATTTTTCGAGTCCTTTTTGCATTGAAAGTTACAAGAAGAGAGGGAGAAATGCATGTAGACAATGAATAAATTAATGAGCAATATTCAATATGATCCTCCAATCTAAATGAAGTAAAACTTTACCAGTAACGTTTAATTCGGGTGCAGAAGGATTAATCATCAAAACCCCTCAAGACCCCACTCAATGACAAACTCGAAAGGGAAAAACCGACTTCCGGCTTTCCCCTGCCCTCTTGGACTCTCTCCCTTCTTATCCTCCGCTCATATCCATATCTATATCCACCGTTGATTCCATCGATTACTTGGAATCATTACTTCAACCACTCATATTAGACGTATACACCCTTCTCGCCTGAGTTACCAACTACCGAACGAGCCCCGCAACCGGCGCGCCCGCCACGCGAAAGCCCCGTTCTCTAGAACCCTTTAAATCGATCTTCCACGATCGCTTCGTCAGTGTCAGCTTCAGTTGATAGCACTTCATCATGGCTGGCTACAATGGGCGTCGCGCCCCTAACTTCTCGCAATACCTCGACGATCTGAATGCGATCCCGTCACCCTACGACCAGGCTCTGCAGCAACAGCAGCAACAGCAGAACACATTCACCGTCGACAATGAACTGGCTATGTTCACAAACGCTGAGTTCTTCGACTTTGATGGATTTGGTGATCTGAGCCTGCCCAACTTTGACTCGGTCGATCAAAAGCAAACTACAACCAACGAGGTCTCTGGCGAGACTGATCAAAATGGTGATATGAAATTCTTGGATTTTTTGAATGGTAAGTAAAGACTGAATTGTTGCTTATTTGTTTTGCTTTTCCCATTGGTTGCATCCCTATATGGACTGGGATTCATACTTTCTCCCCCTGCATCACACCATCTCCAGGTGAACCACGTCCACGATCAGCATGTTCATGAGACCATGCTTGCATGATTCATTCCGTCTTGATTGGCGGTGTGTTCCATCCTGTTGTGGGTTGTTGCACGGAGCTGTTCTGGGTTCGATGTCGTGTTTTGAAAGGGCGATGTGCTTATGATCTGCTCCCCCGCTGTGACGGCTGGCTCTAGCCAATTGTTTTCGGTGCCCTGCATGCCTCATGCGTGGCGCTAGAAAGAGTTTTTGGCACCCATCTTCATCTGGCAATCGGTCTGAGGCGCGAGAGATCTCCGCTATTACGCCATTTCACGTGATCATGGGGGTAGCCTTTTGGGCATGAACCTCAGTTCAACCATTTGCAATTAGCCACGCGACCACGCAAACATGCAGAGAGATAATTCCATAGAGATGCTAATGATTACTTCGCAGATGGCATGAACAACATTTCCGAATACAGCCCCGAGCTGGGTTCTTTGATGACCCCATCTATGCAAATACAGAATGCGCCATTCTCGGGTACCCCAACAGTGCCTAATGTCGCCTCGACTCCCGCCCACTCCACCCACATGAGCACACCGCAAAATGTGGTGCCAGCTTCTCCCCTGACCATCGGGTCAGCTGGTTCATCTCCTGCTGCCCCTAAGCGCAAGAGCTCCAAGTCGACCCAGGCCAGCGCCGAAGAGGCAGCCCGTAACGCCGCTGAAGAAGATAAGCGTCGTCGCAACACCGCCGCCAGTGCCCGTTTCCGTGTGAAGAAGAAGCAGCGTGAGCAAGCTTTGGAGCGTTCCCTCAAGGAAACTGCTGATAAGAGTGACGCTCTCGCCGCTCGCGTCTCTCAGCTGGAGTTGGAGAACCACTGGCTCCGTGGACTGATCATGGAGAAGAATGGAACTGAGGAGCGCGATGAGGCCTCTGAGAAGGCCATTTCCGAAATGTTCAAGAACTTCATGGCATCCCGCGAGTCAGATCCCTCCAATCTCAAGCTTGGCGTTGGCACCATTGCCTAAGCGCATATAAAAAATAAACAAAAAAATAGCAAAAAAGCCCCCAAAAAAAATCCCTCGAAATACTCCTTTGCGGTGATATTTTGCAATCTTTCTCTTGATGCTTTAAGTTGGTGGTTTCTTGTGAATTTTCTAACTTCCCAACTCATTGTCTTCCGTTTCTTGTTAATATTGGATTAAGCAATCTGGATTTTTGATATAGTTTTTACACGCAGATAGATGTGTGGATGGCTTATGCATATGATGGCAAAAGACCATGAATAATGATCATGTTACGCAATTTTATTTTATCAGACGCAGTTGAAATTTCAGCCTCGGAATTTTCCCATAGAAACATATTAGACCCATCTAAGATCTCGCAACAACCACAACTCCTCTGACAATCCCACTCTTTGCCCACCAACCAAATACCTTCCGCGCCGCACGATATTTACCCATCTTGAACCCAAATGGCTCAGCCTCTTTCACTCGCCGATCTAAAAAGTTCGACAGACCGGCAAATACATGACTAGAGATATCCGTAATCTCTATACGAGAAGAATCATAGCCTGCATCCATCAACAGCTGCATATATTGATCTTTAGGGATCATATTTCCAAAAGGAGCACTGGAAACCCAACAAAAGAGACGCAGAAGCAGACGCTGAAACCAATGAACATCGTCCTGGAGAATAAGATCAAAAGCCATAAACGAAGCATGGAGCGTATTGCAAGTATAGTGGAGAATAGGAAGACGAGAAGGGCGAAAATGATAAAGTGTATCAAGAGCAAGGAGCCAGTTAGATGTATCAGGGTCCTGCGAAGATTTGGCCAGGACCGAAATGGAATCTTGTAGGTTTTCAGACCAGCTCTTGGGATCAGAAGCATTTGCACAGAATATTCTGGGCACTGGGCCTTTTGAGGTGCTTTTCAAGGCAACTTGACTGCTTTCCACTCGCTGCTGAGCTAGTGAAGCCTGTGCAGGCTCGAGGGTTATCCCTATGTAGGTGTCGATCAGTAACGATGATTCATCTGATTCCTGGATACGAGACCGCGGGATTGAATCAGCCGAATAAGAAGTTGAAATATTTTGAAAGCTTGATGTTGATGATGAATTGATAGTGGCATAAGCGCTTTTCCGAAGGCTAGTTAGGTAGAGGGACTGGTCACCACATCCGCATCCAACATCTAGTAGCCTGACCGATTGGCTTTTTTCTTTCTGGAGGCCAGCTGCCAATACTTGGTCGAGTAGAGCTTGACAAGCCTTTGGAAATTCACTCGTCGACTGTGGTAAATTGAGTTAAATATGTTTTGTATAAATCGGTGTTGTACTGACTTCCCAGTACCCCATGTTCATCCACATGGTTTTTGGAGGTAACTCCACGTTGAGTAAAGCATGATCTAGCCCGTACAGCTTGGCGCTGGGTTTCATTATTTTTTGGAGATCACCAAGCGTGTTGAATGAGACTTGGTCAGCCAGAATTTTAGGCCTATTTTGAAGAAACTTTTAGTTAAATACCAAGTCTTGGCCGAACACAATTGGTTGGGAGATTAGTCCCTGCATACTTTATATTGAATATGCATCTCTTTAGGGTAAGCTAAGCGAGATCCATAGTAATATTAAATCTCAAGAAATCCAAGCTTTTACGTCCTGTGCGAAATGCCCTTCAACTTTTCAATTGATAGTTAAATGGCAACTTTGAAAAATACTAAGTCGAATAAGGTGTCATGATATCATGAGGCGCAAGATCTTCAAAGTTCATCGATTTCATGGATAGACTCATCGGGAAACTAACCTTTGATTGGTCAGATCTATACTTGTAGTATCCACCACTCGCCAGGTTTGGCGAGGATTGAATTTGGTTGAGACTTGCTTTCTCTTCCTCTTTCAAGCTCGTCATTTCCTGCACCATGGCCAAAAATCCACAGTCAGTCGCCGTGATTGGCACTGGCATGGCTGGTCTCATCACAGCATACATACTAAGGTCAGATCCAGGTAGATTTGATGTTGAGGTTTTCGAGAAGGTACTCGTTCCTGCAAATGTTTGAATTAGCCGAATGCTAACGAGATCTCCTTCTTCAGCAAGATAAACTCTCATTAGACTCGGCCTCAATCACGCCCTCCAATACCAACCTTTCTCACACGTCAGTCTGGGGTCGTATTGACCTACCCATGCGAGTCTTTGCGAGTGGTTTCTACGAGAATCTGAAACGAATGTATGAACACTTTGACGTCCAATTTTCCTCCCCACGATTTATTTATACCTTATCGACTGTTTCAATTAAATCAAATACTTCAATACGCCCGAAATTTATCCATTCCTCTAATAATCACCAAATTCCCCCATTGCGACCTGAGGGTCTCTCCTGGGGAAGTTGGCTGCTGGAGGTCATTTATCTAGCAATTTGCTACTACTGGTTCACGGCTTGCTGTTTCTTCATACCTCCGAGAGAGATCGAAGATTCAAATGGAGGGGAGTCGTTCCGTTCGTACCTGGAAAGGATCTACTTGCCAGATTATTACGTTCAGGAATACCTCCTCCCGTTAATGTCATGCGTAACGACCTGTACGCATAAGGCTCTTCTGAATTTCCCGGCAATCGACATCATTGACTATGAAACGAAAACTTTCCGCAAGCCTCACTATACTGTTCTTGGCGGCGTGAACAGGGTGCAAGACAAGCTGGCCAAGGGTCTCAAAGTGAGATACTGCTCGACAGTGACTCAAGTTCAAAATATCGATAACAAAGTCAAAGTCACCTGGAATGATGAGCAAAGCAGTTCGGTGTTTTCAGCCCTGTTTGATCATGTCATCATGGCCGTGACTCCAGATGTTGTCGGCGCAATCTTCACACCACTCGAATCTACAATGGCTAAAATACCCATTTCATACGTGTATACAGTGGTCCACCAAGATGTGGAAAGATTCTCAGAATGCAGGGACGCCATGAAGGAACGGATCTCTCCAGATCAAGGTCCGTTCTGTTCTCAAGCTATTCACATATGCTCCAATAACTTGGAAACAGAGTCCACGCATGAGCATCCGTCGTCATTACTTATTTCGACCTCACCAATTGTCCCTATTGACCCCAAGAAAATACTACATACCGTCACTTTCACTCGGGTTTTGCGGACCCCAACAAGTCGGCAAATCACGCGAGAAATATTTGACACCCAGTTCCCCCAAAGCTTGAGTGAGAAATCGAAACCGCAATGGCGTAATGGGGACGGCAATGTTTGGCTTGTTGGTGGTTGGTGTTGGGATGGAATGGTCATGCTCGAGGGGTGTATTGCCTCCGCTCTCCGGATTGCTGACAAACTAGATATAGAAGTTCCATGGATACCACATAAGTAAGTCATGATATCCCTGGAATTTCAACTCAATTTTTTCAACTACAGAGTTCACCTCTTTGCTGCGGGGTATGAGCTTTCAACGCGAAAATGTATATCAAGTCTAGTCATTTTCAATAATGTTTATGGTGCTCTATCAAAGTAAAAAAGTGCTAGGGTCAGTACATGTGTACCAATAAGATTAAGCTAGGGTTTCAAGGTTAGACAAGGTTGTACCAAGCATAACATCTCGGTCCCGAGATCCCGAATGGTCCGGAGAATCGCGTGTCCTCAAGGGGTTGATAGACTCTGGCACTTTAATATCCCTACCTTGGTACACATACTGAACGCTATTCTCTCTTGAATTTTAAATGATATCACACAGCTTTAAAAAAATCAACGGGTTACTCAAAGACATCGATAGGCATCTTTGATTAGGACTCGCTTTTCTGACCTTGGGATCACCTGGCATTTGTTATCCCAGTTGAACCCTTCCACCCGCACATATAATGCTAAAGTGGCTATCTGGGCCAGAAGTTGGAATGTCATCAAACTATCTAGAAGTTGTGTATGGGCCAAAGTTCATCGTCCAGCACTCTTCCATATGAAATAGCCTACGTGCTTTGTATACTATTTAAGGAGCGGGGAAAAGACTACATCTCTTTTCATCCCAATCCTGAATTGACGCAAGTGGAAACAGACCTTAACATTCCTCGTATTGCAGATTCATTCTCTGTGCTTTGTTGTCCAAGGGTGACAGCTAACCAAATGCTGCGGAACAGAGCTATATGGAGTGTACAGCCTTATTACGAGATTTCTAGCAATAACACGACCATCAGTCGTTGGCCCGTACTACAGTGGTATCAGACAAGTAAACAGGTAGCACTCTGTGTTCGTTCAAACCAAACTCCTTTCTGCAATATTGCCATGTATTATGTGACGTAAGCCGAGCATATTGGCTGCTTATGCATTCGAAGTATAGACTTGATCACGCTGGAGTGAAGGTATTAATTATCCTTATACAACTGTAACTTGTCATTTGTGGCATCATTGATTTATCTCCAAAGTGATAAGACTGAGCCTCTATAGATGAGTGCATGGATACTAGAGCTGCCCTTAACTGCTTGTTCTTTCTATGACACTACATGCTCTTAACAACTTGAAGCCCTTGAGAGCAATTGAAGATAGCCTTCAGATACTATTTACTCTATCAATGCATGAAGGCATCGGGAGTCTGCAGGCAAGTAGTACAAATGACTTTAAGGTTAAAACTCGTGAGTCTAAGTCCACCACTTGCACTCTCCTTCAAGTGTATCATGTGGAACATCTGCGCTGGCTATACAGCTCTTAAGACTGATAATTGACAATATAATATTGATATTCTGAGAAACAGAAGCTTTAAATATTGAATAGCGAGGAACTCCAACCAAAACCGCTGATATTTGTACATCTCGAAACAATTCGCCAGCATGCGAATTATTATTCTCCATTTGATAGGTTAGCATAGTAACATACTCTCCCAATTAATTGCACCTAGGTGTTTATAAGAGCTCTAATATAAAGAATTATACCAGGGATTCTGTTCATCTTCAATCACATTGAGGCAAAACCTTTTAAGGGTTCTTCTACGCCTTTGACTGTTACAACCGTCCGAACGTCCATATCAACTGCGCCAGAGGGGCCGGACTACATATGTGCTCCTTGGCTGCCGTGGAAGCCAGTCAGTCTTATTACCTGATATCTTTCTCAAGCACTGATACATCGAAAATCCTTCGTTATCACTTGGTTTGATATTGAATGGCTGATCAAATTGTATTGCTAACCTTCAGTGCCCCACGGGTAAAACATGCTGTAACTTCGTATGCGTGAACATCGAAACCGACCCAGCCAATTGTGGAAATTGCAATGCACCTGTAAGAATCTACTATGGACCTAGACATGGTAGCTATCATTTTTCGTTTACTAATGATATCTATAGTGTGGACCCGGAGCACAAATTCCTGGCTGCTGTGCGGGAAATTGCACTGATCTCGGTGCTCATATTACCAATTGCGGAACCTGTGGCAATACAGTATGGCTTAATCAATTTTTTTTGGGATTGATGAGCTTTACTAATGAATCATTCAGTGTCAAGGAACCACACCGGCTTGTTGCTACGGTAGTTGTGCGGATCTCGACAACTCTTTGAGTAAATGCGGAAGCTGTGCTGCTATTCCAGTGAGTTTCGCATTATAAAATCCTGATATTTCAATTTCTAAAGATATACAGTGTTTCGGACTTCAACCAGCTTGTTGCCATGGTGTATGCTATGACCTGGCAAGTAATTTGCAGCGTTGTGGAAACTGTACTTCGCCACCAGTAAGTTTTGATATTCCCTCCTAAAATCCATATTTCACATTTGAGATGCTAATGGTAACTTCTTTTAGTGTACCGGAATGCTTCCAGCCTGTTGTTCAGGAGTTTGTGCTGACTTGACTGCATCCACCGCCAATTGCGGCCTGTGTGGTATCAATGTGAGCTCCCAATTTTCAGTTTCAACTTCATTTACTGACAGGGGAATAGTGCACAGGTGCCCAGCCAGCATGCTGCTCTGGTATATGCACTGATCTTGCTACTAGCACTCTGCACTGCGGTGCTTGCAATGCTACTGTTTGCCTAGGTATCTTGCCAGCATGCTGCGCAGGTGAATGCACTGATATCGCCACCGATGTTGATCACTGTGGAAATTGCAACACAACAGTATGATCCTTCTCCCTTGAAGTTATAGGTAGAATGCCTCTTCTAAGTGACTCAATAGTGTACTGGAATACAGCCTGCCTGCTGTTTAGGAGGCTGTGTTGATCTTGCAGCTGATCCCAATCATTGTGGAGCATGCCTTGCTCTTCCTTGTCTTGGGCTTACACCGGGATGTTGCTCTGGAACATGTGTTGATCTGAGCTCAACGTCCAGTCACTGTGGCACCTGTAATACAGTGGTAAGTATTCTGTCTTCTGCGATATTTGGATTTTGTAATGACAAATTACTCAATTAGTGTCCACCAACTGCCTCTTCATGCTGCGGTGGTATTTGTACTGACCTTTCTTCGAATAATAGTCGTTGCGGTGCCTGTGTCGCTATTCCGTGTCTAGGAATACAGCCCGCTTGCTGCAACGGAACCTGTACAGATCTCGCTCTCAGTATAACTCACTGCGGAACATGTACAGCTGCAGCTTGTACTGGCTTGCTACCGGCCTGCTGCAATGGAACCTGTGCTGATCTACTTTCGAGTACAACATTCTGCGGAAACTGTTTTTCTCCTCCTTGTTCAGGAGCTCGCCCTGCGTGCTGTACCGGAGTATGTTCAGATCTAAACTCCGACTACTTACATTGTGGCTCCTGTACAGCGGCTCCTTGTCTAGGCATCACACCAGCCTGCTGCAATGGAACATGTACAGATCTAGCAACAAGTATTACTCATTGCGGAAACTGCACCAAGCCCGCCTGCACTGGTGCTAATCCAGCTTGCTGTCTCGGAACTTGCCGAGATTTAAGCTCCGATCCTAACTTCTGTGGATCCTGCCTTGGAATCCCATGTCTAGGACTACAACCGGCATGCTGTAATGGAACATGTACTGACCTAGCCGTAAGTATTACCCATTGCGGAACTTGCACGGCTGCACCCTGTACTGGTTCTTTACCCGCCTGTTGTAACGGAACCTGTACGGACCTACTGACGAGTACAACACACTGCGGGAATTGTGCCACACCGGCGTGTACTGGAACAACGCCAGCATGCTGCTCTGGAGTATGCTCTGATCTAAGTTCAGATATTCTCCACTGTGGCTCATGCACAGCACTTCCCTGTGTTGGTCTTACTCCTGCATGTTGCAATGGGACATGTGTAGATCTGTCATCAAGTCTTACGCACTGCGGAAACTGCACCAAACCCGCCTGCACTGGTGTAAATCCCGCGTGCTGTCTAGGAACGTGTCGAGATTTGAGCTCAGATCCAGCTTTCTGTGGATCATGTCTTGGAATCCCGTGCCTAGGCTTACAGCCTGCTTGCTGCAATGGAACCTGTACAGATCTAGCTGGCATAGCCCATTGTGGAACCTGTACGGGTCCAGCATGCACGGGTCTACTTCCTGCCTGCTGCTCAGGCACCTGCGCCGATTTGTTATCAAGTCCTACCCATTGCGGCACCTGCACTGGTGTATGCAATGGCACACGGCCAGCTTGTTGCACAGGCATATGCTCAGATTTAAGCGCTGATATCCTACACTGTGGATCATGTACAGGTCCTCTATGCCTTGGACTGACACCTGCTTGCTGTAACAGCACATGCACTGATTTGTCGTCTGATATAAATCATTGCGGAAACTGTACAAAGCCAGCCTGCACAGGAGTAACCCCAGCATGCTGCCTAGGCACATGTAGGGATCTTAACTCAGATCCTACTTTCTGTGGTTCTTGTCTTGGAGTCCCGTGCCTTGGTATTACCCCTGCCTGTTGCAACGGGACTTGCACAGATCTGGCAATAAGTACTACCCACTGTGGAACTTGTACAGCTGCCGCGTGCACGGGTCTACTTCCTGCCTGCTGCTCAGGCACCTGTACTGATTTGTTATCAAGTCCTACCCATTGCGGCACCTGCACTGGTGTATGCAATGGCACACGGCCAGCTTGTTGCACAGGCATATGCTCAGATTTAAGCGCCGACATCCTACACTGTGGATCGTGTACAGCTCCTCTATGTCTTGGACTGACACCTGCTTGCTGTAACAGCACATGCACTGATTTGTCGTCTGATATAAATTCTTGCGGAAGCTGTACGAAGCCAGCATGTACCGGAACAAACCCAGCATGTTGTCTCGGCACGTGTAGAGATCTAAGCTCAGATCCCACCTTCTGCGGATCTTGCCTGGGACTTCCTTGTCTTGGCATCTTGCCTGCCTGCTGCAGTGGAAGATGTACAGATCTGTCGTCAGATATTGGTCATTGCGGAAATTGTACCCGTCCTACATGTACAGGCATCAATCCAGCTTGTTGCAGTGGAAATTGCACAGATCTCAGCACTGATATCAATCACTGCGGCTCTTGTATTGCATTGCCCTGCATTATTGGCCTTATACCTGCCTGTTGCAGTGGCAGCTGTACGGATCTGAGCTCCAGTATCACTCATTGTGGTACTTGTGCTCACCCTACTTGTACTGGCACTTTGCCCGCCTGCTGCAACGGAGTATGTGTTGATTTAACGAGCAATATTGCCAATTGTGGACAATGCGGTAAATCTGTAAATTCTACCTTTCTGCTGTGTCGATGAATGCTGGAGATTACTAATAATTTATTATTAGTGTATTCCCGGCCCTGGAGGAGGTGCCTGTGTCAACGGGCTCTGTATCAGCTGCCCAGCAGCATCGCCATTCTGTCCCTCGGCAGGATTATGCGTAAGTTGCTCTTATAGCTCTGGCATGATTTCTCAAGGCTAATATTTTAATAGTGTCCCACTGGTACAAATTGTATCGCAGGTGGACCACTTCCTGGCTGTTGTCTGAGTTTGAATACTTGTCCACCAGCATCTAACCCGTCAGGTAGTAATATTTGCGTAAGTTGATATCGATATAGCTCAAGTCATGCAATTGTTTATGGATATTGAATGCTAACCAATTCTTCATAAATAGTGTCCACTGCCGTGTAGCTTGATAATTGTCACAAATGTCTGCTTAGGCTTCTAATTTGAATTTGGAGGACACTTCTAGGGGATGGATGTTTTCATGAATGGAAGAGGAAAGGGTTCATTAATTTCCATTCGTCTATTCTAGGAATAACTAATGGATAGAATCGAATTACTGTTCATTCGCTTCAACCCTAGATCTTTCAATTGCCACCAGAGCGTCAGCTCGACCTCAAGATGTGATATAGAGGGCACTCGTGGGTGCGTTCAGTCATTTTTAACTGACCCGAATGGGGTCACCCAAGTGACCAGATGAATTGATCCGCCTAGTATTCCATCTAGGGTGGCCGATGATGACGGCTTCTCAATTGACGATGAGCAATTGGCGGTCTGTTTTTTCTGTTTGCGTTGACCATCTTAAAACTTCGGAATTCCCAACTATCTAGGATTTTCGATATTCAAGAGGGGTTTCAGTCCAGGGATGGCTCATGGTTGCTGATTGTAAGTAACCGACACTTCAGTCCTCATTTTGATAGCTTCCTCCTTTTTAGCAAAAGGTGATAAGTCCAGTATCGTCGTTTGGCTTTCCCCATCATTATCGGTCAAGTGCCCAATGTCAGTCACAGTTGCCCCTTCGTAGTTGTCATATATTTTTCGTTTGGATGGAGAGACAGGAAGGTTGAGCATCTTATAGCTCTCGTCACTTTCGCCGGCCGATGAACTAGGGAATACTTTCGATAGCAAGGGCTTCAGGGCTGGGATTGAGGCCGCAGTAATGGCTAATCCGTCTTCGATAGCAGCCCACCAAAGTAATGGAGCGATTTCCCCTATAGAAACGGGTCTTAGCCCTTGAAATGCGTCATAAACTCTTGCTGAACTTACATGTGAAGTCGGCCTTGGCAGAGAGTGCCACCAAATAGGTTGTTTTGACAATGGCAGCAGCACCAGCACTGGAGAATCTGTTAGGAAATGACTCAATGTGCACTCAAGTGTGGTATGAAGACTTACAATATGCCCAGACTCATTGCAACTGCAATACCGACTTTTTCTTTTCTCTTCATCTGTAAACTCCAAACGATTGTCCAGGGGAGAAGAGCAAGCACAAAATCCTGAGCTCCAGAATATGCTACGGAACTACAAAGTCAGTAACCCGAGACAACCAAGTAAGATCCAGAACATAGAGCAACATACCGCCCACGAATAGCGAAAAGTGGGTAAAGACGGACGAAGGCCAGCATTCCGATGGAATCGAAGCATCCCAAAGATGCCGAGGGTCTTTGCATTGAAGAAAGACGAACAAGGCCGCGAGAATATTAACTATGTTCATAGTTATGATCACAAACCATAGGGTGAAAACCATCCACCTATGAACCACGATGCGTAAGAGCGTCAAGGCAAATGATGTTTTCCCTAGGGTGCAGGCCATAATTGCCATACTTTCGCCAATATCACATAACAAGGCCGCGGTGATGAGATTCTGAGGGTATTTTTCGACTGAAACAAGATGACTCCCAAGTCCTAGATCCGCAGCGATGTGGCATACAACGGTATACGCAATAAGAAAACCCTAAGCAGGTCAATATGAAGTCCATCAAAAACTGGGTAAAGAAGACTAGACTCACAGTCGCCACAATGATAATAAAGTCATCCCAGCCGAAAAGATGCCGAAGGAAGAGTCTCACATATAGACGGAGAGAAACGAATATTATGGAGACTGCGGTCATAACCCACATTGCAGCTTTCACTGTCTGAGCCCGGCTCTCTTGGGCATCAGCCATTTTTGTCGGAGGATGAACTTACGAAGTCAAAGGCTTCCTACGTTCTTAATAAAATGAACGCACACTCCCCCTGGGAAGCAGGTTGAGTCTTCCACAGCCTGTGGGGAATCGAAAGGGTTCCAGCCACAAACCCTGGAAGCTTATGTTGAAATATGTGTTTCAAAGTTACGAATTGAAAAATGGTTAGATTGTGCAAGTTTAGCCCCCAGTATGTACTGAGCACAGCTGAGTTGCATATTGGCCGTATAAGTAATGGAAGGTAATTCCGTATGTACAGAACACCTAGGCATACGACTAAGTGGATCTATCTCAACCACAAAAGTACGGAGTAAGCAGTACTTCATATAAGCGAGAGGCTAGAGCCTAGGATTGTACTTTTCTACGCCGGTAGAAAAATGGAATGGTTGCGAATGATTCAATCCTTCCATTCGCTCCTTCTTCGGGTATGCAGTATCGAGGAGGCCGGACCCGCTGCCGCCGTCACCCTTTACCTGCTTAGGGCTAGCTAAATGAGCCTTAGCCAATTCCCGTCAACTAATGGCGTCAATTTTATACTCTATACTCCACATCCCGAACTTTTGTTTATCAATAGTAAACTGTAAAAGCTATTAGTTAGGCTAGACCTGATATTAGAACCAGGATAAGCCTGGTGAATTGTTATGCACCTAATTTCCCTTCTAACGCTTTATCCGCCTTCCCCACTTCTTTGATAGTTGAATTAATTGGATAATGTGTTTTGATTCCCCTCTTCTATTCCTACTGGGCCAATCGCTAATATTTCAATTTTCATTACTAAGAACAGTTCGAAGTAATGCTAGTTTAGTAGCCTTCCTCTGGCTAATTTATTTCTTCTCAACGTGGTCACATTGGAAGTTCATCGCTACTGATCTCTTCTAAGACACTTCCTTTCAGAGATCAATCTACAGCCTTTGCTTTGTGCATGTCATATGCAAGGATACGTAGAAATGTCAAATGTGGGGAGTCCATTGTCCTCTAGCTTGTCCATGCAGAGCATTGTGATGCAAAGCATTGTGGCGCTCGGCCTGCTGGTTGTGACAAAGCTCTTTTATCATATATTCCTATCGCCACTGAGAGCCTTTCCTGGACCCTTTCTGGCCAAGACGACCAATCTTTGGCGGGCATACCACACATATGGCGGCCGTGTTGAACGAAAGCATCTGGAGTTGCATCGGAAACATGGCCATGCAGTGCAGATTGGACCGAACTGCGTAAGCATTTCAGATCCGGATCTCATCCGAACGATATATTCCACTCGCAATTCATGGAAAAAGGTATATATTAGTAGATTAGCTCATACATATGATCCTCCTTCTTCAAAAGTACCATTGCTGACTGGCGTGTGATGTATCAAGAGTGACATGTACCGACCGAACGATGTGTTGATTCAGGGTCACCGCATGTCCAATCTATTCAACACCCAGGATGAAGATTGGCATGATAAGAATATTCGGCCCATTCGGGGTTTGTGGACCATGACCAAGGTCCTGGAATACGAGCCGCTAATTGACGAAACATTGATCAAGTTTGTGGATAAGCTTGCGTTGAGATTCGTGGATGGTGAGAATGCGGGCAAGGTCTGCCCAATGGATGAGTGGATAGGTTTCTGTAAGTGGTTCAAGTCGTTCCAATTCATACTCATGTCATTTTCACTAACAGAGGAACATCAAGTTGCATGGGATGTCACCGCCAATTTCAGCTTCGGTCGCCATTATGGATTCATTGACCAAGAGAAAGATGTGGACAATCTTATTACTGACTCGACCGATGGTTTGATCTACTTCGCACCTGTCAGTTTAGTTGATTTGAAGCTCCTGGCCGCACATGACTAATGTTCGGTCTTCACAGGTCTCTCAAATCCCTTGGGTTGATAATTTCCTTGACAAAAACCCCATCAAGCGTATTGGTCCCAAGCCTACCCTAACAGGCGTTCTATACGCCTTCAAAGTCTGCGCCGAATATCAAGCCCAAGCCGCCGAGGAGAAGGTAACCAAAGGTCCAGCCATGCACACTCTTGATAAATACGTTCAATTGAAGAAAACGCACCCCGAAATGGTCGACGATGCTCAGATTGTGAACTGGCTTATGCTTAGTATCCTAGCCGGCGGTGACACAAGCTCTGCGACCCTCCGTGCCGTTGTCTACTATCTTGCAAAGAATCCCTCCGCAACGTCGAAGCTTGTTGCTGAGCTCAAAGCTGTTGCTCTTCCCACCCCGGCCCCTTGGAAATCTATCCGAGATCTCCCATACCTTGACGCTGTTCTAGACGAAGCCATGCGTACCACTCCCGGTATCTCTTTGATCTTTGAGCGTGTCGTCCCAGAAGGCGGTTTCACTTTGCCAGACGGACGCCATCTTCCTGCGGGTACTAAGGTCGGTATCAACCCTTATGTCACGAACAGGGACTATAGTGTCTTCGGAGATGATGTAGAGGACTTTAACCCAGACCGCTGGCTTCAGGGAGAATCTGAGAGCAACGAGCATTTCGAAGAACGCCACAGACGGATGAAGGACACGGTCGACTTTGTCTTCAGTGGAGGTGGCCGTATCTGCATGGGACGTTATGTGGCTAAGCTTGAGATGAAGAAGCTAATTGCTACTCTGTATAACATATTTGATGTAAGTGGGAACCTGTAATGATGTGAATCTGTTTCGTGACCAGTACTGACTTCTCTCCATAGATTCAATTGGCGGACCCCAAACATGAGTGGACGTCTCGCAATGCTTGGTTCGTCTATCAGTATGATATGCCAATGATTATCCAACGCCGGGAGCCTGTAGCATAGTTGTATTGCACATATCATACATTAGTTATATATGGGTGGTTGTTTGAAGCATCATGGGTTACGGAAATTAGATAACACGAACCAATTTCCATTTCGTCAAAAATTGAGCTTGAAAAACAAAAGAACAATTTCATACCGCTGAGAATATCAATATTTAGTCCAAAAAAGAAAGAGAGAGAGAAATAGAAATAGAAAGAGATAACGCCTCAGGTGGAAAGAACCACAAACCCAGTCTTCCAGTGACCCACGTTTCATGCGTCATTTCATTAAAAATAGAGAAGAGACCTCTCCGAGTAGACCAATCCCAAAATTGAATTGCAAACCAAAGGAGGTATAAAGCATCGCAGTCATTCATGACTTATTCTCTGGTTCCTTGTCTGGTTCTTCTGGAAAAGAGTCTCCATGTGGCGTGATTGTCTTTTCCTCGATTAATTCGCTAGCCCTTCCCTCCACTTGTTCATCACCAACTATCTCACCCCATGTGGCACTTCTCCGATTGGCACGACTAGAGCTAATAGCAAGTGGACTGCCGACAGCCCCAGATATGCTGGGAGCTGTGCTATCATTTCGGCCGTGGGAGCTGCGAATACTTGAGCCATCTGTTGCGCTCGGCTTTGTGGTGTATAGACTGCCTCGCTCACTGGGGCCATTAACTAAGGGAGTAGCCCCGGAGGCTGAGTAGACGCTGATACGCTCTGTACTGGCCAGGCCAACCAAACTCGGTCTATTTAGTATGCCCTGGGCGTTGAAAATTGATGTACTGGATGGCTCATTCACGCTGCCGCTCAGTACACTCAATGGAAGGCTCTCACGACTACCACCGAAAAGGGACGACGGTGCCAGTCCACGAACTGAGGCATTGGTATCCAAAGAGTTGCGGCGTCTTCTCTGAGAAGAGCTTGCTAGTGTTAAGATCGAAGCGTTATCTGTCAAGACGTTGTTTGCCGTAGCAGCAGCGTAAGTCATACTAGAATGGCTGTGGGGAAGCAGATGTGGGGGCACAGCCGTTGCGGTGACAGGGGCGGGCGAGCTAGGGAACTGGTGCGAGAACTGGACCTGCGGGTTATTGAAGCCATTATTTGAGCCTCCGTGGGTCGCGCCGTGTGGTGCATGTTGTGTAGGATTGAGTTGAGTCGACGGTGCCGCTGATTGTACCGTCGTCAATGTAGTTGTCACGGATCGAACCGAAGGTGCTGGAGACGAGAATGTGCTGCCTTCTCCTCCACCATGTGAACTAAGCCCTCCGCCCGCTGTTGTTGCCATTGTCCCTGCTTTCGAGTAGCCTGCCTCCGAAATGGTCGTGTCGCCGTTTGTCGAGATGGTAGGGGCGTTTGATTTTGGGCATGCGCCATGGACTGAACTGTCATAGTTCGAATACACGAGAGATGGATCGCTTCGAGACCCTTGGCCCACACTTCCACTTTCGGCATATGAGCTCCTGGGTTCTTGTCGGATGGTCGTCCCGGAGAGTGGATAAGGGTTATTATTATTGCCTTGAGCAGAGCGCTTCTTGGCCTTGGCAGAAGTGTATCGCCGGTTGGACCAGCGCGTTGTACCTGAGTCAGACGAGTTCTTAAGGTTTGCGAGACGTTTCATCCAGTTGGAAAACGGGCGGCGACGAGCGTTGCGATCTATTTTATGCGTTAGCGGAGTGCTTCAGAAGTTGGCCCACCCCTGAGTACCCACCATGAGCTCGTGCGGGCCCTTCAGCTGCAGCCATTTTAGATCGATTTGATGCGCTAAAAACAGCTGCTACCGCGTATTGAAAGGTTAGAAACAGAAGTTGAGATAGAAACGATCAACTTGTTTACAGGAGGATGGAAGATGCGGGCCCACTGTTTATCCGCAAAGTCATGTGCCACGCTTGATGTCACTTTTCCGATCTTTGACTTTTGAGCAGCTCTCACTGAATCTTCAGTTTCTAAATCAATTTTGATTTCCTTTGACTTTGATAGCTGGCTGTATATTGGCCTGCTTTAAAGGAAATTCTGAAATTTCGAATGCTAGAATGACGACGGAAAGACGTTCCTACCACTTTGGGACTTGACTGTTTGACGCTATAGAAACTATGCCGCATTAAACGACAACGGCCCATTGGCAATGATTGTTGTGATATGTCTATTCGACCTCTTTCTCCGGATGTTGTGGCTAAGATCAAATCTTCAACTTCAATTACTCATTTGAGCGGTGTGATCTTGGAGCTTGTTAAAAATTCATTGGATGCCCATGCGACTACAGTTTATGTTTCTGTGGACTTCAAACGTGGAAGTTGCATTGTCGAAGACGATGGGGATGGGATCAAACCGATTGAATTCAAGCCAAACGGGGGGATTGGAAAGGCTCATCGTAGGTCTTCTCAGCATATTCTTATTTATTACATTTGCTCACGCAATTGAAAGATACATCTAAGTTCCAAAATGACAGCTCCTATGGCCATCGGGGTCTCTTCTTGGCTTCTCTGGCTTCTTTGTCGCTACTGACTGTGACTTCACATCATATTCAGCACCAGACAACCAATTCCATCATTCTTCACCATTCAAATTCCGTGGCACGCTTGATCCCTGCCCCTGAACATCATGAAATCCGGATTAGCAACCATGGCACTTCCGTTACAGTCAATGATCTATTCGGCAATATGCCAGTTCGCGTCAAAAGTAGAGCCCTTGCTCTACTAAAGCCAGATGAACTAGACCGGGAATGGGAGCACTTGAGATATACTTTGATCGCAATCATGCTGGCTAACTCACAACTTTACAAGCTGATAATCTCAGATGTTGAGAGAGGAAAACGAATAACTATCCGTTCGGGAGGTACTGGAACCCCCACGACTGGTGAAGTCGATCTAACGCGCATCGGATCCATCCTTAAACAGTCCGATATGATAGGCTCCCAAAATATGGACAGCTGGCACGTTATTTCAGCTAGTATTACTGATCTTACAATTTCCGCTGCGATGTCCACCGATCCCAGCCCCTCGAAGAAACTTCAGTTCCTTTCATTAGGCAACGAACCAGTATTGTCTCAGAGTAACTCTAACGTCCTGTTCAACGAGGTCAATCGTTTGATGGCCATGTCTGACTTTGGGAGTACTGAAAATTCATCTCAGCTTAATACTACAACGTCTTCTTCGCTTCGTCTCGGTCACATCGATGCAACGGGAAGTACGAGCGGCAGAAGCTCAACAAGGTCCACTAAGAAATGGCCCATGTTTTATATCCGCATTGATACGGGCTCTGTTCGTCATCTTCGCAACGGTTATGAGAGTACTCCAGACTCTGAGAGGTCTATCCAACGAATAACAGACGTTCTTGGGGCGATGATTTTAGAATTTCTGAAGCAGCAGGATTTGCGGCCCCGTGTCAGTAGACGGCGGCGAAAGATTTCAGATCAATCCCATCTTGCTGCCCCTTTTGCCCCAAGTAGCGATAGGCCATCGGAGAACTCTGTGGTCCCAGGTGTAGCGTCAAGCAGTGAAGAAACCTTCAGCAGTCACTTCAAGCTACCATCACTTCATCAGTCACTACCCAGAGCCCCAGGTGATCACTTAAACAGCTGGTCTAGAGTTAAAACTGCAAAACATTCAAAACCAACAAGGTTGGCAGTTGCGACTCCGAATCGTGAAGTACAGAGCGCTGGAGAACAGTCGCAGAGCCATGTACACCGAATGCAGCATGGCATAAGATCTCCACTTGCACAACATAACCAATCTCACCAAGAATCTGGAACTTGTGAGACTAACGAGCCCAGACTGGATAATGCCTCTCAATTCTCCTCAGCCTTCCTAGTTCCTTGGCTTGATCCACATACTGGAAAAACGCATATGATTGATTCGCGAACAGGGCAAACGGTCAACCAAAAAGAATTTACTGGCGGGTCAAGAAGTATGGCTCATATTTCTTTACCTGAAAGACGAAAGATTATCCGAGAGCCTCAAAATTCTCAACACATTTGGGTAGACAACTTCTTGAAATCATGGGACAACCCCACATTCACACGAACGGAAATTCCCGTTCCATCTCTAGATACAGACACGAACTACTTGGATAATGCGGCATCATCCCACGGCTACTTTCAAGGTATTGGATCGCTAAATACTTCGCAAGTAGCGAAGTTCAAAGGCAGATTGCAGCGCAAAAGTCTAGCGACTGCCAATATTATTGCTCAAGTTGATCAAAAATTCATTCTTGCAAAGCTTGACGCTTCGATTACTCAAGTTTTTGGCGAACCAGAAAATATACTTGTCTTAATTGATCAACATGCGGCAGATGAGCGCTGTCGAATTGAAAAATTATTTGAGGAGATGTTCGAGCCGCCGGAGTTTTCAGACACAACTTCAAGGGTTCGAGTAGTTGAGATCGACCCTTTCAAATTTGGTATCTCCTTCGCAGAGATACCCCTCTTTCGAAAATACCTTGATTTTTTCTGGGGCTGGGGAATCCGCTACAGTTTGGCCACTGAAAAGGATTTTGAAGCAACAGTTTTTGTACATGCAGTTCCCAACCTTGTCGCCGAGCGCTGTCGACTAGAACCAGCTATAATTCCAGATTTGCTCCGCCGTGAGATGTGGACGTATGAGGAAGATTACGGGAAACCAATATCTTCGAAATCGATATCCTCCAAGAAGCGAACTGCCTTTGAACCTTGTCCTGCAGATGATACCGCTCCAATATCCTCTGATCCTTTTCCATGGATACACCAAATGAGCGGCTGCCCTCAAGGCATCATCGATCTTCTGAATTCTCGTGCCTGTCGTGGTGCCATCATGTTCAACGATCTGTTGAGTACCGACGAATGCAAGACATTAGTTTCACGACTCGCCCGTTGTGCTTTTCCGTTTCAGTGCGCTCACGGACGGCCATCCATGATTCCCATTCTTGATCTACGACCCCAACATCTCAAAGACCAGCCTTCACTCTGTGAAGAAGGCGCCTCAATCTTTGATGAACAAGATAGGTTAGATTTGAGTTTTGTAGAAGCTTTTAAGAAGCGGTATAACTATTAATCCTGGTGCAGGCTGCCCTCGCCCTCAAGAAAGACTCCAAGGTTGTATTTGGTTCCATTTTGTTTTAAAACTGAATATAAACCCCATTCATGGCACGTCCCACGATGCACCGACCATATCCATCTAGAAGCAGTAGGTAAAAGTCGGCTGCAAGGGCAATTTGTACGGCTATGTCATCAAAATGTTGCCAATATGGGTTCATTTGGAAGAAACGGAGGATAAAGAGAAGACAAGATAGTTCTTATTTAATGAAAAATGTGCTCCAAAACATGTACTGTTTCAAGGGTTTCGAAGTGATCGCTGAATTCTCCGTCACCGGCCAGTACATGGTGACATCCATTGCCAACAGCGAGGATTCTAATGCTAGACCCAATGCGTGTACCGGTCACATAGGCTCCAATAACCAGTGTAGCAACTATTCCGCTCGTACACCTGGGTGGAATTGTAGCGTGAGCGTAGTAACCAGCGTGGAGGAGGCGGTGGTGTCCAATCTTGTCACTTCGATCTGCCCAAAACAAGAACCAAACACGCTAACATTGGAAGAGAAGATCGTATTTTGCCGGTAATTGTAATAGTGGAACGACTGCTCCATCAAGAAAGTAGTCAGTCTTTGGGCATAATAAAATTGCTGATGGTTCCAAAACAAACCACCTAGATGAGATTTCCATCGCTCGAGACTGGCTAGACCTGTCATGATAAAATTCCGCCATTCCAAGGTTCTAAGATTGGGCTATTCCAATCCGTCACAGACAGTCATCAAAGATGTGTAGGCAGAACGTGTTAATACTACAGTCTTGCAATAACTAGGTAGAGCTAGATACCTATATGAATGGATGGAAAAGGATTAAAGGGTATCGAAGCTTTATTCAAATCTGGGCCGCTTTTAGTAGTGCACTTGTACACAAGCCAACAGGCTTATAACCTTTTGAAGATTGACAAAAAGAAAAGAAAAGGACTTGAACCATTTGTCCCAATATCCCACAGAAATAGATAAGGAAAAGAAGACAGCCCAGTGGTATACCATTTTCCCAACCCGGACCCGAACCCATTTCCATGCATATATATTACTTGTGAGGATAGTGAAAAAGAAAACAAGATTGCAACAAAAGCGCCATCCAGAAGATAAGAAGGCATATAGTGGTAGTATATTCACAAGACAATTGAGGGGGTTAGATAGAAAGGTGGATAATAAAACGTGTAGAAGATATGCAGCTAGCATGATTTGAAAACGGTCAGCAGGTAGAAAGAAAGATTTGGGGATAAAACACCATGTGACCCAGGGAATAATTAACAAAAGCAAAGGGGTCATGAGAAGTCATTAAAAGAGGCGCAAATGTAGAAGGGTATATAAGAGAAGGATAAACGTAGAAGCTTTAGCCGCTTATTGCCACGGATTTGGGCTTGGATGGGTGGGTCCAGGAAAGGAAATCGAACTTGTCTTTAGCGTTCTCGATTATAGAAGGCGGATTGGACTCGGATGGGGTTTGGATGCCACTGCGGGTGGGATCTCTAGGCTCCAGAATCTGAGACCGACGGTAGAAGGACTGCGCAGTAGACTCTCCGTTGGAGCGTACGCGGATGAGCTCATCCTGTAACCAGGTCTGTAGCTCTGGGATCTCACTCAGGCGATAGGGGATCTGGAACCGCTGAAGCTCACTGATGATGCGAGCCGTCTTCATATGTTTGTCGAAGTTGATGACGGCCATCGAACCATCGTCCGTGGGGAGGGAACGGAGAGCCTGGTTGCCTTGGTCGACAAAGGTGAGATCGGTCAGGTAGGTACCGACGAAAGGCAGACAAGGTGGGACGTGGTTCTGCAGACGCTGTCGCAACAATTTGGAGTTTCGAGAAACATCCATAATAGTACGGAGGTATTCTAAACTGTTTTTGGTCTTTTGGGATACAATCTCCCAGGTTCGCTTCAGGCGGGAAATCATCGACAAGTTCAAAGAGCAGATGATGGCCATGAGAGTGTCATAGTTGTTCAGCTCGAGGCACTTGTTGGCAATCTTAACCCAGTGCTTGATAGTAGCGGCACGCTTCTTGGGCTCTTCGAAGTATAAGATAGAGTCGGCTACCAAGAAAGTGAGGTCTGTCGACAAAGTTGACATGGCACGAACGTTGACAGCCAGTGATCCTGACTTTCGGGTCCACTCTAGATCAAGGAGTTCCTCTGGGAGAATAGAGCAAAAAATGCGAGACTCTTTGATGGTAAATTGCCTGGCCAGCTCCAGAGGGTCAAAGTCAAGGATAGTGATTGAAGCGTCACCGATCTTCCACTGCTTCAGAAGGTTGACCTCTTTCTTGCCAAGAATTGGGGAAGGAAGAGGGGTATCAGGGTGAACGTATAGAGCTAGAGCGGTGTTGGTCTTGCCTATGGAGGAGACAAGGCGAGGTACAACTGGCCCGTGGGCAGTAGACACCTTCTCAGTCAACTCTAGCAGACGCTTGCCGGCCGAGGGCAGGTCACCCATCAGACGAGTCTTCGCGAAGATAACGATAAAATCTAGGGCAACATTGTCACGATCATGGCGCCAGTGTGATTCAAGCCAGCCCTTGAAAACGTTATAAACGCGCAATCGGACGGGTGCAGATGCATGAGGAGTCTCTCCGATGTACTCAAATCGATCAGCAAGGGCCTCTGCGAACTCAAGCGGGGTGGCAAAGAGACGGAAGGTCAAGTAGAAGGTCGAAACGAACATTGCATCCGGAGTCGATTGGTGAGCGGTGAGCTTCTCAATCAACGCACGGAGACTACCACCAGTGACCTGGCCTTCTCTGTAGACCAATTCATGCGCGTAAGTCTTCTCCAATAAGTGAGCCTCGGTCTCTTCATTCTCTTCAGCCAAGGTCGAGTGGCTAACACTCCCCTTCAATGATGGCCCTTGGAAGCTGCCACCGATATCGGGCGAGGTAGCCCTGGTAGAAGTGAAAGAAACACCACTCATTTCCGAGTCGCGAGCGTGGCTGTTATAGGTGAAGCTGCTACCCGTGCTTGTGACACCTCTTCCGAAGGACTCACTGGTATCCGACTTAGGCTGGCTTACACGGTAGTTATTGTCAAATGAAGAGAAGGACGTCTTTTCGAAATGACTGGGGAGGATAGCAGAAGAAGGGGCTGATAAGAGGGTAGAAAGGTAGGAGGAGTTATGAGATGAGACCAGTTGGGATTGGAAGGAAGACGGGGTGGTCGAGTCAAGAACATCGGCGTGAACAGGGGTGGATGTAGAGTAAGTTGAGTTTGGAATAGTGAGAGGAGGCGGTGGAAGTGGTCGCGACTGGTCCACCGGAAGGTCAGGTTGAGATTGTGAGGTTTTGACGCCAGCTGGGTCCTCGGTGACGGGCTCGAGTTCAACGTCTCCAATTTGCTCTAGGACCAAACGGGCCTTGGCTACGCAGTTTCCAGCCGCTCGGACACAGTCTGTAGCCGCGTCAACCAAACGCTTGCCTTCATTTGGCATGAAAACCAGTTCATCGTCCTGACTGCTGGCTGGTCGAAACACGCCACGAGCGGCTTGAACCAGCTCGGACAGACGCTCGCACATTGCCTCACGTGCTACCTGGAGGAAAGCACTCCTACGGTTATCATGCTCGCAAACGGCCTCGACCACATTCAACAGAGCTCGGCAGGACTTCACTGCTTGCTCGGTGGTCACAACTAGTTCAGTTGATGAGCGCGACTGCATATGAAGGCCAATAAAAGATCCTAGAACACCGAGGAAAGCATCGTAGTTTGTGCCTAGCTGTTCAGAGGCAAGGTTGCGAGGGCGCATGAAAGACGAGGGAGCAGAGTAGGAGACGCGGTGAGAAATGGACATCCTTTTCGTTGACAGGCATATTGGTTTGGGGGTGTTGTCGAGCATCTCGCTGCGCGTTGATGTTCGACTTCCAGTCATGCGGCTACGGGTCGTTTGTCGGGAGTCATTCCGCTCAGTAGACGTATCGGATATAGTGGCAGTGTCTGTCTGGCTGAAGGTCTCGGAAGCAGGCGTCGGGGGTAGTTCGTACTGGCTCGGGCGATCACCGCCAGCTTCCAATTCAGCGATAGTCCTAATGAGCCCCACTTCCTCGTTCCAGGTGTCAAGGAATCGGACTCCTCGAGTGACAATCTTGAAAGCTTTTAGAAGCATCTCATCCAAAATCGACTCCACCTCGTCCTCCGCCGGGCTCCCATTAGAGACTTCCTGAAACCGTTTCGCAGTCTTGACCAGCGATGATAAATCAGATAGCAGAGCCTTGCGAATCCTCCGCAATCCATCGAACCGCTTGACTAGTGGTGACTCTCTAGTCAAGCACTCGGATTTTTCCTGCAAGTGGATTAATTATTCGCACGACACCTTCCAGATACCCTAACTGGACTTACCAGGAGAAACCTAACGCCCGCAATCAGACCTCTCATCAAATCCTGGTTGCCAAAGTCACGGAGTGATGATCCACATCCCCCCCTAATGATATCCCAGAAGTCTGTGAGGGCCTTTAGCAAAGGACGCATGGGTGTTTGGTCGTATGCTTCGCAATAATTTGTCGGCAGCCAACCTCGGTTTCCAGAATCCAATAAAGTACCGTCGGCCCAGCCATTAGTGTGAACGGAATGTACTAGAATGATATCTCCCTGTTCCAAAGGAAGGGTGACTGTGGAAGGGCAGACATCTCCAGCAGTGTGAAAAGGGTAAAAGGCACGTAGATAGTTGTGAAAGACAGCTCTCGGGGGCTCGGCCACGGGATGCGGCTGTTCCATATTCGTATCTTCATTGCCTGAAGGTGTTGCTGGCGGAGTCATATCAGACTCGCCGTTTGTGAAGAAATGCGGCCGTGTGAAGTTGGAATCTTCCGACAATGAGTTGGAAAGTGTTATGTTTGTATTCGACTTGGCGATCTTCAAAGGCGGGATATTTGGCTTCATTGAAGAGACCATTTCTGACATGTTTCTATACTACACAAAGGTATCTCAAACCCGGTTGGTCACTGACCGAGGCGTTCATGCGATGGTAGATGCAATTGACATGCTTCAATGGCCAAAATTCAGTAAAGAAGCGTCAAGCTTAGACAGGGATGGTGGGGGAGTAGATCTGATCGCCAATGGCTGGGGATGATCCTACACATCAAGGTCAGTGTCAATTGGGAGAGTGGCGTTCAAGGGCGTAAAGCGGAGAAAGAGTATTCTGAAAGGTGATGAAAGAGGTGGAATGTGTTGAATTCTCACGGGCGTTCGAGGGGAAAAAGGGAATGTTGGGGGATTAAACACACCCTTTTCAACAAAACAAATCAATCAAACTATAAACAATCGAGCTGCATAGGTCCGGAACATTAAAGGACTTAGTTAGAGACAATTGATGATAAAGACCTAGGGAAGGAGAGGCCAGTGGAAGATCGAAGGTAAGGATGAGGCCAAAGTGGTAGCAATGACGAAATGGCAATCCCTATTCTAGGGGATGTTGGATGGATCCAAGCAAGGAGAAGGAAGGGATGAATGTGCAAACGCAAAGTTATACAAGGCTAAAAGTCGTTCAAAAGGTCAAAGTTCCATTATCAAGGGGTCCAAAGAGAGACTGGAGAAGGGGAAAGAGAAGGAGAGAAGAGGGGAGAAGAGAGAAATAAGAATACATTAGTTTCTAGAGTTGAACCCAAATGGCTTTTGGGATCGATCGACTCCACTTGTATTTATTACAGACGTTTAGATATATGTAATATTACACTGTATTTATTGTATGGTATTACAAACTTTATGTAACCGAACATCGGGACATGAGTACCTTTTTTCTTTTGATAAGCAATCAATACCACATGTATTATCTATCTCTATACACATAGAATTCCACACCAATTGATTTCTATTCAACTCATAGTATAGCGAGAGATAGACCCTACCAATCAATTTTAAGATTCTAGCGAATGAATTAGTGGAGCCCAAAGCATTGGCCAGTGTGCTCCATTACCCCGTACCTAGCTAGACTCTCTCTCACGTTGTCATATCTCTCCGAGATCTACAACGCAGCGCCACTAAGTATTTCTCACCACTGATTGTCTCTCGTATGATCCAATTTCCTATCTATAAACACCCTTTTCTTTTCTCTTCTTTCCCTTTCTTTGTTTCTAATTCCACGGGGTGGATACCTAGGTAAATATGTAAACGAGATCGGATCCACAAACATGATGATTTTCGAAGCTATCGAGAGAAACGGCGTAGGCAACGGCCCATTGCAGTGCAGTGGCGTGCACGGTGTATGTACAGGTTAGGAAGGTATACCTAAGTAAGCTTCACGGCTTGGGGGCGGATTTGAGAGCGTTCTTGCTGTGGACCCGCTTATGTATTTAGTACCGAACCTGATAGTTATGTTGTTAAGGTACTTTTGTTTATGATAAGTCCAGTGAATTAACAGTTTATGAAATGGAGTCTGAAGTGCTCGAACGTATGGGGAACCTTGAAAGGGTTCAGAGCACGGACTATATGTATTTCATTCATATAATTTGGCCTCAATTTCATCTACTTGGGAGTATAAAATGACAAACCCGAAATTGTTCCAACATCCCATACTCCGTACTTTTCTACCTCCGTACTTGAGTATCTAGTAAATTACGGAAATCTCCTCAACCTTCTCTCTTTTCTAATTCATCTTCACATTCATTCCGCCTTGCATTGGATTCAGTGATTCTGCAGTTTCCAGTCCAGATAATAATAATCTTCATGGAAACATCGAACGGAAAGCTCCCAAAATAGTAAATAACATCCGACAAGTTCCAACCTGTGATGGCCAATAAGCGGCCATAAGCTCTTCTATACGTACTCTCGTACCTTATCACACTCCTGGCGCCTTTAGGAATTTATTCAGCACAAAAATACGATCTGCGGGCAGTATCGGATCACGACATAAATTGGTATTCATCCGTAAATTATTATCTGTATCGGTGGAATGGAATCATGTGTAGATGCGTAAGTACGAACTGTGGAGGACCTCGGCTTGGCTTCAGGTTTTAATGAAGACTGAAACAGCTCGTTTTTCCGGTCGGCTTCACATGCGACTAATTGGGTTAAAGGAAATCATGTTTTCTTTCTTTTCCTTTTTTTTACCCTTTCTTTTTAACAATATCGGAACGTGTAAAGTAAGACAGCGGGGCCACCGTACGGAACATCGACTCTTCTTATCACGACCTTGATTGTCCAATACTGACAAGCCATGTTTGCTTGTCAAGCTGCCTTCTATCCCGCTCATTGCTAGCTTTTGAGTGGGGTGTGTAACAAGGCCAGAATTCCAGAATTCAAGGCTGGATAGACTCAACACTAAGCCGACCTCGAAACCAGTAACATGGATTATTCGAAACAAGCAATAGCCAGGTTTGACATCAGAGAGGTACACTGTCGTACTACAGACCATTTAGCTATCACAGCCAACCATGCGTACAACCGAGACGGTCGCAAATCCACAAGTCAACGAGTCTCACGTCAAGAATCAAGAATCTTCATCTGGTTCTTGACAAATACAGTGCATGGTTTGACCAGGGACATCTGGAAGCACGAGGTTGATCTATCCGGAATAGTACTATCGGTGGGTCATGGTAGTAGTCTTTTCTTTTGATGACTTGAAATATCTCTTGGCCTGCAGGAATATACCTTCAATTTTTTGACCTCCACACCGATTGACCATTGCTTAACATCTCTCCACATCTCCAAGGCCTTCGTGCAGCTCCTATATGGGACCTGCAGATGATTTGAATTTTCAGTACCTAGTCATGCCTTGATTCTGTCAAATTTCCGTTGTGTAACCAGTTGGTGCTTTAGTCGGACCTCGGAAACCACGTCAAGCTGAGAAGACCATGTGTTAGTATTCTGACTATTTCCCCTCCAGTATCTATATATCTACGTATCTGCGTATATATCCAGCTCGACAAGCAATTGAATTAATCTATCAACTCATGTGTAACTACACCGACAGATCTAATTAGCCCTAACAGAGTACGGTGTACATACTCCATTCTGCCCCGCCAGTTTCCAGTTACGCCACCGCCTATCCCATGCCATCTAACTGGCTTGGATTTGTTTGATCCAGCAATTAAATATGTATATTTCTTTTGCCACAGTATTTCAAATGAATTAAGTAAAATGTATTGATTGTATAGTCTGTATTGACCGTTGGTAATTGATAAATACCCCTATCCATTAGTCTAACCCACACAAGCTATGTGATTGGTGTAATCCACCCAAATATTAGACGAACTTTTAACGCAATTCTAGAACCATGGAACAAGCCACTGGGGAAGCAGTCAATAGTGTGGTTTCAAAAATCGATTTTGGTTATCGATACTCCGTGACTCCACAGTCTTCTTGACGTCTTGAGATTTATGTTTGTCGGGATTGATCAGTGATTCAGATAAATTAAAAGTGGGTTCGCTAAATAGAATAGAACCGAGCAGTTGGGGCTTGCAGAGTCGGTACTTAGTCGGTACTTAGTAAAAACGGCAGAATACGTGTTCTCAATGCTACATCATGCTACTATCTACAGAGCCGCAATCCGTGTGCGGATTACTCCATCGTACTCCATCGTACTCCATCGGATTGTATTCGCCCTGGTTTGTGCGCGTCTATTTTTATTATCTAGTAGATAGACTTTGCTCTACTCCGTATACTTTGCCCCGGGCGCAGCGCCACATCCTGTTCTTTGTTTAAAGCTATATTTACTTGACAGGACCATTAGGCGATCAAAAAAGAGCAAATCCTTAGAGACGCACGGAAGTGCTGCCCGATTCCAAGAACAAAGAATCGGGCTCTGAAAGTGGATTCTCTGCCATAGTGTGTATCTCGAGGATTGATCATTATGGAGTCATGATAACGCCGAGTGTGCACGGTCGAGCAAGGTACTATCCGGTTCTGGACCCACTCGCGGATTGAGACCATTCGGTATAGAGAATGAATCTGATTCATTGTAGACAGTAGGTATTAGGTAGAAAATGTGCAGATACTTGTGACGGGAGTATATAGATAAGGCAGCTTTGTATTAGCTTCAACGTTCCGTGTTATTATCAACTAAGCCAGCTAGGCCTATCAGAGTTCAGAATTTCATCCGATTATCAACTCTGCCGTTTTATAGACACGTGCTTCAATGAATATGCGGGAGTCAGCGGTACTAGTGCTCCATTCTCTTAGCTCAAGGGGCCTGAGACTATGAGAGGCTACTGAGATGATACCCTTGCATTGGGGACAAGGATCAGGATCTACTCGATAGACTAGATACAATATTAAAGTACAAAAGAAGAATTCTAATCTCATTTGCAGTGCAGAGCACACAGTATAGAAAATACGTGAATACGGACGGGGTAGTTAAGCATAATTAGTTAGACACGGCTGAGATTCAATGGATCAGGTCCCTGGCCCCATCACCCACCATCTTGAGACGGGATAGACTAGACATCTTATCAAGCAGACCAGCCTTTCAATTTTCAACGGGGATCGTCATATGCTCCACAGATGAGATGAGTTGAAGGTCGAAGGATGGTGTGATGTTCAACAATCAGTGTCCGTGCCTGCTGTGCCGCAATAGATGCGATTTGTACTGTACTTTGTACTACACTTGGTACTATTATTAATTTACTTTCTACTGTTTTAGTACTTTTGTATTACATTACAATACAGTATGTATGGTGATACGGAATGTAAATTCAACTCCTTCGTTGTGAAAACTCATTTTCCCTTGACGTCCTTAACCTTTTTTCAACCCCTTTTTTCCTTTCTCGTCGACCGAGCAACGCTTATCCCAATGTAGATACCGTATAATTAACCTTGAATTCAATGGGTCTCGTGATATATTCACAGTTGGTCCTTACCAGACAAACATACATTGAGGTCAAGTTCAACGAATGACAACGAACTTTGCCACTTTTCAGCTTATGCTACTGCTTATACTTCACTCTGGTTGGTCTTTTCTTGCCTCTCACCGGTCACCGAGAGAAGTGACTGGACGTGAAAGTCTGCAGAGGCACACGCGGAGATATCCTCGTGACATTGAGGTATATTTGGAATGCCAAAATCAGGCACTCATGTGAATGGGGAAGCAGGATGCAGGAACTAAACTCTGGATGCTACCAATGAATGGGATAAGCCCGGCACTGTTCCGGGGATCGAAACCCGAGACCCGCCATTCTCATCCACGGTTCCACAACGCCAAAAATGGACATGCTTTCTTTCTCTCGATCGGAGAATTTCCTCCGTGTAAGCTGCAACTCTCTATGGCTGGGGTTGTACACAATGTACGCTGTGTGTGCTGAGCTCGTGACGGGTCGTGCATTAGCCAGTCTTCACGCTACGGATGAAGAATTCCAAAATCATGATCCATGTCCCTGCAGGAAAGCGCACGTACACGAGCACAAACCGAGCATGAGCACGAGCACCAGCACATGCGACATTATCACCGGAAAAGCACGTTCACATCACGTCACCGTCGAATTAAGCGAGAGCGAGAAATTCCAGCTCAAGAGTTCAGAGCTTAACCACACTTCTATTGCGGACCGGCCCCTATATTTTTCACTCCACAGTAGAGAGACATATGAGTCAAAGTGTAACAAATTGTACTTTATGAAATGCACAGCTCACTGTCAGATGGATCTTAACTGAGAGAGGTATCAATTGACCGGGACGACGATGATGAGAGCCTATAAAGCGAAGCTTGACCTTTGGGTACTCACTATCATAAAGGGCGAACGAACATACATGTCTTTCATCGCGTATTTAGCGTGTGCTCGTTTCCGGCTATTACATGGTGACTACCTCCCGACGTCGATCCCATATCTGTTCGTGGCTGGTGTTTAGTCTGATCTATGACTGGATCTGAATTCGTCTGGATCCGCTCCCCTTTTACCTTTTTCGGTGTGGGACGCCACCGGTAGATCCTCGGCTCACAGAAAGATATACCACGGTAGCACACGATGCTGTCGAATTTTTTGAAGGTGAAGAATCATGTTGGCTGGCTTGTCAGAATCAATAAATTGATCCAAGGGGTATTGTTATTTACCTTGAGTCGGCAGAAACTTGGGCAGAGTTCAGTTCAAGCCTAGGCTCTGTTTGCTGAGTCTACCTAGATACCAGCAGATTTTAGAAGTATTCGTGAACAGGCGACATCTACCTAGGTAGGTGCATGCCTTTGAAGATCCTTCGGCTACGAAGTAACCACAAAATTTGGATCCGCCTGTCCAAGTGATTCTCCATGCCAACTCACTTTGTAATATAAGTTCAGAAATCTAGCGCCTTCCAAAGCAAACAAAAATGGTTCATTGCAGTGTGCAATACTTAGATATACCTTAAGGGATAGGCGGTCTCTAAACCCCCCAGAGAAAGCATCTGGATCCATGGATATCTATCTATCGAGATGTTTCAGAGCTAGCACCCCTGCTAGAGGTTGATGCAACCTTTCAAGTAAGATTATTAGATTTCAACCGTTGTAAATTTACATAGGTACATCGTCTATTCTATACCACAAGAGAAAAAAAACTGTTTTTGAAGCAGATAAAAACTGCGTCTGTAGTACATAGGTAGAGCATACGTAAAGCTACATGCATATGTATGTATTTACCCTACTTAGGTAGGTAACTGAACATACCTGGAAAGCTCAGTCACACTCAAATTGCCCCTTAGGTTCTCAAGGTTACCTCAGGTGCTACATAAGTAGATTTATAGATAAATCATTGAGCAACCCTTCCAAAAATTGATCCAATATATTGCAGTTGTTAAATACTCTAGAACATACCCTCCATGTCCAAATCTAGGAACTCCGGATTACCAACAGCCATTTCTGCCGCATTGAGAACGTCGTCAATAGCATCCATGCCCGCCGTACTAGTATCAAGACCCATATCCTGTCCCAAACCGGTATCCATTCCGGTAGCGGCAGCAGCAGCGGCAGCATTATCCAGCATTTGATTGATGTGGTCATCATCTTCGCCAACACCTGTACCACCAACATTGGCAGCATTAGGTTCAAGATCCATGCGATCCATATGATCTTGAGCCTCGACCCCGAGGTGCATGTTATGGATGATATTGCTAACGTCGATATTCGAGACTTGGGGTGGGGCTGTGAGCACCCCAACACGGCGCCAGAGACGAACAATGATCTGCGCACGTAAAGGATCCTTTTCAGAGGTCTTTAGAACGTTATCATGCTGGAGAGCAAGAGCATCCCTGAGTGTCAGAATTGAACAACGTGGAAGAGGATCCTTGGTGGTATCAACAGGGCGACAGATGTTTTGTTCTACAGCGAAAGACTCAGCCATTGGAGAACATAGCATTGTGATTGCTATATCGAGAGCGTAGTCACCGCTGCCTGCTTGGGCTTGTTGTTTCACTTCGTCTATGAGCGTACTCAGGACACGCGAGGAACCAAGAATGCGGATTCCAGCGAGGAGCTGGCGATGCGTGTAAGATTGAGGCGCCATAGATATTTCTGAGCTTGTGCTCCAGAGGACTAGTGACTGCAATGTACTGCGAATGCTTCCTAGAAGACCACCCGCTGTCTGGGCAGCCCAGCTTTCAATCTCTGAACGATGGCAACTGCCAACTCGTCGGAAAGAGAGATATGGTTCAAGCGCATCGAGGATTGGTTTGATGTCTGATCGAGTTTGATTTCTGGTCCGGACATCTTTTAGTTGCTCTTCCAATGGACGGCCAGTAATGTGAAGGACGGTCTGGTGTATGGCTTGCGCCTCACCAGAGATAGAGTTGGGTTTCACAAGGGAGTAAAGAGTTCTCAATGGGATCGTGGGTTCCATTTCGGATTCCCAGATATGGTTACCGAGCCATGTTAGTGCAACTACCAGAGATGGTAGTAAAAACGGCTCAAGTAGATCTAGGCAGAAGTTAAAAACGATTCATGCGTTTATTGGGCTTTTCGTGTCTCACATTCAAATCCGCCCTTAAGTGTCTCAAAATCCAACTTCCCCGACTCACATGCACCAAGACTTTGATCAAAGAGTGTCGCAACAAGCATGTAAAATTCTTGAGGACTGCATGCTGACATGGTCTCCTCGTTGATTCCTTCAGCCACAAACAATGCCACGATCCATCCACCAAGATCTTTGTTCTGTTTCTCGCTTAACTCGCTGAACTTCTGACCGCAAGATCCTTTATCAAGAAGTTTGAGCAGGAACGAATCCTTGCTAGATATTCCCAAATCAGCGGAATTGAGATCATAACGATATTTGAAAGCAAGTACGAGCAGCAGAATGCTACCGAACTCTTCATAAACCGGCTGATTCTCGCCCTGGTCTTCGTCCCATCGCCAGGAATCTAGTAGTGAACAAAGAGGCTGTAAGATTTGTGTCGTGGTCCGGAAAAGTAAAACAACATCCATGGCTTGTGGGCGCCGTGAAAGTGAATTACATATGTTCTTCAGCGTCATCGTTTCTTTTTGATTGCAAAGATTGAACATGACCTGTTATAAGTTAGTTGCTAGATCAATAAGCATGAGGGTTAGATATATAGTTGCGCACCTCAGTTATCGCACCCACTATAGCACCTGCATTGCCTTCCATCGACTCGATTTCCCCTATCAATTGATCTGCTCGCTCAGGATTGGTGTTGATTTGAGAAACAAGGTCGTCCTTTTGATACGGGCCTCCCACAGGCAAGGTCTGCATAGGGTTCTCTCCCAGAAGTCGCTCTATGCTGGACTCTGCGATGAGTCTCTGTGATGCACATGCAAACAGGAACTCTTGACGAGCGTCCGAGAGAATGCTACTTCCCTGTGTAGAGAACATTTGAGAAAAAGAGGGAAATGCGTTGGGGTCGAGTCGGCTGAGGGCCTGGGTGACACATAGCTCCACATTGATAGGGACTATAGACGCTGCTATCATTGCTGCAAAGAAGGAAGGAAGCTTGTTCACAAGAAAGGTCCGAAACAGAAACATTGTTCGACTCGATTCGTTGCGGTATACGCCATTGGCTAGAACGTCGAAGGCGGCCGTGATTATCTCCTCAATCAAAATTTCTTGATGGCCTTCATAGCGATTGGTAAGATAATTAATCAATATCGAGTCATCAACCAACGGACGTCCCACAAGCATGGAGTTCAGATACACGTAGAGTCCAGCTCTACTGTTGATGACTGGACCGTCCATTACTGAAGCCTCGAACTGAAGAGTGTTGACATTCATGCCTTCCATAGCAGGGTGGTCTAGTGGTTTCGAGGTTTGTTCACTATAAAGATTGAAATCTTTTTGAATAGCATCTAACCGATGGCGCAGAGATATATCCATGCACAAGGGCAGATAATCTGAAAGAGCTTGGCCCAGCTTGGTTTTTAACCCTTTGAAAACTCCATTTTTATAGTCACTGGAAAGCGTTTCTAGTCCCTTGGCAGTAACAGATAACGCAGCAAGAAGGACACCAAGAGATTCAAACAAAGTAACAGCATCGGGGGAGCCCATCAAGCCGCCTGTATGATGTGATACATCGATGCTGGTGTTATGCCATGCAACCAAAGCCCCAATCCACTCAGCAGTGGCAGAATAGAGTTCTGCACCCTCGGTGACAGATATGGGAATGGATCCATTAGAAATAGAGAGCATGACATCTTGGATAACCTTAATATCTGTCATGAGAGTGGAGACTTTCTTTTTGGTCTCGTCCTTTTCATGAAGGGAAGAGTGCTTGAGAAGGCTCGACAGTGCCGTAGCTGGCCTGATTTGGTCTGCTTTGCAAAGCCCGTCGATGTAAACAGGCAGCAAAGGATCCCAGCTGATAGCAGATGCGGCGTGGGAATCCACAAGGAGATCAAGTAGCTCCTCTTCATTAATTGGATAGCGTTTGAGCATAAGCTTGGACAAGCTCTTGAATTCATCAACATCTACACGATGCGCTAAACATCGCTTGAGGAAAGTCCTCCACTTTGCGGGTGATGCCATGCCAGGCATTCTTATAAGACTTTCAGGCACATAACAGCTGGGAGATAGACATATAAAGAGTATTAGATTATAGGATGGGTGTCAGCATCTTAGTACCTGGAAGTGGATGAGATCAAAGCGATTCATGCCCCGATTGGGTGAAGGGATGGCGTTTCGACGGGTCACATGATATTAATAGTCACGTGGTGTCACGAAAATAGACTAACGTGATTCCCGGATAGTCCACCACCCCACTTGATGAATATATCTCCGTAGCAACCCTTTATTTTGCAACACACACCATGCCTCCAATCTCTGCCTTGAAAAAAAGCAGAAATTGGTAGAGCAGGAGGGAAGGATCTTATTAGCTATTAAAGCTATAAAATATGGTAAATCATCTTCTGTTTTAGTTGTATAGAAGTCTTCTGATGTGTTAAGATCAACTTTATGTGACCGAATGAAGGGGAAACTAAATCTAGTCAATATGCGCTCAAATCGTCTTAAATTTACTGAAATTGGAGAGAATTTAATGAAGAAATGGCTACTCGCTATGGATTCTAGGGGAGCTGTCCTTACTTATGCTATATGTCGAAACATGGCTAATCTTTTGCTCCGCTTGTCGCTCGCTTAGCGAGCGTAGCTAGCTAGTCGCTCGTTACTGAGAACAGTGAGCTCCAACGAACCGCTACTCAACACCGTAGACAATCCACCGGTCTGGTAGTGGATTCCTACTAGTTGAATATTGCAGTTGTTGTGAAGTCTGCTTTTTCATTGATGAAAGAGCTAGCTACTTATAGTATATGGGTGCCCCTCTGCCCTGGACGAATGTCATCATTCGTCCGAGACAGAAGAGACGGTGAAGACGGGACATTACTGTCGCGAATGCGCATCGCTCAAGGGTGTCGTTTGCGATGAATGCGTATCGTTCAAGGATGCCGTGATATACTAATCTAGTTCCAGAGTCACTGTCTTGGCAGAAGCTTTTTCGGCCGAAATACTTTCCGTCTGTTGATGGCCTTGTTTCTCGGCTGTCGCAACAATCTTACCTGATTTAAAGGAGATATGTCAATGGAGCGATGGCTTACTAAAAAGGAGCTCAATTAGAGCTTAAATCAGAGCTTAGATATAAGCTCTAATACGTAGATGGGTGAAAAAACAAGGCATAACTATACTAGATGCTCTGGTCGTGCTATTCAGTATGTTTTATCATGTTTTTGTATCTAAATATGGAATTGAAATTGATGCGTTTTCTGAAATTCTTGGGAATCACGTTAGTAAGCGAGTATTCACTTGCCTGACAATTGGAAAACCAACAAGTAATAGTTTTTTACCTGCTGCCCCGGAGTGAATGGGGTCTTTTGATTCTTGGACAGCTTTCATTATATCAGGGACAGGCCATATCAAAAATAAGTTGTATCGAATATCCAGTGCGCTACTGTATTTCGCGAATTCCGGATGTAATCTCACTGAAAGTAGTCTTTTGGGTCAGTTGGGACTTCGGGAGCATATATAACCTGGAGGGTGGTTAGGTACACATTGATTTCACTTACATAAATGTTGATTGCTCGTCTAATGAATGGCTGGGTCAAATCATATTGTCTCGTAAGACTTCATTCGGCATGACTTTTTCTGAAGTCGGAGTCGTGACATTTCTATTACAGACTTGTCACTTTAGAGTCAACGATCAGCAAGCCATGAGTCATGACATCGATGCCCTTGACCAAGAACGCTGAGCTGATTCCTTCCATGAACATTCCTTTTCTGTTCTTCCGGCACTATCCACCACACTGAAGAGTGTTTCTAGTAGCTGCTGTCTCAGATGGAAACCTGTGAACCAGTAAGATGCTCAGGTGTGGAGTTCGTATGCCTGTTCATACCTAGTAATAACCTCAGATAACATTGAAACATCCTCAATTGGGCTCATATGATACATGGCCAATATTCTTGGAAAGGATAGAGAAGTCTAAGGTTATTGCAGATATAACGCCATTAAAAAAAGTGCGACGCCTGAGCAGACCTTCGTTTGTGAGTGGTTTCATAAATACTCCATCTATTTGTGGATATTTGGTTATACTAGTTGCAGTCTTATTTCAACCAACTAACTATGTGCCCACTCCATATGGATAAAATCAGTAGACAGGCCCCTAATGAGGAATAAACAAGGATTATCATCAAATATGATTATCCGACGCATGGAAAATCTCATGAAGAAGCGATCCAACATTCCGAACCGCATTGTAGTATCTCGGACCCGGAGTATGAGCAAGGAGACGGAAATAATGACTGGTTTGTTTTCAGTTTGGAAGATCTCGATTAGTGAATAAAGGGGAGGCGCATATTATTACGTATATAAAAAAAAGTTCTTAGGTCCTAGCTATAATAAAATACTAAAATTTGGTATCAAGAAATTTCAAATACATTGCAGTTTGTTGATTTTTAAGGTAGTTTAATTACCATCCCACATCCCCAGTTATCCCCAGCTATTTAATTCTCCGGGTACTGGGGAGAGGAGAAACCCCGGCAAAAATAAAATCAGGAAGAAATATGGGAACTCGCGGACTTAAATGGAGAAAATCAATCAAGTTTGTTGTAATACAGTCACACTCATAAGTTTTTGATACTTGACCCACTTAGGTACTGCCGTACAGAAACCAAGGAAAGGCTATGATTTGCTATTAAATTTATTATTATTGACATTGGAGTGCCGGTGTATGATTATAGTAGGCGGTATAGGCTACTGTCAGATTAACTGAAATAACCCTGGTTTAAAAACTTACAGATCAGCGCCACTTAATCTTTTAAATGCCGCATTATCTACCGCTCTACCTCGAGGATACCTAAGGAGTAGCGGATTTTCATGCAAATTTGACGGATTCACTGAGTACAACAATATGGAGTACTCCATAGTACCCCTGAAAATACATGATCTGTTCTCACTGAACGGCAACTGTACCAAGTAGTCAGTGAGAGTACCGCGGGGCAGAAGTGCTAGAAAGTGGTAGACCTCACGAGATGGGGAATCTCCAGATGTCTAGATCCTTGTCCAGGCCCCAGGCTTTCCAAGGTTTCAACTTTATCGTCAAGCCAAGCTCTACCTATGTAAACTATATAATATTGGTTATATCAGATACAGTTATGACTTCAATTCACCGAAAGACGGACCGATCCCGTTAGTGTCAACCTTGGAAGATACTAGGAGTAACTCAACCTTTCATTCCTCACAGAGAACCTTGGAAGTGCCGCATTGTTTCGGATGTTGACCGACCTCGGGATAATCCGTCCTTCAGTAAACGGAATCACTCGGATATATAGGCAGCGGCCTTGGCAATGTTCTAGGTTTATTCTGTGGTACAAGTGGTATTAAATTCAAAATTGGGCGACAAGATCGAGTTTTTTTGGGTAGTGTCTCCACCTGAAAGCCTTTTTATTTGAATGCGTGAAATGACGTATGGAAACACAGATCCAAAAATGATCTCACTGACTTTAACTGTTCAAATAAGCTCCACAAATTGATCAATCCAAGTGGGGGCGAAAGGGTCTGGTGGGTTTAATTGGTGCAGAAGTACTATGCTCTATCGGCTTGCCGAAGCCGAAAGATCCGACTTGGAATTGTTCTCGGGTTATACCTATGGATTGAATTTATCTCAATTTTATTTTATTTTATGTAGGATCCACCTTATAAGCACCAATGACGACGTTTTCAGTGCATACCATTAATATATATATATATGCACCGAACTCCCCAGCGAAAGCGGTCGTCTGGACACCATCTTCTAAGTTTCAGTCGCATTCTAACGTCGATTGAAAGTCATGGCAAATGGAGACGAGATCAGAGGGGACTCGGTTTATGAAAAACCGGTCCCTGCTCCTGAACAATCGACTTATCTTATGAAGCCTAAAACCAAGCAGACAATTATGGAAAAGTCAGTGCTTCCTTCGTTTTCTCTCAATTGGACATTCAACTGACTTTCATTTAGAATAAATGACATGATATTTGGCGGAGATGGTGGCATGGAGATGCCCCCACTGGATCAGATCGAAATTCACACCTGGAATGGCCCCGATGACCCCGACAACCCATTCAACTGGGGCTTCAAATACAAGTGGATCATGACACTCACCATCTGTTTTGTGTAAGCACAATCAAGTAGCTGTTAACTGGAGACTATACTAATATTAGTTTATAGCTCTATTTTGACCGGACTTCCTGCAGGAACATATGGATCAGGAAACGACTGGATGGCAGAGCGGTTCAACGTTCAGAACTCTCCTTTCCCTAACCTGTACTGGGCTACCTGTTCCTGGAACATGGGTGCTGCCGCCTTTCCCCTGGTATTTGTGCCTCTCACAGAGTCTGCTGGTCGAATGCCCGGATATTTCGTGGGTTATATCATTCTGGTCATGACCCTCTTCGGTTCGGCATTCGCACAAAACTTTGCAACCTTGGTTGTCACCCGTTTCTTTGGTGGCGGTGCCTCATCTGTGTCGATTAACATCGTCGGAGGAAGTATTAGTGATATCTGGCCCGGTGATTTGGCTCGCAGTCTGCCAATGTCCATCTTCGGATTCACCAGTGTTGCGGGTATTGCCCTTGGACCATTTATTGGATCATGCATTGTGCAGATCAACAGACATGATCCCTGGCGCTGGTAAGTCTTTTTTCCCCCTCATTTCCTACAGAGCTACAATCCTGACTGAAGTTTCGTAGGATCTTCTATATCCAGATTATCTACAATTCCGCCCTGATCCCAGTCTTCTACCTCATCCTCAAAGAAAGTCGTCCCGATGTCATCCTCAAAAAGCGGGCTCAGAAGATCCGTCGGGAAACAGGCCGCCCCATTTATGCCAAGTGCGAAATAAACGCACCTACCAAAATTGAACTCTTGAAAACCTCTTTCCAACGCCCGACTCGCATGCTTACCACTGAACCCGTGGTTATCTTCTTCACTCTGTGGGTCAGCTTCGCATGGGGTATCCTCTACCTCTTCTTCTCCAGTGTTGTGCAAACCTTTAGCACCAACTATGGCTGGGATCTCCTCGCTACTGGATTGGTCCAACTCGCCATCACCGTGGGTGCTATCATTGGTACGGCCATCAACCCTTTCTCAGATTACCTTTATTTGAAGTCTGCAGAGAGGAACACTGAAAAGCCTGGTAAAGCAATTCCCGAAGCAAGGTTGTACACTGCCATTCCCGGTAGTATCCTCTTCGCAGCAAGTCTGTTCTGGTATGGTTGGTCTAGTCAGCCCCAAGTGCACTGGATCGTCCCAACCATTAGTATCACCGTCGCCGGTCTCGGTGTCTACTCCATCTACATGGCGGTCGTTAACTACCTAACTGATGCCTATGAGCGTTACGCTGCATCTGCTTTGTCGGCTGCATCGCTTGGCCGAAATGTGTTCGGGGCATTCTTGCCGCTGGCTGCGCCTCAGTTGTTTACCAACCTCGGCTTTGGATGGGCCGGTAGTCTTGTTGGATTCATTGCATCTGCTTTGTCCGTTGTTCCTATCGTACTTGTGCTTAAGGGCCGACAGATTCGTGCACGTAGTACCTTCATGTCTCAGGCTATGTGGGAGCCCGAGGAAGATATCGAGATTGATGATTCCCACAAGAGGGAAATGGGTCCTACTGCTGAAAATATCGCGTGATAATCGAGATCTCAAGATAATCTTCTTTGCGGTGAGAGTACTTTTGTGTAAAGAAACTATGCATTATTTAGCGGATCTTTTTTGTTTAATTTGCATGTGCGGGGGCGAATAAATAATTTTCCGGCGACGGAGTAATAGAAGTTATTCATAAATTCCTTCCTTCCACATCATAAGTTTTTAGGCTCATTTTTTTTTTTTTTTTTAATATTTTCCTCGGAATAAGCTGCAAGCATGGTCAAGTCCAAGGCTGCTAAGCGTAAGCGCAATGCGCAAACTGACCTTCCTCAGAAAGTCGCAAAGGCAACCCTAACGCCACCTCCCGATGGCACGAATATCGATCCCAAGAACCTTCAGACGGTCGTTTCGGACGAAGAGCTTGATATCACAATTGAGACGCTTGCTACCCTTGCGCAATTTCCCAATTTGACAAAGTCGAAAGCATGCAAAGATCTCCGAGTAGCAGTTTATAACTTCCGCCAGGCCTGCACCACCGGCGTCAATACCGCCGAGGGCGCAAACTTGACAGCACGAATTACCGCTGCTCTAGTCGACGAGAAATACACCGATGCCAGAGTCCTACTCGCTGAGATGAGGATCAGAGGCGAACAGCCCAAGATCGGAGCATTGTGTCGCTGGGTGCGAGATCTTGACGTCGTCAGCGGTCTCTCGACCCATCCCGAGGCACTTGACCGCGTCCCTCTCAAGCGCAGCGCCAAAGAGCTAGAACTACTAGCTCTTCTCGACGCTGTCCTTCGTGTCAGCACTCCCATCGACACTAACCCGAACGCCGTCGATTCAGTCTCTCCAATCGCCTTCCAATCTATCTGGGACCTCCGCCCCTCAACAGCGCCGCTCCCAATCTACGAGTCGGTCCTAAACAAATCAATATTGGCCGAAGCACCCAAGTCCCCCTCTGCCCTCCGAATAATTGAAACAACCCCCGGTCCCCTTCGCAAACCCCCGAACCACCACCCCGCCATCCTCTACACCACCGCCCCGAACGCCGTTCCTCTCGCCACCGTCGGCCCAACAATAACATACCACCCCCACCCAGCCGTCCCAGCCCTCGGACTCGCAATGAACGTCCTCTCCCCATCAGAGTGCAAGGCGATTATAGCAGCAGGTGAATCTATAAATTTCATCCCGGACGCACCCCTCCGCGAAGACGGAGACATGAGCATCCTCGCCCACAACTTCTACTGGATCGTCGACACCACGTTCCACGATATGCTCTGGTCGCGAGTTTCCGCCTATGTCCCACCCTCCATCAACGGCCGCCTGGCACGAGGTATCAACCGCCGATTCCGCGTGTATAGATACGTGCCCGGTGCCGAATACCGGTGCCACATAGACGGAGCATGGCCGCCATCGGGTATTCTCCCCGATGACACATACGTCTACGACTCTTCACCTGAAGGGAAAAAGCAGAGCTCCATGTATACATTCTTGTTATATCTCAATGATGAGTTTGAGGGTGGAGAGACTACTTTCTTCATGCCTGCTGCGCGCGAGGGAACCCTCAATGCGTACCCGGTGCGGCCTGTCATGGGAAGTGTTGCGATATTCCCCCATGGCGAGTCTAATGGCGCATTGTTGCATGAAGGGACGGGAGTGAGAAAGGGCGCTAAATATATTATAAGGACTGATGTGGAGTATGATGTTCAAGTCGAAGAGTGATGAAGATATGAATTATATAAAAGTTATTTAGTTCCAACGTTGGAACCCATTCAAGTCAGTTGCCGTGCTTCATTAATAAGTTGTATCTGCAATTTCGAGTTCTCAATGTGAAGGGCGTCTCGCAAAGAACATGCTTCCAATATGCGTCTCTATGAAAAAAAAAAAATGAACAAATTCTTCCGATTTTGAGATGATTTCAGTTTTCTTGATACATGATTTGATGACGCCTTGAAAGTCTTGAATTTGGATTCAGGCTGTGATCATCGAAGCGTGAAGTAGATGGGGTAATTCTAACTTGAAAGATTACGTGATCAGATGGATGAAATACAAGGAAAGGAAAGTAGGTTATATACTAAAGGCTAATGGTAGTAAAAGATTATAGATAAATTAGGTAGATGTACCCATTTGCATATTCCACCTGCCATCTCATGAAGTAGTCGTAACATCAAATGATAGGCAGCTGCTTAGAAATATAGTCAAGGTCTCGGATGCCGGATTGGAGGGACTAAGAGGGCGTTGAAATAGAGGGGGGTGTTAGCTCAAAGTAAGGTATGCTTGATGAAGAATGAAAGAAAAAAGAGAGTCTCGAAGAATATTGGGTATACTCTGTAGTTGGGACAACACACTAGTCCGTAATAGGCGAATGGTTCATGTTATGTGATATTAATCAGATTGAGGCTCTGATCTACGCCCCACTTATTTACTTATTTACTGAATAACTTGACAAGCATTGGATAAGACGCAAGCCTTGGAAAAACTGACACAATGATGTCCAAAATATATCTAATAAGCTCCAAGATCATTTAAGAAAGATGGGGAAAGAATGGGATGCTATTATATTCCAAAGACCATACGGTAGTTGATAACAGTGAGTAGCGGGGCACCATAGGCTGGAGGTTCGAGTCGTGCTTCCTCCGTAAACCCCCCAAAAACTGTCATACGAGTTTTAGTGATAACTACCAGGGACGCCTGGTAGTTGTGAGTTTTTGCCAAATCCCCATCATACTCCTCATAATTCTGAACCACCCACTTATCCATATAATCGCCACTCATTTACTAGAAATTGGGAATCGCAGGATACAAAAAAAACCGACAGAATGATTTGTTCTTCAAAAGTAATCTAATGAACCTCAAGGTGATTGGAGAATGAGGGAGGAAAGATATCTGGACTTCCAAAGTCATTCTGTGTCTCAATTACATAATGAGCTAAATTTATGTCCTGCGATACAACCTTAGAAATAACCATGACCACTTCAATCATTTACCGTTTGCATCCTCTCAATTGCCTATGTATTGTCTTACTAGCCATACCTATCCACCTAGGCTCTCCGGTTACAACTATTCATGAGATGGAGTTTACTTCTCCAACAACCAGGGGGTCGCCAGTGGTTAAAAGACGCCATTGTAAAGTATCTGGCCAAACATCAGAAATGATCTGAGTAGAAAGAAATCGGAAAGTTGTGTCTGAATTTGAGCATAAGTATATACTTCTATAAGTCCGAGGGGTCTGCCAATATGTTTCATGATTTTGCCGGTTCTACTGGGACGCTAATACAATTACTGGGACATGATGTTGAGAATATCCATTGAATTTCATTATCGTGACCATTCCACCAGCAGACTAGAAAAAGTTAAGCCAGCGATGTTCAGGGAATCATCAAATGCAGAGAAACCAGCGCCTCTATCCATAACCCGCTCCTTCAAAAATCAAACATCATTTTTTTTTCAACCACCACGCTTTTTAACCAGTGATGGAGAACTGATTTTAAGGCATTAATACCCTAAGCCCACCAATCTCCTTGGTCGTGCATGGCCTGAGCGACCTTGCTGAATCCTGCAATGTTGCTACCGGCGACCAGGGAAGGAAGGATACCCTCAGTGGGGGTAACGTACTTCTGAGCGGTGCTGAGACCGTTCTGGAAGCAGTCCTCCATGATGTTCTTGAGACGGTTGTCAACCTCCTCAGTGGTCCAGTTGACACGGGCAGAGTTCTGGGCCATCTCGAGACCGGAGACGGCGACACCACCGGCGTTGGCGGCCTTACCGGGGGCGTACCAGATGGCAGCAGCACCGGGGTTGGCGTTACGGTGGGCCTCGAAGACATCGATAGCCTCCTGGGTGGAACCCATGTTGGAGCCCTCGGCGATGAACTTAACACCAGCGGCGATCAGGGCCGAGGCCTCCTCGCCGGAAACCTCGTTCTGGGTGGCGGAGGGCAGGGCGACGTCGATGCGACCGACGATGTTGGTCCAGGGGCGGGCACCGGCGATGTACTTGAACTTGGAGCTGAAGGCGGAGGTAGTGGCGAGCTCAGCGATCTGCTTGCGCTCAACCTTGATAGCGGCGATCTGGTTGATCTCCTCGGCGGTGAAGCTGCCCTCCTCGCCCTTGAGAACGAGAGCACCCTGGCTGTCGGAGAGGGAGACGACGGAACCGCCGAGCTCAATGACCTTCAGAGCGGCGTACTGGGCGACGTTGCCAGATCCGGAGATGGCAACGCGCTTACCGGCGAAGGACTCCTTGCCGCCGGAAACGTACTTGATCATGTGCTCGGTGTAGTAGACAACACCGTAGCCGGTGGCCTCGGGGCGGATCAAACTACCACCCCAGCTGCCACCCTTACCAGTGAGAACACCCTCCCATTGGTTGCGGATCTTCTTGTACTGGCCGAACATGAAACCGATCTCACGACCGGTAACACCGATATCACCGGCGGGAACGTCAGTGTCGGCACCGATATGCTTGGACAGCTCCGTCATGAAGGAGACACAGAAGCGACGGATCTCGTTGTCGGACTTGCCCTTGGGGTCGAAGTCGGAACCACCCTTACCACCACCCATGTTCAGGCCGGTCAAGGCATTCTTGAAGATCTGCTCGAAACCGAGGAACTTGAGGATAGACAGGTTCACAGATGGGTGGAAACGGAGACCACCCTTGTAGGGACCGAGAGCAGAGTTGAACTGGACACGGAAACCACGGTTGACTTGGACCTGAGATCTCAGTTAGCAAAAGATAAAGGGTGGTTTAGTCGGATAATATTCATACCTCGCCCTTGTCATCTTCCCAGACAACACGGAACTGGAGAACACGCTCGGGGATAGAGACGACCTGGAGAGCCTTGCGGTACTCTGGGTGCTGCTGGAAGAGAGTGGAGTTCTCAAGGGTTGAGGCAAGCTCTATATGATTGGTTAGCCTAACATCCCGATCCCACTTGCCGAAGATACCGGATTAGGTAATTGTGGAGGGTCATCGATAAGAAGAAATTAAAGCAATTGAAGCAACAATAGATACATTGTATTGAATGTAGAATGAATTAAAAGAACTGAGGATTAACATACCATTGTAGGCCTGCTCGAACTCGGGCTCAGATGGAAGGTTCGACATTGTGAATTAGACTTATTTTTTTGGATATATGAAATAGAGTAGTAAAGAAGAAGAGAGAGAGAGAGGTAGAGGGGAGGAAACGGTGTTAAATAGACAATCGGGAGAGGAGCCGGAGTCGGACAGGGACAGTGAGGACGGGAGAAACAGGAGATTATGGAGTTATAGTAGTAACACAAGAGATCCAAGAGACCCGTGGGAGAGAATGTCCGAAGTTCGGGGGTCCACAAGTTCATGTTATCCTATACTTTAATGTCACAGATTCATCCTTATCTATGGTGGCGTCCAATTTCTAGCCATTCATAATCCCTTCTCCAGGTTTTTGTCGGGTCGATGCCCTCCGACATACTTTTTTATTTTATTTTATTTGGTACCTATTCAATCTATTATTTTAATAATATTCTAGGAGTTCGAATTGATACTCATAGCGTTACATGGCCATGTGCTGCAAACGGCGACTACACTCGGAGTGCAAGCACAACTCCGGACTCTTCACCTAAAAGCCGGGGCCCCACCTCCAGATCTTTTAGTACAAAGGATGTAATACGGCTCATAGGCTAGGATAAACACTCTCACCGGGTAAATGCCGACGATCGGGAGTTTTTATTGGCATCGCACGACGTGCCTTATGTATATCGAGATTGGCCTGCAGAGTATAAATAATGCTACAGAGTACAACATGCGGAGTTTTGCCCGTAATGTTATTATAGAAAGAACCCTACTTAACCCACAAAAGGCACTGCCGTACCCGACTTCAGCGGCAAAACTTAAAAAAAAAAAAACATATGATTCGTTTTTCCGGGCCCCTCACTAAGTTCCCGCATCTTGGACTTTTGAAATATAGGCCAATGGGAGACCTAGCAATTCCGAAGGATCATAAGGATCAGTTGAGCTCCAATGGATTTGTTCATCGATCTTAGTGCTACTAGTAATCCCGGGCCCTTGGAACCTTTGAGATTAGTACGTAGTCTGTGCATCATGTAGGTGCCGCTTAATCTTATCAATCTCCGAGTCAAATTTTATTCTACTTTCAACAAACACATCTATTTATTTTTCTACTCTTGCTACTGGTAGCAGGCTTTCTCTATCCCATTTGAATGAAAATTAATCGAAGATTTGTCACGTGAGATACACGATGGACCTGATATTCCTGTCCAAAAACTATGGTCGCACCCGGACGGTCACGGTCAAGCAGTCTCGCTCTCAGCAGAGGAAACAAAGGTCATGAATTATTACCTAGGTATTGAGATTCTTTACTCCAGAATCTAGGTACCTAGGTATAGAATGCCCAGGTGGAATACTGAATCATAAGCTACCTGCATCCATCCGTCCGTCCATACCTAGGTAGATTTCTTGTTCGATATTGACACCATGGGCTTGCATTGATCTTACAGAATGAGTCTCTTAGGATGAGCACGGTCAGACTCTGTTTGAGGACATGGTAACAGCGTTCATGAAGTCGTTTCATAAAGCAAATGGAATAAAATATCGAAGGAGCTTGTGACGTTACTTAGGTAAGTTTCTTGGTGGACACCACATCTACTCATGACTTCAGGACCTGGCCATTTAATGGTTCTCCAGGGCTGTTACTGTAAACAAAACCCACAACTCCCTTACCTAGGTAAGGATGGATACTTTCCATTCTAAAATGCCAAGGTTAGTTCTAGCTCTGTCCATTTCTCACCGACAATTGAAGTTATTTGACCTCGAGATCATATGCAGCACATCGCAGTAAACCTCTCAGCCACAAGTGGCTAGTGCATAAAATCAACTCTGCTACCGTCAGAGCATCTAAATCCAAATCCCACAAACGATAAACAGGACGATCATCCGACTAGTGTTCCCTCCCTTGGAATCCCTTGAGAGAACCCTGCTGCACCGCTTCCACCTCGGCCCAATACAACGCAGTATAATACAAATCACTTCCAAGGTTTAGAGATCTTCACGCCGCATGCCTGTTTCTCTACTACCGGCCGAAATATAAGATCGACACCGTACTTCAACCTTGAACATCACCACCCCACAGTGGCAACCCCATGGAAGCAAGTTGCAGTGATGTTAATCTGGAAGAACCTCAAATTTTGAAACCTCCCCGGATGTTCTATTATGTGGTTGGGCATAGAGGCCGTGCGGAGATCTGCAGATTGATAGGTCACATTTCCTTTTAAACGAATCTTGGTCAGAGCTTGGAGAACCTGGGATTATTGCTTACATAGCCCTGGGGCTCTGGGGGTCTGGGGGTCTGACCGTCCATCAATATTGAGGATTAACCTTGGACCTCATATTAACGCTCTCCTGCTCACCTCAATTTTTGGTGTACATCATGAAATTAAAGTATTGATTTAGTCCACGACCCCTTAACCTTCAGGTGGGGTAGTGGATTCGTAGAGCTATTACCAGCACGAGTTGTACTCCGTACACCCGTACTCGGTAATCCGTACAGATGAGCCTGCATACCCTAGAACATGGGTTGCCGCTGCAAGATCCCTGCAGAGCGTAGCGCTGGGACCTCAGACCTCAGACCTGTGGACGACATCTGATATCAGCGGGATGTACTACAAGTCAAGGTACCTAGGTAATGTGTGAGAACATGACGTTGAGTTGATAATTTAAACACCAGTGGCCGCATTAGGTCAAAAGAGACCGGGATCTATTACTATCTAAATAGTCCACATAATCGGATAAAGTCTTGAGCCGCCACTAGTATCCATACTGTTGGGAACCTTGGAACGTGTCGGATTGCGTGCAGCTTACGGACCCGCTCTTGAAAAGGGGAAAACCTCCCCTTTCTCCAATAAGAAGTTGAGATAGGCCTATATGGACAATAAGTGCTGTCGATAATTAGAGGTGCTACGATTGGGCCATTCAAATTGTTGACATTGGTCTTATGCAGCATGTTACTTCTTCTATTGACGCCATGATGTTAAATTTAGGAACAGATCGCGATTGTTTCTCCTTTGTCGCATGCTGAATGGTCAAAGATCTTGCTAAGGGATGAAAATGCGGCTGGGTATTGGGATAGGACCTTCCAAGGCTGGATAGAGCTCATTTGTACTCTATGATACTAGATCTAGTAGGAGCGCCACATACGATCACGCTATCTCGTTTTATTGTAGTGAATTTTCGATTTTTTTTTTTTTTTGAGTGTAGGACGGAATGGAAAGGAGAACCGATCGGACTAGATATGAAGTACATGAGGATGAATGGAATTGTCAGCATGATATTGATACTTATATGGAATTGCGTGGTCAAAGGTTCCAATCATGACTAGACACCTTGCAGAGAGAGAGAGAAAAAAAAAAAAAAAAAAAGGAGAGAACTTTGGAACCAAAATTTAATTAAATAATTTAATAGAGCTTAGAATTGATATTTATATTTTATATATGATAACTGAAATACCCTAATACACTAAGATCTCATTCCATAACTCGGATAGACCCGTTCTGATGGATCAATTCCGATTTTCTCTAGATTTTAGAACCAAAAATACATCAGAATCCACCAAAATCCACTTCTAAGAAACTCTTTAACAAGTTCGGCTTTTAACTTTCTTTACTCTATTTTCTATTATTTTCTTCCTTCTTTCTTCCTTCTTCCTTCTTCCTTCTTCCTCTTTCGTATATTCTTCTACCATTATCCCTGGTATCGAACTAGATGGCCCTCTGACAGATGTCCAACAAGTCTCAATCAAGAGGATCTGAATTCGGATTCAATATCCGAGATCTGTTCCGATCTCGATCTACTGGCTCTGCTTCACCTTCCGCTTCCCGGCGAGTCTCTCTTTTGGTCCGTCGAGGTAGGAATATCTTTTCTAAGTAATATCTCCTCCCCCTCCAAAACACAAGGCACATCCTATACTATTTGGAATAAAAGAATAAGAACATTTCGCTGAGACAATAAACGACAGCAGACAAGACAACGGCAAGCCAGTAGAAGTGACTGAACCGACCACACCTTCAGCCATGAATTCACAACCACTTTTTGATCCCGCCAACATGATCGGCCTAGGTGCCCCTCACGGAAGACCACAAGAAAATTTTGACATCTTCGAGTGGTATCCTCGTTATCAGAGCTGCCAAAAATACTTCCTGGATCATGCCCAACACAGCATCCCCGTACAAGCGCTTTCTTCATTCTTGAATATCCGACTCCCATTTCAGCGACAATCCCATCCAACCTCCAATTCAAATCCAGCGCCATTTGCAGAAGGCCAAGCACCCGGCCCACCCTCCGTCACATTAATTCCATACATTCGTCGCCTAGTCGCTACTGGAATGGATTTTCCGGGTGTTCTTCATGGCTTCTTCGGTGATGACTGGAGCTCTGGAATCGGTCCCATTCACGAGCAAGAAAGGCGCAACTATCTATTCGCCGCAAAGAGCGGCGGTTGGGCTTCTGTGAAGAAAGACTACGACATGTCACCATTGGAGACTATCCCATTTCTGCGCCCGCTACAAGGACCGTTGGATGCAGAGATCGAAGGTGCTGAGCGCAGTTGGAGCGAATGGCTTGCTATGGAAGATTGGATGGTTGGACCTCGCGCACCAGATATTCTACAGGACTCATCCTCACAAAACTCGCAACCTCGAAATGCCCTCTGAGAATTGTTCTTTTACTCCCCATTCTCGATTTTCTCTTCTGGCTTGTCTTCATATTACCCCCCTTTTTGTTTTTCTTGTCTTTCCGGGGCCATTATACGGGCCGGCGACATGGTGTTGAGCCCATTGACCTTGTCTAGCGATCATGTCTGCTTTCCGACTCTTTAGCGTTCATTCTTACTGCATCAACACGGACTATTCGCCCTTTACGTCCAACCCTTGGAACTAGACATTGATGAATATATACCTCACACATGTCTGCTACAACAATAGAAGAACCAAACTATCACCATTTTCAACGTCTGACGAAATCCGTCGGATCAAAGACATTAATTGGTAGGCTTCAACAGGACTAGAAATTTATCTTTCAATTGCAAAAAATCAACTCAGAAACAGCTAGTGATGACTAGTGATTGGTGTGTATTTTTTTTTTTTTTTATATAAATTTTCTTTTCCAACCCCCCACTGGTTTGTACATTCCACTGTGGAACCAGACAATCCAGATCTAATACTAGTGAACCTCGGTCTCGCTCTTAATCCCTGTTTGTTCTTTTTTCAATGGCTTATTTACCCATGGGTTGAGAATTGTGGTAGCTGAGATATAATGGAGATCAGTAAACGGTAAGCAACTATATCCGACGGAATGAAGAGCTAATATAAATTCTGTTTCGCTGGAAAAAAAAATATAGGAAAGATAAAATCTTTCCAAAACAAGTTTTGCTTTCTTTTCCCACCATTTCCTGAAGTAGTTCTTGTGGCGCAGCTGAAACGAATTATGCGGCTTTTAAAACCCCCGATGTCCGTTGCCCCCCTTTGCTTCTTTTCTACTACATGAGTATATTGACGTGCTCAGATCTTCTTATTTCGTTTCTGTTCTTCAATTGTTTCTTTTTTTTTTCTATTGTAGTTTGGACCTTGTGACCCCCTTTTCAAACAATTTATTTGGAATAATCTTCAGCTTCACTTCGTCATATATTCTACGATCTACCTAGGTATGCTTCGGAGCTGCTTGATATTTTTGGGAAATGAACCGAATGCTAAGCCCAGGCCTCCTGGCTTTACACAAAGTGGACTCGAAGCTAATATCAAAGTATTCTGTAATAATATTTCCTAGTTGAGTCTAGTCTAACTCAGTCCCGTCAATCGAACCAGAAGAACCCTAGAAACTACCCGTGGACCTGGGTTATGAGGTGGATAAACCGAACTGAAAGCAATACCTCGGCGATACAATCTGATCAGCCCTCGGCATATCCTAACAGCCCCCTCATGAATCCCTCCCGATATCATCGGTTCGGATACAACAACCATTCCAGAGGCCCGGGAGAACAGAACCATGGAATCAAAAGACAAGGCTAACGCCATTGCTCCACGTTCTTTATCAAAGTGCCTGCGTTCGCGACGTTGCGACGCTCGCACGAGCCCTAAAGTGGAGAGCTCGGCTCGTTTCAGCTTAATATGGTGCCGTGGCAGTTAACGGTGCCAACGTAGACCTTGTTTAGTCTCATTTCATCTTTGTAGATGGAGTAGGGTGGACTCAATGGGAGCTTGGCTTGGGTACCCGACCTAACTCTGGGTATGGGAACAGCCCCGATTGACGAATGGCACGGGCGTTCTTGGTGTGGTTCACCGGGTGTATGTCGGGTAGACGTCGCCGTGGACCTACAGGGAGAAAGGATCGAAATCTTACCTTAACGTGGAGAATAACTAGATACTAGCTCTGATTGTAGAAGATGCTTATATTGGACGGAGCATTGATGTTTCACTGTTAGTGCTCTAATTCTGGTAACGGGTCACACTATACCCTGCTGTTACCCGAATAGAAACTGATGGCTTTGGTCTCGGAGCTGTTTCTTCGCTGTTTCTGGTTAGTTATACAAACTTCACCGACGCTACTCCGTACAAGGCTTTTCGAAACAGGCTGTGGAGTCTATGGAGAGGTGGAGTGAAAACATCAGGTTACCAGGTTCCCGTATGCCGTGTGGAGCTCGGAAGTTTTCCCATGATTGTGGGTTAGTGGCATAAATATTGATAATGCAAGTAATGCTGTGTACAATTTCCAAATACAGACTAAATTTGATCAGGATTTGGGTCATTCAATGATTAATCAGATGAGCCGAAGAAACCAATTCGGTAGGTATGAAGCCACTATGTACAATGCGGGGGAAAAACAAAAAAAAAAAAAAAAAAAAAAAAAAAAAAAAAAAGAAAACAGAATTGCCGCCGACGCCATCGCTAAAGTGCTAGAGTTAAGTAAAAAGATCCACCCAGTACATGCAAGATATCAAAGCAAAAACAAAGGCGCCATGTAAGGTGGGTATTGAAGGTAGTCGTTATGTACAGGCAGGTAAAAGGGTACTCGGGAAATGGTAAGTACCGAATTGATTTCAATGACACTCATTCCGTAATGACAGAGCATCTTTTTTTGGAGGGGTTCTGAGAATGAGAGCTAGAGTTGGATCTGAAGCTGTGAGATCTGCGAGATGGCGGAGGTTCGCCGGGGATTTGAAAGTCAGGCAGATCATCTGGGTTTGAGAGACTTCGTCGGCGCGATAGAACGCCCCCGTTGGAAGGATTTGCCTTTTCGATGAAAACAGATGGATGTTCGACCACTGCGCAACTCCGGCGGCGAGGGCGACGAAGGTACTCGTTCGGTACTGGGTCAACCTGTTTCTTCGCGGCAGGCACCAGGTTAAGGTAGAGGGGGAAGATGGATCCGGCTGCGAAGACAGCCACCAACACACACATTGAGTACGATTCTCCTCGTGATAGGTATGCAGCGTACTGGGCGAAAGGGAAATAGACCCCACCGCTTATACTCATGCTGAGACAGACAGCAGCTGTCTTGGTATGTTTTCCTGTTCCACGCAGGGAGATAGCGAAGATAGTGCTGAAAACACCGCTTTCGAACAGGTAGACCATCATGGCCATGATGATGGCAGCCGATCCGGTGGTATTCATGCACAGCACTGAGAAGACGATCAATCCGATGTAAGCTAACAGCAAAATCCAACGCGGCTTCAGAAAGCACTGGGTGAAGGCGGTGATGAAACGACCAACGGCAAATACACTGTGGCCAATGGTCAAGAATTCAAATGGTCCCAGAGAAGAATCGGGGTGCGCTGCTGCCGCGAAAGATTCCAGGGCACTTGAAAGGACTTCTTGCCCAGCTACATAGAAAAGCTGCGACCAGATGCCCAGTCCCAGGGTGAGCCAGATCACGGGGATCCCGGCTACTTTGGCTTTGTTGTCTTTCTGGCGCCTGTTTGCCAGCTCCTCTAGATCTTCGTCCGACGCTTCAGGAATAGGCAAGTAGTAGAAAACCATCGCTAAAAGCGCATCGAAAAGAGAGATTCCGAGATAGGTCCATTGAACATCTACCAATGACGAGACGGTCTTCACACTTTTGAAAAGAACCTTCTTGGCGAGAAGTGGAGACACAACGCTGCCAATAGCCTGCACACCTTGCGAGATATTGAGTCGGATCTCAGAGTTCTCAAGGGGTCCACAAAGTGCGATGAAAGGATTTGCCGCTGTCTCCAAAATGGCGAGCCCGAAACCGACGAGGAAATTAGACACCGTGAATGCGACCATCGAGGTGAGCACAGCGGATGGCCAGAATACCAGTGTTCCACAAGCATAGAAGCATAGCCCGGTGATAAAGGTGTATTTAAACCCCCAGGCCTTTAGTACGGGTCGACCAACTAGGAGTGGTCCAAGAAGATACCCACCGAAGTATGCGCCATGAAGTCCCATAGAGTGCCACGAGTCAAGATTAACGATGCTTTGAAACTGCTGGTTAAGTACGTCCAGCAAGCCATATGCAAATCCCAAGAGGAAGAAGAGAAGAGTAGCGAGGGAAATTGGTGCGATCGACTCTCTGTTGCTGAGCTTGAGCATGCTGTCTGGGGTTTTCATGTTGACAAAATCGAAAAAGGGGACATCAGTTGGATATGATGTAGTGGTATGGGTGTTGGCCTCGGTATCTATGGGATTCGTTCCTGGGCGGCCGAGGAAATCAAACATGTCAATAAGTTCATTATCAGTACGTCGAGCATCGTTATTTCTAGCTTGGGATCCTTTGCTTCTGGCGCTGTCCCCAGGTAACATCGATGGAGTGGACCCGTCGGAGTCTGGCATCAAAGCTGGCGAAGGCAAAACCTGGGTCTGTGTCGCGGAATAATATCGAGTTACATTCGTGCGATAGACATCGTCAGAATCCTTGATCATTTGCGGTAACAGGCGAGCAAAGAGTGGCTTGAGGCTCGGCACACAACCGCACATTATCGAGACATTGACCTCGACGACCGACCACATGAAGGAGAGCGACGCATACCCTATAGCTCAAAGTTAGCGCAACCCAGGTTATAGGAAGAATAATCAATCTTACAGCTGAAGTCTGAGTCGCCAAGACTTTGGATATGAATGTCCTTCACGGCTAGTTGGCGATTAGTGGAAGCGTCTTGGAGATAAGCGATTCGAATCACGTCAACCACAGCAACAAAGAACCCAAAACTGAAAGTGACGACCAGGATAATTTTCTGTTTTCTGGGAAGGCGCATTTCCGTCAAGAGAGGCATTGGTAGGAAAAGGATAGCCAAATCAGTGACGATGTTGACAGGGGACGAGGAGAGATAGAGCGTCAATATATCGATGCAATGTGCGTGAGGGTGGGCACTAGCGAGAAACGAGGCTGAGATTGGTCGACATTGAAAGACATTGATCATTGTCAAAGAGAATCCCGCCACGTTCACAACTGCTATCGTGACATAGTTGGCCCATCGAAAGCACTTCTGATTTCGGGTTAAGGTCAGATAGAAAACGAGAATTGACGTTTTGACAGCCATGAGAGCCGGATTCTACAGAGTAAGTTGTATTAGTAATTGGGGAAAAATTACGATGTCCGAGTAGGATGTCCACTTACGTATAGAACGGTGAAGGCATAATTGGCCTTGCTGAGAGCAATGGCGTTTTCAGGCAGGATATCGTATGAGTGAAGTCCGAGTCCATATTTGGTCGCAAAGAAAAGCGAAAATGAAAAACCGAAATCAATGACCTGTGACCAGTCAATTTGAGTAATTGAGAAATGCCGGGGTAAATTCCAGTTGAGTCGGGTGGCGCCCTGCAGGGACCGGGGGGTCCAGCCCAACGATTCCAGCTAGTACTTACCCATGCAAGAAGCATCAAATAATCTTGTAGTCCAACTCTTCTCACAACAAAAACACGTGAGATGAAGCGCAGAGCGACAAAGATACTAGCGATGACGAATAAAGTGATTGATACACCGAGAGTGGCCGAACGACGACTTTCCATGTTGAACGTGCATACAGCCAATGAAGGCGAATTCCGGTCCCTGATAAGTCGGAGATAGCGTGAAAATAGGTGCTAATGCATGATCGGAATTGAGAAAAGAAATGGCTCCATGGTATTTGCCATTTCCTTTTTCAATATTGAAAATTGGCGATTGAGTGGCGAGGAAATATGAAAGGGGGAAAGGAGGGGAAGAGGTTAAGTTCTCCTAGACAGTGGGGAAAATATTGGAAAATATGGGGGACTATGGGAGACCATGGGAGAGACCATGGGAAAATATGGAAAAGATTGGAATGAAAATCAAGAAGCTTAGTGGAGGTGATGATCATATTATTGGTTCTATAGGATCAGAAAAGCTCTGGGGTAATATAAAATAAATTAAATAAGGAAATATAAGAAAATATAAGAAAATATAAGAAAAATCACTATATCCAAGTAAATGACGCTAACGACGCTATATGACGCTAATACTTACGTCGGCTTAAGCCTTCACCGCTGCTTTTACATAGTCTACACAGCGTAATCCATATTTATTCTAACGCCCTGAATAGATCTTAAATCTCTTAAATCTCTTATAGTCCTACCTTTCCAAGAATGTGGTAATACCATCGCCACTTTAAGGCTTGGCGTTGGAGGGACAAAAGCTGGGGTAAAAAGGTAAATCATACTTTAGATTCTTATTCTTATTCTTTTCTCAATTCACCGACTCTTTATCTCAAGGTATCTGGATTCTGAAACTGACTAAGTACTAGAGTGGCATTATGCATGTCATTATGATTCCATTCTATTTCCTGTCGTTTAATTAGCTGGAAATGAACTGGTACAAGTACGAAGTAGTCTATACTACCCGTGGATGTGTACTACTTAACTCCCATATACTCTTTAAATCTTGAAATACTCTCTCCTTTTATTCATCTTTGAATTACTTTAAAAGCTATTATTGTTCTCTAACGTGTATTAGTGAGATGTTATGGATCCACTCGATTAACGTACGACAGTTAGTTTCCGCAGTAACCTTCAAATAGCGGTCACTTTGACAGGTCAACGGCGTAGACATCCGAACATGCTGCATTCTAGACTCGGCACTGACTTCAACTCCCTGTTTATTCATGTACTATTTCAAATTCTTTTCAAGTTTTCTTTTTTTTTTTTTTTTTTTTTTTTGATGTAGAAAAAGTGAGCATCATTATGGGTCCAATTAATCGCTAGCGAGCAACCTTGGCATTTTGAAGATCCACAGATTCCACCTCTACACGGAGCATTTCCGTATGGAATACGGGATACTAGAAAGCACCACAACCTGGAATATTGGAGTTCTTGGTTGAGTCAGACCAACACTCTTTCCAGTGCTCCGATTTGCCATTCTGTTTCGAAACATAACGGAGAAGAACTGCCGACATGCTCGGAAGGTTCCATACCTCGTAACGGCTTTGTGTCGTGACTTGATTCGTTCTAACGCGCATCCTGCTCCCGGTCAAGAACAACGCTAACAGCGATCCATGCCTACAAGCGTTATCATACAGCCAACAATGGCCGCTGGATAAATTCCTTGATCCTGCAACGCGATACGCGTCGAGTTCGCGTTTCTCGAAACTAAGCAAAGGATCTTGTTGATCTTCCCGTAGTAAGAGCCTCTCAGCATCTTGAAACCGCCGGTTCACTTAGATCCAGATCCTGGAAATATTTCTCTACCACAGAACAAGAGACAGGAGTTTAGATCCATATGTCGTCAGCTTGATTTGAGACGAGTCACTGCTAATTCATTGTGTACTGCGTGCAATCTATCACGCCAAAGCTAGCGGGATCAATCTGCGAAATAATCTTGGAATGGATGTCGCCATTTCTGTGTTGTAGCCCATTACGTGGTTCAATGTTGATACTGTGGCCCACTTGGGTGTTCAGAAACAAGTCAGTGATGTTTCAAAAAATTATAACAATGGCTATAGAATCATTCCAATTCAGTATACTAGCTATTACTGAGTCAATTGCTCTTGAGTTATTCCGTTAATTCAACCGAACCAGTGCTCACATGGTTGCAGAAATAAGAAAAAACAGAGTGCGGATTAACAAAGATCCATCTCCACTTAAGCCTCAAATATTTCTTGATTTCAACTTTGCAAAAAATCCCCATTTACACCTGAACACCTCGACTCTTACATTTCCAAGGTTTGTGAGAAAAGCTCTTCTACTTCCCAGGAGACTCAACAATGGGCACATTATAATGACACATTTATATTCCGCACAATGCCTTCAGATGAAATGATGACGTTTATTTAATCCGGGGTAAAAGTGAGACCCACTTGGCATAGACATCTTGGACTGTTCTATTGACACTGGGGTGACGTGGTCAAGCACTATATGCCGATACCCTGCTAGTCCCTGGCTTGATTCTCCTAACATCGGCTGTAAAATCTAATATAGAAATTAACAAAGAGGCAACACTAGGCCTAGGACTTGGAACTGTGGTGTGGAGTATGCATAGTTATAGCTTGTAATCCAAGAGCACGCCTTGAGGCCCCTCGATAATGAAGTGAATCTTTGCCAATTCGGAAAATGAAGCTATTATGTCTTTCTTCCTTTGAACCTTGGAAGAGTTGCGTCCTCGTCCTGCCCAGATTCAACTCAACCACTTAGCTAGCCATTCTGCTTTTTTTTTTTTTTTACGGTTCACCTAAATTTTTTATCTCTGATTGACTATACCTGTGACTGATCTCATTTAGCAGATTATGCATCTACCAAGTGTGGTTGAAACTCGAGAGCGAACGCCCTTTTCCACGCAGTGATGAACTTGGTATTGTTATGTACCTGCCCAGGTAGATAGTAATTGAATCCCGATTGAATACACATGTAGTACATTTACAAGAGCTTGCTGCCCTTGAAATGAATAATATATCCCAGAAATTGGAAGCAGATAAGAATCTCCGACACCTGTGATCGCATGTAAATACCTCCAAGTTGCTTCTTATGTACGAGTGCTATGCTTGATAAGGCATGACATGTACGGAACCTCGCGGAACCGGTGAACAAGTCCATCTTACATAGCAGTTGGACTTACCTGCTAGCCTGACTATCAATGCGATCCACTACCCATTTTACGCGTAATAATACCTCTCAGAGGTCTACTATACCTTCAGATCTTACAACTAGGCCAAAATCCTTGTGATATCCCGTCATCATATAATGAAGATACCCCCGTTAGATACCGTCGAGTGATGCATTCATTATGGCATCATATCATTCATTCTCTTTCCAGATTGACTCATCGAATGAATATTACGGATGAGTTTACCATTCAAGCAGGTGTACCTTCAAATGCTACATTATCAAACCGTCTTGATATCTTCGCGACCTGTGACGGTTTCCCATTTACAGATCCCCATATGTCCGATTCTCCAAATGCAATATTACGAAGAGACCGCTTCATCAAATCGCACTCTTGGACTTTGTGCCGACCCGACCCCCGGCCCCAGGAGACTGTCGCCAAGATGAAGTTAAATTTTTCAATATGCCTAGAAACAAGTGCTATCTACTACAAGCATACCGCAGCAAAGTTCGCCTGGAGCTCTGTAGATGTCGATACCACTAGACCAAAGTGGGGCACAGGACCAATGGTTCCGATGCTGTTGGTTCGACATGAAGTGAATCTAGCGAGTTTTGTCTATTTAGTTACAGCGAGGATAAGATTGAATAACACACCTCTTACAACTTCGCATCGACGCACCTAGATCTATTCCATCAAGAATACTAGTTGCATATGCACCGTAAGAACGTCACCGTTCCGACAGTAGAAAATCGTATGAAGACACAATGACATTCGTTCCACTGAACTATCTAAGAACGAAGTCCAAATCCATGCTTGAATCCAAGCACCCAGAACACTAAATCGTCATCACACTGCATATTAGCCCAACCTTGGGTTTCAACTTCCAAGTTACAGCGTTACAGACCATGATGGTGGCTTCAAGGCTTAAAGATACTAGGAGGTCTCAGCACTAACCTAAGAAATCTTCATTACTACTTTAATATCTCCATCTCACTATTTTTATTCTTCTGTAGCCAAGAGACAACGTATCAATGTCACGATCTGCAGTTGAAGTTCCTTTACATCTACGCGCCAGCCCTAAAATCGAGACCCACCGACCTCGCCTTATCAACTGACCTGATGCAGGATGGGAAAATGATGCAACTACAAGGATCATGATGCAAGCACGGGGGTCGAGAAGGGTCTTTTGTAGAATCTACTTGCCTAACTGTACTTTGTTAGGATTTTGATCTACAGGGAATTCATTGCGAGGGCAAAAAATGGTGCTTGTTAATTTGTTATGTCCAATCTGCAACCAAGTTGGAAAGAAGCAGAGGTATCTAAAAGAACAGAAATCGTCAAATCGTGTCGGCTCGTTATGCAAGCTAACCAGAGTAATTGCAACAAGGCATGGCCAACTGTCTTCCAAAGACAATAGTTTTTGTTCGTAAAAGTGCTCCGGGGAGCTCAGCCACCCCTACAATAAATTCCTGGGCACAGCCTTCGGAAATAGGGATGGTGAAAAAGAAGGGAAAGTTGAATGTCAAATCGCAACAAATCGCATCAAAAAAAACACATATTCAAACGAGTGAATATCACTTCCGAAGAACTAGTCCTCGGAAAAAAATTTACATAAATCAGGTCAATGATTGTATGGTCTAAGCCTTCACACAGTATTGGTATCCCAGCCAAAGGTTTGTGCAAGAGGCGTCAAGACCGGTATTCCAGCTCTGGAAGCTGGCGGCAGTGATTCCATATTGGACTTCGATCTTGCGGCAGTAATCGCCTGCGACGACGGAGTAGTACTCCTGGCAAGATGAGATTGCGTAGGGGTACTTCTCGTCGACAGAGGTAGCGGCAGCGGTAGGTGTAGCAACGACGGAGGTGGCAACGACGGAGGCGGTCGAGGTCGCGACTGGGGTGGAGACCACAGATGCGGTGGAAGTCACCTCAGCTTCAGCAGCCTGGACCGCAACAGAAGCGGATATGATAGCGGCAGCAGCAGCGGCCGTAGTGGTGGTCGCAGCAGCGGCAGTCACGGGCTCGATGGTGACAGCAGCCCAAGAGGTAGTAGAGGTGGCAGAGGCAGAGGTAGAGGCGGTAGTAGTCGAGTCAGAGCTCGAGTCGCTGCTGCCAGACCAGTTGCTGGTGTAGAGATCGCCGACGGTATTAGCATCGCAGCTGCTGGTGCCGCTGGTCCATCCAATGAGACGGTTGGCAACATCCGAGGAGTAGCAGTGAGTGGAGCCGCCCTGGCCCAGGTTACCATCAGATGCAATGGAGCCAGAGTTGTAGCAGCGGGCAGCCTGGTAGTAGGCTTCGGCATCGGTGCCGGTCACCGAGGCGTAGCACTGCTTCAGACCATCACCTTCAGTGGTGCCCTCGGCGCCATCCTTGATCATTTGCAGAATCTCGCTTTCAGGGCAAGGGTTCTGGACACCGTCGTCGTTGTTGCAGGAGCCCTCTCCATTGTGGCTTTGCATGAGACCGGGGTTGACAACGCCGTTGTCAGTAGTATGAACTCGGACACAGCCGTTGCTCTCCTGCATGACAATGGCCAGGATAAATCGAGCGTCGAGACCGCTTGACTCGGCTACAGAGGTAATACTGCTCTTGATATTGGCAATCTCATCATCAGAGTTGTCGGCGACATCCCATTGAGCACAGCTCGATGACATGGCTTCTTTGTTAGACTCGAACCTGTTGATGAGTCAGTGGGTCTGCTTTGAAGTATGAAACTCGAACTCATATATATATATACTTACAGCTCGTCAAAAGTTGAGATCCATTGGGAAATGCTAGGCCACCCATCGGTGGTGGAACCATCACCACCGAAGACCGAAGCATAAGTATCAGTGGCACGTTCATTAAGAGAGATAGAGTGGTCTATCTTCTTGTGCAAGTGGCCATGAGAATGAGAGGAAGCCATTGGAGCCCCAGAAATGAGGGGAGGCTGCCAGCAGCGAGGATCATGAATGTAGAGAAGAACATCGTTAAGATTTTGTCTGTAAAAAGGAGTGCCAGCACAAAAAAGAAGGAATGTGGAAGTCTTGCTTGGACATTTGGAAGAGAGGGAAAGGCTGTTATATGTATTCTTTCAAACGAAGAACAGAGAGTTAATTCCCGAGTTAATCCACATTAGGAACTTGCACCATCTGATTCTACTCCAATGAGATGGTTGGTGCCCCTGGGGGCGCAATATGTGAAACAAGCTAAGACCAGATGGAGAAACGTGTGGCGACTTGGAGGCAACTGAACAGGAGGATTGTTTAGTTTCAAGTGAGGGATCACCTTATGTATTATTCCGCTTTTCTTATTGGTCGATACTTTGATCTTATTCAGCGCAACTCATCTATACGCGTCCAATCACTTTTCTCAGATGCTCTCCCCGAAACCTTTCGATTCCCTTGTCTTGAAGATATTGTTCCGTGTCTATTAATTCAGTCAGCAGAACAACAAAAATAGAAGAAAAAATTCTGTTAGTGGATACCTAATTATTTTCTATACAAAGTAGACACAAAGAAAAAAGAGCAGAAAAAGAGTAGAAAAAGGATGAAGGTCTGAGCTGAGGGGCCAGTGCCCTCGGGATCCATTTTATGGGGTATAATGAAGCTTACTACTACACAGTACGTACATTCACCTTGCGACTTAGAGACCGCCTTACGCACTAGTGGGGTTCAAGGCGTAGGAAATATTTCGATAACAAAAAAGGAGTTCTTTCAAGAACAATATAACAGAACGGCTTCGATAGAAGGCTATTTTAATACATCCATGGATATTAACATGGTCCTATGTACTGTGTAGCTGAGGGGAAAAGTAGAATATAGAGAGTACCCGTTCATACGGAGTAGGGGGCGACGCGAGTGGGCCCAAGTCTCAAAGCCAAGCCTTAGATTGGTCAATTGTGAGATATCCAGCACTTTCTACTTCTTTTCTTCTTTTCTTCTTGAAAACTCATCACTCGCTATTTTAGTTCCTTTTAGTCTATTCTAACTTTCTTCAGTTAGTTCGTATTTCTATGCAGCTTCGGTGAGCTATTACTATACAGTATAGCTATTAAACAGTGCCTACGTAATATACAAAGTACAAAGTACGACTCTAGAATACAACGTGGGGCTTGAAATGGATCTGCTTATCCTTCTTCCAGCTCAAATAGAATGGCCCCATCGGATATCCCGTTGAACCTGTCCCGATAATTTAGGCGCCGAAATGCGGCGTTTAAGCTGTCTGCTGTGTCACGTCAGGTCCCGCTATAATGCAGATAACGTATCTTAATCTCCTACTCCGTACACAGTACTTTACTTCAATTCTATTATGACATACGAAAAGAGGCAACTAGTTCAATTCCAATAAACTGTAGTCTATAATTATTCAATACTTGTCACTCTTGCATCATTTTATTGAACCCATCGGGGCACCTACTCATGACCTAGAACAGATGCGCCTTTTCCAAGTGCAAGCCCTGAAGCCCTGAAGCCCTGAAGCCCTGGAGGAATGAATATATGGTGCTAGAACCCTAGAACCCACATAAAATCTCAAAACAAAGCTCCAATTTTGAAAAAAAGACGCCTATCCCCCTTTCAATTGCTTTTCGGGAAAAGTCACCTTTTCTAATGACTTCAGCCACCTGGGCACCCGGGCACCCGGGCACCGGGCTGGTGATAGTTACAAGTCGCCGGTGACCTCCAAAAGAATAGGCATCATCGTAGCCGCTACTTGAAGCATTTTATCCTAATGGCGTTAAGTCATGCCTCATTATTATGATGAGTACCGAGGCAGAGTACTCAGACTGGAAAACATGAAGGATGCTAATTGTCATGATTCCTAGCATATTCTTGATGACTTTGATAAAATCTGTTGTGACATCTACTGCTGGCAACGCTGGTCCAAAAGGAAGCATACGAAATTTGGCCAATTTCACTTGAGGGCCGGCACTGGGATTCCAGCCAAACTTTACAGAACCTTTTGTAGGATAGTTCCAAACGCGTCTCGAACCGACAGGCCTAGAACAAGAGATCCAGTCCATCAAAAACAGTATCCTGGAGAAAGTGTAAGCAAGCAAATGTGATCAACAAAGTTGATGGAGTGACCAACGAAATTTGAATTGGAAAAATTGCTCCCTGGACCTCGGGATAGTGGTGGTTGTGACCAGATAGGAAAGGAAACTGGCTACTTCTAGTATCCGACAGCTTGTGCAGAGCCCTGGAGGCAAACGAACGATTTCAATATTTGTGGAGGCGATGGTCTTTGCAATGTCTTCTTCCTTCTCCTCTGGGGCTGGAAAGAGCACCAGATGAGTCACGATATGCGAGGATATGCCCTACCACGACATTATCCGCTATGGTTCAACATACCTAGCCTCGACGCTAAAGGTCTTGCTCGGAATTTTCTGGATAGCGATAGCAGGAAAAAGTTCCTTGAAGGTATTCGCGACTACCTATAGAGCAGGGACATCTTAATTCATGAAGGTGGGACGAAGGTTAGGTTCGTACATGTTTAATAATTCCATCTTCTTAGCTAGCGCATTCTCGGCTCAGTCATCTTGTTTACGTGATTGGAATGGCAAAGAAAGTGAATGGATCAAAGATGAAGAGAATTTTCTTTCTCGTTAGTTTTGCTGCTTGCACGCGCAGGTTGAGTCACTCTTTTCCCTGTAGCTCCGTACTATCTTCGTCATTGCAGCCTCATATCTTTGGTTTCTGCGCCTTTAGACATAGACACCAAGATATAATCAGCTCTATAGCCCGTTAAATTTGGGCTGGGGTCTTGCTTTGACTCCAAGCTACCTGGGTAGGCTGTGCGAGCTTTGAATGTGGCCTTTAGCTAATTCACAGTCATGGTGGAGTCATTCTTAGAGCCGCATCCCCTAATCGACTCCAGGACTTTCACCATTCCATCATGCCCAGTGACCTGTTAATAGGTGAGCCGTGTATCTGTCACGTCCATCAAGATCCAACGCTCTTCGAAGACTGTCTCTTTTGGACAGTCCAGCATATACTGGGTCGCCATCACAATAAGGGGCGCCGTTAGTCCACGACAGGAGAAGGGAAGTGATGAAAACTTCGTGTGATAAGAATGGAGCGGTAGAACTTTGGCAAAGGAAGCCATTATTGGAAGGGTTCTTCTGGCCACCTTGGATGTCTGGCTTTGAATTCTGCAGAGAGATGTGTGTAAGAGAGAAGAAGGATTGGTTGATGAAGAGTCTGATTATAACTATATGGGTCACATAAATATCCTAATTTCGAATATGGATGATGAGAAAAAGTGAATAGAGAGTAGAATGAGAGATGCCATAGCTAGTACCTAGGTAAGCTAGTATAAAAGAATGCAGATTTGACACATAATCAGACCAAGTGAATGAGTTATGTCTACTACTCAATTTTTGGGAGAATCGAAAGTGAGAGCCCTAATCGAGTAAAAGTGGATATATGTGGCTATGCAAACGGTGCGTGGCTGTGTAAGTGACACCTCGTATTTTACTTTCGCTTTCCACTGATTTTAATTTCAAATACCGGTATTGTAAATTCAGTCAATAGCGCATGTCTCACGAACACGAGGTGAATCCCGATCCAAAGCTACAGGTACCATTACTCCACTATCAATGTGTAGAGTAATGATCCGCCCATCCCCTGTCGATCCAAAAGCTACGTGGTCATATATGTTTCATATCAAGGAAATTTAATTGATTCCTGATCCAAAATCGAAGTGAACTTTAAGCCTCACTCGAGATCGTATAACTCGAAACCGAAATACTAATAACCTAAGATACGAAAGAAGTTTTTGATAAAAATCAAGGCTCAGTCAATTCCCTAGTTTTGTTCCATTCGCCGCAAAATCGCGCCGGAGGTTTCTGATTCTCTTTCATTTTCACAGTAAAGTCATCAAGAAATTCATCAATTGTAACTTCTCCTCCATATCGCTGGGATGATGGGTTGGAAACTTATGGAGGGTTCAAAAAGAACTCCAGGGGGAGGGAAATAAAGACCAAAAAGAGCATAATCTATCGACAAGAAGGGCATAAAGGCAACCCTCTAGGGGCGCACATAAAGGGTTCATAAGAAAAGAATGTAAGAAGAAGTGAAAAATAGGTCCGAAACTGGATGAAAATCCAGTTCAGAGAAAGAAATGAAGATGTTATGAGGGAAAAGCAGAGATTCATCGAGACCCAAACGGGTATGCCTATTCCTCTTTTGTTCAGAAATCTACCAGAGATGTTCCCCATCTTTCTTCCGAGGCGCGCGCGATCGACGTGGCGTTTCGGGGGGGTTGTCCGTGGACACTTTAGTTGATGTACCAAGAGGCACCAGTGGCACGGCCAACGTCCTCGGAGGCAAATACATCGAAGAGAGCGCGGGACAGGTCGATGGAGGTGTTGTCACAGCCCATGCACTTGTCAACGACGGTGCCGGTCTTGGTGACACCGTTGTAAGTGATTGTAACAGTCTTGCCACAGTCGGCTTGGGTAATGATGCCGACGGGCAGAGCAAGGACGTGCTCAACGAGACCGTCGTTGGTGGTCTCGCAGAAGCTGGGGTTGGTGCTCAAGGTGGCAGTGTCGTAGAAGGTGATGTCACCGACGCAGGGGGATCCCTCAGAGCAGGAACCGCCGGAGCTGGAGCTGGAGCTGGAACTGGAGCTGGAGGTAGTGGCAGCGGCAGCAGATGAAGTGGAAGAAGTCGACTCAACGGCAGCCTGAATAATGGGGGCAGCCTGAGTGGTGGGAGCAGCCTGAGTGGTGGGAGCAGCCTCAGAGGAGCTGGAGGAACTGACAACGGCGGCAGCAGCCTGAACGGTAGGAACAGGAGCCTCGGAGCTAGAGGACTCGCTGGTGGTGGGCTCAGCCTCAGTGGAGGAGGTAGAGCTAGTGGTGTGGTAGTGGTTGTGCTGGTGGTGAGCAGCCTTGAGAGTAGGTGAAACCTCAGCGGTAGTCTGGTAGGTCTCGACGGTAGCAGTGGGCTGGCCGGGGTAGAGAGTGGTGGTGACATCAATGGTGGTCCAAACAACGTCAGTTACGGTCTCCCAGACAACATCACGCTTGTCCATGGGAGCAGCAGGGGCAGCAACACCAGCAACGGTGAAAAGGGCACCAGCAAGGGCAACGGTCTTCATAAAGGCAGCCATTTTTACAATGAGTGAGAAATGGGGTATTCTTCAGAAAGGGAATGAACCAAGTTGTGAGTGTAAAGACTGATTTACTGCACAGCAGTTAAACGATAGATCAACTCAAAAGGAGTGTGAGTGATAAAACGGCGATAAGGATGGTGGATGAAGAAAAAAACTGGAAGATGGGGGAAAGACTTGGGTATAAATACGGAAATGAAGTACTTGGTATTGGACCCACTTATGAACCCATGGATCACAAAGTCAAAGGCAAAAGCTGCAAATACATTTAAAATCAATTAAATCTGCCTTCCTACTATGGATTACTCTATATGAATATTCCACACAGTTGATATTTTCTTATTATATTTTCACAAACCACTTCCATGTATTCCATCACGTTTCAAAGTGTACCTGAGCCGGATTGTACCGGAGGAAAAAATATTAGAATATTATTGGATAGTGAGTTGCCTTCAGAGTTGGCGCAGGGGAAGACGTGCTACAGCCACTTTTAGTCATCCATACTGCCCTGATCCCTTTAGTGCGGCTGTCTCAACCGCCACCAATTAAATCTTACAACAAGTGGGGGATTCAAGGCTACAGACCATTTTACGGAGTAAGACTCAGTTTTAGTTTAGTCATAAGACATAGTACGCACTATTGGGCTAGTAAACTATTGACACATGATACACGATACATGATACATGTATTCTACAGGCGCCGTACAACATGCACCAACGCCCAACTTTCTAAGGCGAGACACAAGCAACATCCCTATCCTATTCACTGTCCCACTTTTCCACTTCCAACTCACCATTGGCTTTCTCTCTCTCAATTCTAGACCCAGCCAGCCCGTGTTCTATCCAATCGGGTCTTCATATCCACAAGTGGAACTTCAATTTCCCTCTTTTTTTTCGTTCTTGGCGGATCTCCATTTTTTAATCCCATTTTTTCTATGGTCCATCTTGCGCCACTCACTGATGGCAGCTGGGACCATGGTACTGAGTCTCTCACGGCAATCAAACTGTGCGAATGGAAAAAGTCAAATGTGGTCCATCCGGGCTTCATTGGGTCTAGGCTCCAAGACTCAAGGCTTTGCAATCGTGCTGACGCTATTGACCTTTGGACTAGCCTTACTTCCTGCAGGATGAGAGCATTGATGAAGGAAGAGGAAGGACTTCGTCACTGTGGTTGTATCATGACAGTCGCGCATTGGGAGTTTTCATGGGGCTTAATTGACTTGATATATTATCAAACAGAATCCTCCTCCTATACGGATATTACGGCCCCGAGGAATACTCACTGAAAGTCCACCATCTACGGAACTGACCGTAGATGAGGCGAGGGTAATCTTCTAGCACACACCGAATCCAATATGTCAGAACCCTAAAGTGAGGTTGACAGAAGAAGTATCCCGACGTCGGAAAAAAGGGAAGGCGAAGAAGGCGAAAGAACAATCAAGGAACCCCGCTAGCGTATTAGAACATGCGGAGAACAGAGGCGTTCATTTGATCGGCATTGTTTGGCGCTTTAGGAATGTGTCGGCGACGATACGGCTAACTTGCTTCTTCAAAGGATTGGTATCGCCGTTTTTGGCATCTATGGTTCGAAATCACATTCTTCGAAGGCGAATGGAAGAAACTTAAAAGTTCTTGTTCCAAAGGGTCTTCAAAGATCATTGTGTCATCGCCGGATTTGGTTCAGAGCCTAGACGGAGCCTAAGTTCTTACGGCTAGACTTCGGCAGTGATGTCGGGAACGTCGGGAACGTCGGGAACGTCGCGAGAGGCGAGGAGGTAACAGATGGAGATTATACGGGGACATACGGGGATATACGAAGTAGAAGATGATGTACGAAATTTCTTAAATCGATTTCAAATCTAGAGACGCCAATGAAAAGTAAGTAGAAGATAGCCTCCGTGATTAAGACAAAACAAAGAAACCCAATCAATCTCATAATACAACTTAAGTCACAAGAAAACAATTGCATGACTGCGAGGGAAAACTGCGCAATCGGGAAATACTAAAACATGGAAATCATCACAGAAGAGAAGCTTTCAGCCCTGGCACATAATGCAAGCCTCCTTGTTCTCAATGCTGCATTGCAGGACCTTGTCAGAGAAGATGTCACCCTCCTTGCTCTCTCCCTCGGCCTCCTCAACAGGGGATTCCTCAGCCACCACTGGAGCTGCGACAACAACAGGGTCTGCAGTCACTGTGCGGGAACTCTCCTGGCTGGGGCTGGGGATAGAGATAGTGGCAGACTGGATGCCGTTGGCACGGGGCACGGCCGAGTATGAAGAGGTGGCACCAACACGCTTTTTGCTGGTACGAGCAACATTGGTGTCCTCAACAAGGAGCTGCTCTTGGTCGACGGTGAACTGGATGGGAGCGGAAGCGGCCATGGTACGCAGGTAGTACATACCAGTCTTGAGACCCATCTTCCAGCCAGCAAAGTGCATACTGGTGATCTTGCCCATAGTGGGCTCCTTCATGTGGATGTTGAGCGACTGGGACTGGTCAATGTAGGCACCACGGTCGGCAGCCATCTGCAGGATGGAGCGCTGCGAAATCTCCCACACAGTCTTGTACAGGGCCTTGATGTCGGCCGGAATGTTGGGGATGTTCTGGACCGAACCGCCGTCGGCGATGATACGGTTCTTCATGTTGTCCGACCACAGACCCAGGTCGACCAGGTCCTTCAGCAACCAGGGGTTGACAACCTGGAACTCACCGGCAAGGACACGGCGGGAGTAGATGTTCGAAGTGTAGGGCTCAAAGCACTCGTTGAAGCCTAGGATTTGACTGGTACTGGCAGTGGGCATGGGAGCCACCAACAGACTGTTGCGAACACCAGTCTCAGCAATCTTGGCCTTCAAAGAGGCCCAGTCCCAGAGGTCGGTGGGGGTACGGTCCCACATGTCGTACTGCAGGATGCCTTGCGACACGGGAGAGCCAGGGTAGGTTTCGTAAGTACCAAGCTCCTTGGCCAAGTCGGAAGAGGCAGTCAGAGCACCGTGGTAGATAGTTTCGAAGATTTGAATGTTCAGCTGCTTAGCCTCGGGAGAGTCAAACGGCAGACGCAGAGCGAGGAAGGCATCAGCAAGACCGTTGACACCCAGGGCAATGGGGCGGTGACGGAAGTTACTCTTAGCGGCCTCAGGGACAGGGTAGTAGTTGATGTCGATGATCTTGTTCAAATTACGCACGACAGTCTGAACGACCTCGTGCAGCTTGCCAAAGTCGTACTCGCCGCGAGCAGCATCGACGAAAGAGGGCAGAGCGAGGGAAGCCAAGTTGCAGACGGCCACCTCGTCGGGGGCACTGTACTCCACAATCTCGGTGCACAGGTTGGAGCTGCGAATAGTGCCCAGGTTCTTCTGGTTGCTCTTGCGGTTGCAAGCATCCTTGTACAGCATGAAGGGGTTACCAGTCTCGGTCTGAGCCTCGAGAATAGCGTACCACAGCTTCTGGGCCTTGATGGTCTTGCGGCCGCGACCCTCCTTCTCGTAGCGCTCGTAGAGAGCTTCAAACTCGTCTCCGTAGACATCAGACATGCCAGGGGCCTCGTGGGGGCAGAAGAGAGTCCAGTCTCCATTGGCCTCAACTCGCTTCATGAACAGATCAGGAGTCCAGAGAGCGAAGAAGAGGTCACGGGCGCGTACTTCCTCCTTACCGTGGTTCTTGCGAAGATCGAGGAACTCGAAAACGTCGGCGTGCCAGGGCTCAAGGTAGATGGCAAAGGCACCAGGACGCTTATTACCGCCCTGGTCAACGTAACGAGCAGTGTTGTTGAACACACGGAGCATGGGAACGATACCGTTAGAAGAGCCGTTGGTTCCAGCAATGTAAGAGCCAGTGGCACGGATACGGTGAACGTTCAAGCCAATACCACCAGCAGTCTTAGAGATCATGGCACATGTCTTAAGAGTGTCATAGATACCCTCAATGCTGTCCTCTTTCATATCAACCAGGAAGCAGGAGGCCAACTGCGGCTGAGGGGTGGCAGCGTTGAAGAGAGTAGGAGAAGCGTGGGTAAAGTACTTCTGGGACATCAAGTGATAGGTCTCAATAGCTTTCTCAATATCTTCGCCGTGAATACCGACAGCCACACGCATCAGCAGATGTTGGGGACGCTCGGCAACCTTGCCATCAAGGCGCAGGAGATATGATCGCTCCAAGGTCTTGAAGCCAAAGTAGTTGTAGTTGAAGTCACGGTCATAAACGATGGCCGAGTTAAGCTCCTCGGAATACTTCTGAATTATCTCAAAATGCTCCTTGGAGATCATGGGGGAGGACTTTTTGTTTTTGGGGTTGACATAGTTGTAAAGATCAGAGATAACCATAGAAAATTGCTTCTTGGTCTGCTTGTGAAGGTTGGATACGGCAATACGAGCGGCAAGGATGGCATAATCGGGGTGAGTAACAGTCATGTATGCTGCAGTCTCGGCAGCCTGTGAAGGATTAGCAAATCGTCGAAAGTCAAGTCAAGAGTGAAGTGTTTACGTACCAAGTTATCCAGCTCAGTGGTGTCTACTCCCTGGTAGACACCAGAGATAACCTTTTGGGTGATGGCAGCAGCATCGACATGCTCGGGATCGAGACCGTAACAGAGTCTAGAGACGCGGGCAGTAATCTTGTCAAACTGGACGCGTTCTTTGCGTCCGTCTGTGGCAAATTCGCGTTAGCATATTGAACTGCCATCATTGGCAAGGCCAGTCATGATTCCTATAAAGGAAGAACGCGTTGCCCCGCGATATGACTTCACAGCTTGACTGAAAGGTGGCAACTGACCTCGCTTGTAAACGAACATTGTGCGGTGGAAAGTGCTCGGAGGATATTAAAGCAAAGAGAAGAAACTGTATAAATCAAAGGGAAGTAGAAGTATCGGATGAATTGGAGGTTAATGTGGGAGGGGGAAAGATGAGAAGAGAACAAGGTGGAGGGATGGATGAGAGAAAAGCAAGAAACAAGTGGATAGGCGTCGCCTAGAGTGATTACCTATTATTTTCGTGATTTTCGCGACGCGATTTTAATTAGTGTGGTCCTGGTCACGTGAGTCACGCGTCCCACTCCACTTTTATTGCCGGCATTCCAGAACTGCCGTCAGGATCTATATCCGGATGACTTAGTCAATTGCTGATCTAGTTCGGCTTTAATACAGTGACCCAGGCTAGTCTACACTCCTACATCAGTCGAATGAAAGACCTGAATTTATTGGCGGTGCCTGAGATACTACTGTGGCTTGGGCTCCTTGCATAGCCTGTACATGATACGGACATCTAGTGTGGTCAATAAAGGACTAAAAGAGAGTGACAGAAGCATTTTGGTTTGCATTCTAAAAGTACAGGTCAAAGTGATATCAAGCAATTGGATGGATCATCGATGCAAACTGTTTCAAGTTCGCCACAAGCAAAAGGGTAGACAGAGAAAAAAAAAAGCATATTAAATCCATCAATACAACCAATAAGGGTAGATGAGTTGTAAGATTACTCTCACAGAAGTGCGGCAGCACCGACAAAGATTCCAGCAACAAGCAAGCTGGTCGAGAACTTCACAGTCGTAGCTCCATTGAAGGAGGTCGAGGAAGGGCTCGATGCGCTGCTAGTCTCAGTGCTGCTAGTGCCGCTACCGGAATCGGAACTAGAATCAGAACCAGAGCTGGCACTAGCAGTCTCAGTCGAAGTCTTGGTGCAGCCAGCGTGGCAGGTGGCAGTGACCGGGGAACCAGTCACGGTAGACATAGCAGTGACGAAGCCGGTTATGGAAGTCGAGGAGCTGGCGGTGGTGCTAGACTCCTCTATTTGACAACATTAGTTCCAGGGTACTTGGGGTCGCTGATCAAACGTCTCTCTTTTAGAACCTTACCAATCTTGTAGCCAGCAGCATCGCACATGTTGGCAAAGTACTGCACAGACTTCTCTCCGCACTGCTTCGAGATGGAGGATTGGATATCCTTAGAGCCACATATAGTTGGCATGTCATCCGGGTTGGCGGTGTTGCTAGAAAAGTCAGATTTGTTATTGTAAGTGATTTGTGGAGTTGTACCCAATAACGCCGAGAAGGCAGCCCGGGGTCTGGGCAGCAATGGCAATGTTGCCAAGGGCCATCATGGCCAGAACGAGAGTCGACTTGAAAAACATGGTGGATCGGTGCTTAGACGAGATTGAGATTGTGAGATTATGAGATTGTTGTGAAAGAACGATGGATCGCGCAGCGTATCCGAGAGTAGCGAGAGTAGTAGTAACGAGTGTGGTGCGAAAAGAGCGTGAAGTGAAAGTAGGAACTTCAAGGTAGAAGTAACAACTTGAAAGATGATAAAAGAGTGACGAGGTTTGGAGGAGAGCGCCGGAAGTCTTTCAGGGTGAGAAACAGGGTCCACCGTTCAGGCAAAAAGTGGGCGCCCCAATCAACAGGGTCCTTGTAATTCTCCGTATGTACCTGCATCAGTTCCTGAAAATAGGTACATTTTCTTACGTTTCTAGCCTAAAATATACCTCAATATTACCGTATTTACTAATACAGATCTATTAAACTTCCCCGCCGTGATTGTCTCGAACTATACCTAAAATGACTTAGCGTCTTGAACAGCTTCAATTGATTTAATACAGTCATTATACAGATTACAACGATCTCTCTGATTAAACAATTTGTTTAAAGTGAAGCGGAATTGTCCAGTTCACAGCAAACATGTACTTTATTTCTGAGTGGATTGAGTCTTTCGATACGAGAAGACTTTGGCACCAGAGTATGCTGAACTCTCTGCGTTGGTTTTCCAGAGACCGATGGACATTAAACCAAGGGCGTTGCAATCTTTGAAAACTTATTCAATTGTCATTGTTAGTCGTCATTCAACTGAGGTTCTGCCTCTAGACTCGATGAGTTACATGGATAGGTGTTGTATATGAATCCAACCTTGAAGCTTGGAACCTAGGCAACTATTCCTAGGCAAGAACTGTCAACAGCCTTGACAATACAAGCCTACTCCATTCATACCAAGGTTATCACGGCTTACGACTTCTCCCAGATAGGGTCATAGATGCTCGAAACAATCTCATGAACAGGCAATCTAAAGTCCAATATTTCCTTCCCATTCACCAGATCATTCTCCCGGGCACGTTTATCTGCCTCTGCCTCATCTTTCACGATCCCGGCCTTGACATGTCGCCGAATTAACCTCTTTCTCGCAACCTCGAAATCCACATCCACAAACCATAACTCGTCCATCAACTCAGCAATCGTATCCCACGGCTTCTTATTTAGACTGAGATATAGACCCTCGAAAAAAACCACCCGACACGTCGGTGGGATAGGAATATCGTCATCTACTGGATCCTTGACTGCATGGTCAAAGCTCGGTGCGTAGAGAGTTTTCGCACCCGAAGCAGTTGGTTCCCGAAGTGCTTGTACAAGTGATAGGAATTTGTCTGGGTCAAATGTAAAGGCTGCACCGCGTCGTGCAAACGCATATCCTGGGTCTGGCATGGCAGCTAGCTGCGCCCGCGTAAGATGGTAGCCGTCCATTGGAATTGTTGTGGCAATTGGTGTTGACCCTAGGTTCTCTGAGGCATATATCTTATTGATTCGTTCAGTCATGATATTGGCTAGCGCTGTTTTGCCGGAGCCTGGGATGCCGCTGACGGCAATCATGAGGCGGGCGTCATCGGGGGTAGAGCAGAATTTAGCTAGTGAAAAAAAATGGATGTTAGCATGGCGCGAGTGACAATGAAAGATTGAGTCTGTCATCTAGTAGACAAAGTCGAGTGACACCAAGTCGAGGTGATACCGGACTTGAATAGCTCAGCTTCAGTCAACTCACCCCAAGTCTTGTTGACCAGGTGTTCGACCTGTTCATTCATGATGGATTTGGACCAGCAATGCTACAAGGATAGATCTGAGACAGTTGAAGACGCAGAGATAGCTCGTTTGAGGCAGCGATGGACCAGCCCTTCGCGATTTCCCTCAGATCTTGATCGCGTGCGATATACAACCCCGATACTCGGACGTAACAAGAACCGCGAGCAGGAAATGACAGCAGGCAGGACGATATGGGAAGAAAGAGAGTGAAACAGCGCAAAAGATGAAGTGTCCCTGAATGTAGTAAGATGTTGGTCAATAGAAAGTTGCCACAAACTTGACCGATAACCTTTAGCGGGGTTATTATGAATTACTCCGGTGGGGACTGCTGTGCTCCGAAACCTATATACGTCACAAAATGTATACTATCCTCCACGGCCAGATAGTTGAGTTCCTTACATTACTCGTAAAGTTTTTTAATTGAATTTGAGGTTTCTAATTATGAGGGCTACCAAGCCAAAAAGACCTATCACCTCGTTGTTTGACCGTAATTATTTACAAGACACTTTTAGTCATCCTTCGGCCCCCTGTTCAAGTTCCGATGCTCGAGTTGATTCCGAATAGTTTATTTGTAATATCAAATGTCAGCCTCCTCCATCTCCTTCTGTAGCTTGCCTGAGCCAGAAAAATCAGATTGAGGATAGATCTTAGTAGCGCGGCAAAAAGGATATCTGCAGATAGATAATCAGAAGAATTGTGAATCGGCGGAGTAAACTGATTTCAGATAAGACCCGCTTCACAGTCACGTGAAATTAGAACTGTCCATTTGGTGAATGGAGAAAAAGATAAAGAACGCTATCGCTTCAAAAAATCATGGAGCCTGGTATAGATAGTACAACTCAAGTACCCTGATTGTCTCTGTCACGGGTAGTTCGTCGCATCCTAAATCCAAGACCGTTGACATCCTCCGTTGGAGCAATATCGCAAGGATTTGTGTCCGATGGGATTGCTGAATCCCGGGTCGTGTTGTCGGTTGATGAATTGGTGGTGCCGGATGGAATGTTGCTATCCATGGTGATTGTGGATACAAGAGGCTCCCAAACATCATCGTCCTGCTCGGCGTCAGGGCTCCGCACGCGGTACCCAAGTCTCTCTCGGTAATAGGTGATATCGCTATCATCATATTCCGGTGTCCGAGCATTGTTTTGTTGCCGAGTCTGGTGAGACTGCGTAGAAGGAGGCCGCGCGGATATGGTGGTGTGGTATCCGACCGCTGGTGCAAAGCTTGGGGTACGTCGAGGGGGCTCAAGAATATCTTGGGTTGGGACACCAACCGTCCAATTTGTGGTATGAAGTTGCGCAGAAGGGCGCGTAACAAGTCCTCCACCAAGCATACCAAGAGCTCGACCCAAAGCTTCACGTCGGGCGATTTCCAAGTCTAACCCATCTTCGCTAACACCCAGGTTCAAAACTGGAGAACGTGTGCCGGCATGAGGCTCGTCAAGTAGACGGTTGAGTTGTCGGTAACGCTGACGGTCGAGTTCACGTTCGCGCTGGCTTTGCATGATTCCTGCCATCACTCGGACTTGATTCTCATTATTCAACTCCAGTCGACGATATTCCTCTTGGTCTAGGTTCAGTTGTCGAAATTCTTCGTGTTCACGGTCAATTTCACGTTGCATGATTTCTCCCATAGCGTTAACTTGGGCCTCATTGTCCAATTCCAGTCGACGATATTCCTCATCAACAGGAATGATGTGACGGCGGCCAGAAGGGCGGACAGGGGGACGGCGGGGAAGGCTAGAAGGACGATGGATTATCCTGGGTGTATTTGTGCGCAAAGGTGTAGGCTTAGGTTCCGCTGAAGGCGAGCGCCACATGCTATCAATCCGGTCAATCAAAGACTCGATCAGTTGGGCATGCGCATGCGACTGCGTGCGTCCATATTAAACTCACGGGAGACCCATAGCTGGAAATATCAGGTAAATCAACGAGTGAACAAAGGTGGGGAGATGCGGAGAGTAGATTCGGAAATTTTTCTATACACACGTTGACGCGCCTCGGGGTTACAGGAGTTAGTGGAAATGAGATCAATATCACATGACCTTATCGTTATCTTTCACTGGTCTTTTCCACGGAATCTTGGATCTACTAGCTCCCTTCAGTCGTTATATTGACCCACTAACTTATAATGACCATAGACTTTATCCATTCCTTTCAAGCACCAGAGGAATGATTGAGCTTGGCTTGGGCCGTGTTGCACGATTGCTTCAGCAGACCACCCTCTCATGGAGGTCCATTCACATCGCTGGGACCAACGGGAAAGGTTCCATCAGTGCCTATCTCTCTCACTTACTATCCGCTGACGGTGTTCGATGTGGCCGCTTTAATTCTCCACATCTAATTGACCGATGGGATTGTATCACAATTGGCGAACGAGTCGTTCAAGAATCCCTTTTCCGAAAAATCGAGGAACAGGTTAAACTTCGAGACAAAACTCTGGGAATCGGCGCCTCCGAGTTCGAACTATTGACTGCTACTGCCTTCGAGATATTCAACCATGAAAATGTCGAAATTGGCGTGGTAGAGGTGGGCATGGGTGGTCGCCTGGATGCCACAAATATTCTAGACAATGTGTTGGTATCAGTCATAACGAAGATTGGCATGGATCACCAGGCTTTTCTGGGCTCTACAATCGAGGAAATTGCCCTAGAGAAGGCTGGTATTCTAAAGCCCGGTGTACCATGCGTGATTGATAATACCAATGAAGCGGCAGTGATTGCGACCTTGTCGCATCGCATCCAAGAGCTTGGAATCGATGCAACTTTCGTCTCTCCAGATATGGCTGGGGCGCAAGCTCCACTACTTGCACAATTGTTCCAGGAATGGGATCTTGAACCCCATCAACAACAGAACATGTGCTGCGCAGTCTCGGCGCTTCGCCTTGCTTTGCCTCGCGTTCGTCCCAATCATGATGTTCTGTCTCTACTTCCACATCTTGCCCACGTTAAATGGCCTGGTCGATTGGAGGATGTCTCCATTCAGGCTTTGACTTCCCGCCAAGAGTCCGCCCTTATAGACGGTGCTCATAACTTACAATCAGCTGAAGTTCTGGGAAAGTATGTGGACCGTAAACTGCGGCCGCATGCTAAGAACGTAACCTGGGTGGTTGCCGCGTCGAGTGGGAAGGATCTTGCGGGTGTTTTCAGCTCGATCATCCGCTCGGGTGATAATGTCGCAACTACAGAGTTTGGACCAGTGGATGGAATGCCCTGGGTCAAATCAACCAATGCTGTTGACCTTACGTTGGCGATTCGGTCTATCCCCGAGATAGGCCAAGTACAGAGCTTTGAAGGTGACCTACTCTCTGCAATCAACTGGGCTAGCGAGACCAGTCAAAGTCAGCCACTTGTTATCGCAGGTAGCCTGTACCTGATATCTGATGTACATCGCTTGCTTCGTGATGCGCATACGAAATGATACCCCGGCTTTTCGAGTCAAGCTTCAGTCTCTTCGCAGTTAATTGCCTGAATGTAAATATAAAATAACCAATATCATAGATCTACTATCACTTTAAACTTCCATTGGTACTTTCCTAAATCAGATAAAATGTTGTGTTGAGTGTGAATGTCTGACGCGCATGGCGTAACTAGTGAGGCACGAAGGTGTTGGCAGGATGCGGCGAGCGGCTTGTGGAGAGGGAAAGTTCAAAACAATCACGCTTTGCCGACTTCCTCACACATCCCTTCTTGTCTTGCATTCTCATTCTGATCTGATTCTGTCTGATTTTCCTAACTCCCTTGCGGACTTGAATGCGCATAAGCGCCCGTCTGAATCCGCTCTTCAGCGCGTTCCAGCTGAGGGTCCTCCTGGTGATGATCGCTTGGTGAGACAACTCAACCCATCCCCTCCCCCTCAACACTTGCACACGAGCAGACGCTCCCATCTCTGATTCCATCTGATCTTGTATTAACACTATCAATCCTCCAGAGTCTATGGACATGAACCCTCAGACTGTCGCCCTCGGCTCCTGCCTTTCCTAGATAACCCCCCCCACCGTCAAAACCTGAAACCGCATACTGAAACCGCATACTGAGACCGGCGATCGGAAAAAATACAAGATCTCACTTGGTCCTAGCTTCTTGTGCAATGGCATTCCGCTCCGGCGATGGGAATGAGGGGCAGCGCCCTCCTACTCCCTCCAGGCCTGGTTCGCCAATGAAGCCGCGATTGAGACGAATCAGCACGAGTCCGTCCAAACGAGACGACAAACCCAAGGATGAGAAAGTCATCAAGTCATCTGCGAAGGACGTCGCAGAGCTCACAGACTTTGTATGGAAACAACTGGTTCTCCCCCAAAATAGCGCAACTTTATGAGCAGATGCTGACCTTGGAGTTTTGACAATAGCAACTAGGCGACTGTCTTGGAAAGGGAGCATTTGGGTCTGTCTATCGCGCATTGAATTGGAATACTGGAGAGACCGTTGCTGTGAAGCAAATCAAGCTTACGGACCTTCCGAAAAGCGAATTGAGGGTTATTATGGTATGGAGATCTCCCTGCCAACTTTCAAGAATCCTGCTGATACGTGACTATAGCTGGAAATTGATCTCCTGAAAAATCTTGATGTGAGCAATTTCTCAAGTGATTTGGCTATTAACATGCTAATAAACACATCAGCACCCGAATATCGTCAAGTACCATGGATTCGTGAAGTCGATAGAAACTCTGAATATCATTCTCGAGTATGTACCTCGAATCTCTGTGATACAGCTCTTGAGGCTAACTTACTGTATAGATATTGTGAAAATGGATCTCTTCACTCTATTGCCAAGAATTTCGGCCGTTTCCCTGAAAATCTGGTGGGCTTGTACATGTCACAGGTTCTCCATGGGCTCTTGTATCTGCATGAACAAGGTGTCATCCATCGAGATATCAAAGGCGCCAATATCTTGACAACCAAAGAAGGCCTAGTCAAACTGGCTGACTTTGGTGTGGCTAGTAGAACGACTGGTCTCAGCGAGTCAAGTGTTGTTGGTACTCCATATTGGATGGCCCCGGAAGTTATTGAATTATCGGGAGCAACTACAGCCTCTGATATATGGAGTCTGGGATGCACAGTCATTGAGTTATTGGACGGCAAACCCCCGTATCACAGCCTTCAACCCATGCCAGCTCTGTTTCGCATTGTGAATGATGACCATCCTCCACTTCCACAGGGTGCATCTCCTGTATGTGCTCTGATCATTGCATTCAAATGAACTGTGCAAATTACTAACGATCTTTCTAGGCTGTCAAAGATTTCTTGATGCAATGCTTCCAGAAAGACCCCAATCTACGTGTCTCCGCCAGAAAATTGCTCAGACATCCCTGGATTGTCAATGCTCGCAGGTCAGATTCTATTGTGCCTAAGAAGTCGACAGAGTATGAAGAGGCGGTAAAAAGTGTACAGGAGTGGAACGAAGCCTTGCGCTCGCCCGGCGATGGTCCGTCGAGGAAGAGCAACAAGTTTGACCAATCGCTTACCGGAGCCCGCAATTCATCGCTGGTGGACACATTGTCGTCTCCTGTTTCTGCAAAATCCGCTGACCGATTTTTATCTCCTGAGCCTGCCGATGACAACTGGGATGATGATTTTGCTACTGCTATTTCTCCTAGTGCATTGAAACTGCCCCACCTGCAGCCACATGACAATTTTGGCGGCATGCTTTCTTCGGAACGGCTCAAAGCATTTGCATCGCTAGATGGGACGGTGCTGAGACCGGATGATAGCTTCGATGACTTTGACGATAACTCACGAGACTCCCTCCTTCCGGAGAATGATCCTCTGCAGACTATACGGCCATATGCAGCCAAGTCCTCGATATCTAACATTTCTAAACAAACCCCAATAAGGCGCCAGCCAAACAAGTCGTCGACTTCGCTTCTTGAAAATGTTCCAATACTAAATCAAACTCCGGCACCGGCAATTAGAAGGCGTCCTGCTATGATCTACAAAGAGAATTCCATTGAAGACTATTCGGATCTAATTATGGCCAACGAAGATGTGCTCGACCGAAAGCTTGGCCTCATCCAGGTATGTAATTTGTATAGCATCTATCAACTGATTTTATGTCTGATGAGGCATTAGGAGGACGATTATCCTACATCCCCCACCAATTATCAAGGATGGGGAGCATTTGATGACGACCGAAGCGGCCAACATCCTCAATTGCGCAAGCAGCTCTCTGTCAAGCGCGATAGATCCACTATCACAATGGAAAAATTTGCCGAGAACGAGAATGACGAGGACTTCTCAGATATCCTTGGAGACAACCAGGTGGCTCTAGAAAACCCAGAGAGTGAAGATGGCTCAGACCGAAGCACGTTGATGCTGAACACAAAATTGTCCAACAACTCATGGCTTGGGGATCAAGACGATGATGATGACCCCTTTGCTCAATTGGAAGAGCAGTTCGACGAAATGGACCTGGAAGCAAACATTGCGCGTGACAAATACGCACGTCTCCGAAACCAAGTCGAGGTTTTAGTCGGGTCTTTGAAAACCTCCCAGGATGAAGAGGTCCTCGCAGAGATCTCCGAGCAGCTCCTGAATATCTTTTATGATCTACCGGAGACTAAGAACATCATCATCAGCGCCCACGGAATGCTACCCATTCTGGAAATCTTGGATACATCACGTCGTCGGGACATCGTCTACTGTTTGCTCCGAATTGTCAATGCGATCATATACAATGATGATGAGATCCAAGAGAACCTGTGCTTCGTCGGAGGCATCCCTATTGTTAATGAGTTTGCCTCGAAGAAGTACCCTCGCGAAATTCGATTGGAAGCCGCGGCGTTTGTGCAGCAGATGTATCAGACCTCGGTCCTCACGCTCCAGATGTTCGTGAGTGCTGGTGGCCTGAACGTCCTGGTCGAGTTTTTGGAGGATGACTATGAAGATGAGCGGGACCTAGTGCTAATAGGCGTCAATGGAATATGGAGCGTCTTTGAGTTGCAGGTGAGTGTCCCTCGGATGCCATTTCCACTACTTTGATACTAACAAATGTCTTCTAGGGCTCAACTCCAAAGAATGATTTTTGTAGAATCTTGTCACGCAATTCTGTTCTTGACCCTCTTTCACTCGTCCTGAGCAGAGTTTTGGACGAAGAAGGCGAGCTGGCAGAAATCATTGAAGGCCGCATCGCCAACATTTTCTTTATATTTTCTCAGGCCGAAAATCACGTCAAGGAAATGGTCGCGGAGCGGACAGTCTTACACAGTAAGAATATAATTACTGAACCGCGTCTTTGAAAGGCTTTGCTAACGACAATCCTTCTTAGGAGTTCTGAAAGAATTGAGACGGATGTCGCCCACTCATCAAGTGACAATGCTCAAGTTCATAAAGAACCTTTCCATGCTTTCAACAACATTAGATTCCCTTCAAAATTCCAATGCCATTGATGTTCTGACTGATCTTCTTCGCTCAACCATGAAGCGAGGCCACTTCCGTGAAGTCTCAAATCAAATCCTCAACACAATCTACAACATGTGCCGTCTGAACAAGTCTCGACAGGAGGATGCTGCGCTCAATGGCATTGTTCCATTGCTTCAGAAGATAGTCAATACTGAGAGACCTCTGAAAGAATTTGCTCTACCTATCCTTTGTGACATGGCGCAGTCCGGTAAGGTTGGCCGTCGAGAGTTATGGCGCAACAAAGGACTCTCTTTTTACATTTCTCTGCTCGCGGATCCATATTGGCAGGTGACAGCCCTTGATGCGATTGTCACATGGTATGTTAAAATCTGATTCCACAGAATAACCTATATTCAATCTAAATCTTCTCTTAGGCTTCAAGAGGAAACTGCCAGAGTTGAAGAACATCTTCTGGAGAATCGTCTAGAGAAAACTTCTTTCACCGATGCCATTGTCCGATGTTTGACTCTCTCGGGGGCGAACGCATTCGAGAATCTCCTCGAGCCCCTTCAGAAACTTCTTCGGCTGAGCCCTCCCTTGGCATCAACCCTTGCTCGCCCGGATCTCTTCCTGAGACTGGGACAAAAGCTTCACCAGAACAAGGCTGCAGTTCGATTGAACCTACTGCGCATCATATCAAGCATATGCGACTCGAGTGAGGAGCAAGGAGGGCTGCTTGCCACATATGGTCTACTCGATGCAATCCGGGAGCTGGAAAATGACCCAGCTATTCTGGTCAGGGATATGGCAGGCAAGCTAGTTCAGTCGAACGAGAGGTGCGAGTCTTTTGGTGCGAGCAAGCGCAGACCAGCGAGCCGAAGATTAAGTACATCCACCCCCCGCCCAACTTCTTTGCAAATTCGACACCCTCAACCCCTTCCTCCAACCGGACAGGCCAGCCACGGGTATTCCTGGAAGGTCGGGACACTCCACGTCACCCTCGGAATGCCTTAAACGGCTCCTCGTTGGCTCTACGGCCTAGCAGCCGCGATGGTAGTGTGTCTGCTTTGAGTTCAGGAACGAATGGTAGCGCCTCGGCAGCTGGTATCTCACGGAATAGACTGCGAAGCATGCCGAATAGTCGACTGTTTGCTGCCGAATTGTCCCAAGATGACGACGCAAAAGCACCTACCTCTGTAGGTCGTCGACCTTCAATCATCCCTCGACGTCGGCGTCCCAAAGCCGCCGATTCTGATTGGGCATGATCCACCTTGTAATACTTTACACTGCAGATATCGTGATTATTGATCACTACATAAGCATTTCACCTTCTTTTATGTTTCGAGGCAATGGCGTTGTAAGAGTCCAGGTACGGAGGGGTTTGAGGCTTTTGAGGTTACAATTTCTTGTTTAAATAATAGGTCTCCTTTTTTCCCTCTTACTATGGTGGACACTGGCTGCTACACATAGATATTACCTACAAGCTCTCAATGAGACACATTGTCCGCCGGGTATTTCCCATGTAGTCGAGTCATCAGCAGCCTTTAAGTCAACTATAAAATACCGTGTGTCCGCAATGACGTACATTGATATAGATTGAAGATCACGTGTGGACTACAAACCAAGAGTTTACCCGATTGGCGGCGAGAAACTTCCAAAAATTCTTCCTGGTCATGCAATCCCAGCAATGGACTGAATTGAGGGCTTCAATAGCTTAGTCAACAATCTCCGCTCTTTTATTTCTGTATAGAACCTGGTCGCAATGAGCACGCTTTGCGTGCCACTGCGGGCCTTGGCCAATCCCGCCACAGCTATCCGGCCATCAACAGTTTCGATCAGCGCATACGTCGGTTTCGGAACTAAATATTCACTATCATCATCGCCATTGTCTCGCACAATCTCTACCAGTCCATGTGGACTTTGGCAGCATGTTTCTACTTCACTTCGCTCTTCCTCGTGCCGGAGCTTTTCAATAAACGCCCCGACACTCTCGTCCGTAGAAGCCATTGGCCAGACAAGAAACGGATCGAAGACAAATGTCCCGTCGCAGCGAAAGCTCAAGTACTTGATTGTGCTCGGCGTACTTGGTGTCGGCGCATTTGCATACCGTGAGAAACTCAGCCATCTGTACCAGGCGGCGCAGAGAAGTGGTCGAGTAGCTGGTGCTTTGGCTGTCTGTATCAACGAGTAAGTAGAGCATCACATGAGCAGTATAACTTCCATTTAGTCTCATTGCGACGCTTTACTAATGAGAGATTGAATCTTACCATAGCTATCGCGTTACCCTCAATAAAGAAACCTCCTCCCCGGCCGAACGCAATGCTGAGCTCAGCGCATGCCACAAGCGCTGTGCTGAGCGTACCTTGCGTGTTCTCGAGAAAAACGGATCTGTGTTTATCAAGTTGGGCCAGCATCTCAGTAGTATGAGCTATCTGCTTCCCCTTGAATGGACCACAACCTTCATCCCGCTACAGGACAACTGCCCCGTTTCGTCAATTGAGTCAGTTAGAGAAATGTTCCTGAAGGATACCGGTCAATCAATTGATGAGCTATTCACTTCGTTTGAACCGGTGCCCATTGGTGCTGCTTCATTGGCCCAGGTACATATTGCCACACTGCGGAGTACTGGAGAGAAGGTTGCGGTCAAGGTTCAGCACCCTGCTCTGGCTGAATGGGTGCCACTAGATGTCGCATTGACTAGTTTCACTTTTGCGACTCTCAAGCGATTCTTCCCGGAATACGATTTGGAATGGCTATCGAGAGAGATGCAAATTTCCCTACCGCAGGAGTTAGATTTCCGTATGGAAGCTCAAAATGCAACAGAGGCTAGCGCGTATTTCAGAAAGCACTCTGATGCACCGCTCGTGATCCCCAAAGGTAAAGATGGGCCCAGTGGACTGTCCTCTTTTTCAATATTAACGATATTTTCTAGTCATGTGGTCGCAAAAGCGCATCCTTGTTATGGAATTCATCTCCGGTGCCCGCCCCGACGACCTTGATTTTCTAGACCGCAACAACATCGACCGGGATGAAGTTTCAGCAGCCTTTGCCCATATCTTCAACGAGATGATCTTCGGCGACGAAGCTCCCTTGCACTGTGATCCGCACGGTGGCAACATTGCCATCCGCGTCAACCCTGACCGTAGTCACCCAAACTTCGATATCGTTCTATATGATCACGGACTTTACCGTAAAATCCCCCGCGAGATACGCCGAAACTATGCTAAGCTCTGGTTGGCCGTCATTAATGTGGATGTCCCCCGCATGCGCGAGTATGCGTACAAGGTTGCCGGCGTCACTGATGAGCAGTTCCCTCTCTTCGCCAGTGCCATCACCGGTCGTGACTACAGTACTTTGACGCAGAAGAGCGTTGTCTCCTCGCGGACCGTTGAGGAGAAAGACAATATCTCCGGTGCTCTGGGTGATGGCATGCTGCAGCAGTTGGTCGAGTTGCTGGGCCAAGTGCCGCGTATTATGTTACTGATTCTCAAGACCAACGATCTTAGTATGTCCTCATACCCACCTACTCTGTCAATTGCGCACTAACAACAACCCCCCAGCTCGAAGTCTTGATGAGAACCTGCACACCCGTCAAGGTCCCATGCGCACGTTCCTGATTCTGGCCCGCTACGCCACGCGCTCCGTTTTCGAAGAACAGTTGGAATCCATCCAAGAATCAGGTGGTGTCTTCCTGAATTTCTTTCGCTATCTCGCTGCCTGGGCCGGCTTCCTGCGTGTCGAGGTAAAGCTGTCCGTCTATGAAACGGTCTTATCTCTGAAGAGCCGGTTCGGGATTCGCAGTGGCTGATCCTTTGGAATCGATACCCATGAACTTAATTAATATGCTACATATATCTTGTTTTGTTTTCGCATGGATTGTACCAACCGATCTGTGTATGAGCGATGGCGTTTTCCGTTCTTTACTCCATATCTCTATATGTTCCATTTATGGATGGAGCTGTACCTATAGTTTCGTTCACATGTCTGGGTGTAGTGTAGATAGACTTTCATTAACAATTATTCAAATGAGTGTTCTCGATGAACTTTACAAATGGCGAAGTAAATTTGAATTCATCGTTACATTGGAAACCATCCCGCTTTTTTAGGTAAATGATCGATCGAGGGATCCCGAATACCGAAACGCCATAAACGAAAGAACGAAAAAAAAGAAAAAAAAAGAAAAAAATACAAAACCCAGGCACGTAGAAAAAGAAAGGAAATTCTGTACAGCAAACAAAGTCAATTTGTTTGAATCCTCCGATCAACCAAAGAAATGAGTTACCGAACCAAGATTCACCGAGTCAACGTCCCAAAGCATTGACGATCGGTCAGAGCTTGCAATCATATTTTTCAACCCACGCTTAAACTTCATATAATTTAAACGGCAGCAGCGGGGCTAGGTTGAGCGAGATCAGCCTTCATGTCGGCAAGGGAAGCACCAGTACCGGAAAGGCTGGTAGTCTTGGTGTTAGGGTTCTTGGTATAGTAATCGGAGATAGCAGACTTGATAGCATCCTCAGCAAGCATAGAGCAGTGAACTGAAGTAGTAGTTAGCGAAAACCAATTACACAAAAAAAGATATTGAAAGAAGGAGTGACGTACGCTTGACAGGGGGGAGACAGAGCTCCTTTGCCACATCGGTGTTCTTGATCTTGCCAGCCTCATCGAGGGTCATACCGCGAACGAGCTCAGTCAGATAGCTAGAAGAAGCGATGGCACTGCCACAGCCGAAAGTCTTGAATACGACGTCATCAATCCGGCCGGAGTCCTTGTTCACACGGATCTGAAGCTTCATGACATCGCCGCAGGCAGGGGCACCGACGAGGCCAGTGCCAACATCTTGGTCGCCCTTCTTGAAGGAGCCGACATTCCGGGGGTTGTTGTAGTGGTCCAGGACCTTTTCGTGATATGAGCGTCTTTGAGTAGGAGGTGTCTGGATGAGACGCTGAGCTGGCTGTACGGAGACGGAGGCGAGCGGAGCGAAAGCGCGAGAAGCCACAAGGCCGACGCGGGGAGCGACGGTGACAATACGCTTGAACATTGTGGAGTTGAGTGGAGTGGAATTTGATGTTAATAGATTCAAGTGAGGTTCAAGAAGGGGAATTGTCGTGAGGGAGAATAGAAAAAGGGAAGATGACGGGTATGATGTGAGAGGCGAAAGCTGATCAGATCTGATACGGGGAACCGAGAGGAGAATGAATTCATTAAAATAATCAGATTCTTACTAATCCAAATCGCTAGGCCCAATAGAGGTTAAAGCCAACATAATCGCCGGCCATCGGAACCATTACCTTCATTTCATTCGTTCTCTGCATTCTGTGGAATGTCTGGAATGTCTGATTTGTTGTTCCTTTCAATACTTACGTCGTAGTTTGATAGCTATCAGATTTTTATAGTCAACCGTGATATCACCAGTGGCGAACAGGTTCCCGAATCACAGTACCAACATATCAAATCAAATGTTGATCAATTTCCCAGTTCGAGCGAGTAACCAGTAAGCTTCTTACGGTTTCCTAATAATAATAATATAATAGATTTTACTTTGTAGTTGATATTACTCTTACCGAGCATCTCGGAGTTAACGGGAAATTCCAGCTAAAAAAGCAAACGCCGTATACAGACCCCGGCTTATACCCGATCACTGCTCGGACTTGTTGAACGTTAGCATCAACGGAGATATCAGACTCCTCACCAAGGTTCAGTTCTAATTTAAGCCTCAGTTAAAGAATGAAATTTTTTGTAAAGTAGTAAACAGTGCCCTTCCAACGAGTAGCTACTAAATAGAAGTTATAGCTAACTGTAGTGCGAGTGGAAGTATGCTTATGTAAGTCAAATTGCCCAGATTTCGACTTGGTGAACTATCACCACCATTGAATAGCTAATCCCGAGGTCCAACACATAATGAGCCAAAACACTCCACCAAACCCTAAAGGCTTAGGCCGGGTCAAAGGGGTATGTGAATACTCCATTCAGTCCCTCAACAGCTTCTTAAATTCCCAGTCCATTCGAAGTTCATAGTCTACGGCTAATCAGGCCATACACAATATTCGAATTCTTATTCCAACAAATCACTGATAATATCATTATAACATTGAAACTAACTAAATAATAGTCTGTCAATGCCCCCATCGCAGCCTTCACGATGGCACTTGTCCTCCTCAGCTACTGTGTCAGCTCTATCCACTCAGCAAGACGTGACAGATTGTCAAATGCGTCGCGTCTTGCTATGAACCACACATCACATCCTGACAGAAAGACTTCCTCTTGGGTCCGGGATGCTCTAGACGAGAGTAAAGCTGAGCAATGGGAGAAAGCTGGGAAGTAAGGGTGATATCAATTCTCAGAACATAATATAACATATGGACAGTACATACTACAACTACACGTTTGAAGGACAGTCCAAGATTTCGAGTTTTACAATTTAATATTGTGATTAACTATATACCAATGCATGTAGGTGCATTTCTGCTTGAGTGGAATGGTATCAAATGAAGATTCCAGGATCTCATCTGGTTCAACTGGGGAAATGTGCAAGTGTAAAGAGTGTGTAGGAACGAAAAGGAAGGAAAGGGTCTTCGTGTTCGTGATTAATCAGAATTTTCAGTGTATTGATTGATCATTCCCCAGGAGTCTATAAGTGTAAACGACAACCTGGTTCAATATCATTAAGAAATCATCATATGAATCTTGAAGCGAAGTGGCCAGAATGGCACGCGAATTTGGGGTTGGGTTCAGAAGGACAAGTAATGAGGCCAGGGGGGTATATATGTAGATGAAGATATAGATGAAGCAAAAATATTAGTTAGGTTAGTTCCATGTTGCGCATTTGAGCTCCAGGACATAGAGGGTGAGCAGGGCTGAGGTGTGCGGGCCCATTACAAGAGAACTGCTCAAGAATAGTTGTTGAATTGTGGCTGATATTCTTCAGAGAACTGCATCAGGGATCCAAACATCAAAATCCCTGAGCATTCTGTAAATTGTTGCGGCGCGAGAAGAGTGTGAGAAGAAAGAAGAAAAGCCAAGCGAAGAAAAAGTGTGTACGGGAGCTTGTCACATGACTTATGTTTGAGCTCCACCACTGTAACTAGTCTAAAGTACCCCAATTCCAATAAAAGTAAAGAAAAAGTCTGACTTCAAAGATAAAACTGAGTCTCAGCTATGGATTGGATAAATAAAACAAAGTTCCAAACATGCTAGGGGTTTAATGGTTATGCTATGTACAAAAACAGTACATGCGACATGGAATTGAGGAAACCAACGACGCTTTCGAAGGAAAAAAAAAACACAGAGATATTAAAGCATAGAATCTAATTTCTAAGCAAAATAATCTCTGACATGTGATAAGGTATAGGCTGAAGACTTTACATGCACAAGTCTCCTAGCACGTAAAAAAACACTCCTGTTTATGCCGGATATCCCCAGGAAATATTTTGAAGGTACAGAGAGTAAGCCCAGAGACAGCGCCCAATTGGAAATGATCGGAGTCCTCCAGGTCTATACAAGTAGAGAAAAAAAGCCGAGTTGTCAATGGGACAAAGGAACACATCACTCATGTGCAAGGCAGAAAATTGGAGTTTAGGTGGTAGTAGAAAGTAGTAGAAGTTAACAAGCTTCTTGTATCATTTTTTCCATCAGATGCTAGAGATTCCTGCAGTCTGATCTTCTGCATGAAGCTTTAACTCACCCTCATGCTGGAGGTTGTGGAAAAACTGCCGCAGATATTCATATGTAAGCATAGTCGTCATAGCAGCTGGGATGGCCCGGAACAGATTGGTTCCAATTCCAGAGTAGAAAGCACGCCAGCCTTCTTCATGTAAAATGGTCTGAAAAGTGCGCACAAGTCCACTATATCGGGGGCGACTGGGCATCCCATCGGATGACGATGCGAACCGTGGCCGACCACGGTCATGGGGATGATTGAGACCCCCACGGAAAGAGATTTCTTCTGGTGACTGAGCAGGAATTGTGCGTTGTTGAGTTTGCAGTCGTGTTCTAAGAACTTCGTGGGGATAGGTTACTGTGCTTGCACAGACCTTGCTTATAAATGTGGCACATGAGATACTGGCCCAATGAGTGGTACCATCTTCGGGAGTTTCTCCTATGCCATAGCCGGTGAATGCCGTCTTTAGGTACTCATAGAGAGGAAATTGAATGGCCACGTGAGTGAGACCCAGCAGAGCCGGAGTAAGGCCGGAATAAAATGAACGAAGGCCTTCAATTTGATACATCTTGCGGGCAGCGTCCAATGTGCCCTTGTATTGCCAGGGTGCTCGGAAGCCTTCATTGTTCTGCTTAAGGCTCTGTGACATGAGTCTTGTTTTGATGACCCAGATAGGGTTCGTCACAATTGTCGAACAAGCACCGGCGCTTATTGAGGCATAGCCTCGAGATAACCACCAGCTATCTGCAATTTGGTCAGCATATTTTTCAGCAGGTCGTATGTTGAAGTCAGATTATCTACCTGTTTTTTCGTAGAAGTATTTGCGAGACCGGTCATATATTGCTAGATAGACTGCCCATGTAGGAAGGTATCCTAACAGCATTGGACCCAGTCCCTGGTAAAGACCCCGAATACCAGCTTCCCTCCAGATCATTCTTCCAGTGCCGAACATTCCTCGATATAGTACCTTGGCGTCGACAGGACCACCTCCCCGTCTGGCAAAGCCGCCTTGGGCTTGTAACTTGGTTTTGATCACATCGAGAGGGCATGTCACGATACCAGAAGCAACACCAGCACTGGCACCGCATATAGGAGCGATATAGAAGTCAGGGATCCTGGTTGAGAAGATGGCTAGGCGGGTGGTGAAATTGGAGCTCAAAGATGCATTGGCTACTTGCACGTGAGGATCATACGGAGTATTTTCTGAACGGAGGCCTGGCTGCTTGGGATTGCTGGCAGCCTCGCTGCTTTTGTCTTCTGGTTGCATTGTGTGCTATAGTAGGCGCTCACGTTTGTTTGTCCGCTTTGTTCACCGAGGGCTCCCGGACTCGAGCATATCGGGTGCTCGACCCGGAACCCAAGAACCCGATTTGAATCTCGATAAAGGAGGGCAGATGAATGTTATTTTTTTTTTGGCAATCCAGTCGGAGGGATGAAAAGGAGGCGTGAGTAATTTTTGAAGGACTCTATCGAAGAGAGTTGGAGCCGATGGCTACCGAATCGATCTGGGATGTGATGTTCTACGAATATGCACGGGGCACGAATATGAGCGGGGGTGGGCTTCTGGGCAAGAGCTTTACAGTCGTAACCGGAGTTAGTTGATTTCCCCACACCCTGTAGGTCGATAGTAGCCGAAAGGGTGGAGTGAAGAGAGGTCGAATGGATTATGAATTGAATGGTAGGTGGAGTCCTAATTATTCGCAATCTATCGGAGCCTGAGGCTAAAGGCTCTCAGTTGAGATATCACGTGGTATTGCTGCCTGTAATCCCAGGCCATAATTACTACACATACGGACTAGCGCATCAAGCTCCGTTTTTACACAACCTCATCCCGGGACAACTCGTGTTCAGCCGGACCGCCCCTTCCAATCTCCTCTCCCCCAAATCATTCGTCTGGATACCCGGGATCCAAAATGTCTGCTCCCTCCGTCGCCAACTACATTGTCAAGCGCCCCTGGCTCAAGCGCTGGATGACTCCCCTGGCCCATTGGTACACCGACGCCGCTGGCTACCGGAAACTCGGATTGAAGTAAGTATCGCCCTTCTCCAGGACCCCATCTCTTGTCACCACAGCAATCGAAGACCACGAAGCATTTGCGACATGTACAGCCTTAGCGAATTTCTCCTCGTCCCTCATTGCCAACATGTCACATATGTTACCCTCGGTCTTCCGAATGCCGCATCTGTCTTCATCGTCTACTACAGCCTCTAACCCACTGCCTAGGTTCGATGACTTGATCCCCGAGGAGAGTGAGACCGTCCAGAAGGCCATCAAGCGTCTCCCTTCCAAGGAGGCCTACGACCGTGTCTTCCGTATCCGCCGCGCATTCCAGGTTCGTTCACGGCCATCAGCTCTGGTCCGCGACTTGAAGACTAATAAATTTATCAATTGCAGTGCTCCATCTCGCACACCCTCCTCCCACCTGCTGAGCAGATCCAGCCCCACGAGGTGAGTCCCTTCAAATCGAAATTCGACCTCCCCGCATTCGGCCCCATATTGGCCAATCCCGTTGCAAGGATTTGTCACTCATGTCCAATGCTTTTATATCACTGTTTTATCAACATTATACTAATTACATGCACCAATTAGGATGTTGAGTACCTGAGCCCCATCATCCGCGAGATTGAGAAGGAGAACAAGGAGCGCGAGGACCTCGACAACCTGACCGTCCGCAAGTAAATTGTGACTTTAATTCATGCTGCAATCTATCACCAAAACCCAACCCTGATGGGATTCAAGGACGACAGAGTTGTTCACTCCTAGACATTAAGATTTCTTTTGGCGCCTTGTATGGATTGGCCGTTGGCGGAGGTGGCTGATCCAATGTTTGTGTACTGATACTGTACAAATTTATTTTCTTTGTTCGACCTCCACTTACGATTTTGACATCGCCTTCAGTTGGCGAGCTAATTTCTCAAGTGGGCTTGACCTTCACCGACAGTAATTGCAGCAAAATAGATTCCCGACTTCAAATGACCTTCGAAATATGTCAATTGGCCACTAACCATTGACACATGGGCGCGCTTTACCGTACATCTCATAAAGAAGCTCATTCCCCTTAAAAGCTCAATCCATCCTTGTTACCTCCAGCTGTAACGTAGGAATCAAAAGTTGCAGCGCGGCGAAAATCTGACCAAAAGGAAAAGGTCTTTTAGGATCACGCAGGCATTTCCTCCAGTCTCACCTTTCTGCTTCTGCTCAGGTGAAATCAAAATTGCTACCTACAAGGTATTTTTTATTCAATTGAAGTCTGACGCCCCTCGAAGACCTTGGAACCATTCATCCTCGTCTTTAGACACCTGAGCCTTGTTAAGAATGTAAATCTTCTAAAGTTCCATTTCGGCGGTGGAAACTTAGGGAGAAGAGCGATGGAAACCTCCATGGCTGGTTGTACCTATATATCACCGCCCCCGAGCTGAATAACCTCTAGGGCTTCATATATTCCACTAGGTATTGGAGCCCTGACTGCCCAGGCGGAAGAGACTGCCCAACTAGCTAGGTATACATATTTTCAACAATTGAAATGTGAATCTTCTGAGGCTGTAATATTTATTACGAATAGTTCGGAGTACCCAGTTTCCAATAGTGGACATCTCCCTACACGACGAACAACTAATTTCGACTGAAGAATGAAATCCGAGCTGATGGACTTTTATATCAATATTGGAACTTATCTAAATCTAGCCTGCATCTGCTTAGTTGAGAATTTGGGTACCTAAGTAGGTACATGTCTACTCCGTACCTACGTATCTATCTCATACCCCGGTCGACTGGGTTTCTCACACTTAACTATTCAAGACGAATTGATCTACTGGAAATAATTTATGGAAGGTTGATTGTCAGCGAGAAGGAAAAAAACGAAAGAAATTCTAGTGGAGGGAACGAAAGGGCTACAACTGTAACCGCATACATTGGAACAAAGCGAGCGCTCTAGTAAACAGATATGGTAACAATGAAAGAAAAAAAAGAACAAGGGGTAATAACGTCTTATCAAAAGGGTAGGGAAGGGGGATTGTCTCCCGAGGACAGAATTCATGTTTCGAATTTTCCTCACGAAGACAGAATTATTATCATAAGAACTGCAATTAAGACACATTGGTAAACCGTTTGCTTCTACAATTTTTCCAGAGCTACTCTCTTTGAAAAAACATAGGGACAAATAACAAATTCAACACCCTTACAAAAGCTGAGCGAAGGCATAGAAGGCGGCAGCGACACCGGCCACGGGCACGGCAACACCGTTGATAGAGGCAGCACCAGTGCTGGTGCTAGCGGCAGCGGTGGAGCTGGAGGTGGTGGAAGAGGAAGTACCGGACTTGCCGCTGGAGGTGGTGGGGTTGTTGGTAGTAGCCTTGCAGCTGTAGGTACCCTTGATGACACCCTCGCTCTGCAAGGTCTTGAAGGTGGAGCATTCGAACTTGCCCTCAGTGCTCTGCAGGTTGAATCCACCAGCAACGCGCTCAAGGGAGCCAAGGTCGACACTATTATTGAAGAGTTAGGGAATTGTATATGAAGAAAAATGGTGCATGTAGTGAACTTACGTGTTGAAGGTACCGGTGAAGTCAATGGCACCAGTGACAGTCTCGAGCTTGGGGGTGGAGATGGTGTCCAGCTTGTCGTTACGGCTGATGGAGAAACCACCATTGATGGTCTTGAGGACGGGCAAGCTGATGTTGGTAAGCTTGGCGTTGTCCATGAAGACAATGTCACCGGTAGCGGTCAGGTTGGGAGCGGAGAAGGACTTGAAATCAGTGCCCCAGAAACCGAGCTGACCGGTCAGCTTCTCGAGGGAGGGAACGGAAACACTGGAGATGTTGCGGAGGGTAAGGTTGGTACCGGTGCCGAGGTTGGGGAGATCGATCTCGAGCTGGTCGTAGTTTCCGGAGAAGTTGATCAGATCGGTGGCGTTCATCAGGTTGTTGATGTTGACGGTCTTCAGGCCACGGTTGTTCTCAATGTCGAAGAGACCGACAGTCTTAAGGGAGATACCGCCGAGGGAGGTCAAACCAGTGTTGACAATGCTGACATCACCAGCCTCGGTGACACCAGTGGAGAAATCCAGAGACAAAAGCTCGGGGAGAGCCTCCCAGGAGATAGAGCCAACGGAGGAGAGGTTTGCGAAGCTGAGGGTGGAGAGCTGGGTCAGGCTGCTGAGGGTGAAAGCCTTGCCAATGGAACCCAGGTTGGCGGCGGTGATGCTGGTGACATTAGTGCCACCAGTGCAAGAGAGAGCACCAGTAATCTTTTCAATACCAGCCAGAGACAAGACACCGGAGAAGTCCTTCTTGATGGTCAGATCACCGTCGAAGACGGAGCAGCTGGCGATGGCATCGGCATCGCTCTGGGAGGAGATAGTGGTATCTGTACTGCAGGCTGTGGAGGGGGGGGGGAGAGGTCAGTTTACAACCCATTTGTGGAGGAGGTAATTAGGAATACTCACTGTCGTCGGACTTGGCAAAGGCGAGCTGAGTCGCTGCCAGAGCAGGCAGAATGTACTTGGTGAAAGACATGGACGATGTCTGTTTTGCGACCGTGTTAAAAAGCAAGTTCAGAAAACAGAAAGCACAACACAGGGGGTGATGAGAAGATGAGAGCTGAAACGTACAAAGTATGAGGATTAATAAGGTGATTGGGGAAGTAAGAAAAAAACGAGAGTGACGGCTTCAACGAAAGGGAAGCGGCGTTGAGATTCAATGGAAAGAACGAATGGACGAGTTTGGGAGAAAGAAAGAAGAAATAAGAGAAAGGAGGCGCAGGTGGAGAATTTGTTTTGTCTGTATAAATACAAGGAATACAAGGGGTAAACTAACACAATACCCAATCTGGAATACAATACAGCCGGTACAGAATCCTGTTTTAAAGAACTGCAGGTTCTTTATTAGTGTTGTTTCCAGTTTCACACTTAAACCACTGGACGTCTTTGATTCCCCCCTTTCTCCATTTATTCTCCATCTATTCTCCATCTATATTCTCCATTAGTGGAGTCTTGATTCAAATCCCAATCTCCTGTTCATTTTGGTATGATAATATGGTACAGTTCGGTACCAGATTATGACTACTCCGTATATGACTATTGATTACATGAAGCGTCCGTGGCTCATGATTACCTGGGTATGTTCCTGAGTACGGAGTATGTAATATGGTAACGTCTTTGTACTGGGAACGGGTTTTGAAAGTACAATACTGCATGCATATTTCATATTCCACGGTTGTACAACATAATAAAATACCACTAGTTTCTGGGAAATTTGAACTCATTTCGAGGTTCATTGTTGAGCAGTCGTAGTAGTAGAAGAAAGATAATCAATTCAACTCGTAGAATCCAGAACAGTAAAACCACCTCTTTCCCGAATGGGCTATTTAATCTATCATAATTTATTTCGTACTCGTACATTACCGTACTTTGTCGGGTTCATCAACGGCCCCATATCTCTTGTCGTCATGCAACTTCCCCCTGATTAGCATTTAATTTTACTTGATCTTGAAGGATTTGCCATGTGTGGGACTTGATTAATGGACTATGGGATATACCATTGGACCTTACACTATGATCTGAATTTGCAAAGTATCCAAATTCAAGCCTCCAGGGATCCGCTTCACCCCCCCCCCCTACCGCTATCATAGCTCTGGTATGCTCCATCTCTCATTGGTACGTTGGAATGAATTGTACTTCTGAAATGCCGATTTCTTATTTGAGGTACTTTCCCCTCGGGCATCCGAGGCCGTCCAAATAATTCTATCCCCTCAGCAACCCCTGCAGTACTATGGAATAGCAGTTGTAGTGCTAATGACTCCTTTCTTTTCCCTCTTAAGCTTAATTTATCTATCTACACAAAGTACGAAAACTTCTTGTGAATCACTATATTCCCTTGCTCTTCATGTGGAAAAGTGTAGATCCAGGCTCTGGGGCTGCAATGATATCTGTTCTGAGATCCTGTCTCCAGTCTTGGATAGATTGCATTGGCCTAGATCTTCGATGTTGATCAATTCGACCCTTACAGTAGAAGCTCCGTGATTGATTACCGTTTCGCTGCCAGGATTCCATAGCTTTGACAGTTTCCCACGATTGTGTAAGTAGTAAGTAACGGCTATCTCACAACTCGGTACTCCAAAGGAAGTCTCAGATTTTGGGTCGATTCTTCCAAGTTTGGGTCAATTCTTGAGTCAATTGGGTCACATCATGCAATGTTATTTTACAGGTATCTGAAATACATGTAATATTTCCTTGTTTCAGGTTTCTCTACTCCGTACCTCTGTCTTCGCATCGACATTGCCAGCGATGAACTGCATGCTGCGCCTATCAGAAATCTCTGCCAATCTTCAAACAGAATCAAGGCAGTGGAGTTTCTTCTATGTGGAGCGATACCTCTCCGTCGGCTCCAGCCCGGGAGATTCGACCTGTCAACGGTCAACGCCACTATGGATACCTCACGGCCTCACTGTTCGTTTCAATACGGAATTGCACACATTCCTGGCTCGTGCGTTATTGCTTCCTTCTCATTCTAAGAATGTGAACGAGAAATAAGGGGGGGGAAGGCAGCATTCTCCGGGCCCTGGAGATAACTGTATATGCTAAAAATGGATCTCTATCAATGCACGACTGTATCAATTAGGTTCTCGTGATTTGGCTAATACGAAGCTTTTTAGTTAAGTTCGGGGGCGTGCCCAGTGGCTCGCGTCTTCGGCTACACAATGGTGGTACACAGTACTTCACAACGAGATCTTGTTGGTGGATCATAATTACAACATATCCACTTGTATTCATTTCCCTTCCAAGTCTCCTCCTTCTAAAGCTTACGAAAGGTTAATCTGGTGCTGACGCAAGCTCGTTATTTTGTTGTCTGTACTCTCTAGGTAAATTGGGTAGCATATTACCGATACATAGTAGTAACTCATGTCCCCTGAACCCTGGTAGGGAGGCAAAGTATGGAGAACATTCAGTCCAATTGTACCACATTATCTGAGATGGTAATGATATACTTTTTTTTTTTTTCTCCATAGATGCATAAATACCGTGTATATTTTTAGTCATATCTTTGTTGCCTTGGGATCCACCAATGACAGTACAGTTCTCGACTAGAACAGCTACCTTTCCCAATTAGGTAAGGGGTACTCTTAAAATATCAAGTCTCAGTATCAATTCCTCCAAGTTCCGGCACCAACTTCCGGTTGATTGCGTGGATGTCAAGAAACTAGCAATATTCCTTCAGCTTTGAAGAGGAGAAAGTATTCTAACTTACTCCTTAAATTTATTATCCTAGGTAGATTCAAGTTCATAGTCCTCATGAAGAAGGCAAAACTCACAAACCCGCCAAGATGTCTTGGCATGCGTCAACTCATCTCCACTCCATCTTAATAGTAATCAATCCATGCTCTCAATTATATCGAGTGCCTTCATATCTCAATCACTACAATGGCACTTAGACGCTCTACACGCCTGGCTTCTCTTCCCAACATTAACCCAGTAGGCACTACAGCACTAAAAGTGACCCGAGTCCAAAATAACGGAGTCTCGAAACACCGCAAACCTCCCACCAAAAAGCCAGCTCCTAAAGTCGTCGAGGCAAAGCCAGAGACTTCGAGCTCATACTGGTCTCCAGAGCCTCCAACTACTAATCCCCTCAACGACAGACTTCTCACACCCCCTCCACTCGATCGCCCAGTTGACCCGCATCGCACAAACGTAACCCTCCTCACACCCCACGGCTCCTCAGTCGTCGCCTACCCACTAAGTGTCGAAGATGCATCGCCCTCAAAGACAGGACTGCCACGCCCGAATGCCACAACTGGGACATTACTCGACGAAGCAATTGCCCACCTCATAGCCATAGATCCGCGCCTTAAGAAGGTCATTGACGAAAACCCCTGTCCAATATTCTCTCCCGCAGGCCTAGCAGAGCAGATCGAACCATTCAACAGCTTGACAAGTAGTATAATCGGCCAACAAGTCTCAGGGGCGGCTGCAAAATCCATCCGAAATAAATTCCTGGCGTTGTTCGACTTGCAAAATAGCGTTGATGGCGCGAATCCAGAACGCTCGCTGTTTCCTTTGCCTGAAGATGTCGCCCGGTGTGATATTGCCACGCTGCGTACTGCAGGTCTATCGCAGCGTAAGGCGGAGTATATTCAGGGGTTGGCGGAGAAGTTTACGAGCGGAGAGCTGAGTGCGCAGATGCTGGCTCGGGCGAGTGATGAGGAGCTTTTTGAGAAGTTGATTGCTGTAAGAGGGCTTGGGAAGTGGTCTGTTGAAATGTTTGCCGTCTTTGCTCTTAAGCGCATTGATATCTTTTCAGTTGGGGATCTCGGCGTGCAGTAAGTTTCTATTACCTCTGGGGTTTGCTACATTTGGTATGGGCAGTGAGCTATATAGCTGACTTTGCCTAAGACGTGGCTGTGCTGCCTTTTCAGGTCGCGATGTCAGCAAGTTGAAGGCAAAAGGCGGTGGTAAGTTCAAGTATATGGCGGAAAAAGACATGCTAGAGCTTGCTGCAAAGTTCGCGCCCTTTAGGTATGTTTTCATCAGATCTCACTCCAGGCTGTCTCTGACTGGGTTGATTAGGAGTCTATTTATGTGGTACATGTGGCGGGTTGAAAACGTTGACATCGCCGTGCTTACTTCGTGAACACATTCAGTCTGTTGAACTATACTGTAGAATATAGAGCGATTGAAAACAGTGAGGCCCGCATCAAATATTGGTGTCAGGCAATTGACATGCCTAGGTACATAATTGTCGAATACCCGGGGACTCATATGTATACCCTTCTCTATGGTTGTTGGCCCCTGGTTATATTTAGATATATTCGGCGGTGTCATCCATTTTAATGGGATGCTATCTTTAAAAATCTAGATACGATCTATGGATGTCATCTCTGTATTCAGGCCCATAACCGCTGATTACATTAATTTATACCAGGTTGATTTTAAATCCTCGATGTATTTCAACTTTGGAATATTGGTACTATTTGATTATTGCATGTATTCCATGGGTATATTCATGTGGGCTTCTTGATATTTTTCAAACTTGTTTTAAGATCTGACACTTATTCTCACATGATTTCAATAAACGTGATATACTTATATAATAAAGATCATAACATCCACGATACGATACAAGGAGACTATTACCCGAGAGACCTTAGAGCTTGGTTGACACTATATCAATTCTTTTGACGCGATAACCTTGGGACCTTCAGGTTTGGAAAAGAATCTGTAATTCCTCTATGCTCAGGTCCACGGCTGCATGTAAATTATTAATACGAAGCCATACAAATGATATGTCCATGGGTATATACAATCACCCGCTTGCAGAATCTGCCTCCTTCCAACTGCTGATAATGAAGAGCAGCCATTTGAAAGCCGAAGATGCTTTATGAGAAAAGCTCATTCCAAGATTGTGTAGATATTGCAACGCCAGTTCAGACTCAGGCCTGGTTCTTCCAAGTTTTCATCTGCTTCTAGTAGACCTCGGGACCTAGGTATTTGGCATTCAACTAGATAAGCAGATTTATTGAAAGAGATAAACGGGCCTCGGATATGAGATCAAAAATCAAAAACTGAGTAATACCCTAAGCTGACTGCTATACACAAGCTTTTTGGTGGAACTGGGAGCTTCCAAGGTTACTTAGGTAGCTCCATCGACGGGACGAGATCGCCAAAGAGAAGCACCGCAAAAATTTAGCAAACATAGGTTATGTTTTCGGAGCGCAGGCACACGAAGATGCGATTCGAGATAAAGATAAGACGATTCTAAAGACCAAAAGGGTGTACAAGTAACACGCAAAACTATGGAAGGAGTAAGGTCCCCTCATTTACGATATAAGCATCCTTAGGTGGAAAGAAAAACTGATGCGCTTATCGAGCAAAACGGGATAATTGGCTACGAAATAGGTCTTAGTTCAAATCCTCCGGGTCATTAGCTCAGGAGTTCATCCGTTGGTATATGTCCATTGATTCTTTAATCTGTGACCACTGTTAATCGTCGCTATGCCGTCCTCAGTTCCTGGATTTAGGAATTGAAGCCATCGGGCTCATATGGTGCTAAACTACTTGCCAAGGGAAGATCCCAATCTCATAATGATTTTGAGGAGTTATCCAAGTCATTGCAAATCAAATAAGTCTGACATATGACTGTCAGCAGCCAATTGAAATTGAATGATCACATTCTGGATTCCGGGGAACTTTCCATGATTGGAGGGTTCGTCTATGCTGATTGATCTGCAAGTGAGTGGTAAAGAGCAAGAAATAGTTAGTTAATATCTGGCCAAGATTAATAATGACCATCTAGTTAGTTAATCGAGAATATTAATAGCTAATCGAGAGTTAAAGCCAAAATAGAGAATACGTACCATGTAGTTAGCAAAGAGTAACTTCCCCAATAATTAGAGCTCGGCTAAAAGTTCAAAAAACACATTAGACAGGGACAAAAACGCAGGTGTAATCGCCCTCACCCAAGTATGCAAGATCAGAAGCCCAGAGCATTTCCGACAAGTCTGAGGATACATTCTCCGCGAAGATACCCTCGTCGTCCATATCTCGAAGAATGTTGGTGATAAAGTCTGCTCGTCCGGATGCATGAAATATCTCTGCGACGATGGGGTGGACTTTAAGAAGATCGGGAGATGGTAAGTCAAATCGGGTTCCGTGATTATTGAACTTCACCGTTGTGATGTCTGTTGAAAGATAATAATCGAGTGTGTTCGGTTCCCCCCAACGCTTTATGGAGTACTCGTCAACACGGCCATCAATAGGCATCAAAGAAAAGCTAAACTCGCCAAACATTACATGAAGCATTGTTTCCATCGTAACGTTATTGCGATGGTCATTTATGTCTGAATGCCTAAATCGAACTGCCAGTGAGTCGAGTGCTGGGAAGCAGCGCTGAAGGGCGACCCAAACTACGGATCGCTCCCTGGCCCATGCATCAGAATTCCATGTTGATAACGAGAACCTGAGGATATGGGCGCATTGAGTGAGGCAGCGGAATTTTATGTTTTCATCAGCCGAAACTGTTTCACGATCACGTACTTGGCTGATTGTGCACGCATTTCCATCTCGAAGGAGACACTCTTGTTTCAAGACCTTTAGGCGTTTTTGTGCTTGGATTAGTTCGGAGTATTGCTCTTCGACATCTGCTTGCACATCGGGGCAAGGCGAAAGTGGTGTTGTGACCGGAGTTTTGCGCGATCTCATTGGCAGAAGCAAGTGGAAGACTAATGACATCATATGTTTCTTGACATCAGAATCGAGTTCGAATTTTCGGATGTCTCGTTCTAGATTGCGCTTTCCTTCTAGTGGTAGGTGCAAGAGAAAAGCTTGGAGTATTCGCACTGTGTCATCATTTTCATCAGTTTCTTGGTATCTTTTAAGACGATCCATCACGAGCTCGGCGGATGACTATTTGGCAAGGATGAGAGATCGGAAGCTCGACCGTAGGCGGTAAAAAGCCTCAATTTATTTACCTGATTTTGCCTAATTTCTATTAATTTGTGCTTCATTTTACTATTTCTGCCGGGTTTTATGCCGTAATTTTCTCAGAATACAAACGCTGAGCCTAATTGGGCGGAATGAAACTAAAACAGACACAGGATCCCCATATTAATTCCCAATTATTCTAAGATAGTTAAGATAAATGGGGTAGAGATCTAGGATTTAGGAGGCCTTGGGGTGGGGGCGTAGTAGCAGTAAACTCCTTAGATAAAGGACTACTCAGGCGCGCCGTAAAATGCACCTTGTATGATACAGTATCTTGCTACGTAATATTGCACTATGTGCACAAGAATTTAGTGGTGGATATCTACAGGAGATGACCTGCTTTTAGGAATAATAGCTCTAGTAGAAGAGCTTCAGGACTGTATCAAACTATGAGGGTATATTGCTGTAGGAAAGATGGCCAATCATGGTATTATATCTCCATGTATGCTAGTACTATACGAAATCCGACAGATACAAGTCTAGGATTATGAAGTCTCTTCAAGTTTCCCATGTTAATCTAGAAGTCTAATAAATATCGAGACTAGTTACTGTTTCAGCATGCTCGCGTCTAAGCACCTTCTCTCTTCCTTCCAATACCCGTCGATGCGTCGCTTACGCCTCTTCATATTTCCCTATGTTTTTAAGCACACTGCCAAGGTTACTGACCCTGGTGAGCGTGTAAGGATACTCGCATCTGACGCGCAGATGTTTGATCAGGCGTTAGTTGGCCGATGCTAACTCTCTCCTCGACAAGCCCACTCAGTGCAGTGGCACCAAGAGCAGTGTAAAAGTTCTCTAAAGTTTCTTCCTGGGGTGTAGCAAAAATATGCTCCTTGAATAGATTGAAACTTTGGAAATCGTCAACCACGAGGATGTCTTTGGCAGACGTCAATTCCCATTGTCTGATGTCCATTCCATCGTCATCTTCCTCATTGAGATCGCGGAGAGATGACTTTTCATTTTTGGGTTGATCAACCGTGCTCGAGGGAAGATCCCGGCTGGCATAAAGAAATTTGGCTTTCCTCATATCCAAGAAAAGCTCCTTGTCTCGTTTTAAAGTCGGGAGTTGTTCTGCAAGAGTTCTGAGAAGCATGAGATACTTCTCAGAGCTTTGGAACGTAGCGTTGATGCGAGTCGGTTCCTTGACCAACATCCGTGCAATCTCCACGATGGAAGGCTCCGGCTTTGAACCAAGAGCCATAAGGAAAAGGTTTGCCACTTCGCCAAAATCGACGTAATCGAAAATTTCCTTGTACTGACCCCCTTCGCCAAGATAGCACAATTGAGGTGCCACGAGCCGAACTTTAGCACGTTTTTCGTATTGGTCCCGAACAACGACCGGGACAATTGGACTCTTTCCCGTGCGCTCCCTGCTTTGAGGGCTAATTTCCGAGGCTCTGCCCGCTAGATACTTGAACACGGTCCGGGCATCGGAATTGTTGGCAGGAGGCTGCTGTGCGAGAATGTGAAGGCAATCTGCCATAGGGGGATGGGGTTTGACTCCCAATTTCAAAGCATGGGGATGCAGATTCTTTCGAAGGAGTTTGAAGCCGAACAAAGCTGCGCCTTCGTCGGTGAAACACTTTTGAGGCACGCCTAGGCTATTGGAGCCTTCAATAGGCAGGAAGGGTACTGCCACCGCACCTATATCAAACTCGGCATATCCGCTTGTATGATGCTCTGCGAGGAAGTATGACAGCGCCTTGGTGGCCTTGCTGTCCTTTTCTGTGCTCCCCGCGGCCATAAGTCGAATGAGTTCCACAGCGGGTGGATGACTCTTCAGCCCCATCATTGTGAGGAATTTACCCTCATTGCTATTGCTGTTGTAGATGCCAGGCCAGTCTATGATCGGTAGACCAAGAGAACGGAAAACATCCTTTGGCTCATACAGCTCGGAGATCTTGTACCGGGTACCGTCAGAAATGCTTCCACTCTCGGCAGTACAGATACTCATGCCTTTCAACCTCTGGATATCCTTTGCCGGGATATCCTCACGCACAGAGGTAAGATAACGAATAAGGTCAACGTGGTTCCATTTTCTTGGTGCAACTCCACCTTTGCTATCTTCCAAGGCCGGAGTGTTGATGAGGCGATCGAAGATGACACCAAGTTCCACGGTTTTACGGACACCAAGCGAAGTGAGAATTTTTTCCTTGACGCCATTGAGACCGTGGATAACGGGAAGGTCATCGAAGAGGCGCACAGAGGCAAAGTATGTCTCTGCAGGTTGCTTCATTCCAAGCCTCGTCGGGATCACTGTCTTGGGTTGGAGTATATTCACAACGTTTTGCTTGGACGCTGCACTGAGGACATCCTATTGATTTAATAAGACAGGGAGAACCTGACCCCAGAAGGCGGCGGTCTTCGTGATATCTTGGTCAATGGATAGAAAACTGCGATTTCCAGAATTGCTAACAATCCAGTGTACCCAAGGAACAACCTGCAGTTCGACCCAACCCAAAGCTTCCAGTTCCAGCTTACCCAATGACTTGGTGAAACGGAATGGAAGGACAGAAGGGGGTATAGGAAGGTCCGTTGGAATGCGCTGGGGGTTCAAAAACTCACTGATATCTGCAAAGATAATCAGGCGAGTAGGAGCTCCCTCTGAATCCTCATCGTTGGCCACTGCTACACGCAGTAAGCTTTGAACTGAAAGCTGATCCAATTGGCCAATGAGAGATTTGCGGCCAAGCCAGGATATGAATTCAACCACCTGGTTCGACCGCAGGGTATTGGATTCCAATTCGCGTCTGATATCAGAGACAGTTATGTCTGTCACTAAGCCAAAGTCCGTCAGTCTCTTGACAAACTCTTTGGCGCCATTGACAAAATCATCAGACAGAGCGGGAATCGAATCCATGAAGCTTAGATCCTTAGGAGCAATGCGTGTCTGATGACTTGGGATAACGCCACAGGTAGACAAAACCTCAATGGACGCGTTCTTGTTACACATCCAGAAAGCATCCTCGATTGTCTGACCCAAAACGGAGGATGGTGTAGATTCACGAAACACGAATTGGTTTGCAGTGTGGATTGCCTCTGGTAAAACATCCACAATATCATCTTCGCGGACTTTGGTGCGAGATGGGCCAATTTTCATTGCCAATTTCGATTTGATCGTAGCCATCTCCGCAGACCAGGCAATTCGACAGACGATTCCTACAGCGCGTAGCATTTCGAGATTCCATTTGCTGATGTACCGAGTGTTGAGATCAATGCTCTCACGCTCGACAGTAGGAATGACAGATAGAGCAGAAACATGAGCATTCAAGCCAGTCGTCTGGGCTGTAGGGAAGCCAATGAAGACCCTTCCAGATTTAGTAGGTAGGATAGACGAGAGAACTTCTGACTGAGACGAGGACGCTTCAGTCGCCATGCTCGCATCATACGAAGGAGTCAAGATCGCAAGTGTAGCCTTCTTCGGCGGTGGCTTCCGGGTTGCTCTTTCCAACTCTTTCGCCAAGTCTCTACTGATTGAAGGCTGCAGAGAAGCTGTGTTGATGTGCAAAAATACTGATGCCGAGAGCATAGCGCTCATTTTACCAGAGTCCTCGGCACGTTCGAGCTCAGGCTTTTGGGCAGGCTGTTTCTCTGGTCCACTTTGTGTGAATTTGGGAAAGAAGCTTCGCAATGAGCTTGTTGTATCGCGAATATTGTCCAGGCGGAATATGCTTGCGTTGGGATTCCACTCGACGATTTTCATCCAAGACGCGTCGACCTGGGCAATTTCCCGAGTGACATTCACAATTTTCATGAGTCCTTCTGCCGTTTTGGTATCGATATCTCGTGGTATCGCAACATCGACGCTGGGGGCTGTTTTCTTTGAGAGACGAAGCAGAGTCCAATCGTCCAGCCATAGCTCAATCTCTTGTAAAGAAACAAACGTTAAACTGCTAGACAAGAACTGGCAAAGTTGCAGTAGAGATGGAACAGGAGATGTATCATTCCGGTAGTCCAAAACGAATGTAGTGTCCGGGCTTGCAGCTTCGCCAAGGTCTAATCGACGGGTGAACAGAGCATTGCCCTTCCAGTAGAAAGCCATAGCCTGATTACCCGACGACACGAAGGGCTCCTCACAATCATCAAATACACTGTAAAAGCCGACTCCAAATGCACCAATCTTTGTCTATCTGGGTTTCCATCAGCGATTCGCTTGAGTCTTGCCCAGTCTTTCTCGCTAAATGGAGATCCATTGTTTGACACGAGGAGACGCCGTAGAGTGTGGTTGGCAATGGTGTGTTTCAAGTGTGCAGTGGGATCACTCGTTGTAGGCGAAGGTACTGTGGTTGATGGGATAGTTTCAAACTTTATCGTGACTTTCGTTGCAGATGCATCGGCGGCATTTTGAATCATTTCTCGTAGAACTGTCCTGTGGACGACATGTATATTAGCATCTTTGTCTCATAGTTCCATGATAGGCACTTACCATTTCCCCGAATAGCGAGCAAGGACTTTGGAAATCAACCCTCTAGTATCTACTGTCACAGCCTCCTCATCGGCTCCAGACCCCATGGTCCGGGCCCTCAAAGCGTTGTAGTCAACCTTCACGGACATTATGCCGAGGTTCCTTGGTACCTGAAGATTCCGACTTGACGAAGTGGAAGCCGGTGCGTTTATCCTATCTCATGTCCTGGGAGAAAAGTGTGGTCCGATAACACGGGGGCTCTAGGCGGCCGTATGACTGATAATAGCGATGTAATGTTGAGATATTGGAGTGGTGCAGTATTCACGGGTATCGAAGAACGCTGAGCAGAGTCTAGATAACAATAAGCAAAGACTGTAGAAAAAAACAGAGGAGCAAAGAGAGACGAGCAATAAAGTGAAGAAGGCCAAATGCGCGGAGACTGCGGAGGATGTGGTGGCTTATCGTTATCGGAGCCTGAATTGCCATTGCTCTCCGCCCTGGTCGGACAAGGTACCGGTACCTGAAGCCCAACACAAACAACGTGGCAACACAAGTACCCGCTGTATCTTGCGGGAGCCCGTGTGTGCCAACTACGCAATAATTAGATAACCAGGATCATGTCCGTTGTTGTTCGGAGCTCTCGACTCAGGAGTACAGCAGCAGATCTGGCAGTTTGCTGGTTGTTTGGTTATATTATTTGAGCGGGGTCAATATCGAAACTCCTTGCGTGGGAATCTCGGCTGGTGTTTAGCTCCATCACCGGAACTCATGAGGTTTGAGAGCTTACCAGCTCTGTGCATGCGGGCCTAATATCGCCAACCGTCAACTAAATCGCTCCGAGCAGAGATGGGTGTCACCCTCTATCTCCGATTACGCCTGTGCGCCTCAGGGCGCTTCTTCTTCCCATTGGCAAAATCAAGCGCTCGCGATTCCTCAGTTTCGCTGCCCGTCTACAAGCCGAGAATGTAGTTCGGCTAGGGGATATCAGTCCAGATGCGCGGCCAAACAGAAGTACGCGAAACCTCCGATGACCACGAATTAAATGCGACAAGTGCTGATCTAGTCTTTTCCAGACATGTTCTCGCCGCTGGCATTTCCCACTGGATTGATTCTCTACGACCTTGCGTTTTCGGTCCCTCCAACCTCGCACCTCGAACTGTTCCCCTTTGAAATATACAGAGAGCCATTGGTAGTTATTGCGATAGCTGATGGAAAGGAGCTGCCAGCGAGCACTGGCGAGAAACAGAAGCATCCGACCCCCGAAGGCCTTGATCAATTGCTGGAAGACTTAGGCGGGGTGAGGGAGAGGAATCCGCGAGCATTGGTGAACCAACTATTGGTATTCGACTATGAGGGCTTGGACAAGGTTACAAACGGCCCAGAAAATGTCCTTTGGGTCCCTCCGCCACAAGCATCCAAAGCTACTACGATGAAGACCGTTCTTTGCGATGTGACCGCAGTCCTGCTCGCTGAACTGGACGAGTTTGCGAAGACCATCCAAGCGATCCCGTCAATTGAATCACCCAAGGCGTTTTCTTGGGGTCCACATCGCAACCCGGAGCTGAGGCCGCGGCCGGTAGACCGGCTACTGAATCGAATGACACTCCCCGCACAGCTACCTTCGAGCCCGAGTGGCGGCCAAGACACGCCCTTGAGCTCCAATGGTAGCTCTCCGGCTCCTAGTGACCATGAAACTCCCACCACATTTGACGAGATCACCCGTTCAATCCACCTGACCAGCCGCACAAACTCTGGCAGCAGAACTCCGTCAATAGCGTCCGCGAAAGAGCATAGCCGCGACCGGATGTTTGTTAGCAACATGAGTGCTACAGATAGGACCAAAAATCGGATCCGAGGCCGTGCCGGGGTGGTGATTGGTACACTGTTTCTGCAGGCAGGAAGGTGGCCAGATGCCTTGAAAGAATTAACGGAGGCGGTTAACAATGCCCGAGCAAGCAGTGATTACATCTGGCACGTCAAAGCTCTGGAAACAATTCTTCTTTGTTTGATCATGTTCGGCTGGGCAGGAATGGACTTCCAGGTATGTGGGCAAGATACGACAGCATCGAAATTGCCACTAACAGACTGCCAATAGATTCCATCAGTTCTCTACCCAGTTGCCGATAAGTCTTCAAAGCCGTCTAGAGACTCAGTTACTCCCAGCAGCACTGGTAACCGAGTCGTATCCTTGCATAACTTGGCCAACCTCTTGCCAGACCTGTCAAACAATATCCTGAATCTCTATACCCGCGCCGCCAATATTACAGACGAGCCCTTACCTCAACTGGTATTCTCAGAAACGGTCATCCGGTTGGCCGGATTGATGGTTTCAGCTCGTGTGCGTGACGGGGCTTTAGATGACAATGCTCTTAAGCACATCGTGATGAACGAAACTTTGGTCCCCTTGCTCCAACCAGAACTTCCTCGCGGGACCGTGTTGCTTCGAAAGGCTGAAATTGCCAACTTTTTATACCGGGCTTTGCCGCTGGCTCCAGGCGCAGATCTGCCTGCTACCGATGCCGTTCCTATCATTGTTGGCGTCGTGTCTGTTTTGAACACCCTTGACTTGCCTAGGAAGAAAGCATTTATTTTACGCGAACTTCTTTCTGTGATGGTACCAAGTCTGGTCCAGGCGCGCAAAATTGGTGCCGCAGAGGTCGGTATACACCCAGCTGCTGGGTTGGCGTCTCTTAGCGATACAGCATTTGATGTCAACGCCCTTGACACGGGTTCTGGAAACATGGAGAGCAGCGTGCGTTACCTCCTGGCGACCATTGGAGAAATCTATGGTGTACAGCCTTCTTCTTTCTATGAATGGGAGAAAAGAACCAGCCAATCTTCCGCAGTCAGTGGATTGCAGGAAGGAAGTGAATATGACTCTGTGTCTAGCATTGCCGAACGGGCCTTCAGACATGTAATTTTGGATCGATATGGCGATCTGAATTTGAAAATAGATGTTCTGAAAGCCTGCATAAACTGCTGCGAAGCACTTCCTGACTTCAATGGAGTTCTTCGCTTCACCGTTGAGCTCTTGCAGACCATCCGGGGAGATATCATGCTAGGAGATGGATACCGAAACCCGCCATATCTCCCACAAGACGAGCAAGTCCGTCTTTTGAACAACATCAAGCGAACAGTAGGTGCCGGATCCAGATTGGGTGCTTCGGAAATGGTCGCCGAATACTGGGATGATTTCCTGGTACGCGATGTTCAGTCACTGGCACTCCCAGACCCCAAGAGACCCATGAGGCGGACCAAGGCCGAATTGAGCACAGCCACGACAACTTCCAAAACAACGAAGAAATATCCATTCCTGTACAATCCCTTTGCAAAGGCCAACAGCAAGGCATTGGAAATAATTACAGTGGCTGATGAGCCTGCGTCTTACCGAGTCACTCTCCAGAACCCATATGAATTCGAGATCGAAATCGAACATCTGCGTTTGGAAAGCACTGGTGTAGCACTCGATGCTGTGGCATAAAATATCCTCCTTCCTCCTCTATCAGTCCAGGATGTGGTCGTGGTGGGTGTCGCTCAAGGGGAAGGCAGCCTGAACATCACTGGTTGTATTGTCAAAGTTCGCCACTGCCGGATGCGAAGGTTCCCCATTTTCAAAAAATTCTGGAAGCCAGAACCTGAGGTCAAATTCAAGCGAACAGGACTGTGTGCCAAACAACCTCTGACGGAGCGCCCGGTTTCCTAGAGCTCAACAACTTCTAAAGATGGCAAGGTGGATGTCAAGAAAGGACCCGAGGCAACTTCTTGTGAGGTGAAGGTCATCGCAAAACAGCCATCACTTGTAATTGAGTCAATGTCCTTGTCGCAATCGGCGATGATGGTTCTCGAAGGCGAAGTCAGACATTCACCCTCACGCTACACAACGCCTCTACATGTCCTGTGGACTTCGTTTTGTTCTCTTTCCAAGATTCAACAACAAAGCAGTTGCAATCGGCGCTAGCTAACAAGGATTTGCTACCCGTCGAGACCTATGAGCTGGAATTGAAATTGGCGACCAATCCGGCTTTGCGATGGCGCCGCGAGGGTGATGACTCAAGTGATTGCTCAATTGCAGCAGGCGAGAAGGCCAGCTTCACCGTCGATGTCCTTGGAAAACCAGGATTGCAAGAAACCACAGTGCAGATCGACTATTCCCGCCTAAACGCAGCCCCGGGCGAATTGCCCGATGTGTTTTATACTCGCCAGCTGTTTGTACCGCTGACGGTCACGGTGAATGCGAGCGTGGAGGTTGCCCGCTGTGACATCTTACCGTTCAGTGGTGACTTCGCATAGAAAAATAACATCGAGCCACCTGTCGAATCGGTTAAGGAATCTGATGCGTTGCTCTCTACCGAAGAGAACGATCCTTTCTCTCAGGTTTTGAGCCGCCTTGGCAATGGAGCATATGGGCCTGATCATTGTGTTGTGTTAGTTGATTTGCGCAACGCCTGGCCAAACCCAGTCTCTGTGTGGCTGCGCGTTAGCGAGCAGTCAATAGAGCCATCTTCGACAGAAGTGACAACCAGCAGTGACACGACTGGTCAATATTCTGTTGGCGGAGAACTCCAGCCTGGTCAAACCTCCCGTTTCGTCCTGGTCCTGCCTCGCGTTTACCTCGACAACCCACATGCTTCTATTCCAGTGGTGAATACTGGCACCCGAAGGCAATTTGTTGTCAGCGCCAACAAAGCTATCGTTTGAAGCCGAGGCAGCTTCTCGCGAGGCTTTCTGGTTCCGCGAAGAGCTCCTCAAGCGAGTTCTCGGGGGCTGGAAGGAATCAGCCACCAGCCGCGAAGGATCCATCGACCTAAGAAACATCAGATTGAACAACCGCATGGTTGAGGCGATGCGTCTCGAGGATGTTGAGATGACATTCTCTCTGACATCGCCATCTTCACCTGATGACTCTGAAGCTGTTGAACAAACCGGCCGTTCTCGCTTCTGCGTCAAGACTGACGACCTTCTCACGTTGACTGTCACCGTTCATAATCGCTCATCACGCCCCATTCACCCCCTCCTGCGTCTCCAGCCTAGCATTCGCCACCAGCCAAACAATGTTGCACTGGATCTTACTCGACGCCTCGTTTGGACCGGCATGCTGCAGCAAGCCCTTCCCATTCTGCCAAGCGGTGAGTCTGCCAAGACTTCAATTGGCTTGACTGTACTTTGTCGAGGAGAATACGAATTCGGTGCTAGTGTTGAGGAGGCCCGGATTTTGCGGCCATCAGTCTCTGATGGCAATGCCCCAAGTGCCGACGCTGCGGATCTTCATGATGAGGGTGGTATCAAAGACACATTTGGTGTAGATGTGGTGCGCCGGCGACGTATCTGGCACGCAAAAGAACTGTGTATCATCCAAGCCAGTGACCCTTGATCCTGATGCGTGATTGTCCGTTTTGACTTGATAGACGTCTAAAGATGTTTGTCTTTCTTTGTTTCCTTTTCAACCTAACTTGATGACGACATGTAGCATACCCCAAATATCTGTACAATCTCTCATGATAAAGCTAGGCATATGCAATTTGATGAATACAATGTCTTGATCTCACCGAAGAAGCTTAGTTAGGTTCCGATTCTTCGTACCTTGTCTACATAGAGCGCCAATATCGATTTGATCAACGGTTGTGTATGAGCTTTAAACTAATAAATCTCTGCCTTACCGCTTGACCTCCCAGGACCAATTGATTAGCCCAACTAAATCATCCAAGCCAGAAGTTTCAGGAAAGACTAGTGTCGAGGCTAACTTCGGAAGCCACCTTGAAATGGACAAGGGGCATTAGAGTGGTTTTATAATGATCAACAAACTACTCCTACCCATATCCATAAATGTCAGATAAACAAAACGACAATCAAGTACCGAAGTGATCACCACATTGGCATTAGTTTAATCTGGTTGGAAATAACCCCAAGAGACGCGGAAACTGAAACTGAAAATGTCTTTTCGCCATGAATACTCCACAGTTGATTGCAATGACATGCAACTAGTCAATTAGCGTGCAGGGGTATTTGGGGCCGTCGGCTACAATTTGTGAAAATGGATGGATTCACCTATAGAACAAGACTAATCAGAACTAATCTCCGGGGGTGTAGACGGCCGATTTTTCTTAGGGCCTGACCATGTGAGCTTGGCGAATGCAGTTGCTACATTCAGAGCGTATGCCACTGCGTATTACGCGCTGGTCAATTTGGCCCATTTGCAGTGCTCCGAGACTATCCTCATTCATGGCGCTGACGGAGAGCAAGGTAAGGCGGCTATCCATCTGAGTCGCTACTTCGGAGCAAAGGTCTTTGCCACCGTTGGATCTGAAGAGCAAAGAGAAATCATCGCCAAGGAGTATTCTCTCCCGCAAGATCGTGTCTTCAACTCGAACAGTGGATCTTTCGCTCACTCCGTGCTCCGTGCTACCAATGGTGAAGGTGTTGATGTGGTCCTGAGTTTGGTGGATGATGACTCTGCGCCGCAGGAGCGTCTCTGCGTTGGCGATTTCGGCCGCTTCGTTGGATTGGCTGGCCGAGGTAAGAGCTCTCTCTTCTATATGCCGGATGAAGCTAACATGATTTCAGACCACTCTTCCTACAGTGGACTTTCCACTATGCAGCAGAGAAACGTCGTCTTTGCCACCCTCGACATGGAAGTAGTCGAGAAAAGCCGACCTCGTCTGGTCTCAGACATTCTGGCGAAGATCGGAGCATTGCTTGATGCCGACCTCATCAAATGAATTCCCGCCGCTGAGATCCATCCCGTATGCGATATTGAAAAAGCGTTGGTTGCGATTGACAAGCGCACAGCCACGGGCAAATTTATCTTGGATTTGGCCGATGAGTCGCCCGTGCCTGTCATTCTGCCTCGACTGGCCTCCCTCGAACTCGACTCTGAAGCTACATACATTCTCAGTGGAGGTCTCGGAGGTCTGGGACCCAGTGTCGCAGAAATGATGGTTAGCCACGGTGCCCGTCACCTGGTGTTCCTTTCTCGCTCCGGGCCCAAGTCCGCCGAGGCACAGGAGCACCTCCGTCGGCTGAGTGGGCTGGGATGCAAGGCAGAGGCATTCGCTTGTGACATTGGCACTCTTTCTTCCGTGGAGTTGGTGCAACAGCTCGGCACAGAGAAGGGATGGAAGATCCGTGGTGTTGTGCAATGCGCCATGGTTCTGCGCGACAGCACATTCGAGAACATGACACACCAGAAATGGACTGAGTCCATCCAACCCAAGATTTACGGTAGTTGGAATCTGCACCAGGTGTTTGGCAGCCAGTCCCTGGATTTCTTTATCATGCTTTCTTCTGTTTCGGGTGTCATCGGAAACCCAGCTCAGGGTAATTACACCGCTGGAAACACCTACCAGGATGGATTGGCACTCTACCGACGCCAGCAAGGCCTCCCCGGTACTGCACTTGCAGTTGGTGCGGTGATGGACGTGGGTGCTTTCGCGGACAACTCCTACTTCGAGAACTTCCTTGAGAAATTCGAGCACCTGGCATCCTTGACTGTCAAGATCGAGGAAGTCATGATTATTCTGCAGACACTGATGAAGGGTCAGACCGAGGATGGAGTGACCGTACCCCCACTTTTGGCCATGGGTTTCACCGAAGAGCTCAAGCGTGATGGAAACATCACAAGTCTGTGGCCCAAGGATCGCAAGTTCGACCACCGTATCGAGCTGCCTGAGGATGGTGACGCCAACGCCGGTGGGGACAAAGTGCGCCTTGCCGATCTGATCGGCCAGGTCACTGATCTTGCTGAGGCAGGAAAGGTGGTCGAGGAGGCCCTGAAGGCTAACCTTGCAAACGCCATGACAGCCTCTCCAGAGGATGTTGACGCGGACAAGCCACTCCACGCCTACGGTGTGGACAGTTTGAAAGCCGTTGAAGTTCGCAACTGGCTCTTCCGAGAGTTGAAGTGCGATATCTCTGTCTTCGACATTCTCAGCCCCATGTCATTGGCTAAGCTGAGTGTGAACATTGCTGAAAAGAGCAAGTTCCTCCCTGAGAGCATCAAGCGAGGAGACCAATTTGAGTAATTTGGCCCCAACTCAGCCAAGGGATTTGAAGCTATAGATAGATTGTGAAAGGAAAATGTATTGACCGAATTAGACAAACCAAGCCCTAATGTCCCGGGAAATGCTCCGTAGCAATGTATAAAGACCAGCCGGTTCCCCCCTTGAATTTCTTTCAAACCATCGTTTCTTTTATTCTCACTCTTCATCCCATTCTATATAACCCCAGACATTAAAGCCATCAAGATTGTCGGGTCCCGACGGGCCAAAGTCATGGCCAGGGTTCCCATGCCCGAGCTCGCCGGGGACTGCGTCCTGATCAAGACCATGGCAGTCGCCCTCAACCCTACCGACTGGAAACATATTGATTTCATTTCCACTAAAGGAGCCACTGCAGGATGCGACTACTCTGGGATTATCGAGGAGATAGGATCGGACGTTGATCCTGCGCATGGGCTGCAGGTTGGGGATCGTGTTGCCGGATTCATTAACGGCTGTAAGTAAATATTTCCGGTTCGGGTTCCCATGCTTATTCCTTTCAGGCAATGGCGAGAACCTCTCAGATGGCTCTTTTGCCGAATATATCGCTGTAAAAGCGCATATCAACATCAAGCTACCGGATTGGATGTCGTTCGAAGACGGTGCAACTCTAGCTGTGGGGATCACCACAGTGGCGCAAGGAATGTACCAGCAGTTGAGATTGCCCTTGCCATCGCCGACGTCGTCAATCACTGCAGCCGAAGACGCACAGCCAATCTTGATTTATGGCGGCAGCACTGCGACCGGAACACTGGCGATCCAATTCGCGAAATTGTATGAGTCTGCTTGAATTCATACAGGCGTCTGCTAATGAAACGTCAGATCCGGATTCAAAGTCATCACCACCTGTTCCCCGCATAACTTCTCACTGGTGCAAGAACGAGGAGCAGACCATATCCTCGATCACAACTCCCAAACTCTCGCGAAAGATATCCGCGATCTGGCAGGGAACGAGCTCTGCATTGTCCTGGACTGCATCACCACCGGCGAGTCCATCATCAAATGCTGCGATGCCCTGGCACCCTCATCTCCGAACAGGAAACACCAATACTGCGGTTTGTTCACTGTCAGAGCCTTGCCTCGATCTGATGTTGAAGCTGGATTCACCATGTCGTATACAGCTCTGGGAGAGTCGTTCCAGAAGTGGGACAATTATCACCCTGGAAGCTCTGAGGATGCTCGGTTCGTTGGGGACTTTATGAAGTTGACATCGAAGCTACTTGAAGAGAAGAAAATTCAGAATCATCCAGCTGAAGTGAGATCTGGGCTAGAGGGGGTTCTGAAGGGATTGGATCGTCTTCGGAAGGGAGATGTTAGTGGTGTGAAGCTGGTTTATTCATTGTAGTTTGCAATTATTAGACGAAAACACATACATGTCCGTTCAAGTCTTCGAGTCTACCTTTGGCTGCGTCTTGGTAGCATTTGAGAGGACGATTCCTCATTCTTGCTCAAGTGCGTTTGACGCGTCCTCAGAAGGTGAAATTGGAGACTCCAAATTCGTACTATTTTACGCCGCGCTTTGCTATCCGAGGGCCTTGGGCTAAAAATGTGGCGGATTTATATGGGCTCCTGAAGTCGTCCATACTTAAGTATGTGGAAGCCCTGTACTGTGAATTTCTATATTCACCCAAGAAGTCTAAGTACACGAAAGTCATCTATGAATAGATAAAAATATATTTGCTATTGATCTAAATCATTCGCAGTCCCGAAATCGATATCTCAAAAAAGCCCCTAAAATAAGAATGATAGCGTCTATCTTCACTGCTGGTAACTTTTGGTTCGAGCTGATTGTTTTCTTAGAAACGCAGGTCCCAGCCAATTTGGGGGCCGATGTTGGGCAACTCATCAGCGACAGTCTGCACGTCCTTGTCTCCGCGACCACTGAGACAGATCACGATATCCTTGCCGGGACCCAATCTCTTGGCGGTTTGAACAGCTCCCCAAATTGCGTGGGAGGTCTCCAGTGCCGGGATGATGCCCTCAAGTTGACTGAGGAGACGGAAGCCCTCAAAGGCCTGTGCATCGGTAGCGCTGATGAATGAGGCGCGACCACTCTCCTTCCAGCTCGCAAGCTCGGGTCCAACTCCAGGGTAGTCAAGACCAGCGGAAACGGAATGGGTGTTTGAGATTTGACCGTGTTCATTCTGAAGGACGTAGGTTCGAACACCATGGAGAACACCCACAGAGCCACCGGTCAATGTAGCGGAGTGTCGTTCGGTTTCCAGACCGTCTCCACTGGCTTCGACACCGACAAGCTCGACGGATGGATCCTTGGAGAAGGGGTAGAACATTCCAGTGGCGTTGGAGCCTCCACCAACACAAGCAACCACAGCGTCGGGACTCTTGCCTAGATCGCGAAGTTGACTCTTGGTTTCCTCTCCAATGACACTTTGCAAAGTGCGAACCATCGTTGGGAAGGGGTGAGGTCCGATGGCAGAACCAATGATGTAGTGTGTAGTGTCCAGACGAGTGATCCAGGCGCGGAAAGCCTCGTTGACAGCGTCCCGAAGAGTACGCGAGCCGGATTCAACTGGGATGACGGTGGCACCGAGGAGACGGATACGGAAAACGTTCAAAGCCTGGCGACGGACATCCTCTGCACCCATGTAGATAACGCACTTCATACCAAATTTGGCACAAACAGTAGCAGTAGCGACACCGTGTTGGCCTGCTCCTGTCTCGGCAATAATTTCGGTCTTACCGAGGCGACGAGCGATAAGAATCTGGCCAAGAGCATTGTTAATTTTGTGAGAGCCGGTGTGGTTCAAGTCTTCGCGCTTCAACCAAATGTTTGCACCGCCCGCGTGGTCGGTGAGCCGTTGGGCGAGGTGGAGGCTGGACGGACGACCCATGTAGGGATAGAATGATCGGAATTCAGCCCAGTATTCCGGGTCATTGATGGCAGCTTCGAAGCCAGCATTCAGTTCATCCAAGCAAGTGATCAGAGCCTCTGGGGCATATTGACCGCCGAAATCACCAAATCGACCCAAGCCATCCTTGAAGTCAGATTTCTCCTCTTCGGTGACTGACTCAGGTCCAGTGGCTTTCGCCACTTGAGAAGCTGCGGGGGCCGTGGTATCCCGGGCAACCTTCCTTTCTGTGATCTCTGAGCAGTACTCCTCAATAACCTTTGCAGCTTGTCCAGCTGGGGCGTTGTTGAGAACAGTAATGACTTGACTACCAATCACAGCGCCATCGGCAATCGAGGTCACACTGAGGAAGTGCTGACGTGTGCTAATACCAAAGCCAACTGCCACCGGCACGTTGCCTGAGAGATCTTTGACACGCTGGATCAGAGCAGGTAGCTCGGAGTCGAGGGTGCCAGTGGCGCCAGTCACACCCATGCGGGACACCAGGTAGATGAAGGAATCAGCCATCTGGCAAAGAATCTTCATGCGATCCTCGGTGGTCGATGGGGCAATCAATGGAATATAAGAGAGTCTGTGAATGTGAGAAGTGAGATCAAAGATGTTTGATTGGAGTTCATTTTGTTGACATACCCTGTCTTTGTGCAACCCCCACGGAAGCGGATTGCCTCTTTGATGGGGAGGTCAACCAGAATAAATCCGTTGACACCCACCTCTTTGCAGTCTGCCAGGAGTTTAGATTCTCCGTAGCGAAGAATGGGGTTGTAGTAGCCCATGAAAAGCACTGGGGTCTTCAGTCCATGTTGGCGGGCATCACGGACCATCTCCAGCATAGACGAGATGGTGACACCATTTTCCAGCGCCTTCAGATTGGACTTTTGGATGGTTGGACCATCAGCAATTGGGTCAGTGAAAGGAAGGCCCAGCTCAATAATGTCTGTGACAATATTAGTTGAATGTGTCTCATACTAAAATCTCCTCCGTTGCAGTGACAATATTAGTTGAATGTGTCTCATACTAAAATCTCCGTTGCAGTGACTCACCGGCACCTCCCGCCTGCATGCCCAACAAGATATCGCGGGTCTCTTCCACACGAGGGAAGCCAGCTGTCACATAAGTGACGAGGGCTGGACGACCTTCTTTCTTGCATTGAGCAAAGGTTTGTCGTAGATGATCCATTTTGAGAACGAGGTGATGGAAAGGGAAAGTGAAGAGTAGAGAAGTCAAAGGCCAATGAAATAGGCGCCAAGACTTCCGTGGGTCAATTCGCCCCTAAACTCAGCAAAGTGGGGCGACTGACATCGGCTGATTTGTTCTTATCGCTGATTGGTGCGATCAACACGGGCCGCACCGGCTGGGCCAGACTGTCCCTTTTTGCTCCTTTCCTTTGGCTGCCGATCAAGGACAGAGCCTCGCTACACGATATTGACCAGCTAATCACTGGCTCACCCGGGAGAATTCTTCAGTTATCTCGCTTATTTGGCCCCCAAGCTAATTTTAACGCCACACCACCATACGGGACATGCTGTTACATTCAAGCTTTAGGCTATGCCGTGGCCTGATATACATAAAAGGGCCATGTCAGCATGGCGAAAAGGCCAGTTGAACTTTGCCCAAGATGGTACCCCTCGTTCGCAGTGCGTGTGAAGAATGCCATGAGCGCAAAACTCGTTGTCTGATCCCTCCCCATGGAGGTGCTTGTCAATCCTGTGTGACTTCCTAGCGCCAGTGTTACTTCCTTCCCAGACAAAAGGCGGGCCGCCCACGGAGGGGCAGTCGAACCCTATCAAGTACCTACACAAGCCGACACAGCACACCTAATCCTCTTCCAACCCCGCCAACGGAAAAAGAGGCCACCGAGCTGTCTCATGACCATGCCCTTTATGCGAATTCCTCTATACCATCGTTTTTGAACCACCCATTACCCACGACCGACACTTCTTTGCCTACCGATTTGCCAAATTTCAACAGTACCCCTCTCCCCCACACTTCCATACTGCCTGAATATCTTATGATCAATGACCACATTGGTTTCCGACCATCTCAAAGCCATGGCCACAGCGACAGTGGGTCGTCATCCAGCCCGCCAACAAACTCACTACGTGAGGGATCTGTGTCAGGTGGATTTCCGAGAATTTGCCCCCCTTGGCCCGAGGCATTCTCACGTTATGGAGACAACAAAAGCGTTGATTGGGATCGTTGGGATCGAACCTCAGTTTCCTTTGCAACTTTATTAGGAAAGTGCAGTGAGCTTGACCAGGCGGCTGATATGCTGAAGGAGCAAGACCAGCGGACAGCCCTGGCACAGCACCTCGTTCTCATCCTTCGCGCAATCGACGCCCTCTGTGACGTGTGCGCAGCTTTCGTTAGCGAACATCCACCGCCCTGTTCCAAGAGTCTATTGGACCCGGCCATTTTGGCGTTGGTAATTGCGGCCAATTTCAAGGTTCTGGAAGTCTGTGGATTACTGGTCTCTATTACTGTCTCTGAAATGCAGAGGCCTCAGGATCAGTTACTTCTCAAGCGCATCGATTTCAGTTTGATGCAGACTCAAATTGCATTGACTGCTATGAAGGAGCAAGAAATGACTTCACCGTTAGTCTTCCAGACAGCGCTTGATCAGGCGGCGTGCATTCATCGGCAGAGCTTTAGGTCATATTTCTTGTCCGTTTCGATCCCCGATTCCGTCGAGTGGATTGTGATTAGCTGTCGGAATGCCATCATCAGGTTGCCAGCTGCCGCCTAGGCTGCTTCGGGTATGGTTTCCGCCTAGGTGAACGCTGCGTTGGTTGCTCCTGGTGTGCTAAATGGTGCCGATAGTCCTTGACTCGCGTATGTTGCGGCAGGGTCTGTATTTCTGGCGTAGTCCATAAGTGTGTGGAACGTCCAGCTATTGTATTGGATTCCGAATAGTGGTGGGTGACATATGGCTTTGCTAGCCCCTCTATATTGGTTATATTTCTTGCTAGCTATGGTATCGAAAAGGTATTTGAACGTGGGTGTCGATCAACTACGTTGAAAGGACAGGGTTCACACGTTGCACTATATATACTGGAAAAGGGTATGGTTCGTCCTAGATTCTTAGTATATACGTTGTGCAAAGTGGTGTGAAATGTGTTCGATTCATGTAGCTACTTGAGTTCCTAATATAGTTGTTCCCCCGTGACTCGCGGGTCTGTTTGTTCCGTTCCGGGTTTATGGTATTGCATGATTGCAATATCCATGTTCCGACAGTAAGTAAATAACCGGCTATCTACACTAAATAACCAGCTATTAACTAATAACCGTGTCCTTTATCTAGTCATGACTCTTTTACGTGTCTTTATGTCAAGAGAAACAGAGATTGCATATAAGCTTATGTTTAAACGCGTTTTCTCTTTGCTACACCGTATCACCGAAAGGCCTTATGAATTCTATCATATTCATGGCAGAGGACTGAAAGCTGTTATAGCTGATATGGATAGAGGACAAATGAACGGTTTGTTTTTTCAATAACCGGTTATTTAGCCATATTAACCAGCTATTTAGGACTTGGCCTTTATCTTAAAAGCATTGATCCTTGGCACCGGCCTTGGCATGAGCAATGCCAAAACATCATGATATTCTGTCAACTCCACAATGTTATCATGCCCTTTAGAAGACGCAGCTTGGAGACCATTTCCGTAGCTTCCACCTTGGGCGTTGACCTTGGCTCCTTTCTCTAGCAGCAGCTCCACAATCTTATCATGTCCTTCCACAGACGCAGCTTGGAGAGCATTTCCATACCCTCCACCTTGGGCATTGACATCGGCTCCGTGTTCTAGCAGCAACTCCACAGCCCTATCATGCCCTCTGAAAGACGCTGCCTGGAGCGCATTTCCATACTCTCCACCTTGAGCGTTGACATCGGCTCCATGTTCTAGCAGCAACTCCACGACCATATCATGCCCTCCAAAAGACGCAGCTTGGAGAGCATTTCTATACTCTCCACCCTGGGCGTTAACATCGGCTCTTTTCTCTAGCAGTATATGCACAATTTTATTGTGTCCTCCAGAAGACGCTGCCTAGAGCGCATTTCCATAGCTTCCACCTTGAGCGTTGGTTGACCTTGGCTCCTTTCTCTAGCAGCAACTGCACGATGTTGTCGTGTCCTCCAGAAGACGCTGCCTGGAGCGCATTTCCATAGTATTCACCTTGAGCGTTGACATCGGCTCCGTGTTCTAATAGCAACTCCACGACCCTATCATACCCCCCAAAAGACGCAGCTTGGAGAGCATTTCCATAGTATCCACCTTGAGTGTTGACATCGGCTCCGTGTTCTAGCAGAAACTCCACGACCCTATCATGCCCTTCAAAAGACGCAGTTTGGAGAGCATTTCCATACTCTCCACCTTGAGCATTGACATCGGCTCCGTGTTCTAGCAGCAAATCCATGGCCCTATCATGCCCTCCAAAAGATGCAGCTTGGAGAGCATTTCCATACTCTCCACCTTGAGCATTGACATCGGCTCCTTGCTCTAGCAGCATATGCATAATTTTATTGTGTCCTCCAGAAGACGCTGCCTGGAGCGCATTTCCATAGCTTCCACCTTGAGCGTTGACCTTGGCTCCTTTCTCAAGCAGCAACTGCACGATGTTGTCGTGTCCTCCAGAAGACGCTGCCTGGAGCGCATTTCCATAGTATTCACCTTGAGCGTTGGCATCGGCTCCGTGTTCTAGCAGCAACTCCACGACCTTATCATGCCCTCCGAAAGACGCAGCCTGGAGCGCATTTCCATAGTGTCCATCCTGGTTGTTGATCTCGGCTCTGTGTTCTAGCAGCAACTCCACGACCCTATCATGCCCTCCGAAAGACGCAGCTTGAAGAGTATTTCCGAAGTTTCCACCATGAGTGCTGACATCGGCTCCTTTCTCAAGCAGCAGCTCCACAATCCTATCATGTCCTTTAGAAGACGCAGCTTGGAGAGCATTTCCATACTCTCCACATTGGGCGTTGACCTTGGCTCCTTTCTCTAGCAGCAACTCCACAACCCTATCATGTCCTTCCACAGACGCAGCTTGGAGAGCATTTCCATAGCTTCCACCTTGAGCGTTGATCTTGGCTCCTTTCTCTAGCAGTAGCTTCACAATCCTATCATGTCCTCCGAAAGACGCAATATAGAGAGCATTTCCATATCCTCCACCTTGGGTGTTGACCTTAGCTCCTTTCTCTAGCAGCAACTCCACAATCCTATCATATCCTCTGAAAGATGCAGCTTGGAGAGCATTTCTATATCCTCCACCTTGGGTATTGACCTCGGCTCCTTTCTCAAGCAGCAACTCCACAATATTATCATGTCCTTTAGAAGACGCAGCTTGGAGAGCATTTCCGTAGCTTCCACCTTGGGCGTTGACCTTGGCTCCTTTCTCTAGCAGCAATTCCACAATCCTATCATGTCCTTCCACAGACGCAGCTTGGAGAGCATTTCCATACCCTCCACCTTGGGCATTGACATCGGCTCCGTGTTCTAGCAGCAACTCCACGGCCCTATCATGCCCCCTGAAAGACGCTGCCTGGAGCGCATTTCCATACTCTCCACCTTGAGCGTTGACATCGGCTCCATGTTCTAGCAGCAACTCCACGACCATATCATGCCCTCCAAAAGACGCAGCTTGGAGAGCATTTCTATACTCTCCACCCTGGGCGTTAACATCGGCTCTTTTCTCTAGCAGTATATGCACAATTTTATTGTGTCCTCCAGAAGACGCTGCCTGGAGCGCATTTCCATAGCTTCCACCTTGAGCGTTGACCTTGGCTCCTTTCTCTAGCAGCAACTGCACGATGTTGTCGTGTCCTCCAGAAGACGCTGCCTGGAGCGCATTTCCATAGCTTCCACCTTGAGCGTTGACCTTGGCTCCTTCCTCTAGCAGCAACTCCAGAATCCTAACGTGCCCTCCGAAAGACGCAGCTTGTAAAGCATTTCCATACCTTTCACCTTGAGCATTAACCTCAGCTCCTTTCTCTAACAGTACCCGTACCACCTTCCCATGACCATTCAGTGAGGCCCAGATGATAGGGTAGGTTCCGGTGCTATCGGTCGAATTGATATCCTTTCCACCAAGAGACAATAGAAACTTAACCTCCCGCTCATGCCCGTTAAATGATGCCAGATGTAAAGCAGTCATTGATGGCGGAGCTATATGGCTTTCGATGGACTTCCAAAAGATAGGGAACCACAATGAAAATCTTTTTCCACTCATATCGTACATTTGCTGAACTTGACCGGTCGCTTCTTGGTCTTGGGTTAAACTCATCCTCCGTTTATGGTCCGGCCAATATAATGCTGAATAATCTAGGAATTTTCGAATGTCAGAGCATGTATCGTCATCATCGTGTTCCAGATCTTCCATCAGTAGATATCGTAAACAGATAGCAGCCATTTGGTCCTCAGCATCAGTAAGGTTCCACGAGTATAAATGGTTAATATTGTTAGAACAACTCTTCCTAATAAGAAACTCCCTGGCTGTCTGATGAATTAGATAGATCTTGGAGTTATTGACGAAAACAAAAATGCTACATAATCGACGAAGCTTTTTATCGATCTGGAATGATTCAAGTCCAGCCTTTGCTGCAGTTTGGGCTTGTGGGGATGTGGCAATACCGAGCGCCATAGCCATTTCCGCCGTGGTTAAAGGGCGCCGTGCTGCAACGATAATTTGTAAGATCTTCCTCGCAATATCCACTTGAGAGGAGAGCACTCGACTGAGAATCTTCTCGTATGCCTCATTTACTGACTGAGGTATCACCTTGATTGACTCCTCAGCCGGGCGAAGGCTGTTCTCGAATGTAGCTCGAATATCGTTAATGGCTAGATGTAGCCAGAGATATGTACGGTGCTCCATTTGCAGGAGCTGTCGCTCGAGTCGCTGCTCTGTGTCCCGTGATAACACTGCTCTTTCAGCGAGCTCCTTTACTCGCATCTTCACGACAAGATCGATTTCTTGGCGGATCTGATCATTTTCTTTCTCTCCTTCTAGATGAAGATGTGGGAAATAGTCTGTGATCTCTCGAAACTTATTCTGGATATCAGCATAAGGGCGACTAGTGACTAGAAATTTTAACCAGTTATCCTGTGTCTCTGGATGTGATAGGCGGTGAAATGACCGGAGCTTCTTAATCAGTCGATTTTGATCAATTTCACAGCATTCATCAAGCGCATCTAATATACAAATTATCTTGCATAATTTGTCTGATGATACAACGGTTGTAAAAATTCTCCATAATTCATCAACCTCTTGCTGGAGCTTCTCCCCATTCTTTTCCCAAGATGGTATAGCATGATACAAGAGCTGAGGCCGCTGGCTAAAAAGCTGATGGAGTGCCGAGCATAGTGCTAAAGCAAGACGGTTTTGTTCATCGTTGTCCTTGAAAAAGAAGTAACAGATTGTAGCTTCAGAACCCAACATTTCTAAGTGGTCTTCAATTATCGAACGGGCAAGCACAGATTTTCCACAACCTGGATCGGCAGACACCCATAGAAGATCGTTACAGCTGCTCTCTGACCAACGGATGTATTCAGCGCTCTGTAAAGCCCATAGGCAGGTTCCTTCCACTTTTCTCGGATTGACGTTCTTTCGCTCCTCATAAGTTGATATTTTGAATGTTTGGAGACAACGGTTTTGCTGATCTGTCAAAGTAAACGTAACCTTCTCACGATGATGTCGTTCTTGTTGACTGTATGCTTGGTCTAGGCGTTGATTTGTGCCTTCAATTTCGGCCTTCAACCCGTCTATATAGATTTGTATAAGCAAGCCACCCTTATTTCAGGACTAATTAAGCCAGTATTGAGTTCACTTACTATATATGTCTACTACCAAGTTTTCTTGTGATACGTGGCCAATAGGAACATATGCTAGAAGCTCTTTTGTATATGCTGCAGCTGCTAGGGCAGCATATCCCTGCCACTCCTTATTCTTGTGCGAGTCGGCATAATCACAAACACCGCGGATAATAACGCAGGGGAAGTCCAGCATCAGGCCAGCTGCCTCCATTTCGAAGCATAATGCTCCAGTCTCTAAACGAAGTTGATCTCTTGTCTGCCCGTGCTTAATGACCTTATTGCCAGAAGCAATGATGCCATAATGGAGCTGTGGATCATTATCCTCGCGTTCACCTCTTGTCTCTTCCCACTCTGCTAGACATTTATCACAGCTGCTCGCACTAGCAGGATGATCATGGTTCACCTGAAAGAGTCGATCAGATTGTACAGTAGGCCGGCCAAAACTTTTCCGAGTTCGAGCAGTTCTTCCGATTGCGTTTTGGAGATATTCAGGGTAGCGGGGGTTATCTCTCAGCTCGGCAGCTCTCATAGTGCCAATTGCAGTTAACAGTGCCCTTGGCGGACTATTCAACGAGCCAGTTCGTTCGAATTTTCCATCTTCAATAATCTTGCCCATATCATATTGAATCACCCCACCACAAGTTTCTTGGGGGTAGCTAATCACGACATCGCCGAGGCGGATATCATGGATATCTGAAGGGATTCCACCCCCAACACCGACCATCAATCCTATTCGAAGTGACCTGGAGAAGGTGCGAAGCATGTTATTTGCGACCGTCGTAGCGGATGTGGTTCCGTACTGGCCTCCAGGGAGGCAGGCGATCACAACGTAATGTTTACTGATTCGGCCTAACGTGTAGGTATTTGAGTCCGCTGCATCTTGGTCTTCGAGAATCCCAAAGTGCTCATCTAGCATTTCGGCGGCGGCTGCAGCCTCAATCGGAAGAGCACAGATCCAGCCAATTTGGAAGGCATCTTGGGGAGGGTGGGCCATGTGGAAGGTCTAGCGTGATTTCGCGAAAACGATTATTGGAAGAATTTAAATAGCAACTAATGTTGAAGAATGGTCTACTAAATTATCAGGAGAAAAGAGCCCCATTTCAAGACAGACAGCAGCAACCTCGCCATCACCAGCAGAAGCTCAACCTGGGTTGAGGGAGTAGCATGGGCGGCAATAGAGCGAATGCTATTGGAGAAAGCGACCAGCCTGTAGCTTGAGTACGTCGCACATGACAATGTAGCACGACAAAGCCCGTCAGCAAGGGTGGCTGGAGCAGCGCCAGGTAGATATGGCACCAACACTTGAACCATGGCGACTCCAGCTCATTCGTGACACAATACAAGACGCCCAATCGTATATTAACGCATAAATCGCTAAGGCAGCCCATTTTATCTCACATGATCAATCAACACTGCCCGCTCGAACCTACAATGCTAGCTACTTTAGACTGAGCACCTCATGAGGACACCTTGAGCGAACCAAAAGGTTGCTCGAAGCTAAAGATACATCCATTAGAAGTGATGATATACAATATAACAACGAGAATTGAAGTCTGGAAGGAGATCATCGAGTGTTAAGGCTTCAGACGGCTTTCCCCTACTGGTGGACAGGGTTTTGGGGCGGCACGTCTATTGAGTTCCTGTGCACATCGTGTAATATTATGTAGCAAGATACTGCATCATACAAGGTGCATTTTACGGCGCGCCTGAGTAACTGCGGCCGAAAAGAGTTACAGTGTGTGTATTAGTCAAGCCGATTTCGAGAATGACTGTAATCAAGATTCAAATTGGGTGATTGATTTAATTCGATTGAAAAGATGGGAAGATCAAAATTCATAATGCAAACTATGGAGATCTTCTAATGTTGGGCTTCCAACCTGCCAATTCGTCACATTGGTGACCCTGGTCGGTTCTGATGGTCAGTATTCATCATAGTACACGAGTAGTCAGACCAGTTGGCTTACCTAGATAGGTAATAATATCAATTTCAAAGAACTGGATGGACATATTGACCTCTATTTCAAGATTCTGCCTAGGTGATGGTAGGAAGGAAAGTCGTTACTCACAATATTGGAAGGCTTTGTAAACAAGGCAGCTTTGAAGCATATTCCTACTCCTAAAAGCCCTAGGAGTCATAAGCTTTCTTGCTCTGTAATTTGAATCTTGCCTAGTGCCTGGGTCACCAATGGGACGGGGCCCAGAATGAAATTATCACAAGTTCAGGTCTCTCAGAAGTGCCTGGGGCTAATCGTCTCGATAATCGATACCCATTCTTGATTCTCCAGTGACTTAACGTAAGTATGCTTCTTCCCAGATGCTGAAAGGAATTGGGAATTCGTACAGACTCCAAGAGCGATTCCATACTCGTCCATATTCCAAATGTTATCTGGTAGTATAGCATATTGCTCTTTAATCTTTGCAAATAGCTCATAAAACTCTTAAATTGCCGCAGGCTATGTCCCATGGATTCTAGACACATCGATACGTCTACCTATACAGGAATTGACGCGTGAGTTTCGCTGAATAAACTTTGGTAGCCATGCCTTCTCAAGAGGTTCATTATCGCCATTAGAACGTAGAATGCAAGCAGACATTTCACGCGCGCGAGCATGCGAAGGAGGGAATCCTTGGGATCCCTGTTCAAGAATCCATTTAACTAGGAATTCCTCTTGGCCTGGAGATAGTCTTTGTTGATTTGAGTGGGCCATTCATTCGACGTGTAAGGGTAGATCTTGAGACACCATATGCGATAGCAGCTGCCTTTACAGAATATATTTGGCCTGATTCTAAGTCAGAGATGGTCAGAGATATCTGGTGTTAGTTCGAAGCCATAATAATAGAATACGCGACGCACGTGTCCATTTCTAAGAGATGTCCACTTCTAGGGTAATGATATCATGTATGTCTAGGGTTTTGTGTCTATATCAGCCCCGTATCTCCAAAAAGTGCATGTAGAAGTTGAAAAATCTTGGTAGCCTCTAAGACTGGTTGTCTGATTTGGAGCTCCCGAGAAGGAAGTGGCCTCAAATTTGCATCATATTAGAGATAAATCTCTGGTGGAAACTCTGAAAAAAAAAGAGAAAAGAGAAAAGCGTGGTGACGACGACTTGCATTGGGTGTACCATCCTGCCGGATCAGACCAGTTTGAGGATCTAACTCAGCATGCCCCGAGAATCTAGACTGAATTGAAAGAGAAGAATAAGAAAGATTTTAGCTGATAATTATCAATATAGCGCTCTATCACTCTGGCACTCAGCGGGGCATTCGAGGAGGAAACATCAAATCGGAAGATGGAAATATGCGCCAGATACAGAACTGAGTGTGGGTCTAGCAGGAAAAGGAAGTGATTTCATCTTCTCTCGACATCTAGAACCCTGGAAAGAGCGGATGTAGGAAGGAACAAAGAAAAAGAGAACAAAACTGGGAACAGATGGAGTGTTCAGCGTTCTTAAGTCCGCCTCCTTCCACATAAGATATGTGCATCTTCAACATACGCAACGCGGTGGATGCGTCGTCTTTTTACTTAAACTCTGACAACATGGTATCTGATTCTATTCATGCGATGTAGAATTAGATGGAGGTTGGCTCAAATCCATTAGCTGTGTATGGATATGATGGAGTGCAGGCCAAGCGGCTCCCGAGGTCGGCTTCTTGAACTTCGATGAAGTTGTTAGACCAATGAGAATACTCTATATAACTGGCTGGGCTGACTGATATCTGAAGGCGGATCTAACCATAAATCGACCTGATCGCCAAATTGGCTAGCGCAGGACCTTCCAAGGTTCCGAAAAAGAGGGGAACGAAAAAAAAAACAAATATCCACTGTATGTCTACATCATATTTTCATATTTGGGAGATTTTGTAATGATCTCAGAATAGCATCATACCGCTGCGATGGATCTAGAACATATTCTTTTTGTACATGGACTGACACAGTGGGAAGCCTTGGAAGTAAATAGCGTTTTGTATTGCTTGTGTTGTTGGAACGGCTTGACCCGGTGCATTGATTTCATGTGATCTCCCGGGCTTCTAGTACGTACTCAGATGGTTATAGCCTACGTGCCTGTAAGCAGGTACCAGCTGAGAAATAGTGACAGATCGAACATCGAAAGTCTCATCTTAAGTATGTATGTGGCTGGCTCGTGTTGGAGCCGATTTAGGTTTCTTGAGATCAATCCATGACGAAGGAAAAGTCCTTTCATTTCACTTTCTTCCATATACAGCGAGCTACTACCCTGTCACAAGCAATGTAAAATGCCAAATACGTGATGTGAATCAGGCCTTCCAAATTTGGAGATACATTTGGGTCTAGCCACATACTCGGAGATGAATGAGGCTTCCATGGACTCGAGCCATCTATCTCATTAGCTGGGCAGCACGTAGATATCTTGAGAGCAATTTTAGCTCTATTGGCTGAGAATCTTTGATCATTTCTGTAAACTCTTTATCAGTCCATCTGAAACAAAATGAAGCTGGGTTCAAGGTGTAGACATCATTGCCAAGATAGATGTATCGCGGGGGGTTTGAAGTTTATGCAGTTCTCACCACGAATGATATGTGGAGATATCATGAGCTGAGAATAGAGTGAAGCTCACAACTACGTTCGGAGTACCCGTGGTATATGGCCTCTGTTCGCATTCTTCTTTGATGGTAAGCACCAGTTGAAGTATCTCGGTAGAAAGGGAAGAAAGTATAAGCTAGGACCTGACCTCCTGTGGCGAAAGCGCAGTAATAAGGGGGTAAAAGAAGAGGACTAGCCTACAGAATACTCCATGTAGTATAGCCATTTCTTCTATCATGATTTTAATGCATTCCTAAAAGGGTACCTGAATGAAGTGAACGCAATCTGGACCACTAGATATACGTCCGCCTTGCGTTTGGAGGCAGCTTATCATCCTAGTAATAGTCACTATCATTCCATAAGGATGTGATTTGATCGTGTAGGCTGCATGAAAGTAGATTTTGCAGGAAATGTAATGTACGACGGCGAACTCCACGGTAGGAAACTCTTACTTGGGAAAGGAAACCGAAAGACGTGTCAGATGCGGCGATTTCCTTTTCAATTATATCCTAGAATAGGCACAGGTGATGCAAAAAGATGCAATCAGATCTCTACCTGACTAGGTAGGTGAGCCTGGTATCTGTAGTCCTTGCATCTGGCCAGCAAGTAAGTACTAGTTCTCGGGGTTTGATCTATGGTCTCCCCGATATTCTTCGGGGGTTTGCAGATGCCCTCTTGTGAATCTATGGAAATGGAGTTTTTTTCGAGGGGTCAATGCTAGCCAGGTGTACTTTTGACGCCGCACGTCCTAAGATACTATTTTGTCAATTTATTTCATTTAATAATCCGCATTCACGAGCAAGATAATCGCCCTTGCGGCTAATCGCTTAATCGATTTTATGTAATGATGACAATTATCTGCTTCAACGGAGGAGAGATACTTTTAGATTCGATTTTATACGAAGTCATGGAGTACCTAGCTATGTAGTGGTCCTGTCACTTGAAAGTGTCCCGATATTACCCTAGGTTCTACGGTTTACACGGGATTTGGAAATCGAGCATAAATTTCCTTCCATATGCCGCTCAGACGGACTTGACCCGTGAATGTACTCCGCAATTTGTCACCGTGAATCTATTTCCATTTATGGATATTTCGTATAGTATATTCCAAGGTTGCATCTGCCACAGCATAATGAGGGGTGATAAACGAGACCTTTGACCCAGAAAAGCCAGATCGATCTAGAGTGAATAAACCAATCGCCCACAATGCTTTAGCGTGCATGTAAAGCATTGGATCTTGATGAGTTGTACACAGTAGTAGTGCTTATGGTACAGTAGCTTGCCGTAGTCAAAGTATGGAACTATGATCCCGACGTCCTTCACTGTTCGTACTTTCGGCCGTTACCAAATTTTGTCTGCAGATCTATTCGTGCGGGGCACAGTTCAGATTCAAGGAACGGGATCTTAGATGAGAAACTTTGGTCTCTGTGGTCGAATCATTTCGGTATCAAGTGAGCCCCACAGTGCCACGTCCTATGTTGAAACTTGATAGATCGTGGACAGCCATCATATAGATCTAAATTAGTGAGCTAATCAATAACTTTGTGTGAGGAGGAAAAAGCTGTAGGGGAGATTATTGGCCTGTGAGGGCCGAGGCTAGAGATCTTGAAGTGGTTTATGCAATGGACGGCCCGATGCCGTGCGAGGTGAGCGGTTGACAGTTGGCCATACATGGACAGACTATTGATCAATCTTTAACAGAAGCAATTGAAAACGAGCCTACAGAGGATCCGCAAAGATTGATCGGGGGCAAGAACCCTGTTTGAGCGGAGAACTCAACCTAGCCAATCAATGAGAGGCAGGCAGGCTGCATGTCATTGGGAATAGAAAATCGTTGGGGGATTGTGGGTCCGGGGGAAGAGGAAAGAACTCTTGGTTTATTTCTGGAAAAGTAGTTCCTAAGGGTTCCGAGGTCTCATCTTTGAGATCGTGCAGGTACCAGATGGATGTACGTATGCGCGATTTTTTTATGCGCGGTGAACAGAGCAGTTGGACTGAGCATGACCTTGGTATGGGAGATGCTGATAAAAAGCGAGGGGTCTGGATAGAACGAAAGATCTGATACCTACCTAGGTACCTCTGTATTGAAATTTCTCTTTTCCCTTGAGTCGTCGAAATAAGTTAAAATCTCAACTGTATTACACTTCAAATGTTCATATTGTCACTTTGAAAAGCTGGAATATCAAACCCTATCTAACTAAACAGGTAATGATCCATAGACACTTCGTACTTATCCACCAACTGCAATATAACTGAGACCTGGGCCGAGCCGAAGCGGCGAAAATATGACAGCTCTGATCCCACCAAGGGCCCGAGACCCTAATAATGTAATGATACCCACTTGCATTATTTAGCAACTAAGCACGGGATAGTTATTGAGAAGAGAGAAAGTAAATTGAGCAAATTGTGGGTGATGAAGACAGTCTTGTACTAGAAAACGTGAAAATTTAGGGCATGGCCCTATCATTTACGCTCTGACCCTAGGCTTATAACAACAACAACGTCTTTTTCTGTCATTTGTCTAATCCAAATCATCCTCATAGCTGTGATTTGACGACTGAAATGACATATATAGGTAATTCCCACCGTTCTGCCCTATTCTCAGCACTTCCGTGGCCTGCTATTCGTCACAATACGCAATGGATGCTAATCCCTGTATCCTATCATATGCTGACGATGACGATTGTTTTTGCTTTCTCTAGCCCGCTACCCTTGACACTCTCCAGGTGGCCAATGTGGCTGTACTCTCCCGCTCCAATTTACAACCTCCTCGCATGTCTCATGAAGACGCCCCAGAGGTCCTTGCTTAATTCTACGTATTTTAAGGTTGAGGCTTATCATATGGTCATCTTCCTCGAGGGGGATCGGCTGTCAGAGCTGGTGCCCCTGTAGTTCCTGGCAGAGTCGTGGTAAGTTCTCCTGAAAATCAATGCATGAGATCGAGACCTCGAGAGAGCGATGAACTTTTGAAGGCAACACAGTTGACAGTTCGCGTTTATGGTGCATAAGCGGGGCCTACAAAAGTCTGGAATTATCTGGGATTGCTCCGCTCTGTAGATGCAAGCCTCTTTACGGAATTTCTATCCGTTTTATTGTTTTCTTTTTCTATAGAAGCTAGAAGACCAAACGCTTTCCTCAATTCATAATCCCTGCCGTCCTTGGTCTCCACATGGGACCACGGAGTATTTAAATAAAAATATCCAGCCGTTCCCAGGCTAACAATGCATGGGGGATCCTGGAGATAATGGTCACTAATTGACCAATATTGATGCAAGGGCCTTAAAGCCTATCTTGTTGTCGACTTGAGTCCCATAAAGCCGGTGACAAATAAGAGCGCAAGATACTCACCAGGAACCCGGCTGCTGGGCGAGATCGAGCCATTTAATTCGTAGATCGTCTAATTTAGGACTATGAAGTTGCTCCGTGCATGATGTGACAGATATCTCATTGTACTTGATCGTTCTCTAGTACTTCCATCTCAGTGGACCAGCGGAGGGGCCATACGGGTTGCCTCTCGCTTCCCCCGTCGTGTGAGCGTGGGTCTATGAACCGACACCATACTCCATGCATAATATGCGTCTGTATGACATTCCGTGTTCCGCGCTTGGTGTTCTGGCTATGATCGACCTTGCGATCGTTCATGCCTACCTAGAGTGCTCGGGGACTCTCATGTCTATGGATACGATACACCATGCTTGCCACACTCGTCATCAGCTACTACATATAAACATGCACCCAGCCCCATCAAAATGTCTCACTCATCATCTCCATCTCGTGTGAATTTCGACCCTCTTCGCTTTCTTTGTCTATACCTATTGGTCTCCCTTCTTCAGTCCACGTTTCTTGTGCATATACAAGCGTTCTCATTGTGATTTGCATCTGTTCCCCTCCGATTCCCCTCCATTTAGATTTCGATTCGTCTGTGAATACTCTCGTGTGGAAGGGCATCTGTTCTTTTTGTCTATAGAATCTTGACTCGACACTTTCTCTTTCCGTCTTGAACATATCGCCCTATTCCTCCTTCACAATATACATACAGCAATGTATGAAGAGATGGCTTCCATGGTCGACGACTTCCCACGATGCAGCTCGCTTCCGTGAGTTATACCTGGCTATAAACTTTTTTGCTCCATACTGACAAAAGTATACATAGTTCTTTCAAGTCACCCATCGGTAAAACGAGTGTTGATCTAGGCGAGGATCGCCGCCTGCCTCCATTGCCCCGCGTAGACCCACTGCCTCGGGGTCCTTTCAACCCATTTCATGTTAGGGATGCTTTCACTCCTACTACTCCGGGCTCCCAGGACTCGTTCCAGCTCAAGTCTCCATGGTCCAGTGAGCAGATAGTTGCTCCCCCTTCCCCAGCCAATTCTGCCGAGAGCTCCTGGCAGGAGTCGTTCGCGGCTCAGAAGGCTGCCTCTATCGAGTGGCCTAACGACCTCTCCCAAACCGAGATCATTGCCCTGATTTCACCCCAAAATATCAACCGCAAGGCCCCCCTCCAACAACTATGCGGGCGTAAGCGCAAAGGTAGCGCCATCTCCCCTGACCTCGATGATCAGCGCGAGAAACACCGAATTGCAGAGGGTAACAGGCGCCAGAACCTCAGTGAGCTCCATCGCCAACTCGATAGCCGCATTCATGACTTTTTCTTGGAACGTGCCGGCTGGAACCCATCTAAGAGCCTGCCCCAGTCCAAAGAGCACATTGTGCAGGGTGCTGTTTATCTTATTGACTTTATGCTTGTCATCATTGTTCACTTGATCCGCCAAGAACAAGTCTCTCCCCAACTATCTGAGAAGCTGCAGCCTCAAGTCCGCTGCATGCAGTTACAGCAGCTTGTACAGTCGCTTCAGCAACAGAACTATACTGTCCAGCAGCAGCTTCAAGTTGTCAAGGCTGAGAATGAGACACTTATGGACCGCAACCGCGCCCTCGAGTTCCAGTTGAAATCTTACGAGCAAATGCTCCGCTCTCCCAAGTCTGAGAGTACCAGCCCCAGACCACTAGTCGAGGTCCCTGGTCACAAGCGTCAGAAAAAGGCACTTCCCGGTCTACGTGTCTTCTGCGATGGAATTGGTGCTAACGTGACTGCCGAAAGTCCAATTCACAATGATCTTCTGCACAGCGCCACTTCTCAAGGCCTCAACCCTTCTTATCTTAGCTCAACACCGCCAATTACCGGTCCACCTTCACCGGCCTTCCCTTCATCCCACCCTTCCATATTTGGCTATTCGACTTCACGACGCCAATCTAGGATTGCATCCCCCTGAAAATACACATGTGCACATATATGTCGACCATTGATACCAATGTGTTCATGACTCTACCTTTCTTGAATCATCCTCCCCTTTGCAGACGGCGGTGTTATCTCTGCACCCATTGACCTGCCCATGTTTTGCCATCATCTGCGCTGCATTGTGCTCCTTAGCGTCTACCTTGTAATAATATTTGATTTTCCTGGGAGATGTGAGGCGCTCATATTGCGTGGTGTTCTTTTTCGTTAGCTCGTCTCGATCTTGTTCTATAAGTGGGTGGTTGCCTTCATCAATTGGCGCTGAAAATATTGGATATTTTCAATAGGGTTGGGTTGGGTGCTTTTTCCCTTTATTTCATTTGTCACTATTTTCTCATGTCTATAATTGACTGTTAATTGAGCCTCAGAATCTATGGATATTATGGCAGCAACAGTATTCTGGTTCAGAGTACATTCTATGTGGTCTTCAGCGGCCGCGGTAACTATGCCCTAACCAAGTGCCTAGTGCGTCGACAGCTGTCAACTTAGAATTGCAATTACTGTCGTGTGAGGTGGTGTTTTACCCCTTTTCTTCACTTGGATCCATCATGACTAGCTAAAGACCAATCAACAGCAGGAATTAAAGAGCGAGAAGGTGGAGTTTGTGGACTCTGTGGAGACATTGGACATCTAGAAGGGCCATAAACGAGGGCTAGAGAAAGTGGTCATAGTTTGAGTCTAAGCCGCTTATGAATATGGACATCGATACCTACTAGGAAGGAACATTGAATATAAAGTGACTTTAGACGCATCAATTTGAGAATATTTAGGTATACTGTTACATTGGCAAAGTTGATATACTCCAATGGGGACTGACATGCCCGGGTGGTTGATTCTAGATTCTCGGATGTTGACCCATAGTGAACTAGATCTTCTCGCTTGATTCTCTTGTCCATAATTTACCACCTGGGCAGAACAAGTTACGGAATATATGCATGTTCGAGTGTTCCCTGCAGTAAATTAGGGGCTAGTCGTCACGGGCTACGGTGGTTTATGCTGCCAGGGACAACATCAAAACAAAAGTGAGCTAATGCAGAAGCACTCGATGTTCTATAACAACAACTAACATTAGACCACCTGATATCCTGATACTCATACCCATAGAGTATCATATAGTCAAACTGTTAGGAATTGATTTCTCTAAAAGATCCGCAATGCTATAAATAACCAAAAAAGGGTCCCGGGCATGAAACCCACAGCTGATACCGTGCCATTCCGAGTGTTAAGTATAAGTGCATAGACAGACAAATTCCAACGGTAATCAAGAATAATTCAAAATGAGGATTCTAGAGTAGAAAGGGTTGTCGAGGGTGAGAATCAGCGTTGGCTGGTTTTAGCCGTTCCCGCTTTTGGCGTCCAATTTCCCCGACGATCCCGTGTTTCTTTTTCTCCCTCTCCATCACTACCAACTCGCCTCGATCTCCACGATCTCCATCTTGACTAACCCCAACATTTTCGCGCGTCCTCTGAGGCCTCATTCGTTCGGTCAGGGGTTTTCGACGGACGCAAAGTGATCGAGACCCCCAGGGTTCGCCCTTTTGAAAAAAGGCTCCTGAACTCCAATACAAGACACGACTCCCCTTTCGCATCCCTCAACCCGCAAACATGTTATTGCCAAAGGGTGGCGTTAACTGGAAGTCGGCAAAAGCCCGGCTACCACCATGGAGGGCTGTGCTTATTCTTCTTACACGGACTCGATTCTTGGTCTCCGTGGCCGTGACAGGCTTGGTGATCCTGCTGTGGCGTGGCGTAAGCAAGTCCGCGTCGGAGATGCAAAAGTATGCAATCGTGTCCTTACCCAATGCTATATACAGTGCACTAATCGCAACCATCTCTAGTTTCTACTGCTATGGCTCATCTAAATCGCCAATGGAGATGTCCATCAACGAGATGGTCGAGTGGAATGCTCACTCCCAGACCCCCGTTCTCTTCAACCACCACGAACCTTACGAAGTCAACAGTACTACTATTTCTAATGTTGACTTGAATCCAATCAAGTCCTCTACCCAAGCCATTGCCAACCGCGAGCGAGTTTTGATTCTGACTCCTCTGCGCGACGCCGCCCCCTACCTCGAGAAATATTTCGAACTCCTATATAAGTTGACCTACCCCCACGAACTGATCGACCTGGCCTTCCTGGTCGGTGACACCAAGGACGATACCTTGGCGAACCTTGCTTCGGAACTCGATCGCATCCAGAACCAGGTCGATGAGAAAATTCATTTCCGCAGTGCGACTGTCATCCAGAAGGACTTTGGAGCTGATGTCGAAATGAGTGTCGAAGAGCGGCACGGTTTTGCAGCTCAGGGACCTCGACGCAAGGCGATTGGGCGTGCTCGCAACTACCTGCTCTATTCCGCTCTGAAGCCCGACCACTCTTGGGTCTACTGGCGCGATGTTGATATTACAGATTGCCCCGAGCGAATTCTGGAAGACTTCATGGCTCATGATAAAGATATTCTAGTGCCTAGTAGGTTTCAGTTCACTCCTCACTTATCATCCCTTTGAACCTCGTACTAATCATTTACCTGTAGACATTTGGTTCCATCGCTACCGTGATGGTCGTGACATCGAGGGTCGCTGTAAGTGGCACGCGACTACATACCCAAAACGATTTTACTGACTCACTATAGTTGACTATAATTCCTGGATCGAATCCGACAAGGGTCGTCGTTTGCGACAAACTTTGGACCCTGATACTGTCTTGGCTGAAGGTTACAAGGAGTACGACACTGGTCGGCAATACTTGGTTAGCATGGGTGACTGGAGGAAGAACAAGGACGATGAAGTCGAGTTGGATGGCATTGGTGGTGTTAACATCCTTGTTAAGGCGGACGTTCACCGCTCAGGTATAAACTTCCCCGCATACGCGTTTGAAAACCAAGCCGAAACCGAGGGTTTCGCTCGCATGGCCAAGCGTGCCGGCTACCAAGTAGTGGGCCTGCCCAACTACGTGGTCTGGCATATTGACACAGACGAGAAGCCGGGCAACCTCGGAAATCGCAAGGCATTCTAAGTGCGACGCCTGCATCTCGATAGCCAAGAAGCTAGCCAGGTTCTTAAAAGTTGACCTTTGAACCTATACCGTCATCGAGCATCCTCCATTTTACATCGACCGTATGGAGCTTCACGGCGTCTCGTCGTGTCCAGACACGGTATCTTGCACTACCCATACCACCTGTGATGCATTTATTTTTCACTTCTATTTCCTTTGGAGGAATGTTTCGCGACGGAAGCCTAATGATTTTCATAATCCACTATCTTCATATCGCGTTTTGGGAACGTGTGTGTATTTTGTTACCTTGGCGCTACGGGGAAAATGTTTAGCAGGATTACAGGTCCATAGAGTACGCCAGTTCTTCAGACCTCTTCATATACTGAATTTGTGTTCTTGTTCTTACCCATTATAACTTCCCCTGATCGTCTGGGAGGGGATGTTCTCCTTCCCTATTTTTTCACCCTCTCCTTTTTTTCCCCTCAAACCTAGAGACCGAGAACTGGACTGTTCTTATCATGTTGTTTTCCTTTTTTTTTTTTTTCTTTTTCTCAAGTCTGTCTCGTGGTCCTGTAGTTGCAGAATCACTCTAAATTCGTTTTCAGTCATGGATCTTTTATTCCACCTGTTGAACTGACGCCCCTGGGAGGATGGATGATGTGGAGCTCGGCACTGTCGTTTCATCTCATCTATTCGCAATTATTTGGGATATTGAATGAAGTAGGTCTAATCTGGTCCCCGGACTTTATGTATATAATCAATTACAACGACTTTGGAGTCTTTCGTCTTTCTATCAGCATGTTCGTGAAGATTTAAAGCTTACCTGAGAATACAGTCAAGTCTAACGTAGTCCCTAGATTGAACAGAACCTTGTGGTCTTGGCAGGACCCACCTATCTTATCTAAAACTTACAAATAAGCGTTAAACTAGAATGCAGATAGAAGCTGTTAGGAACCTTCCTAACCGGGGAGCTTTCCGGAACTTCTTCATCTAGATCATCGGCTTATTGATACACAGGTGAACATTATACTTTTTTCTTAGATAGCTCTTTGCTTGTCCCACATAATAGGTAGATGTCTCGCGGTCAAAAATAGAACTTTGATAAGTGAGATGTAACAGGCTGGTGCCTGCTTTAGCATTCATGCCTGTGCCACTCATGCTCGTCACGTGCCACCCGCACCCGCATCCCTTATATTGCCACATGTCCATAGCTAGTCTCTCTCTTCTCTTCAAGCTTAATAAAGACAGTTTGTCGGCATCACTAGTTCTGCATTCAAGATTAGTATTAGCCCTTCACATGAGATGTCCTTTCCAAGGTTCTAAGGTTGGTATAATTCCAATATAGTATCTCATCACTCACGGCTCATCTTCTAATATAATATCACGATCTTCATGCTTCTTTTCCTCATTTAATTCCTGCAGTACGTCTTATAGCGGGCCCGCGTTTAAATTGACAGCGCGAAAACTATCAGGGGATTATTCGAAGCAAGACACCTAGAGTCTCTAGATGTTGAGTTGTTCGCCGTTAGCAGAGGGTGTTAACCTATACAGGTAGTCAATTATTCCCCCAGACCGTACTTGAACTTCGTACTTTCATTTTATTTCAGGCGAATCGACTTTCTATTGAGAGAGCAGTCCCAAATTACAGCAAGCACTTGCCCAGGTGGGAAAAAGCTTTAGGGAGTCTTGCGTAAGTTTTCCATCATGTAATTTATCAGATCACAGCTTGCTAATTCTTCATTACAGGAATGTTCAATCCTATGTTGACCAGGCTGAGCAACGCCTGGACAAATCTACTACCTAGGTAGCCCCATCGCTCAAGTTAGAAACTTAGTAGACTCAAGCCTTACACTACTACCATCCGCGCCACTTTCCCTACTGACAATTCTTTCGTAGCTTCTGATTAATTTATGAATAGCATTGCTCACTATGAAGATCTCCTGGGTAGCCCGGAGACAAGAACCCATATCAAGAAGAGTGATGCCATGCCAAGAGTTAAGTTAGGTATCAATGTCAAATTTAATGGTTTCAAAACACTAAAAATCGCTGGCTAAATGTGAAAAAAGTAAATTATATTGTTATTAATCAAAGAGCCGTACGCACGGCAGACACGAACTAGACACCATGAATGTTAGCTTAATCACGCCATAACCCGAGTTCATTGCCAACGGAGGATTTGAACATACTGGAATAATTTGGGCATTCTTAAGATCCCAAACCCCGGTCTCAGCATAGATATCCTTTGCCAGAGTATTGCGGACTTCGGCTTCGTTTTCGGCAAGAATAAGTAGCATGCTGCCCTTAAAAGAAGGGGTCTCGCCCTCAGCCGCGTGAGAGTGGAACATTGCTCCTAAATGGTAATTGCAATTAGTATATTTGCAAAGTTGTCTCATCCAGCTTGATGAAAAGGGGGAATTCCGATCTCAGCTAATAAGTGATCAAGGTGGGGTCTGTGATAGACGGGGGTAGATGTAGAAATCACATACCACCAGCCAAGACAGTGCCAGAAGCAACAAGAGGCTTGACGCCTGCGAGGTGAGATCTGAATAAAGCAAGTCAGTAATTCGATTCATGAGAGTTGGACAAGTGGTAGACTCACGGCCGGACCTCCAGACGTTTAGGTTGGGCACCAGGCTTATCCGGCAGGATACAAAGGAACTCCTTCTTGGCAGGGGTGGTAGACATGTTGCGTAACTGAGAGATTTGAAGATAATTTGAAGAGAAAGAGGTGGACAAAGATTTATGAGTGCGAAGAAGATTCGGGAATAAACACGGAACTACCCCGGACAAGACGTGGGGAAAAGCGGGGATAATGCTCCGGATTACATGAGATCGCATGCTAACAGACAGTATGAAAACCGGGGAATTGGAGAATTGGGGAATTTTCCGGTAGATTTCAACCTTGATTTTTGAAGATGATAGTACGATTTAGTGGCTCGGATGAGTTTTCTTATCGTGTGATTTATAATCAGTCTTTGACTGCAGAACGGGAATTCTCGATGATCGTATTAAATTCTGCCGTTGATAGGCAATATCTTTAGTGCATAGAAATGACAGGTCCCATATGACTTAGCTTATTCCAAGGTTGTTTTTTCAGTCATATTTGATGCCGACTTTCCCGACCCGTCGCAAGCCAGAGCTCGCCAAGCAAACTAGAATCATTCCAGCCAAAATAGTCCAATACGCTGCGCGATAGCCTTGTAGGAGTAGAGTTTCCGCTGAAAGTGAAGGGTTATCCTGCTGTTTATGAGCAGTAACGGATGCTGCAATAACAGCTGTGATGGCCAATCCAACAGAGTTACCCAGCTGGGATATAGTGCTGAAAACACCCCCTGCTAGTCCCTGAGAGTCGCTAGGAAATGAACGGGAAATAATGAGGCTCGAGACTGTCCAGAGTACTGTGCTACGTTAGTGGAATGCATACATTGTCAGGTGATTAATTTGAAGGACATACCATCGCCACTGATTGGGCTCAAAACTATCGCAACAAAAGTTGAATTCCAGTATGACCATTTTGGATCTGACAGGGCCATCAAAATGGGCGAAACAGCGGTTATGAGTGCAGAGATACCCAGCAAGATATTGACATTAATCTTTGTTACCAAATATGCCGTTACAGAGTTGATGAGGACACCGACCACTGCCATTGGGAGGAATCGAATAGACGCCTGGAGGGCTGATAGATCCTGCACATCTTGGAAGCTACAGTCACGTCAGTTCCAGGTCAAAAGATGAGAAGGGGACGGATAGGACGAACTAGAGACTAGATTGATATTGGAAGGCGTTGAAGGCGGCCCATGTGAAAAACATGGATACACAGATTAGTAGGAATGGAGTATTGGTCCATAATGAGTTGGGGATCAATGTTGCTTTTTGAAACCGTTCCTGTTGTCCCTCCCAGGCAGAGAAGACTGGGAAGAGAAGAACGGATATAACCAAAAGGGCAATATTTTGCGCATCACTGATCCTTTGGTAATTGAGGGTGATCATACTATAGAGGTAGCCAGTAACTCGGAATGGAAGATTAGGTATAATAGATCAGGACATACGCTAAAACATAAGATAAAAGGGCAAGTGCCGTAGAGAGAATGATCACTCCGACCAAGTCAATTCGATGCAGTATGCTCCGAGAAAATGTATATCGCACCTTTATGTCTTGGGGTAGTATGAATATTGAGGCAATAAAGAGGAAAAAATTGACTACAGTCGTGATATAGAAAGCCCAGTGGCTGACCTGCACCGGTGACAGCGAATGCAACATTGCGCTTAGACCCTGGAGGGAAAGAGGCAGTAACCAAACTCATAGATGTGGGCAGACACATGGCAACAAAAATGCCAAGAATAGCTCGAAAAATGATGAACTGTATGCCAGTTCGGGCAAGCCCACAGCATAGTATAAAAAGAGAGGAGAATCCACTCCCAATAAGCCACAGGAGCTTGGAGCCCACGATATTAGAAAGAGCCCCAAAAGGTAGAAGAGTGCATCCTGCCGCGAGCGAGTATACCGATGCTGGCCAGAATATCAAATCTTGGTCAAGGTTGATATCCAAAGCAATACGTGGCAACGCAGTGGTCAGAATACCTGAGCCGGAGACACTAATGAATGTCACTCCTGTAAGGACAGCTATAATGCCTACTGCTTCCAGTGTTGTCTTCTCAGTGATCTCAGGAACTGGCTGTGATAAATTGAAGTCCGTGAGAGGGATCGTATGATTCACATCTTGATTGCACTCTGTTTCTGAAGGAATAATAATTGAAGAGGGGAGAGAACCATTTTTGTCCCCCATTTTCCAGATTGAGGACTGGTGCTTATCAGGATTCAGGTGGGGGAGAGTACTATGTAGTTATTGTAACTTTTTATGGAATTAAATGCTTGATAATAAATATGCACGAGCCACATGATTTTAAATCTTTCAGGCTTTAGCCACTCACTATTGGGGCTAAGCTTAAGAATCTAGGATAGACTGACGCAATAAATAGTGATAATCTCATCGGAATATTTCCGAATAAAGGCGGTAACAGACGACAGTACTGATAAGATATGGCTCGTCACCTTTTATCTTTCACCTTACACCCGTCTTTCTACGATCAACGCGTCCATTATGGAATCAGAACCTATACCTGGATCGGGTTTGCCTAATCAAGGAGGCAATAATCAATTTACAGAATCCACGTCGGGAGTCATTTCTCGTGCACCGGTGCACTATAACCAAGACAACGAAGGTAAGAAAACAGAACTCAATGCTGGTACTTGCGAAAGTTTAAGGATGGAAATAAGAAATGAATCGTTGACATTCTTTTCATCGGATAGTTCCCCCCCAGCTTCAATCTAATCCTTTCCAAAACCAAATTGCGCCTAAAGCTGCGCGGCAATTCAATCCTGCGCAACTCAAAGGTGTGGGACATACAAAAAGTACTCTTGCAGACTGGGTATCAACGCAAGCTGACGATGACTGGGTTATTGAAAATGCATACCCAGTTGAAAAGCCGCAGCGAGGTGGCAGAAAAAAACGCAAGAAGCAGCGCGAGGAGGTGGTCATAGTGACCAGGAATTGGGACGACATTTACGATCCTACGCGACCTAATGTCTATGAAGATTACCGAAAAGGTGACGCCGACGAAAAGATTAGGGAAATCCGAGACTGGAAAAACCTTTTGCACGCTCATAGGACGCGGCGCTCGCCCACTTCTGACAGAGACGACTACCCTAGAGACAGTATGACTACATATTTCCTAGTAGTAAGGAGTGAGGATTATCACTTACCATGCTTCTATATAGCTCGATTTGCACCACCTCAAATCACCACCGAGTCACTTCCACCGCCTCAGCAGTCAGAATCAGCCCCTGCAAATCCTGGAGAGGATGCGTATGCTCGCCGTGAACAAATGAGCCAAATCCCCAATGCCGACCAAAGCATGCCTGACTACCCTCCGTCAATGAGCGCTGCACAAAATGATGAAGAAATTCGCACAGAACAGCCCCGATCCAATCGTCCTGGACAAGAAGGATTCGCTAAGAGATTACTCATGAGCCAGGGTTGGAAAGAGGGTACCGGTCTTGGTGCCACGGGCTCTGGAATTGTAAAACCATTGCAAGTAAAGATTGATAAGCGAAAGAAACGCCCCGATTCTGAAGGCGGGGGATTCATGACACCTGCTGGACGGGGCACTATCATTGGGGGCAAAAGGAAGGCTGAAGACGATGTCGGAAAGTTCGGCGTGATGAGTCAGGTCATAATAATTCGAGGCATGCTTGATGGCTTTGACCTTGAGAAAGAATTGGATGCCGCCAACGACGGAGGCGTTATCCAGGAAATTGGCGACGAGTTCAATAAGAAGGTATGTTTATGACTAGCTCTCTCTCTCTCTCTCTCTCTCTCTCTCTCTCTCTCTCTCTCTCTCTCTCTCTCTCTCTCTCTAAAGGGTCAGAATGCTAATAGTTGATATAGTATGGCAATGTGGAAAGAGTCTATATTGCTCGGGATACACCGGCAGTCCCTGTGTTCGTTAAGTTTACGGGTCAGGTATCCGCTCTTCAGGTATGAGCTCATCTGACTACCCCTAAATATCCTAAATTATTGATCAGATAAGCTAACATTACGAAACAGGCGGTAAATGCGCTTGAAGGAGGATCGTTCAGAGGAAATAACATCATAGCCAGATTCTTCGACAGTGATAAATTTGAGCGAGGGATCTATGAGGAATAATTGACATTCGAACCGGTTTCCAAGGTATCAGATCAAATGACATCTATATCTCTCAAGTTTTCCCTGCTGCAGGTGTTTATTTCTACCCTTCCTAGGTTCTATGTTTCTACTGGCATTCACTATCAAGTAGTAGAAGCTGCTTCATTTGGACTACCTCCAGAAAACCATACCCTAATTTTATAAAACTGCTCGTCTCTCCCAAATTATCTTCATGTATTTGAAACATCAATTAAAAGTCTTGATCAGCAAGCTAATACCAATAAACACTGACAAAATGAAGCAAAGCTCACAATTCAAAAAGTAATCAATCCAACAGATCCATATGATCCATGAAATACTCATCCTCTACCTTATAGCGGAGGATTTGCTGTCAGATCATTCTTTTTCAAACAGGCTTGGTCGACAGAACTGGGATCAATGATGGCTTGGGACTGAGAGGGTACTTTTGGATACTGACTTAGCCCTTTGATTTGTTTTAGCTCTGGCTTTAGAAAGTCATATTTCAGGGTGGGGGAGTCTAGAAATTGCATTAAAGGCCACATCCGCATCATCAACCAGCTCACAAGTATGTGCCAACCAACTTGGACTATTTGGTGCTTCTTCACTATTCACTAATATATTATCTCTGCTCATAGCTGCAGTAGTGTAAATCAAATCCTATTCCCTGAGCATGTCTTGACTGCTTTGCTGGGGTTGGTTGATCAACTAGAAGCATATCAGTAGACTCACACATCCAATCCCATACATACGACCTGATTGCATCATTAGGTGTGGTTTCTTTCAAAAATCAAGTCTTCCTTGTTCTTTCATGTGATCCAGGGCTTTTTGGTGAAATCTGTCATTCACACAGAATAGACACTCTCCAACAAACGGAAAAAATATGCTTGATGTATCTGAGATACAGTTATATCCTCTCTCCAGAAACATCCTGCATGATATGATTAAAGAGAATGACCCTTGAGTGGTCTATCTTTACCTGAGACAAGTGACCATGGTGCCAAAGTTTAAGCTCTCTCTATTTCTAATATTAAGTATAGGTATTACCAAAATATGGGGAAAATTGTACTGTTTAATTCTTGGAAATCCTCTCTCATTGTTACAATATCTTTGTCCTCTAGATTCAGAGTATTTATTTATCAGTAGAAAAGAATTGAAGCAATCATTGAACTAGAAATCATAATTTAAGCATTTTTAGCTTTAGAAGTCTTTCTTCCAAGCTCTCAAGAATAGATCGAGCTTTTGTTCCAACTCCTCATTGTTGTATAACTAGTCAAGGCTGATCAAACAGGCGGCTTACTAAGCAACTCAGCGGGGCTCATTGAAATCTATTGGCGCCATTGCATCCATCGCGAGATCTGAGTATTTCACATCTAACCTTCAGTTCTTGACTTCTTCTTTCTTCCCACACGTTACAACTCACTTCTTATTCTCTATCATCGCTAGGAAGGGAATATCTTTTAAAAATCGTCTACGAAGACTACAATCCAATCCAAAATGACTAGTCTTTGCAACAATCGACTCCAAGAAGAGCGGTATGCGATACCTTCAAGCATTCAACTAAAGCAGGCGCAACGAGATCCCCTGGAATGTGCTAACACACATAACAGCAAGCAATGGCGCCGAGATCACCCTTTCGGCTTTGTCGCTAAGCCCCACCGAACACCTCAGGGCACCTTGGATTTGAAGCACTGGGATTGCGCTATCCCCGGCAAGAAGGGTACACTTTGGGAGGGAGGATCGTTCAAGCTGGACGTTATTTTCCCAGAAGGTGAGTAACTCTCCCGCATCCCTTGAGATCGACATGCTGATGCAGGCGATCTTTGCGCTTCTAGAATACCCAACAAAACCACCGAAGTGTAAGTCCCATTTCCAAGTCGTTGTCTCGGTTGATTGATTATTTTGAACTTCGCCAGCGACTCCATTGATATTCAACTGCTGACTTTTTCAACTTGTAGGCAAATTTACTCCGCCTCTTTTCCACCCGAATGTCTATCCCTCTGGCACTGTTTGCCTCTCCATTTTGAATGAAGAGGAGGCATGGCGTCCTGCTATCACCATCAAGAGTATTCTTATTGGTATCCAGGACCTTTTGAATGACCCCAACCCGGATTCACCTGCCCAGGCCGAGGCATACAACCTGTTCAAGAAGGACCGACCTGCCTACGAGCGAAAAGTGCGCCAGGTCGTCAAAGAAAACCCCGTTCTGTAGACGCTCGTGTCGCAGCGTAATAATCCCCAGCACCTCTTAATTCAGATATCATTTATCATTTATTCATTCCCCCGCGAGTCATGTCAGACGAGATGATGATATTCTTGGTTCAGCGAAAGGGAGCATCTCTATTTATCGTCACTAGCGCGGCGTTTCTTTGAAGGGTTTTCTGCAGATCTAAGTTACCCCTTACACTTCAAGAATTAATCATTGATCATTCATCATACCATTCGTTTGATGTTCTCCATAGTAGCTTCATAGTGTCTAGTCCGACGAGTCGGCGGTTAGTGGCCCGTGTTATCTTATCGTGGGTGACTCAAATTACCGGATCCGACATCGCTGAGCCCCACGGGAAAAATTGCCTCTCATAACTTACGGTAGTAACCTCTTCCTCCTTCCATCTCGATCTCCAATTGACACTTCACCCCATTGTTGAAGTGAATTCTGCCCATCATGTGTGGAATCTTTGCTTGTCACCAGTGTGTACCACTTGCTATACTTCAATCCCACTATATTTGCCCCGCCAGCTCGCTGCAAGAAAGTGGACGATCATTGAGCCAATCTAACCGAAGCCTTTCTATAGTCACCCCGATGTCCAAAAATTCAAGCCCACAGCTTTGCGCATGGCCAAGGCGTAAGTATTTCTTTGCTTAATGCAATTCACTTACTTAATTGGGAATCTATCTCTGACCTGTGCCCCCTTGACAGTGTGCGCCACCGTGGTCCCGATTGGAGTGAGTCACCGAACCGCAGAGTAGTATCGGTATACATTGGGGACTCGAAAGTTAACATAGCTGTTTGACAGGCGGTAACTTCTGTGCCCAAGCTACTAGTAAGTCAATTGGAAATCTCAAGTGCTACTACGGTTCCAGCTAACCGCCTTTTCCTCTAGTCCTTGCACACGAGCGTCTGAGCATTGTCGGTGTTGGTATGTAATTGACTTCTCAATTCCTCAATTCCTCAGTTCCTCAGTTCCTCTCAAAGTCGATACATTTTCGTTCTGAGATCAAGCTCTAACATCATCACCCAAGACTCCGGTGCTCAGCCTCTTGTCAACGATGATGAGACCCTCGCTCTCGCTGTCAACGGTGAGATCTACAACCACCGTATCCTGCGCAAGAGCCTCAAGCACAAGTACAACTTCAAGACACACTCTGACTGCGAGGTCATTCTCCCTTTGGTACGTATAAAAGACCCTCAACTGCTTGGTCAAAGACTTCTATTTTCCCCCTCTCTCTGTTTGGCCCTCGGTAAATATCTTACTAATGACCTGCCTTAGTATGAGGAACACGGCCTTGATGCCCCCAAGTTCCTTGACGGCATGTTCTCCTGGGTTCTCTGGGACAAGAAGCTTGACCGTGTAATTGCTGCCCGTGACCCCATTGGTGTCACCAGTTTCTACCTCGGTCGTTCTTCGGCCACCCCCGGTGCTGTCTACTTCGCCTCTGAGCTAAAGTGCCTGCACCCCGTTTGTGACGACATTATTGCTTTCCCTCCTGGTCATGTTTACGACTCTAGCACCGATAAGATGACCCGCTACTTTGAACCTAAGTGGTGGGACGCTGCCGCCGTTCCCTCGACCCCCGTCGACTACAAGCACCTTCGCGAGACTTTCGAGAAGGCCGTTCGCAAGCGCCTGATGGCCGAGGTTCCCTACGGTGTTTTGCTGTCGGGTGGTCTCGACTCCAGTCTCGTTGCATCTATCGCCCAGCGCGAGACCCTGCGCATGCAAAAGGCCTATCTCGAGTCTTCCAAGTCCACTGCCTCCACTTCTGACCTAGTTGGTATCGACGACGAGAACGAGCTGTCAACATTGACCACCTTCCAGCAATTGCACTCATTCTCTATTGGTCTTCCCGGTGCCCCCGACACTGCTGCTGCTCTCGAAGTTGCCAAGTTCCTTGGCACCAAGCACCACGCTTTCACTTTTACCGTTCAGGACGGTCTGGACGCCCTGTCAGATGTTATTTACCATCTGGAGACCTACGATGTCACCACCATCCGTGCCTCGACTCCTATGTACTTGCTATCCCGCAAGATTAAGGCCATGGGTGTCAAGATGGTTCTGAGTGGTGAGGGTAGTGACGAGATCTTCGGTGGCTACCTATACTTCCATGCCGCCCCTAACCGGGAGGAATTCCACAAGGAGACTGTGCGTCGTGTTAAGAACCTGCACCTGGCTGACTGCCTGCGTGCCAACAAGTCCACCTCCGCCTGGGGTCTTGAGGCTCGTGTTCCCTTCTTGGACAAGGAGTTCCTTGAGTACTCCATGGGTGTTGACCCCAAGGACAAGATGATCACCAGCGAGCGTATTGAGAAGCACATGCTCCGCAAGGCCTTCGATACCAGCGACGACCCCAGTGCTGAGCCCTACCTTCCTGAGAAGATCCTTTGGCGCCAGAAGGAACAGTTCAGCGACGGCGTTGGCTACAGCTGGATTGATGGCCTGAAGGACAACGCCGAGTTGCAAATCACTGATGAGATGATGAAGAACCCCAAGCCTGAGTGGGGCACCGATATTCCGGATACCAAGGAAGCGTACGCATTACCTCCACTCTTCAAATTCTATTACTGGATTACTGACTAGTATATTAGTTACTGGTACCGCTTGATGTTCGATGAGCACTTCCCTCCATACTGTGCCAGCACTGTGGAGCGATGGACCCCTACCTGGTCTAAGCAGACTGACCCCAGCGGCAGGTGGGTTATAATCTGACATACTTTGTGCTTGATCAAATACTAACATGGACTACAGAGCGATTGCCATCCACAACGCCAAGTATGAGAAGGCTGAGTAAAGGAAAATTGACTTCATCAGATCAAAAAAAGATGTACTAGTGATATTTAGAATCAATTATAGAATGGATGTATATACCCCCTCACTTCCGAGACATCGAGGTGTTTCAAGTAGTATGGTTGCTCGGGTGCTCAGTTAGGGCTGGACAGCCGAGATTACCTGATTACCTAATTGCGGGCTTTCCCGGGGCAACTGCCTCAACCAATCATGTTCTGGCCCGAGGCACATGGCTATTTCCTCCTCCCAACATCATCGTCTCTCAACTCTCCTTCCATCTTCAACCATTCCTAATCCTCACACTCAATCACCATGTCTGCCCCCGCCGCTTTCTCCGATATTGCCAAGGCTGCCAATGATGTAGGCTCTAAAACTAATTGTCACCGATGCGATGGAATTCTAATCAATCGCCTGGAATAGCTCCTCAACAAGGACTTCTACCACGCCTCCCCAGGTTTGTTTTGACCATTTAATATTTCATAAAGCCCAAAATATCTGACATCTTCTCAGCCAACCTTGAGGTCAAGTCCAAGGCTCCCAACGGTGTTACCTTCACCGTTAAGGGCAAGTCCAACCACGAGGGTTCTATTGCCGGCCAGGTAAGTCTTTTCCCCTCTGTTTTTGGGAAAAGTTCGGATGAGATTCCGGATTATAACCATACAATGATGCTAATATATCACTTCTCAATAGATCGAGGCCAAGTACGTCGACAAGCCCACTGGTAATTCTCCCCTCCATCGCAAACCACCAGATCCTGGCACGCGCGAGAGTGGTCTGCCAATGAGCATGAATTTCATACTCAAGGCCCCTCTCGTGCGCGAACAGAATTACATTTGCTGCTTTCTATTCTCCAGCAATACCGTCAACCACAAATTATTGTTGTTGCTAATTTCTCGTCCCTGTACAGGCCTTACCCTCACCCAGGCTTGGACCACTGCCAACGCTCTCGACACCAAGCTTGAGCTTGACAACAACATTGCCAAGGGCCTCAAGGCCGAGATCCTCACCCAGTACCAGCCCGCCAAGCAGTCCAAGGGTGCTAAGCTCAACCTGTACTTTAAGCAGCCTAACCTGCACGCCCGTGCCTTCTTCGATCTCCTGAACGGCCCAATCGCCCACCTCGACGCCGTCCTCGGCCACGAGGGCTTCCTCGTCGGAGCTGAGGGTGGTTACGACGTCACCAAGGCCGCCATTACCAAGTACTCCGCTGCTGTCGGCTACAGCGTTCCCCAGTACTCTGCTGCTATCACCGCCAGCAACAACCTGTCTCTCTTCTCCGCCTCTTACTACCACCGCGTTAACGCTCAGGTTGAGGCCGGTGCCAAGGCTTCCTGGGACTCCACCTCCGGCAACGCCGTCGGCCTGGAAGTCGCCAGCAAGTACCGCCTGGACCCCTCTTCCTTCGCCAAGGTTTGTTTTTTCCAACTAACAATATGCTCGGTATACATTTCCATTTACTTATATTCTTTCTTCTATCAAAATAGGCTAAGATCAACGACCGCGGTATTGCTGCTCTGGCCTACAACGTCCTGCTCCGCCCCGGTGTCACTCTTGGCCTGGGTGCCTCATTTGATACCCAGAACCTGAACCAGGCCGCTCACAAGGTCGGTGCCAGCTTCACCTTTGAGGCTTAAATGCTTTCGGCCTTGCTGTTTTGCACGATGAAAGATGATTCTGTGTGCGTCGTAGTTTAGCGCTCGAGCATGCATTGTATATCAATTTCAATTTCTTTCCAGATAGATTTCTCTCTCTCCTCTTCAAGTTACTTTATATAATAACTCAGTCTGATAATCAATCTCTTTCTGAAGGAGTTTGGTACCTTGTCTATCTTTAAAATCTTTATCGAACATGTGCATCCTCATTCAAATATTTCGCTTCCCAGCAGTCTCCGTTTTGTCGGTAGTCGGAATGGCAGGGACCTTTATAAGCCCAATGGCACTAGCAAGCACTAAAATCCCAATTGAAACCACAAACCTAAGAATAGGCAGTTCTCCCCCATTACCGCTAGCTTCTTGCTCCCTAACAGCTTCTTTTACCGTCCGTCTCCGTCTTTCCCTCCTCCTTTCATCCTCCGCCTGCTGTGTCCGAAAATGTCCACGTGCATTGAAATGTCCCAGCATATTACGATCAATGAACCCATACGGATCCTCAGCATCACCATCCTGTCCTTTCTTCTGACCTTCCCCTCCAGCAGAATAAGATCCCTGACCACCCATCCGCCCCGTAGCCCCATAACCGCCCTGCGTGTAGAAACTCGGCGGCGGCCCGTGGAAAGCTGATCGCCGTTTACTCAGTCCACTGGCCGGACGTGACCCCGCATAAGTGTCGCCCTTATGGTGCAGATTTGCGCTGTGGCTGCTGTGGCTACCCATTGGGTGTTGGCCTTGTGCACGGCTTTGTATGTGGTGGATACCATTGTCGCGGTCGTAGGTTGCGCGCTTTGTGGCGTTTCCTAGGATGTGATATGCGGCTGAGATACGGGCGAAGCGCTCGCCGGCTGAAGGGTCGTCGCGGTTGCGGTCTGGATGGTGGCGGAGGGAGAGGGCATAGAATTGTCTAGTGGAGAATGGTGTAAGTGATTTCTGGTTCTGGTTGCTGGCTGGTGCTAGGGAGTGTGTAGTAGGGTAGTCTGGGCGTAACCGTACTTCTTAATCTCGGCCGCTGTTGCGGTCACTGGCATATCGAGGGTTTCATAATGATTCTGTTCTCGGGCGAGACCTTTGCTTGTAGAGGAAAAGAAAATCCTTTGTCGTGGTCCTAATTCTGGGCCGGAGGCCTTTCGAGCTTGTGGTCGCTTGTGGGTTGCGAAGTCGCGTGTGTTGCATGCGCCGAGGCTAGGACAACGGCTATAGCCGGTTAAATGCAACGGGCGGAAGACACTTCTTAATCGATATGATGGCATTGCCTATGTTTATTGGGCGGGAATACCGTTCCCAGGGCGCATGGGGTTTACATCGATGACCGGGTGGAGGAAACAGGTTGACGTTGGAGGAAGTTACTAAGCTGATGATCAGATTAGATTACTCAGACAAGTTAATCTAGGCTGAATTCGACCCTGCATAATTTCAGACCATTCGAATCATGTCTTATCCGGTGTCTAGACCTCTTAGCAAAATAAAGTAAGTGAAAATGTGCTTGATGAAATGCCTACAAAGTATATTGAGCTGTAAATACAGTCTACTTAACAAAAGTAAACGGGCCCGAGGTATAGACCCAATTTCCAGCGAACAAGCTCCCATATCCTATTTAAGTAGGCTTATTTAGGTATTAATTGTCTTCAGAAGGAGGATAGTTGAGTAAATATATACTGTATAACCATGGAAATTATGCCTTTCTTCATTCAAATAATTGGTAGTTAGAGCTACCAAGTTTCAAAGCTACCTGGGTAATTGCTAAACCTCATTTGAACTTGAGATTTGGAATCTTGTTTGAACATGCATGACTGGGTTCACAAAGACCTCGTTCCGTTTAAGTACCTATGTATCTATTTAGATACATAACGGATATACGGAACAAGCTACTATTCCCCGATTTATGGATGTATATACACTAATGGGCAACTTCGCTTATGACTTTGAATTAAATCTAGATACTTCATTCGCCATTCGTAGTTTACAGAGTACCCGTATATAGTGTAATTATCAAAACGGTGTCAAATAGCCTTGGAATGGCTTGAAAATGATAGTTATGACCTTGGAAGATTGATCAAGACTCAGGTGGATTCCGACATTGAGAATGTCAGATGAAGATTTTTATCGAAACTTTAGTCATTGCTCAATATTGTATTTTGATTTGCTTCAATATCTTGTAAACCTGGAAAGCATCAATGAAGTCATCAAGCATGGGCCCATCCGCTGGATCTGATAGCAAAATTCTTGCGGGTACTTCTATCCGTAATCCGTTGGTTTCTGAAACTTCACGTCACAACACCTCACCATGGCAGCCGAGACGACAGAGAAGCTGCAGCAGCTGGACTGTAAGACTGAAGTGTTTTCAATTTTCTCTTATTAAGAATCTAATCCAATCTTAGTGAACGGCCAGAATGGCGCCTCCCCGGCGGATGCCCCCGCCCCCGCCGTCGAAGTAGAGGATGCCTCTGACGACGAGCACGAAGAAGGAGAAGGCTCCCCAGATGCAAATGGAGGTAGGTGAATTTGAGCCCATGAACACATTTATTATAACTGGCCGGACCCACGCCAGAAACAAAAATCGTGAGCACTGACGTATTGTAGCCGCCAAAAAGAAGAAGAAGCGTAAGCCCAAGAAGAAGAAGAAGGCCGCAAAGGTCCAGAGCTCTCCACCTCGAGTCCCAGTCTCCAGTCTCTTTCCAAACCAATACCCCGAGGGCGAAATCGTCGAATACCTAAACGATAATGCCTACCGTACCACCAACGAAGAAAAGCGTTACCTCGACCGCATGAACAACGATTTCCTGCAGGAGTATCGCCAAGGTGCTGAGATTCACCGTCAGGTTCGCCAGTATGCTCAACAGAACATTAAACCCGGCCAGACTCTGACGGAGATTGCGGAGGGTATCGAAGACTCTGTTCGGGCCTTGACTGGTCACCAGGGTTTGGAGGAAGGTGACAACATCCTGGGCGGCATGGGATTCCCAACTGGTCTGAGTATCAACCACTGTGCTGCGCACTATACTCCGAATGCCGGTAACAAGATGGTCCTCGAACATGGTGATGTTATGAAGGTTGATTTCGGTGTTCATCTCAACGGTCGTATCGTTGACAGTGCTTTCACCATGCACTTCGACCCAGTATACGATCCATTGCTGGCAGCAGTGAAGGATGCTACCAATACCGGTATTCGGGTAATTCTCACTTCATCTCACCATTTTTTACCCCTCGATGAAACTAATATTGCCTCTAGGAAGCTGGAATTGATGTCCGCATGAGTGATATCGGTGCTGCTATCCAGGAAGCCATGGAGAGCTACGAAGTCGAGATTAATGGCACTATGCACCCTGTCAAGGCTATCCGCAACCTTAATGGCCACAACATTGACCAGTATATTATCCACGGTGGCAAGAGCGTGCCTATCGTCAAGGGCACCGACCAGACCAAGATGGAGGAGGGCGAAACCTTCGCTATCGAGACCTTTGGCAGTACTGGAAAGGGCTACGTGCGGGAAGAGGTATGCCTAGAACCATCGATTTACTTCATATTTGGTAATTACTGACAATGGAATAGATGGAAACCTCACACTACGCTCTAGCCCAGGACGCACCAAACGTTCCCCTCCGTCTTTCATCCGCTAAGAACTTGTTAGGCGTGATTAAAAAGAACTTTGGCAGCCTTCCATTTTGCAGAAGATACTTAGACAGACTAGGACAAGACAAGTATCTTCTTGGGGTAAGTCCATCTGACCAAAAGTACAATGATAGGTAACTGACTTTACCTCACAGTTGAACAACCTTGTCGCTCAAGGCATTGTCCAAGACTACCCTCCCCTTTGTGATATCAAGGGCTCTTATACGGCTCAATATGAACATGTAGGTTTTCTTGTGTCTCTTGAAACACTTTGATTTCACCATAACTAACACAATGCAGACCATCTTGCTCCGTCCCAATGTTAAGGAAGTCCTCACCCGTGGAGATGATTACTAGTGCGAGAGTATCATAAAAAAAAAAACAATCCAACTTTATGTATCACGACGTCTTCAAGATATCCAAAGCCCGAACAAGATGGTTCAGCTTGATTATACATTTTGCAACCGTTTCGTCCTTCTTTCTTCACCTTTTATCTCGAAATTATTTTCCCCCTCCACGAGATCAAACTGTATGGTTACCGGAGTTTCAAGCTCAGGAAAGAAACTTGGAAGATTAATCTCTATTTTTCTATGACTATCTAAATTTCGAACAAGATGCTCTCCGTAATTGCGCAGGTTCTGATGGCCTACCATGTACAAGCCATAGATGAAGTTAACGACCTCTTCATACTTGGCAGTACCTATCTATGCTAGGCCTCGATGGTAGATTCTCAAATATTGTTAGTGATGGTACTGCCAAAGCTCGAGGTCTGTTAGGCAACCTTGCAATTGTAAAATGGCTGGCGATCTTGTTGGAATTCTGAATCCTTGGAAAGTCATAAATGCCTTAAATTATGGATTAATCCTTCGTGTTGACAAATAATGAGGAAGAAAAACAACGTTGTAGGGGTTTCTATGAATTCAGTGCTTATTGAAAATTTCATTTGTGGTCAACTCACATCGCAGATCTTTCTGGAGTATCGGTAGAAGGAGATAGTTTTCTAAGATTATTGCAATGAGTAATCGAAGATCGGATATTTTGATCAAGATATGTCTTCTTGGTGCCCTTGTCGCAAGCTTCACTAATTAAAACGATGACAGGTTCTCGGTAAACTATAAACCTTTGCTCGGTAGATACGACTAAGGTCAATGAGGCAAAACACGTCTTGTGAGAAGTGAGTTGACATGTCCGACAAGAAACAACCTGTGTATACTTCTCTCCACCAATCCAGTTTGCCAAGACATTAGTCTCGGTCCGTGATTCCCCACGTGGAACCACCTAGTGGAATGACAAACTCCCATCTTTTTCCGACTTTCACCTTTCAATGTCGACACCTCTTAATTACACTCGTTTTTAACTATGGCTTCTGTCGTTGAAACCAATTCACCTCACCTTCGGGTAGGTGTGACAAAGAAGGCGCAATCCACAATTAAAACAGAAGCTCCCTCTGCCAGAATTCCGCCTCCAGATAAATCAACAGTTGAAGACCATTTCTACTGGACTTACACAGAGGAACCTCACCGAACCAGACGACAGGCAATTATCAAGGCTCACCCCGAGGTACGTCATTCTATACCTATATACCGTGCAAATCCCCTTTTCAAGATCAAGATCAGGGAACAATCCCTTTCAATACAGATCTTCTCTTGCCAGGGCAGCACATCTACACCCCTGGTTTCACGCTTCTCACCACCTTTATCTCGAGTTTAGGTAACGAAGCTTTGTGGCCCGGAGCCGCTTACCAAATATGTCGTCTTCGGCGTGGTATCCCTTCAAATCACATGCGCATATCTTCTCCGCAATACCTCTATCCTTGACTGGCGCTTCCTGCTTACAGCCTATGTGATTGGAGCCACTGCGAACCAGAACCTTTTCCTCGCTATTCATGAAATCTCTCACAACCTGGCGTTCCGATCTCCGTTCGCCAACCGTCTTTTGGCTATCTTTGCAAACCTCCCTATCGGAATTCCATATAGTGCTGCGTTCAGAGTGAGTCTACATAAACTCTCGGGACTATTCCCAATCATACCACGTCTCAATTGGTCAATTGAAAGCTGACATAGTTGATTGATGATAGCCTTACCACCTTACGCACCACAAATCTCTCGGTGTGAATGGTTTGGACACCGACCTCCCCACCGCATTTGAAGGTTTCTTTCTCGATTCCCTCCTGGGCAAAACCTTCTTCTGTACATTCCAGATCCTCTTCTACGCATTCCGGCCGATGTTCATCTACAGCCCCTCCTTCACCTACATTCATCTGCTGAACGTGGTTATCGAACTCAGCTTTGACTTCCTCCTCATAAAGCTTACCGGCTCCCTCCAGCCATTATACTACCTCATTGCCAGCTCCTTCTTTGCTGGCTCCCTGCACCCTTGCGCTGGCCACTTTATCGCCGAGCACTACTTTTTCTCAAACTTGAAGAATGGTGGCACCGAGTCTATCGCCGAGCTGAAACAGGGTCCCGAGTACAAGTCCAAGCTTGAGACATCTCACCCCCTCCAAGCCCTACCCCCGCCAGAGACTTACTCATACTATGGCCCCCTCAACTTCTTCACCTACAATGTCGGATTGCACAATGAGCACCACGATTTCCCGGCTGTTGCCTGGACTAAACTGTACAAGGTTCATGAGATTGCGAAGGAGTTTTACGAGCCCTTGCCTCATCACCGGAGCTGGGTCTGGGTTATCTGGACTTTCATTTTGGATAAGGATGTTGGCATGTGGTGCCGTGTCAAGCGCGCCCAGGGTGGTCGTAAGGTTGGTGGAGGAAAAGAGTCGAAGTCCAAGGCTTTCAACGGCCGTGCAGGAGAGACTATGGCGGCGTCGGCAGGTCCGATTGGCGAGGAAGACGGATGGAAAGACAGCGAGCTTGAGTGCTAAATTCCAAAAGAGCACCTTTGCTAAACATACTTACGTATTACATGAGATAAATGGCACGTTTAAGAGAGAAAATGCAAATTTAAAGGCATGTATTGATTTTTAGAAGATCCGTGGATCAATTGTAGCAGCAATTTTTGCTGAGAAAGATCAGCACCCTTCGAATATCGAATGATGATCGACTGAAGGATCCATAAACGCAATGTGGTGTCAGCCTGTCAGAAAACAACAAGGGTGTTAAGACCACGATTGAAACTAACATGCCAGTGACAGTACCTGAAAATCGCAAAGAGCCGGGTTATTAAGCATGCAAGAACAAAAGGAAAAGATCGAGACGCCGAGTCCGTTCGTCGTAACGTGAAATTAGAGCCGAATGGGGAAAAAGAATCAGAGGGAAAGCCACCCATGGAAGCTCCGAGAGATAAAAAAGGCGTAATATGAAAACGGTATCGGCAGGAAGGAAATCAAGGGATATGGATACCGCTAAGGGTAGAAAAAGTGCTGATGCTGAAGGGAGACGCGAAAAACCAAAAGAAAAAAAAATAATCAGAGGATGGGTCGTAGAGGTGATCAGTGCATGAACGACCAAAGGCACAGAGCAAGGCTCTAGAAGAAGAAGTATGCGATCAAAAAGCTGAGCAGGCACAGGCCAGCCACAATCTGGACAGGCACACCCGACTCGGCATTGCCCTGCTGAATGACAGTTGGGGAGGACTTGGTCTCGGTAGTGGCAGCCTTGCTGGTATCCTTGCGTTGACGCAGTCCGTATTCGTCCAGACGGTCATGCAGGCGTTTGAGTTCCGCATTGGCCACGCGAAGCTTTTCTTCGACATCTTCCTCAACGGGAGTATTATCAACGACAGCCTTGGTTTTGTAAAGATCCTCTTTCTCATCAACTTCGGACTTAACGGACTCCAAAAACTCAGGCTTAGCGATGGGGGTTGCATGGTTGGCAGAGATGTTCTTTGCGTGACCGGGGGCCGGGGTTTCATAGTTTACAAACGGAGACGACGAGTAGGAGGTAGGGGGCTCCTCGTCAACCTGGAGCTTGATCATTAGCTAATGTGCAGAGTAATTAGGTGTAAAGCAACTTACAAATTCATGGGTAGCGGGGATTTCCGCGCCAGGTGAGTCCGCCTCCAACCAGCTCACGCGGAGCTTGCGCTCAACCACTGAGGTCTTGGGAGTGTTATCGAACTATTGAAAGTGTTAGCGGTTCATGAAAATTCTGCAAGAGAAAAGGGTATTGCTTACAACTGAGGACACATTCCCGTAGGACATGTCACCGGTGACTTTAACTGACTGAACAAGGAACTTGTCCTTGCACTTGGCACCGGGGGCCGGCTCATCCTTCATCGACTGAAGAAGGACTATATTAATCCGTTAGCTATATTTCACATGAACAGATTCGAAGTAATTATACCTTGAACTTCAACTTGTTTACCAGGCTCGATACGGCCGGAGTTGGGGCGAACGCAGTACCTATATCCAAGTCAGTCATATGATTACGGAGGGTTCGAGTTATCTGAAAATAGAATGGACATACTGCTTGGGAGCGGTGGTTTTGACCTAGAGAAGGAAAATAGTTAGTTGACTGAGAAAATGATGCGCATGACAAATGGGTTTGTACCTTGAAGACGACAGGGTCGGAGTTGGTGTTGCGCAAGGAAAGCACCTCGCAGACCTCGCGGGTGAATGGGCCTATGTCGCAAGAAAGAAGTAAATGTCAGTTGTTCATGCACTTTTAATTGCATCTAATTAGACAACATAAGCACTCACGTTTGAAGCCCAGCTCGGGAGGGTACAGTTCGAGAGACATAGTGGGATTTTGGGGTTGATGGGAATGAAAAGGTTGAATAGAGGGAGAAAGGAAAGGAAAGAAGAAACGTGGGAAAGGTTTTTATCAGCAAGCGTCCAAGAGAAAATGTGAGAAGTTAATGCGTGCGCTTGAAGTGAATAGCGAACCTCCTGAGGCACCTGATGAGTCATCATGGTCATGTGACTTATTATATTGGAGGAATTCAGCTTGATACCATTTAATTTTACTATTTTGGCCCTAGAATTACATCTGGCGTCATTTATTGATGAAGTTGGAGTAGTACAGAAAGAACGTATCAAGCTAGGTAGTACTGTAATTCCATTTAATGCCAATTGGTCTTGTTTGGATGGAAGGAATCGAAGGGAAGCTACGGCGATAGGAAACAATCAAACAGAAACATATGGCGATCTAGATCGTCGAGTTCAGAGTCCATGATCTGCATATTAATTGTTAAGACTCGAGAACTCATAGTCTATAGATCATAAACCACTCACTAATATATCATGTATGATATCGTCTAATTCCTAAGATTTTCTATTGGTAGCTGTTGCAACCAAGCATCGCGAACCACCAAGCTGTTATGCTTATCGCGTTATCGTCTCACCGCCCTGTCTTATGTCATCGCTCAGTGCTCTTACCTATCTCCAACCCCCATCCACACCTATCATCCGTTTTCTTATTCTAAACCACTTGGACTCTGCCTTGCCCTCAAATTCCTTTCCAGGTCCTGAACTTACAGAACGTTGATACTCCTTCTCTCTCGTTATTGCCACTATCAACAATGGCTTCCGACCTCGAGCAGCTCATTGAAATGGGCTTTGACAAGGAAAGAGCTGAGCTGGCTGTCTCCCAAACTGGTGGTTGTGAGTATACCTGTTCAAAGCAATATCTGATATACCTCTCTAACACACATAACAGTACAAGGGGCGCTGGAATGGCTTGAGCAGAACCAGGATAAGTCATTGGAGGAGATCAAGGCTACGCAATCAGAGCAGGCCGAAGACGAGGGACCAGCTCTTGAACCAGGTGAAACTTCGCGCAGCCTGGTATGCAACGAGTGTGGTAAAAAATTCCGTAGCCAGGCTCAGGCTGAGTTCCATGCATCCAAGTCACAGCATGTAGATTTCTCAGAGTCTACCGAGGAAATTGCCCCATTGACAGACGAGCAAAAAACGCAGCGCTTGGCTGAACTGAGAGAACGCCTGGCTGCAAAGCGTGCTTTGCAGTCGGAGCAAGATAAAATTGACCAAAAGAAAAACGAAGTATGTGTTATTCGAAATATGAGGAGACAAATGGGCTGACGTCTTGTTCTAGGAAATTCGACGCAAGAGTACCAAAGAGAATCAAGATGCGAAAGAGGCACTCGAGCGGAAAGAAATGATGAAGGAGGCGGCCAAGAAGAAGAAGGAAAAGCAGGACGAGATTGAAGCCAAGAAGCGCATCAAGGCCAAGATCGAAGCCGACAAGGAAGATCGTCGTCGGAAAGCTGAGCGTGAAAAGGCGCAACGGGCCGGCGTTGCTCTTCCTTCGGATCCAATCGCTGCTTCAATTACTCAACCCTCTGGTTCTGCCGCATCCAAACCTGCATCTGCGTATACTGAAACTCGCTTGCGGTTCCAGACACCCAATGGAAATGTTCTGAAGACACTCCCTGTCACAACCACCCTTTTCGAAGTGGCCGCGGCTTTGAAGCAAGATGATGGCGTTGAGGTTCAAAGTTTCGTCCAGAACTTCCCCCGAATGGTTTTTGACGCTGAATTTTTCGGAAAGTCATTGAAAGAACTTGGCCTCACTCCAAGTGCAAGCCTTGTTGTTCAATAGATTGAAACGATAAGCTGCTAAGAACCCCGCAGCCTGATAGTTTTACAAAGAATGAGAAATGACACGACTCAGTGATGACTGCTACAACTCTGCATTCATAATATTTTAATACAATGGTAGGGGATTCAAACTTATCAATCGAAATTGGCGTAGATTCTGGAATAGTTATCATAGATCTGCTATAGATTAGATGTAAGATCGTTGCTGCGCTGGTGCCTTGTTATCAGTTATCACCATGTGACCTCGTGATTCATTAGATTCTCGAACGCGTCGACACGTCCTAATCATCCAAACAATATCCCTCTATCACCAATATGCCAGCGTAAGCATCCGAAACCTCATAATTCCTTAGTAATGGAGTGATAAATCTCCCTGAATTGAATCACTGATCCTACATCTTCCAGTGTTGGCGACCAACATCGCGGCGGGCCCGCTACCATTGGGATGCCGGGGACCGGTTCAAGTACAGGCACAGCAAATCCCTTCGATGAGCCCCAACGTCGTATGAGCGAGTATACAGCAATAGAAATTGCGACTCTGCAAGCTCGTCTCGATAAGAAATTAGGACCCGAATATATCTCATCCCGACCTGGTGCTGCTGGACAGAGGGTACATTATCTGTCGGCAGACAAATGCATCAACCTCGCTAATGAGGTCTTTGGATTCAATGGCTGGTCGAGCTCAATTCAGAAGATTGATATTGACTTTGTGAGCTCGTATCCACCGACTGCTTAATCAAGGACCTGGCTGACTATCAAACAGATCGAAGAAAATCAAAACACAGGCAAGATTAGCCTAGGATTGTCAGTCATTGTCAGAATCACGCTACGAGATGGAACATTCCATGAGGTAAATAGCTCATGCTTTAGTCGCTCAATGATATGGCCCGCTCATCTCTATTCTTAGGATATCGGCTACGGGCATATCGAGAATTGCAAAGGCAAAGCCGCGGCATTTGAAAAGTCCAAGAAGGAAGGGACTACAGATGCATTGAAGAGAACATTGCGTACATTTGGAAATGTTCTCGGCAATTGTGTCTACGATAAGGACTACTTGGCCAAGGTCATCAAGATCAAACCCGCGCCAGTAAGTAATTGTTACGTCCGATTTTGCTACACTGTTCGCTCACACCTGTATACAGACCAAATGGGATCTGGAAGACCTTCATCGACATCGTGATAATGTCCCTAGGAAAGAAACTGCCCCGCCGCCTCCAAACAGGACAGTGGGGGATGTTGATCTCCCTCCTGCACGTCCAATAGAGGCCTCGAAGAGCAGCAGTACAACCAGCAACGCTATAACTATCAATTCTGCTTTTGAAGCTGACGGCGAGTTCGGCAGTATGTTTTTCTAAATGGATTAACGTCACGTAACTAATGAGACCCAGGCGACCTCTTCGACGAAGCTGATTTCGTCGTATCTGCTTCTGGCAACCCCGATGAAATTTCAATTGAACCAGAAATTCAACGGCAACCACCGCCGACACCCATGAATCGACAAGTTCCTCACAGAGGACCCCCGATAGGAGGATTCGATCCATCGGCTATCACGCCTTCGAAGCCAGAGAAATTCAATGCTGGTAATCCAGCTGCAAGGCAACCAATATCTACAAACGCACGACCATACCCTTCGGCAACGCCTGCCCAAAAGCGACCGCCTCCTCCGGCCCAGTCGCATAACATTCCCAATGGAAAACCAGGAGCTCCACCTCAGCCAAGGCCTGTGCCGGATGCCAATGCACAAGCTTCTTATGCGCAACAGGCCTTCAAGAGAGAGCCTGGTACCGTTCTCAACCAAGACACAAACCAGCCACCGGCCTCTCAATCGGTGGGATTCTTTTCTGCTCGAGCAGCGGATTCACTTCGCGAAAATCCCAATGCTGTTACGATGCCAGGGTCTCAATTCGATCCGCATGCGGAGAGCCCATCCATTCGTAAAACCGCCGGGGTCGATCACACAAAAAGCGTTCCGATTACCAGACCCATGCTTTCAACTGGCTCGCCAGCACCACCCAATAATACACGCGATTTCGTGAATCCATCAGCTGATCTGCAGCGTAGAGTCGGTGCCCCAGGTGCTGCTGCACCAACAGCAGGCAGTCCATTATCTCGGGGTCCGTTGGTTTCTTCCTACCGACCACTAACTAGACCTAATTTACCCAACGCCGCTGCCATAAACAGAGGAATGAGCGCACCTCCACAGAATATGAATGGTAAACGGCCCCCATTAAATGATGTTACCAACGCCACTACCACGACACCCATTCCCCCTGCTATGGGTCCGCATGATCCAAAGCGGCCGCGAGTGTCTGATGTCACTCCTGGACAAGAACCTCCAGCTCCCCAGCATTAAAATTGACTTTAATTGTCATTATTTTTTTTTTTTCCTTTTGCAAAGAAATGGTGTGATACATCACTATGCGTTCAGCGGGAATTATCACCATCGTTACGGGAACCCAGATCAATTTTATGTCGAGTGATTGTATTTCCACCCTGGAGGAGATCAAATGTTTTTGGTGTTTTGGTAATTGAAATGAATCGGATAGTAAGACTAAAGTAAACATCGGTAGGCAAAATTTCAGTGTATAATTCGGTTATTCTTGGCCTGTGGTAAATTGCAATGGGATTAGACTTGGATGTAGAGTAGGAGGGAGATACTAGTACATATCATGATGAATGAAGTGAGTGAGCGGGTCAAAGAAAAACCTATCAACACCAGAGGATGGGGTGGAATCATAATTACGCGCCGGGATTATACAGTTTAATGGAGTTCAAGTGCAAGAACCTGTCGCTCAAGGACACTTTCTTTGCCGAAGCCTCTGAGGGAGTCTTGCTTGAGGTGCGCCTCGGTCTTGAACTGCTTCTATGTGGCAGCCTGGCAATCACAGCATATATATTGTCAGATTTGAATTAATCTTGAACATATACTCAGTCTTATTATCGGAAAATGAATCCTCTTCTAAAGGTGAGCTCGGTGTTTCAAAGAAGCCTAGAGGTTACGGAGCATACTATAGCTCAATCTACTGGTAAACAAGTTTTGTCATAAATTCTGGATAATTGACTACAGTACCCTCCAGGTCTGAGTTCGCAAAGAAGCTTGACGGAATAAGACTTCTGCATCGTACAAAATAGATCCCGGCACTCAACACCTTGATAACAGCCTTCCGGTCTGGATATCAGATGAAGACACCGAAAAGAAAAAAGCAGACATGATAAGGAAAGAAAAAGCAAGGCCCAGAAATCATTGAGTACGAGACTCTAGAATCATTGAAGGTAACGGTCGATCGATAATAATTCGATGCTTTCATAGCCTTACTTCAATGATTTATTGAGGGCCTGCATCAGGGGATTTAGGGACTGGGGGCAAGGGCACACTACCGATAGGGTTGAATGGAACTGGTCCCACCAAAGTAACTAGTCCGACGCGGGGCCGAGTCTCGTTATCCTAAAGACCGAGGTTGCGAGCGTGGTCGTGATCGTGGACGTTGCCTGCGTAATGGTTGCCAACGTCACGGTTGCCATTGTTAGCCTCGGTAGGAGACACAATTCTAATGGGCGCATATGGCCGGGGGCGCACAAATGTAGAGCTGTTGGCATCTGTTAATCCGCCACGGTCAACACAGCGGAGAGCGGTCGAAAAGTCGGTAGGTGCGTTGCTGGCAGTGGCCCAACGGCTACGGGCAAACCCATTGGGGTTTACAGGATCGTGTCGTCCCTGTTCATCGATAATGGCTGGCGAACGTGCGATAGTGGTCGCAGGTGCACCCTGATAGCCGAAGGAGTTGGTATGGGGGTGCATGAACCCATCTGAAATGTGCGGGTTCCAATTCTCATTGTTGGTCGTTCCGTTTGTGACTTGCACGTATGGTGATTGCACGTATGGCGAGGTACGAGAAGGCGGGTAGAAAGGCAGGTTACCTGCGAATGAAATACCACGAGGTGGCACCACAGTCGCGTATCGGCTAGCATTCAGACCACCTGCTTTCACTGGACCGGATTGCGCTTGAACACCGATAGCAATTCCATTGGAAGTTGTAGTGGGGGAATTGGCCACAAGCGCACGAGGAACAAACTCGGGAGGCAGCATCGAGGGCGACTTTAGAACAAGTCCAGGGGACGAGTTGGTAGTCTTCACAATGAGGCTGGGGGTCAGAGTACCGGGCAACTTAACAACAGTGCTAGGAGCCGCATTGACAACAGCACGAGTGGACGAGTTGTCAGCCTTCTCAACAGCGCTGGGAAACAAAATTGCGGGCAACTCCATAGCAGCCTGAGGAGCGGAGTTGCCTCCCTCAATAACCAACTGAGTAGGCGAGCTGCTATCCGAGATGCGCAATTTGCTGAACTCCGGCAGACAGATCTGAGAGTGCACCTTACATGGAGAAGGAGACTCCGTATCGAAAAATTTCTCGCCACCCGAGGATGAGGTAGAGTCATGGTAGTGTTCCGGGGCCCGAGCTGCATACATACCCGTGTGTGTTGGGGTTATAGGTTGCGCAAAGACTGAAGTAATCGATTGGACGTCAACATGTGTATCCAAAGGTGTATCAATAAAATCAAGAGGCCGAGTTTCCATCAGCCGATGAAGACCGTTGCTCAGTTGAAGAACTTGCATCTCCCACTGAGATCGAGACATAGAAGTGCGTGCCACTGGAGGAGAAGGCTCCTTCTCGGCATGGGCCTCTATGGAAGTCTCGACCGATTTCACAATGGAAGTCTGAACTTGCGAATCCGTAACAGTCTTGATCTGATCCTCTGTAGCAGTCTTGACCTGCTCCATCAAGGCGGTAGTGAACGAGATACTCAGTCCGGTGAGTTCGGTTTGCATGCCTGGACTAAGCAATGGTAATCCGGCTACATTTCGGCGCTCGACCGAAGGAGGAGTCATCTCGAGAAGATTACCCTGGGGAGGCTGGACTTCGGATGGTGGTGGAGTACGGGACTTGGTCACGTTCTCCTCGGCCTTTGCCTTGACTGAGTTACGGTCCAGAGCGTTATCCTGCATTGTCTTGACAGTAACTGCGATCATAGCTTTAGTCTTTTCGCTCTGTGTCTTGTCGGATGCCTCAGATACACGCGATTCCGTGGGCGCAGGTGATGCCTTTTGCGCGGCTGATCCCTTAGGTGCAACGAATGCCGTGGGTGCAACATATTCCTTAGGTCCAATGGATACATTCGGTGCAGCGGTTGGAGCAGGCAATCCCTTCTCCGCAGCTGAGGCGTTAGTGGAGTCTTTGCGATTGAAGGATGACATGAAATCACTAGGGCTCGCAATATGGCCTTCCCAGGAGGGTGGAACCAGGCGGGACTTGGCCCGAGGGCGATCTGCCTGCAATAAAAAGCTTGAACGGGGGGATACCGAGTCGTCAATGTTGCGGTGACGTCCTCCACGAGGGAACTGCTGGACTCCGCCTCGGCCTCCATAAGGTAGCAGCTGGGATCCATCGGGATTAAAGTTCCGTTCGAGTGACGGATCTTTGCAGGGGATAGGAGGATACTTATGAGTTCCTCCACGGCCTCGGGTTCCAATGGCTCCACTGCCACGGCCTTGATGAGCTCCACGGACTGGGGCTCTACCGCGCATACTGCGCGCAGAAAAGGCACCACGGCCGAGAGATGTCATGCCCCTCTCCTTTGCTAACAGCCCTGCGCGATGGCTCTGGCCATCCATGATGGATTCCAGATTGTCGCGATCCTCCATGTCTTTAACCAATTCGCCAAAGTCTGATAATTTAATTAGCAAACATGTATCAGGAACCGCAAATTCAAAAACTTACTTCTCCATGCGTTGATAGACTCTTGATTGACTTCGAATTGCTGAGCAGCGTAGGTTCCCGGAACATTGGACTGGCGACTGGCATCAATGCTACGCAGGGTAACATTGGGATCAGCTTGGTACTCATCGCATGTTGAGACATACTCGCGGCGACGAGTACCCAAGTCAGCCTATAGGCAAGGATTAGCAAAATATTTCATCGATCATATAGGAATAGGTTTTGACTTACGACCATCTCGTCAATCATAAGCTGCTCCTCTGCTGACAGCTCCTGGTCAGGAGGGGTATCAGGATCCGGTGGAGGCATGATGAGTGGCCTCGTCGGATGCTATATTCGGATAATGTCAGAAAGTCTGTCTCGTTGGAAAGAGAGTGATGGGGTCTTGGATAGATGTAGTGATGATAGTTAAAAAGGAATGAAGGTGAAAAGCAGTGACCAACTAATGTGAGAAGATCGAAGAACGCGCTAGGTGGGGCAGAATGCTTCTGTCTGGACGATGATGGGGGACTGCGCAACAAGACGAAAATGTAAAGAAGAGATTGAGGGGAAAAGACTAACAAATGAACGAGAGGTGGGATCTGGTACTTGGACACGTGAAGAAAGGAGGATGGTAAATGAGTAACAAGCTGAAAACAAGAGCAGAAGATGCATGAAAAGTCTGAGGGGGAAAAACAGTAAGACGAGATAGGGTACTGACACGCTAACCACTCTTTTCAAATCACAACAGCACCGAGGTGCAATGGGTAGATGGATTCTGTAAATGGAAATTGCAAATCAGTAAATGTGATGGGAAAGAGATACGGTTGTTAATGATATTAACCTTTGAAAGGTCAAAAATGAAAGGGGGAAGATTTGACAAGGTGGTAAGTCAGACGGATGAGAGAGAAAGAAGAGAAAGAGAAATAGAAATAGAAGGGGAAGGAGGAGAATGTGAATGGGTCATTTGGTGTTGGATTAGGTCACTCGGCGTCCACGGGGTATCGTAAGGCGGTTGGTGAGGGCAATAGGGTATTGTAACAAGCGTACGCAGGATACACCGATATAGTTCAAACTAATGCCTCATAACATGTATATATAAATACATATGGCCCTAGGGCACTCAGCTTGATATGTACATCAGGTAGGTACCTAGGTAAGCCATCTCCCATGAAGCCTCCAGGGCCTCCAATGTCGGAATGCAGGCGACTGCCCAGGTGGTGTAAAGAACCTTCTCTGGCTTCGGTATATAACCCAGGTATGGTCTATCAATATGAACAAGATTGAAAAAGCCAATACCTGTGCATATTCAAGGAGCTGCACATGAATGGCCTTGACCATCATCTATAAAACAAAGTTAGGGCTGGTCACATATCAAGGTACCTTGGTATCTAGGTACAAAACCTTCCAAGGAATGAGGGTGGGAGTAAATTGCATACTTTTGATAATCTTGGCCACAGCCTGTATAACACTGACACCCATCACGATGAACCCAAATCCAACACACAGATAAGCTGGAATCTTTCCACGCCAACTGGCACTGCTGAGCTTGATGTAACAAAGTGGAGGGAATATGTATGCCAGGGCAGCAGCACTCGTTGCCCCAATAAGCTCAAATACACTTCCAAGATCACATGTAATCAATGCTATAGCAATAGATGACACTACTAGTGATGTGGTGAAGATCAAGTGCCGATTTAGGTTGAATGGCTCATCAGGGAAATAGTATGTTGTCATGACAGAGCGGCAGACAAAAGCCTCGAGAGGTAAGGTAGTGAGCATGTTCAGTCCAAAGCAACTACGCAAGGTCAGTTGGGATTTATCAAATTGCAGCGGTTGTAGTTCTTACAAGCGAGCAATATTGACCATGATGTTGTCTGGTGGGAAGTTGTTCAGTAGGTTGCCCTGGGTTTTTGAGCCAAAAAAAAGAAAGCCTGCGATGCCCATTAACAGGCACATTAGCAAAGACACTGCTGTTGAGTAATGGGTTACAGTAGCGAAGCGATCAAGGGTAGGTTTTTTTAATGATCCATAGATCAGAAGGCTGTTATGATCTGGGTGGACATTAGCCGTGTTAATATTGATCGGTAGGTTAGGAAGAAAACATACGGCAAACAAATGCTGGGGGAAATCATTAGTCAAAAAGCCAGATCAGAATAATGTGGATCACTTACCAAAAGATATCACTCCAACCGCTTGGAAAAACCCTGAGTTAATAAAAAGAAGACTTTTGACTTCTCCCCTCGAGTCTGCTGGGACTCGAAAGCCCTGAGTGACGATAGTCACCACGATAATGGCCATACTGACTAAAGCTAGTGCTGATGCTTTTGCCAGCTGTCATTCAATTAGTGCTTGATAATCACATGACAAGACCATTGGGGAATTCACCTTGGCAATATCTCTGTATAGAGAAAGGGGATAGGAGACCCCTAGGACAAAAAGAACAATCACCGCTCTCCGATCTGTAAGCAGCCACAGGAATGCCATATCCTGCATGGACGGAAACATAGCTCCTAATACATGGGGAATTGTATCACCCACAATAATACAAAAGGCAATCATTCCACCAAAAGCAAAGGCCCACTGAGCAATGGAGATTGCAACCAGACCACTCTTTCCAAAGCAATGTTGCATAGTGGCCTGGAATGAATCTGCCCCACTCAGCTTTGAGTTGACCACGATCAAACGGATAGTCCAATCCACAGTGACAGTCAATATTACCAACAGTAATATTCCCATGGTCAAACCAGCCTGGCGAAGTGCATATGGTTGACCAATGATGCCTGCACCAATGATACTGTTTGCCATATTCATGAATGCCATCTTCATGCCACTCCGTGGCCGAGCACTTTCAAGGTGATCCTCTGGGAAGAAATCTGATGTTGCAAGGGTCACGCTAGGGGCTTCAATGGATGTGAGAAGAGGAATACTCTGCCCCTCATATCCTCTGCTATGTCTGCCTTGATTATCTAGCTCGTAATCATCATCATCCAGCCAGGCCGAGTCATCAGGGCTTTGAGCGCGACCGGTCGCAGTATATTCATCTTCCTGGATCCCGTCGTCAATGTCAAATCTTACACGATTTGTGGTACGGGGTGTCCGTGGATGTCCATCAAGGGCACGCTGAGATATGGAAGATTGCCGCTGGGGATTTTTTGGTCTCGTTTGCGACGGTCTTAGCGATGGTGAGGTAGCTGGGGAGGGTTCCAATGGACTATTAGGTTGTTCAAGTAAATGACTTGACAGTAGGGCTTCATGGTCATCTTGATCGGGGAGGAAGCCATGGTTGGCCTCATCCTCCAACATCTTCGAGATGGTTGAGAAGTGAAGTTGGAGAAGTACACTGGGGTAATGGGTTGATCACCATTGAGGACAGCTTACGTTATCGTTATCGGTGGCTATCGAAGTTGAGTCTTATCGCGATAAGAGCTCCATTTGGGTGGGAGCGTACTTTTCTTAGTTCCAGCGTCGGTGCTCTAAGATCAAATTGGATATCTCAAGTGAGTCGATCACTTGGTCCGTATACTTCCAAAACCTAGGTTCTAAGTATATTCAGCATGTTCATGACTACCTCGTATGATTTCATCCAAGTTTAAGAGGCATTCTAGGGTTTCAGCTATAGTTTGCATCGTTGCATGAGTAAAGCTTTATTTCGAAGCACCCTTGAATATAAAAAAGATATAGAGCATTCCAAGAACCACAATCATTTTAAATTTGATCGTTTGAATGGTCTTATGCTTCAGAAAAAAGGAGGCCAGTCTGTTCAGATTAGGACCGTTATGTGTTCAGATCCAAGGTCATGTGCTTCCAGCATTTTTGTTTTTCTGTCACGTCCTCTACGATTCTTGCAACAAAATTTTGACTTGATTGAGCATTACAGATGATCCCGCCTGCAGAAATACAGTGAAATGTATCCAGAATGACACAACGGATGGACCTGGGTGGATGTCTCTTTGGTACCAAGGAATCTCCACTCCAATTGCAGCTTGGAGCAATTGCTCATTTCTGCCATCCCTCCAGCCAGCCAGGGCCAATTCATTCCTCCCAGCTTACAGAGTGGCTGGATTCTAGTCTAGTGTGGATCAAAGCAGTACCGGAACTCAAGCTATGTCTTTCCGTCTCTGCCGGCATAGGATTAGATATTGCAGTGTCTGATTTTGTTTCCGACTTGGAAAAGAGTCTCTGCAGCTCCAGTGTACATGCCCAGGCCTCTTTATGATTGCACTATGCTGACCTGCTTGAACAGGCATGGTCAGCCTTTGGATTCGCCATATCGCACCCAAATTCCGATGGCTCTGCCCAGAATGGTCATCCCGAGCCTAACAGCATCAATTTTGGGATTTGCAGGAATAACAGGACATCTTATTTGGCCATTGGTAGGGGCTTACCCATCCTCTTGCACAATCCACCGGATGCCCAACCTCCACCTGATGTTCCGACCGTGTCTTTGGCTGAAATTGAGCTGTCTCTGCAATTTTCAATTAAGCCGGGCAAGCGACGACACAAACTCTTGCTGCCATTGGACCTACCAGGAGATCTGAATCCCACTTCTGCTGGCCCTGCAACCTGCCCATACCTGGTGGACATTGGGGGTTCGTTTGTGCCAAACACAATTGATCCTATAGAGTGGATATCCCCTACATTTAATGAATCTGCTTCATTGTCTCCACTGACTGAAAACTCTCCAAATATTGATGTTTCAGCAATAAGCCCATCATTTGAGTCATTATCTTGTCTAGTGGACTCTGGTCTTCAACGATTGACTGTTCATGCGCCTACCAAGGACTTCGGCATCCAGGTGGTCGGAGAAGACACTCTTAAAACATTATCTGACCAAGCTCCTGTTATTTTCAATAGGCAGTATCGAGAGGTGCTCTGAATCCGCTTGAGTCTTGCACCGTTACTAACTGACTTATACTAGGCAATGAATCAAAGGGCAGTTTCAATACCTATCATTGTTAAAGCGATAGGCTCTATGCTCCAGAATACGGAAAATCCACTTCTTCGGGAAAACACGTCAGCTCTGCTCCGTTTGTCACAAAATCATGTGGAGGGCAATTACTCGATACAGGAACATGCAAGCAGCCTACAGTCCACAATTACGTCCTCACTTTGGCGTATTGCCCAGTCAAAACTTCGCAGAGTCAAGGTTTCAAAAAGCACAGTGACATTCTGTCCTATTAATGCACAACACACCAACAATCAGCCTGCTTCGGGTGCCGGTGATAATATCATGAACTTCTTCGAACAAAGTGATGTCAGTGATAGTGAGATGCTTGACATGGATGACTTCGTTGACGAGTATATTGATAATCGTTACATGGACTTCGAAAATATTCTCAGGTCATCAGATGAATTTGACGTTAAATCCGAGGGACCTCTTCTTGATAGCAGTCAATCCAACTTCAGTGATATCTATGAATCAACTCAAACAACCCTGGATGATAACAATGAGCCAGCTGCATCAAACCATGACTGGGAGATTTGCTTTGATTCAGACTCAGACTCAGAGTTGATTGAAGCTTGATCTACCACGGAACAGTTTTTTGTATTCATTACTTAGATTGATGTGGATGAGGATATCTGTAATAATCATGAATCCTGTAAACCTGTCTACAGAGCACATTTTGGTTTTCAATGTCCATTTTGCTACCTAATATACTGCTCCAGTATTTATTCCACCATTCTGTTAGTATATTCATACCTATATCTCCGTATAGGCATAAATGATTCATTAAGGAACCTGGAATGTGGAAGCTAAGACCCCTTGTCATTCTATGCTTGAACATTTCATCCCATTAATTTTGATATGATAGGCTTCAGCCCTCTACATAGGTGACTCACTTGCTACTCCATGTGCCATCTCCCAGTCCTGATATACATTTTCTTTCTTCCTCGACCATCTCGAGGTTCTAGTGCATGAGTATAATGCCTTGGCATGTGTTCTTTGGAACTATACATAAGATATTTTTCAGCTCTTCTCTATTTTTCATTACTTAATGGCCCTTGTTGGTCCCGAGTAGAGAGAGAGAGATACTCTGAATCTGTCAAAACAACATGAGATTGACGTCATAGGTGGATGGGACTTGTGTTGATATGAGAAGACAACATTCTCTGGTCACCCACTCTTATAGTCAAATTTTTTAGACCCTTGATATCACATCACAGTCTCCCTCTTTTTATTACTGCTTGCAATTTAGGTTATCTGTTGATAGGTTTTTGTCATAAAAGAATCTCGTGTGTTGGGGGATTTGTGTAGATCTCAAGATACGACTCGGCAATATTTGAGGAATTTAACATCCCAAGGCTATAATCACATAGGTACTGAGTCCTATATTTTATTAGGCTGGCCTTGATATAATTATATCTTCATGGATTCCATGTGCCCTGTTATGAAAATCCGGGGTAAATCTTAATGGGTGGAGTCCGTGAGCTGCAAGGAGCCCAGATAAGCATGTATTCCTCTACTGATTATTCATCACACCCTGGACAGCCCCATAACCCCCTCATCTCTACAGAATCATCCAATACCTTTATGTTTACTATGTAATTCCCCGCACATGGGAAATCAAGAGCACTCGTGCCACGAATCTAGCAGTCTGAAGGTAATGATATCACAATATGACACGTCCATATGTCTACGTAAATATGGAATGAAGAGGACTATACAAGATGTTCTGAATCAATTGAAATCACATCATTCCCGTTCGTCTTCGTTATCAAGGGGGATAAAAGAAGAATGTTGAGGAATTGTGCCAAGTCATCATGATACGGTCATACCCCGCCCAGACTGGCCCTTACAGCTCACCCCTGTCCAGATATAGCATTATGGAGTGGCTGCAGAAATGCGTCATGATAACTGGCGGATTACTCGGAATCCGAGAGATCCGGGAAAAAGTGAGACCACCCAACAGTGACGAGTAGAATATCACATGTATAGAGTGGTAGATGTACATCGTAGGATTATATAGTACCATGCATCATGCATAGCTCACCGGGGATCCTGGATGGTAAACGGTGAAAATAGGGAAGAATATAGTACAGAGTATATTGAGGTATGGGGTAATATAGTTGACTCACCGCTCTCCGGTCATGAGACCCACTCAATTTCTGATTCGCCCATATTTTTCTACATCGATGGTATTTTCTCATTTTTCATTTCTCATTTCTTCTTTTTGGGATTGTTCCACGGATCGACTAGAACCTCCGTGGTCTGCATGAAGACCAATAATGGCTATTGGATTTTACACAGGGTAATGATCATCCACGACTTGAAGCTACTGAGCTACTAGCATATCAGTGGATACGTGTAATCCATAATTGGTGGTGTCATTCCATTATTAGCACGGGATATACTGGGTACATTAAATCACCCGGTGTTCTGGTGGGTACGGGGTAGTATACCTCCCTGCATTCTGGGTACTGGTACCTCCTTTAGATCTGAAATCCGTCGTGGTACAGATTCTACAGAGGATAGAGTCTGAACAGTACGGGGTTGTCACCTTATGGGCTCTTTAGATTCTTTAATTTTCCATAGATGAAACAAGTCTATTACGTCTTGTTTATCCAGGAGTAGAGGACGTCAACACTGATTGAGGATCAAGGAAACGTGGATGCTACTATCGATAAAGCCCAGACCGCCAAGAAGTGGATTCATAGCTTTCCCCAACCATTCCACCAGCTGCTTCTATAAAGGGACCTACTTCTGCTGCAGCAGTCCCCCTCCTTTCTGTTTCTTCCTTCTACTCCCATTTCTCATTCGTCTGTCAAAGTACTTGGTACCGACCACTTTCAGCCTAATACTTGCTCTATTATCAAGTCTTCCATACATTAAATTGCTATCATCGATATACTATCTACTATGGTTGCTATTCGCTCTTCTTCTCTCCGCGCTCTGCGCCAGATTTCCCAGCAATGTGTTGCTGTCCCAGCTGCTCGCCGCAGCCTGCACATCACAGGTATCCAGTCAGCTCAGCCTCTCAACTCTGCTGACGCTGCTTCCCTCTATGGTGCCCGTACTCTCCCGGACCTGAAGTCCGAATGCATCAAGAGATCCCTCGGTGCTACTGGCAGCAAGTCAGAGGTTCGTACTCTATCCGTCATTGTAGACCTTATTGGACATGGCTCATCAGAATGTACAGTTGGTCGAGCGCCTTTCCAACCACGATCTCCTCCAGTCCCGGGCTTTCAGCATTGCCATGCGCAGTATTAACAGCAATGCCTTCTCCAGGTATGTATCCGAAAGGAGACTTCTAATTCTCATAAAACCTCATTGACTTACCCATCCAATTATAGCCCTTCGTCCCGTCAGTTCAACACTTCCCGTGCTTCCAAAGCCGTCGGTGACTCTTCCACTGTCGACTTCATATACATGCCCTCCTTCGCAGAGTTGGAAGCTGCCCCTGTCCGATCTGCTCCCCAAATTCCGGTCTTCCCCGACATGTCCTCCCTGCACTCCACCTCATCACCCGCCCCACCCATGAAACCCCGGATCTACACCGCCGCTGGTGCTAGTACTGTCTCTGCCGGCCCCTCGACGGAAGTCGTCGACAACTTCTCAGTGGATATCGACCCTCTTGCCGAGACTTTCGCTAAGTCAGAGCAACAGAGTGTGTCCACTTCTAGCCCTGAAACTGGCTTCGTGAAGGAGCTGTGGTCTGGATTCTTGGACGATGTCATGGGTCCCAAACAGAGCCACGCTCGTCATTAGAGCAAGTTAATCCTAAGCTGATCACTCCTATTTTTGTCTCACTGGTGAATGTTTTAATAGCGTTGTTTCTTTGTATTGTTATTGTTATTTACTTATCATCGGAGCTCAGTCTCCAGGCCGTTGTCCGGCATATGACCATTTCTTCTATCTTCAATCTCACTAAGACTGAATATGTTCTTGATTACCTACTGAGTGTAGATCAATTGAATTAAAATTCAATTAGTCCTTGGCTTTACCCGAAGATCTTCCCGTTGTTGTATTGCCGAGGTTCAACTTACCTGCTACGGCAGAGGACGTACGGAGCACATTATCCCGACACTTACCGATCTTTCAAAACCTTCCAAGGTCCTCATTTAATCTGAAGTCAGAAGGGCCATTGTTTTTCTGAAGTAATGGACAATTGAGTACCAGGAATCTATATGGATGAGTATAGTTGAAAGTAAAATTTCAACCTAGTGTATTTCAGGGCTCTTTGCCATAAGCCATGAATATTTCAATGCTTTTGTCAACTCAATTAGGGCTATTTTACGTTTCTCTGCCATGACATTCACATAGGATTATGTTGTGCCTTGCGTGCGTTCACTAGTTCTAATATCAAATATCATTTCGTCTCACTTTCAACCTCAGCTTCTGATTTACCCAGACATGGGCCCCGACTTTGGAGTCTTGGTATAAAATACAGACTGCGCTACTTCCACACTCATCCTTTCTTCTTTCTATATAAATCTCAGGATCCGATTATGATTGACAATCTGGTCCTACCCTTCTTCACCAAGCTCATCGCTATAGTCCCTCGACGAGCAGACGGTTGGTCTTCAAGGTCCTCTTTCGCAAGCCTCATACGACTTTGGTCCTTTGATGAACTGATCTTCCTCTTCATCTCCGCTCTCGAAACCCCAATTTGACTTGGGACCCTCAGTCATCAAGTCCGTTTTCCGACACTCTAAGCACCATCATCGAAAATCGAAATTGTTCTTCTATCCATCGGCTCTGAGCCGTGACTATCCGGTATACAAGACATAGTCTTTTCCAATCCCTTTCTTTATCCGCCATCCTGTTCATGGATTTTCAATCAGCTACTGTTGAGTCCATTCATGGTGTCAGTTGACAGCAACGGAGGTCAATCCACATGGCGCATGCGCTCACTTCTCTTTCACCTTTTCAGTTTCAGCATCTCAATTAAATGGACGCACGTGACTGAAATCTGGAGGTGTACCAGGCAGACTGGACTTCTTCCGCTCTTACCCTTTCTTATTCTTCCTACATCTGAGAGTTCAGGTAGTCATCATCTGACGATGAAGAAGATCAGTCGCCATTCTGATTAAGCTAATAGCGATGGTTCCTTGATGATCTCGCCTTGATTCTCGTCATTTCTGATACCCACTCGTTGATGTACATACTGATGAATACTACTCAATTTTGGACTCTGGGGTATAAAACGTTTTCTCATTTTCCTTCTTAACGGATGGATCTCCAACTTAGCCAACAACTTTGGCGTCCACTATTTGCCTAAGTGTTTGAAAAGCTGAAATAATCTCAATTTTACGCAATACACGTCCACACCCACATTGCCATTGCTCAGCCCAACCCGACGCGAAACACTTTTCAGTAAGGCCCATGATGACTTTCGATCAACTCAAATAGTCCAAAATTCCACGTTCCTTAAATGCAAGATCACACGAGAATCATTCTAGGACATCTCAAGTTGTTCAATTTTTCTCGTTCCCTTTCAATAAACGCATCGGTTGTTTTTGGAAGTTTCCGAGGTTGCTGCAAGGCTAAATGCGCTAGTATAGTACAATGAGTCTATGCAACTTATGTTGCGAAATATTTGGTGTAACAGCCAACAGCGTAGTCAGAACTTGCATGAGAAAGCCAGGCAAAGACCGCTTACTGCCCAGTTCTTTGCAAGTGTGCGTTATTGGCCCCATCTGGCCACAAGCAAGCCGCCCCGGCCACAGGTGGCTACCGAAGGTGGAATTTTTCATGCTTTCAATGAGCTTCTTGCCCACAGTTGTGAGCTCTGACTTAATTCAAAAACCAGAAAGGCGTTCGAGCGTCTATGGCAATATTCAGTATTGGGTGTACGGGACAGACCTACCCACAGGCTATGATAGCCTTGCAGGGGATTGAGGACCGAGTTGACCGGAGATGGTGCTGTTCTCAATAGTGAATGAGAAGCCTGCCTTGCACGAAGAACAAGCGCCAGGCCTGGAAGGACTGAAAAGTAAGGCGGGATGCTACTATTCTTTCTTGACAGAGCTAGCCAAAATCTTCAATATTTACCATATACAAAAGGATGAGTTGTGTATGGCCTTGAAACATAGCTAAAAATCATCAAGGTGTTGTGTAGTCAAGAAACCCTCAATACCTAGGTAGATTTAGAGAATTGATCATCAAATGGATAAAACAGGTGGCCAAAGCTGGACCATTAAAAAGGGCGGCTCAACTCAGAGCCTCAACAATGAGTTGGCAGAAGGATTAGTGTATCGGGCTCACGAAGCCATATAACACCACTGCACATAAATTGAATATATGACAAGCTATATTATAGTGTCTAATCAGCCTTGGAACTATTGAATACTATATGATTTCTATAGAGTACCAAGGACCTCAAAAATATATCTTTAAATCAAACATACTACCAATACCTATTCATGGACAGGAGATAACATTGGAATATTAGTCTAGTGCAAGTGTGTGTTGATTCTTGTTACAGAAAGGACTGAGACTCGACTCATTCCAGGGTATTTTTCAATTTATTTCGAACTATAGGGTACATGTAGTTACCATCAAATGTTATAAAATCCTGTCTTCCATAAAATATCCCCTTCACGACCCTGATAAACCCACCAGGTAAAAGAGCATTTTGTTCTCTACCTAGGTAAGTTACAGCTCAGCTGTAGTACTAACTGCAGATACAGATCTGATCTACGGATACCAAATATTAGATCTGTTTGATTAGTTCACTAAGTGGATCTAGGTTGATAGCGGGGATAAGAATCCAAGGTTCTATGGAGTAATCCAAGACCTTTACACTTTCCCTAGAGTATTTATAATTCTGATTCCTGAACACAAGTAATATGTGACCCCTAGTAGTAGATGTGCCTTTTATATGTTAATATGAGGACTCGATCACCCGGTTTCATAAACTCTTGGCATCCCCTTTCTTTTAGGCTCTGACTAGTCAGCGTCTAAAAGGGAATATGAATACCTACTCATTTACACAGTGATTGTACTAACTATTAGCTAGTATTGGATATCAAATCCTTATCATCCCTCAAATTATCTCATTTTAAAGAAACCTCACAGACCAACTTTTTGGACTTAAGATGCTGATCAAATCCTACAAAGTAGCATAGTGGGTGGGTATTGTGGGTACTGTGGATCTTATACTAGCCATACACAGGTTAGACAAGATAGACAGTCCTTGTCAGGGGAGATATATTCATCTGGACTCTTGATTTGGGTAGTCTAATGTGGAACCCAATACGCACCACTTTTGCCCCTCACGTCTGTTTGATTTTCAACCTCCTGTCAACTGCATCGTCATTCCTTTTTCTTTGTTTTCACTCCTTGGATTGCTTTGTGTTATTTCTCTAGTACAACGCCTCTGCTTTCGTTCTTCAATCTTTTTCTCCTGAGTCTCCAGAGGCAAATTTCCATATTTTGAAGAACGAGTTATCGCTGAAACACAAACACGGGAAAAGGCAATTAATCTGTGTCATTAAGCAAATGACGCTTCGACCATCGTTATTTATTGGCGCTTAAATCCGTCTTTGGATTATGCGTTGTTCACCATGCTGGGTCATTGCCAGCCTCGCTACGGGTGTGCTCGCCTTCTTTCCCTATGAGATCTCAATTGATTCTACAATCAGTAGTGATTCAACTATAGAGACTGTACAGCGTCGCTTCCTGCCATATGTTCTCCAGCCTCTTGATTCCGATGACAGCCCGTCCACACCACCACTCACCTTGGATATCAGGAAGATCCCCGTCCGTCGCGATGATACCTACGCCATCGTTGAAGCTGATACCCCAACTCTCTCTATGAGCGCTCCCCTAGATCAGGATGGTGTGGACTTTTCTTACTTTGCCGTCGTGGAAGTTGGTTCACAGAAGGAGGAGATGTGGTTGGTCCTCGATACTGGATCTCCAAGCAGCTGGGTCTTTGGAACAGACTGCACATCCTCTGTCTGTGAAAAACATCACAGATACGACTCCGACAACTCGACTACTTATGATTCCAACAGCTCTACCATCTCCGTGGCCTATGGAAGCGGCAGTATCAAGGGTAAACTTGGGCAGGACACCTTCTCAATCGCCGACATGGATGTGAAATTCTCATTTGGATCGGGTACATCTGCCACGAGTGCCTTCGCAAGCTACCCTATTGACGGTATCCTCGGCTTGGGTCAGTCAATGACTGCTGGCTGGACAATTCCCTCGTTCATGGACACGGTAGCCTCGGAAGGTTACCTGAAGTCTAATATTGTGGGATTTAGTCTTTCGCGTGCTGCAGATAATGCAAAGAATGGTGAAGTCAACTTTGGTCAAGTCGACACAACCAAGTTTGTCGGTGAAATCTCTTACACCTCAATCGACTCAGACATCTGGAGTATCCCGGTTGACGATGTCTACGTCAACGGTAAGGCCTGCGGCTTCTCCAGCAAGTCTGCAACTATCGACACAGGTACTACGTACATTCTGATTCCGCCGGACGATGCAAAGACTGTGTTCTCGCATATTTCTGGCTCTTCAGAGTCGGGTGAACAGTTTATCATCCCATGTGACACCAATGTCACCTTGGAGCTGGAATTCTCAGGGGTAAAGTACTCTATTTCACCGAAGGACTACATCGGATCAAAGAGTGGCAGTGGCTGCGTGTCCACAATTTTGGGCTACCAGTACTCTGGCGTGAACCAGTGGCTTGTTGGAGACGTCTTCCTAAAGAACGTGTATGCAGTGTTCGACTTTGACAACAACAAAGTCGGCTTCGGGGCCAAAACATCCTCCTCCTCGTCCTCGTCCTCCAACGAAACTTCTTCGTCAAGTGATACTACAACCTCGACCGATGCTGCCACCACTAGTAGTACTAGTGTAGACGACATATCCACTAATGCTGCCGCAACTGGTACTACCAGTGCAGACGATATACCCACTACATCTTCCACCGACACGCCATTGGGAAATGCTATCCTGACAACAAATTCTGCATCTCACCTTTCATTGGGTGCATTCCCCACCCTTGCAGTGATAATGTGCATGCTATTCCTCTGATTCCAATACACCATGCTCCTGTCCAAGTGTCAACCCAGCTTTATTTTTGCCACCTGTAAATCATATTTCACTTCCATCATGGCGTCTTGTCTGTTTCTACAATTTGGGTCTTCACTACACATCAACTTGACCCTTTTGTCCATTCACAACTCTGAATTTTTATTTTTTTCCGATCTTCTTATCTGAGTGATATCCACTTCGCACATACCATTCGTTTTTGTTCTTTGCTTTCAGAGCTGCTATTCTCATGCAATGGAGCTACTTTCTCTCCCTTTCCAACATCCATATTTGGATTCATTTACAGTGCATTTTGTGCCTGTCTGTACAATAAAAGTTGATCTACAACTAATAATAATATTTCTTTATTGAGACTTGATCCACACTAACTCCGAGTACCTAGCAATATTCCAAGTTCTCATCAATATCATTCACAGCCACCTTGGGCTTCATGAGGCTACCGAGCTTCTAGGTGCTCTATAATTAAGAAATGAAGTCACCTCATTACTAAGTATGCCAAATGATATCAGCTCGGAGCTTCGGCAATCTAGAGGGGATCCCCGGTATTCCCCGGAGCTTAGGTACCGCTAACCGAATTAGGCTTGACTCATCGAATAATCATCAATGATGATACGCAGCACTCCAAACTTCATTTCTGCCAACACACCAGAATATACACAATGCTCGGACTAACAGGTAGAAGGACTGCCCTTGCGCGGTCGAAATGCCTCCTCTCCACCTCTCTCCCCGCCCGTAGTCTCGCGCCCAGTACTCGGAACTTTCACTCAACGCCAGCAAACGCCACGCGCCCGACATGGATGCCAATGCGAGTCAAGACACCATGGATAGACGCCTTGACAGCGAGTCGCGAGGCAAAGAAAGCTGTACAAAGAGGTGAGCCCACAGAACTAACTGGGCCGCCGGACCTGACGCCGAAAAAGATGTCCGACAGCTACTACAGCGCTGTATGTTGGGACCTCGGAGATAGAAACAATAGAATGGTGTTAACTCTTGGCGATACAGGTATTGTCATTGGCGCAGGATAAGTGGCTTTGCGATGAATACCTCAACTCCTCCGGGCATATCCGGTGCGCATTCACCTGAGCTTCGCGAGACGCGTTAATACTAATTCATTGTTTGTCGCAGACTCGGCTCTTTGCTCATGGATCTTGATGCCATGGCTGGTATCATTGCTTTGCGCCATTCCGGCGATCAAGTCACCAATGTCACCGCTGCTGTCGACCGGATTACCATCGAAAATCCATTGATGGAGATCTGCGATCTCGAGCTCAGTGGCCAAGTCACTTATGCGACTGGTCGATCTAGTATGGAGGTATCGCTCCAGATTGCGAAAGCGCGGCCGGAAGGAGAGCCGACTAAACCCGAGGATGTTCTGATCACTTGTGCCATCACTATGGTCTCGCTGGACCCAATTACGAAGCAGTAAGCTTTATCTACAGCTTAATAGAAGATCGGCACTGACATACCGATCTAGCCCCGCTGCCATAGCCCCCCTCATAGTGGAGACAGCTGAAGAGAAGCGACTGTTCAAGAAGGGAGAGGACAACTATAACGCCAAGAAGGCACTGCGAAAACGGAGTCTTCTTCTACAAGCTCCTGACGACGAGGAGAGCAGCCTGATCCACTCGATGTGGCAGACGGAGAAGCTTTACCACGGTCAGCCAACTAATCGCTCTTTATTCTCAACAAGCACTAACCCGAACAACAGACCCTAACGTCACAGACATGGTTCGCCCCCGAACACAGCGCTACACGAGAACCACAGCACTAGAATCCACAATGATAATGCAGCCCCAATACCGCAATCGCCATAACTTCATGATATTTGGTGGTTTCCTCCTAAAACAATCCTTCGAGCTAGCCTTCTGCTGCGCAGCCAATTTCTCCCAAACAAGGCCCAACTTCCTCGCTCTCGACCCTAGTACCTTTGAAAACCCCGTACCAGTCGGCAGCGTGCTGTACCTGCGTGCCACAATCGTGTTCACAGAGCCTGAAGAGCGCGATGATGATGGTGACGGCGAGAGCACTAGATACACAAAGGTGCAGGTGCGTGTCGACACGAGAGTCAAGGATGTTGAGCATGAACATCTTAAGCCAGCTGGCTGTTTCAACTACACTTTCTTGGTTGAGGGCGATTTCACTATCATGCCGAAGAGTTATACTGAGTTCATGTTGTGGGTTGAGTCGAGACGGAGGGCGAATAATGCTACTGCTATTGACCCTTTGCATAAGACTAGGGCGCTGAGGGCTATCAAGGATAGTGTTACGGAGTAGAGTGCATATATTTTTTGTATATATTTTTTGTATATATTTTCTGTATATATTTTCTGCATCATACAAAGTGTTTGTTTCAATATGACTGTCAAGCCAAGTCATATAACCCTTGTAAAGGGATGATCCTGTGGTAATAAATTGTAAAAAACTTGGGACCAAATATCCCAAGGTCATATCATATTAACATGTATGCATCCAATGTCCAATTGTCCCGATCACCGTTGTCTGTCCACGAAGAAAAGGTGATTCCACTAAGCACAGCACCGCAAGGAATGCTAGGTTTGCAATCATCGCACCCATTAAGAGTAACATGGCGTCATAGCCATCATCACCGCCCAATAGCCAGTTGATAATGTCAGAGCCCGAGCTAGCAGTATATGGTGTGTAGGCTGTTTATGTGAATGTGTCTTGGTACCCTAGATAGGCGACCTTACATGCTCTATCGAGCGTTTTATAGAGAAGCCCTTGTTGTTCCCTGAGGTTTGGGTCGCCGCGGGTACTGTGGTCGTACTGGTTGTTGACGTGGTACTTTCGATGCTACTTATTGTACTGGTTGTACTGGTGGCTGATGTTGTGGCACTGCTGGTTGTGGTGCTGGTAGGCATAGTACTCGTAAAAGAGATGACGAGAGGGATGGAGCTGTAAGTGACCTTGCTGCTATGGTACTACTATCCTCTAGGGTCGATTTAAGCTCAAATGTGTAACGCTTAGCCCTAACCGAGCTCCACAATCAGATTGGGGCCAAGGACCCTTTAGCCACTTTCGATGGTCTTCTACTTTCTTGCTTTTTACTATGCGTCATTTAGGTCTAGTTAATTACGTATTTAATTCTCTATTGGATTGTATATCTGCTGAGTTGAACATAGTACGAGAATCTTCGAAGCAGAAAGCTACCTGTACCGGATTTCCTATGCCAGTTCATGGCGTTCCCCTTCTATATTAGTGTTCATACCCTCGCTACTTTTGCTCCCTGAGTAGAACTGATATACTGCAATCAACTTTAGGAAACATATCATGACTCGTTTGTATATCTTGTGCTTATGGAGACAGCGGAGTTGATAAGAAAGGGCTAGGACTCTTGACGTAAAGACTAAAGCTTTGTGTTCATACCTGTCACGTCCTATTACCTAGCACTTATGTAATGGCTAATTATCGTGAGTTGTTGCTTATCATAAAGCTTTATGTGGACCTCTAAATCTCAGATTATAAACCTTAACATTGGTAGGACCTGTAAGATAAGATGAATTCCAAACTCATAAAGAAACCCAGGCCCGAAAATTGCAACTCACACACGTGTGCATATACTCCTTTATTATACTCTAGCCGGTTGAAACGCTGAACGGAGAGTACGGAAGTAAAGAAAAACAAGCGACCGCGAAGCTGTAGGACATGCGTAGCTATTTCAGAGGCCCATGACTATGTCTACAGCGAGACACCGGGCGAGTAGTGAGGTCGCACATGGCCGACTTGGATGAGACCCCGTTTCTTGTGGCTACGAAAGCGGATCAAGCCACAGAACATGTTTAGTGATCGAAGAAAGTCCTAGGTATTGGAGAGTTGGTTTCTGAACTCGTGGAAGCACTGGTATTTTTCCTTGTTTGCCTTGTTGATCTGCCTGGAATGAAAATTTGTGAGAAGAGTGAGATACAGGTGATTAGATGATTATTATATAGAGATTGTATAGGATTCTCGTGACTTTGTTTTGACGTGCTCAGCCTTATCGCCGTTAGTTGCTGCTTAAGTGTGGCTTAGGGCGCGAGAAACATATAGATTGATCAGCTTGTATATACAGTCTGAGCCTAGGCTGAAATTTAGTATGTGAGCCTGATTCCTCGGCCCTCATGAAAGCGGCAGCACCTGAAATGGGAAAGCCCTCACACGTCATAGAAAATATTGTACATAGAGTGTAGAAATGAGATTATGATAAACGCGAGATGTCTATTTGACATTCTAGTGTGTGTAACAGTGTTAAAACAAGAGACTAGAAATATGTAAGTAGAGGAGATGTACAAGGCAATAAAATACAAATACAACTAAAAAATTTACTCAGCGAGATCACGGCTTCAGCTTCAACTCAGGATACTCTGGAATCCGCTTCCCATGTTCACCTTCCTGAGGCTGTGGGAAGAGACTAGTCACTTTAGACATAGCCCGAATGACTTGGTGTAGGGTCCAGATTCCGAGACGGGAAGAGGGGAAAAAAAGACTAAGAAGCCCCGAAGAATACTTCTGGCAATCGTCAATAAAGGGCCTCATCTTATCTTCGTACGATTTGAGCGCTCCTAGTACGTCGTTTTGTTGTCGTGCCAATTCTCCTGCCAGCACATATGCTCCCATCAGGCAGAGATTGGTTCCTAAGCCAGTAAATGGACTTGGGCAATAGCCTGCATCTCCGAGAAGTACCACACGGCCAGTTGATAGTCGGTCCATCTTGATCTGGCCAACCTCGTGCGCATAAAAATCGTCAGAGACAGCTAGTCCCGCCATCAAGCGATCGGCCTGCCAGTCTGAATCTCGGAAAATGTCAGAAAATGCTTCTTTCTGCTCCTCGATTGATTTTTTGTATGATGCTCTTAGCTCCGGTGATGTGCTTGTGGTGAAAAGTAGCACGCCTGTTACTGGTCGATCACTAGTGCGTGTGATGATCATCCGGCTTCCTGGCGCAAGATGTCCTCTTGCAAGACTTCCTTCACTTTGGATGCGCGGGATGCTAAAGTATCCACCATGAACGCCGAGTGTTTTGAAAGCCGCGTCACTGACTTCTTTTCCGAAGGCAAGTCGCCTGGTGCGGGAGCCCTGCCCATCAGCGGCGACGACAAGATCATAGCGCCCTTTCTGACCACTCAAGAAAGTGACATCCACACCATCCGCGCTTTGATCAAGGGCCGTAACAGTTTGGCCAAACTCATAGGTCAACCCTGTTTTTCTTTCGGAGTTGGCACTTAATTCGGAGTCTTGCTTAATACTGGCGTCGTACAGAACCTTCACCATATCCCCTCGCATGATTTCGTGCTCGCTTGTCAAGCCAGGGCGAAGTTCTCCAGAGCCGGCAACACCAAAGTATCCTATTCGTTTATCTTCTGAGTCCACCATCTCCAGCCCAGTCTCATTGACGCAGCGTGACTTTATCTCATCCATGAGTCCCATTTTCCTCAGTATGTGAGGAGCCTGTGTCTTCAGGTCAACTTGTTGGCCTGTCGATCGCAAGTGGGGAAATCGTTCCACGATAGTAATATTGTTTTGAGGATTGGACTTTTGGAGAAGTATTGCCAGAGCTGGGCCGCAGATACCAGCGCCCACTATAAGGACATTGAGAGTCATGTTTGATGATTGCAAAGCTGCAAGGCTCATGACGAGCTCACGTAGTAAAGCTAGTGAGCTTTTTGCAGCAAAACCCTGACTTTTAGAAATACAAGTCTCGCTGGTTTATTCCCAACTTGAAATAGGGAGAGAACAGCAAAGTATTTTGTATTATGTATATCTACGTACTCCCATGGTCAGATATCGGCCGAGCGGTCATATCGGGTTTATCGGGTTTATTCGATTTAGTTCGGCCGAAAACATTCTCGATCAGGATAAATGAATCAAATGAAGACCCTATGACTATGGTGGCAATCTTGAAAGGCTGAACGGAAATACTCTACACTTCAACGTCATCAACTGTAAGGCGTAGCTAGGCTCTGCACAAAGTAAGCCGCAATACCAAACGCCACATCCCAATCCGGATGAATTCCTAATGTCGAGAGGCAATTTAATCATATAGTGATATCGGTATAAGTTACAGAACTGGTACCAAAGAAAGTCGGCAATGCAATACCGTGCTGGAATATAGGAAACTACAATAAGCCCTAGACTCGGGAATCTTAAAGTATGAAAGAATTCTTAAGGTCGATTCAGCTTTTAGAAAGAATCAGAATGAGGCATACCAATGTCAGCTATCTAGTTACTACCAGTAATCAAGGGTCCTCTGAATAATTACAAGACCAATAACCATATGAGAACTGGCTCGCCCTGAATGACCATACTTGTCTTTCGCAAAACACGCTCGACCGATTTCACCGAGCCGATAAAGCCCTGAAGCTACCCGTACGTAGTACGTATAGGTAGGTAGATCATATGGATGCGATTGGTTGAGGTGAGTATTCATTCTAAAACGGAGATACCTAAGTCATAGGCGTCTTCATGGTAGTTTGCTCTGGTCATGACAAAGCGAATATTGATACCAACACACTCAACTCGTATACAGCGGTCTAAATTCCTGTTATGCAGGTATGTACAACAGAGCAAGATATGTATAAGAAAAAAAGGCTCGACGGAATTCCAGACCTCACCGAACCATGAACCGACTCCACCAATGAGAGGATAAAAAAAAATAAAAGGACTCCGAGTGTTGGACAATCTTATCCACCCAGGTCATGCATCAGTATACACATGGCTACTTAAACCCCAGGAAACCTCCCCTTGCCTAAGGAAACAAACCTCTTTTCAGTGTTCCAATCCTCCATGGAGTGATAGTCAAAATCAAAAGATAGGGAAAAATTAAAATAAACATGAAATTGGAAACAAAAGATCGTTTCACTTCGTAATTCCCAGTGGATCTTGGAGCTTTTGTCGAGATATATAGTGGAACAAGATTTTTTTGTGGCTTTGGATGCAGTTTCCAAAGTTGGAAGGTAGTACCTAAGGACTCGGCGCATGGCCGAGATAAAATGAAAGAGAATTAGTTGCTGAGCTTGCAACATACTACCTGCAGTCATTCTGGATATAGAGTGGCTTTGATCGAGCAGATGATGATCTGAGTTCCTAACGAGTTGGTAGCAAACTGAGTGACAACAAGTCGATCCGGCTATCATAAGAGCATAAGAGCCCCTGATTGACGGATGGCGTGCGTTGTCGAGTAGTTCTTTTGAATGCTCTTGGAGCAGTGAAGATAGTTTGACCATCGGGACGAAATTATCGAAGCTAATTGTCAATCTTCACTGACAACCTCATCGATGGTATTGGATGTCAAAGACCCAGAACTCCTGTGCGAACCAAGAACGGACCCTCCCGAGCCGCTTCTATCTATCGGCTCCGGTGGCTGTTCTTCCTTCATGCAAACGTTTTCCAAGATATTGGTCCATTTGCCACTAGTCCCAGCATGGCTGTGTTTCAAATGTTGACGGAAATGGTCAGCACGAAAGAACTTCTTCGCATTGTTGCACTCGCCGAATTTATGCACTGTGGTCAAGTGCTCAAATCGAGCATCCCAGTCTGGGTGAGGGAAATTAGAAAACTCTTCGCCGCAGTAACCGCAGGTATCATGGGATGGGCCGGCGTTAGTCTGATAAGATGAAGAAATGGAGCCATGGAATGCTGATTGGAATGCTGGAAGAGTTGCGCAGGACCAGGAATGGCGTCGAAGATGAAGAGAGTTCTGGTGTCGTTCGGCCTCGTTCTTATTCTTAAAGCGGTTGTTGCAATACAGACATGAATACTGCTTCTCCATCTCATGTGCGCTGATTAAATGTCAGGTGAGTTGTGATATTGTAGAATAAGAGGTTGACTGACCGGAGATTCTCTGGATTGTGAAACTTCTTGGGCTTCTTTGGACAACAATCACAGATATAGAGTCCACTAATCTTTGGTGTAATAGACTTGGGAACGCTCAAAGCCGTTACCATCGATATTTTGCCAGTAGCATCTGTCATTGGCGGCTCCAGAGAAGTAGAGACTGGGATAACTCGTGGCATTTGCTGAAGACTGGTCATTTGTGGGCTAGGGTTTAAAATGGACTTTTCGTGAAAAGTATCCAGATCCGAACAAGGTGATAGACCTCCCGGAGATGGGCGGTCATAAGTTGAAATACTGGTCATACTGCTGCCTCCAATTGACAAACCCGATGAGTAAGAGCCAGAGGTTCGGATACTCAAGGACGATGCTGCAGACAGGGTTCGTGGACTCGGTACATATGTGTTGTTAACCGTCAAATTGTTCGTGAAGCCACTTGTCCTCCGTTGCGAAAGATCTCCGTTACTTGTGGCCGAGTGCAATGTTTGCCGGTCATCACTAACTGGCTCCCGTGGAGGAGAAGATGCTCTGCGCTTCATACCTTGTCTGATGCCATCAGGAGTTGGCTCTCGAAGAATGAACTGTCGAACAGGCGAAGAATCATCTATGGTAAAATCACCATCAATATCAGGGAACACGCCATGGTCATAGCTTCCTCGATTTGATCGGCTTGGTTGACCGATGCTATCTTCTCCAGAAACGGCCGTGCCACCAAATCGGCGTCGTGCGAAATCCTTTACGTCGTAATCGATTGCGGACGAAGGCGCACTGCTGTCCACACTCGGGCTTCGACCTTCAATAAAATCTTTCCGTTTAGATCTGGGAGATACGCCTCCCGATTGAGTGCTGCCGTGCCGTTTTGCATCAAGGATAGAGCTTTCTGAAGGGGTTGGAGATGATAAATTGGCTGTTGTTCGAGAAGGAACAGTAAGTGACGAGATCGAACCGCTATGATCTGACCCATGGCTGATAGAACCTCGGGGAGACAAGGAGTTTCCGATTTTGGAAAGAAGATGTTGGTCATAGGCATTTGATGAGTCTTTTACACTTCGAAGTGAAAAGTTTTGTTCACCCTTCAGGCTATGGTGGTTGTTAGCACTGTAATATGAAACCTTGAAATCATGAGAACTACACAGGTGAAAACATTTCAATTGTGCTCCATAAAACACTTACACTGGACCAGACGAAGAATTGTTGGACATTGAATTTGGAAAGCCACCAAGTGTAGGCGGAGGTGGCTCAATCTTGATTTGAGCTTCTGGGCTGTGCGATATGAAAAACCCATTATGCCTTCCTTCCTGTTCATCTAAAACCATTGGATCACCTCTTGGTGGATGGCCTCCAAATAAGCTTGAATTTGGATTGATGGAAGGTAGAGGTGTTGAGGACTTTTCCGAGTTTGCATGCAACCAGCCGGCATCATAACCGTTTTCTAGATCCCGTATTCTCGGAGGCGGTGGTAGTGGGGGAGGCGCGGTATTCATGACGGATCGAGATGGTATAGGTAGCGGGCCGTGTGAGGAGAAAGGCACAGGCATAACGTGTGATAATTGTGATGAACAGTGGCGTTGGTTGTAATCATAAAAACTTGCCGACGATAGTCTCGGGTCCATTCTAGAAAAGGCTAACATGAACGGACTGGAGAGATGATGGGCTGAAAAACAAGCCAAAATAGAAATCAAGGTAACCAGAAAGACAGATTGAATCAATATCCAGTGTCGCAACAATATCCCACTCCAATTGAGGTTGTCAAAGTCGTGAAACCAACACGAATTCTTAAGCGGACTGTTGGCCACAGAGGCAAGAAGTTCCAGCTTCCTATGAGCGAAGCGAAACTGATAAAAGTTCAGCCAGGCAAATGATTCATGCGGCTGCAAGTAAGCAAGACTGGTGGAACGCTGTGAGTGATATAATTTCATACAAGGAATAGGGCTGAGGGAAACATACCTCCGGGGCTGGTTCGGCGATTCGCCTCATTAATGAAACGTTTGCCGTAAGAGTGACACACAGCCCTATAGGAAATGCCGTCCCATAGAACCGGTTATCGACAGGAGAGTCTCGAACAACACATGCTTGAGAATGTAAGAAGTAGAATAGAGACAGGGGGGATGTCGATGGGAGGTGGGAGTTCAGACACCTTCCTGATAGAATAACAAGCTATAGTGTGTGTAGTGTGATAGGAACCTATGCTTCTGTAGGCACGCCACCAACAGGCTGAACGGATCAATCAAAGGTAGAAAGAAAGATGGTACAAAAAGTAGAAAGTTCAAAATGCACTAGTCCAGGCCAGGAATAAAGATGAAAAAGAAAAGTTGAATGTGAGATAATACGCCCTGGAGTGGGCAAGGTAGAAGAAAGTTGGGGCAACAGATAACCAGTAATAATTGAATTGACAAAAAAATTCTAATAATTCAAGGGTTATTTCATTTCTATCTATGAAATCTTCAGGGCTGGAACGTTCATAGGCAAAAAAAAAAAGAATGGAGAAAATGGGGTTCTTTGGATCGGATTACAACGTAATCAAGTTCGGGTGAACTGACGTGGTAAAAGAGGCGTTGGTCTGTTACGAGTATATGTATTTGAACATTACATACCAATACCGAAGTACACCCACAAAGCGGAGACACGGAGTAACCATCATCAGATTATGTAGCCTTACAGCCTTACTGCTTGGAATGACAGGAGATTTTATTAAAAAAAAAAAAGTTAATCCATCTACTCCGTAAGTGAGTTAGCAATCAAACTAGCTTATTGTGTCAGCCCTAGGAGTAAGATAGAATGCCCTATAGATTATAATTTGTGACCCGTGGTTCCATTCCTTAGACCCTTGGAAATAGCCCTTCCAGAAACAGGGATGACTAGCCACATGCTATTAAATACGAAAGTGAACCCTGAAAAGAAAGCACCATGTGAGTTGGGGTGGGGGTAGGCTGATGGGCCTTATACAGGATCCAAAGCCCCTGTGCCTTATACCCAGGCACATTGGAAGCCTCGTGATGATCCGGAGGTCAGTTGCTGTTTAGAAGGAGACCAATCAACGCCACCTAGATATATGTTACCTCTCACCTGGGCAAGGCTGCAAACGAGTTGGGCGATAATATACAGAGTACAATAAGAGTAGCAAATAAAAACAATGGTGCAGGTAGAGCCCTGAGCGCGTTCCATCTCCAGTGTTGGAACCTTGGAAAAGCCATTGTTAGTACGGTGGCTAGGGATGTACTCGTTAATGATCCCGGAGAGGGCCGTCAATCAATGAATTTCATCCAAAAGGGGCAATAGATTGGTAGGTGGAATGAGCACATTAAGCAGTCTTGGAAATTCTTGGCAGAAGGCTTATTATTTGCCGAGATTCCCAAGGGCATTGAAGGTAGTAAGAGTAATCAGGGCTACGGAACCTATCGATGATCCGTGAATAAGATGGGCGGATAGAGAGCTGAGACGTAGCTCTTGTAGTACATCGGAAGACCCGGGTTCTTTTTACACAAGGGTTTGATGTTTCTTTTCTTTAAAGTACAGAGGAAGAAGGAGCATTCTTTAATGACTCCACCCTAAAGGGACAATAGTGAGTCGTCAGCTTTGACCCACTGATTTACTAGTGCGTTCCACTTAAGAACCAGTCATGCATGCACTGCCACACTGCTGCGTGCTGTCAATTTAGATTTGGGAGCTGAAATTGAAGGATAAAACCTGAGCTCAGCACTCTTCAAAGAGCGATTAACTCAGAGCAATTGGAGTGTATTATATGAAAAATCCGAGAAGTCCCAAGCCAAAAGGAAGAAGGAATAGTAAAATCCTAGCGCTTGTCCTTCCTGTGCTATACCAGCTAAACTTCTTACGGGTACAAGAATTAAATTCTCTTGGCACGTTTGAATCATAAGTTCCAAGGTTTCCCTCGTGTAATGAAGACTATCTTGGACAATTTCAAGGGTGATAGGGGTTACCTTGAAATAGTTAGAAATACGAAGGATTAGACTGGCCTTCTAGTATATCCCCTCCCCCTAAAATAGTTAGTCGGCTTTTAACCTTATTCTCGATACCCTTGTCTTCCACTCCCATGTGGCTGCGGATACTCGGACATTCCATAAGCGGAACACCCGTCTCTTCCATAGCCGACGCGTTTATAAGCATATCTTCTCTTCATCCAGGAAACCCCTGCTCTGGTGTCACAGTAGGGTAGTACTTGGCACTGCATACTGGTTGTCCAGCAGGCACGTCAGCAAAAATGCTGTCAGCAGCACATTCAGCCATTCAGCCTAAGCCCTAGAAGGTTGCAGTGTGGCCTTTGCGCGATGTGCGTCAAACTCCACACTTTCTCCTACTTACCACCTGGATCTATGAAGTACAGCTAGTTCTACAGAGTCCCTTCAGCGCTATCGGGTGATGTTATTGTCGCCTCAAATCTTCCACCAAATACAGAGTACATGCGCACACCCTTCCTAAGGTCCAGTCAATTAGTAAACTTTTAGTTGCACCCCTTACTGTTCGCAGGTGCTCGAATATCGGTGTAGGATAAGATCCACTTGACGGAATACCCGGTCAATCCCATCCCGAGATTTCTTCAGTAGGAATCTTGGGGATTTATTACGGGCATAGTTGTTAATCTGCACTGTACTTCGTACAATGAACGCATCAACGAGGTAACTAAATATTAAGAGATCAATAGGATGTATGTCAGGCATATGTGCTCAGGCTGCTTTGCAGGGTTTCTGGCAGGTCTGATCTATGATCTGTATGATTGAATCAGGGCTGTCTAGTTTCTTCAATTGCGTAGCCCGTAATTATTCTTCTGATCACCCAAATGGAGCCGAAAATGTTAAAAAAACGTGGCGATATTCACCCATTTGATTGGGTGTCTTTTCATCCGGTTCCTAAGTCATCCACAAAAAGGTATCCTCCAGGACTGTTCAATGTTGTGTCCTGAGGCACCGTATCACCTGGCTATGTGAAGCCCTTACCCTAACTGCCATTTTAGGCCGAGGCTCAACATCCGCCTTATCGATTCAGATTGAAAACATGAGAAGAGCCTTTCTGAGCGGTCAAAACAGGTGAATAGCTGAGGGATATTGAAAGAAGTGAAACTCCCATTTTACCTTCACTTGATGCTCTTGCATCCCGCTATTTCTGATCACTGTCATCGCCACCATGGCCATGAATAAGATTCCTGGTCATAATATCTACATCGGAGGGTTCGTTCTCTCGTTCCTAATATTTCTTGCAATAATAGACCCATCCTACCGGGGTGAAGTGGGCCTTCATATTGTGGTTAATCTTGATCTACCCTATACTAATTCACTGATCCACGCTATAGTATAATATGTCTTAAAAACAAAGCTGCTTTTAATAGAGCAGATATTACCCATGTCCTCTCTGTCTTGCGACTAAATCAAGCTGAGATTGAGCCTACATTTGGATCCTATCAGCATCACTCAATAGACGTTGATGACGTTGATGACGAGAATTTGTTAGAGCACTTTCCTGCTGCAATCAAATTTATTCAATCTGGTCTAAATACAGGTGGCGGCGTTCTTGTACACTGGTAAGTCTACTTTTTCGATATTCCTCGCGTTAAATTTCCGAGGCGTTCTTTCCATCCTACAGCTCGTCATACCTGCATATTGCACTGCCTAACAGTCTGCGTGTCATTGATTACGAACCACTCTTAGCTGGAGAATATTTCACTATCAGCTACAATCTATTCGAAATAGTCCTTAGTTTGCTTTTTCCAGGGCTTGGCTTCTTTGCTTTGTGGACGGACATGAACGGCTGCAGGTTCACCTTGCGGCAAGAAATACAGTAGCTGACGTGCATATCTAGTGCGATGGGCAAGTCCCGGTCCGCTGCTATCTGTGTTGCCTATCTGCTCCACCAGCAGCGTAGTGCGCTCACGCCACAATCTGCCCTCACCATAGTCAAGGAGTGCCGGCCACTCTGTGAACCCAACGATGGCTTCATGGAACAGTTAGCCCTGTATCATGAAATGGGCTGTCCAGATGAATTCACTGATGACCCGTTGTACCAGCGCTGGCTGTATCGTCGCGAAGTTGAAGGAAGTGTGGCATGTGGTCGTGCCCCGGAAATGAAGTCTGTGCGCTTTGAAGACGAGCAGCCCATCCGTTCTCAAGAAAACGATGGTCAAACAGTGGAGATTAAGTGCCGCAAGTGCCGGTTCGTATCACATATCAAACGAGAAAAAGCCTTACATTCAAGTTGTTAGACTAACTTACTATAGACGGACGCTAGCAACAAGCCCATTTATCATTCCCCACGAGGAGGAAACGCGCAACAAGAACAAGACATTTAGTACAACTGAATGTGCTCATGTATTTTTGCATCCGCTTAAATGGATGCAGCCCAGTTTATTCCCATCCTCTGATGAGAACGGTGGAGATGCCCCGTTATCTGGCCGCTTGACTTGCCCTAATGCTACCTGTGGGGCTAATATCGGTAAGTTTGCATGGCAAGGCATGCAGTGCAGTTGTACCAACTGGGTGGTGCCTGCTATCGCAATTGTTAAAGCCCGAGTGGATATTGCCAACCGGAGATCGGCTCCTGGACAAGGCAACACCCGTCCAGCTGCGCTAGGCATCCGTATGCCTCCAGGAATGCGGCAAGATTCTGGATCTGGGCGTGGAAGTCTTTGAGGTTCAGTCAATATCTCCATTTATAGAAATTTTACGAGCTATGAAAGTCGAGTCAAGCGATTCATTGGCGTATGTTTCACTTGGATAGGAACGCCACGCGAAGGATATTCGATTCGTTTTCATAAAAGCTGCAATTACTGACTACTTGGGCAAGTGTTACGTCGTTGACAAGGTCTATACTGCGTAAATGGTCAAATGGTTTGTTAGGTTATATGAAGGTGACAAAATGATAAGTAGTGCCTATCTAGGTGATCACATTAGCTAACTAGTTTCACTTGATGTAAAGCCACCAAGACCGTCAGCTGCCTACCTACCTACGTCTCTAAATAGCCTGTGTTTTAGACCTAGTCGTTAGAATACTAGCCTTGTCTCAGCTCTGAGACCTGGGCCCTGGTGGCAAAAGTCAAACAATACGAGAAAAAGGTAGACTGTGGCGATGAAGATAGTAAATGTGATAACACTATACCCGGATGCACAGTAGTTATCTGACACAAAGCTCCAGTTGTCAGCTAATGTTAGTATGTACGCTAATATTCCGATTTTCCTAAGGTAAGTGGGCCGACGGGAAGCATGAAAGCATATGCGCTAAGGCCCACCATTGAATATTCACCCTGAAGCTCCAGAGCTTAGGGCTGCATTAGAACTCGTGGCTAAAAAGATTGATGTCTGAAACTGACAAATCCTCCAGCCTTGTCGCGCGCCAAGACCAAACGTGTTCCCGTACGGGCTGAACCTTGAATCATCTCTGTTTCTACATCTGTAGATGTAGTATCTGTATATTGTTCCACTTTTATGAGGTCAAAGTTGCATCAATACCAGTTTCATATATGAAAGTTCAAATATTAGCGGGATAGACATTAATTCTAGCAAGAAAGAGATTCCAAGTCCAAGGAAGCAAAATAAGGAGGCTGTGCAAGGTGGGTTCCATCCAGGTCTTCCCGATTGGCCTTTGATCTGGTATTTGTATTACTTGTTAATCCCCCGTTCGAGACCGTTATTACGCTGCTTTCTGTTTTTTTATTTCTTTTTCTATATTTTCTATATTTTCTATATTTTCCTCTGAGGTGGATCAGAGCTAGCTAGCTAGTCTTGGAAGTTGCAAGACTGGTAAGGCTAAATAAGTCTTGATCTGTCGCAGAATACGTCTATGGCGTACAACACTAAGCGGCTTCACTGCGGATTTATTAATTGTATTCATCAGCCCTGGAATGTTGTCCTCGAAACATTCATAATTGTCTGGCTCGCTTTTATTGGGCAAAATTTAATGGATTATGGCTGGGTCGGAGCTCTCAACTCCTATTGGAGTCGGTGTCTATAGTCGAGCGAGACAATGAACATACCCCCACACGGAGTAGGACCCTTTACCTGTTCTTCATGATCATCACCATTCATCCTCCAAGGCTGTGTAAGCTCATATTAAAGAGCGTTTCAAATCAAGCCTGGACTACCCATTTAGCTTGGAGCTATGGCTATTCACAATTTTGACAATGCTTGGCCTTTCTATATGCAGATTCATTCGACTGCCTTCCATGCGTGCCACTGTGGCGAACAATAGGTGGTTGGCTGTGCTTGTAGCAATTCTCCTAGCTTTTATGATTGATTGAAGCATGTCCATGCACTTTGCTATGTATTTCGAACTAATTGGTTCTGAGGACTTGTATCTCGGTGGCAACATGTAGTATACACAGCACATAACCTTAAGTTATACTAACAATCCATGTATCTTCCAAGGTTGAAAGCCTGAAGCATGCCCAGGCGTAACAAGCGGGCAAGAATATTGCCCAATACCTTGCTAGGTAGGTAACTAAAAATGTACTTTTCAATGTTCATCCGCAGGTGTCAGAAACACTTCAGTGCTACCTATTTAGCTAGCTGCAAAGCCCACCTCGATGTGACCATCCATGTGCATTAATGGATGTGTACAATCAGTCATGTAAACTTGAAGCCTGCGAGGTAATTCCCATTGCCTGACTCATGACTTGTGGGTCGGGGAGGACACTGCTGTACATATGCATGTACACATCCATTATCGGCCTCGCCGGTGGAGGTTATTCACCCGGGGATCCATGGCTAAATACATGGCGTGCGTTATAGGGCTATAATGAATACATTCTCCGAAAGTCCGCGGACTTCGGTTACAAGTCTACATGTATAGACCTCAGCTAAGTGAGGTCCGTTCTCTCCAGGCTTCAACCGCTACGAGTTGCCTCCAAGGCTTGTAATGTTTACCTCTAGCCCTTCTAAGTATGAGTAACGGAGCCCGCCCTGAGAAAAAATATTCGTCATAATTTCCGGAAAGGGGGGCCCGCTTACGCGCTATCCAAATGTAGGATGCGACATTCGACTGATCACCCAAGAAACATAGATATATTTAAAAGCACAGGTCAAGTCTCTCTCAGGGACTCGGAAAATTGATGCAGTCGAATTATCATAGGAGGGCTGATCTCGATTTCTGGAAAAGAAGTTCTAGACTTCATCTCTAAGGAACTGCTCTAGTGCTTACTCTCGCTCCGCTCACATGCTTAGTGTGTTTGGATGCCCAGGTGGAGTAAAAGGATTTCGGAAGAAAAACCCTGACACGCTTGGGCCATCTGGTCGCTGTCATATGCAAATAGCTGAGGTGGTAGTCTCTTAAGAGTGAATGGTCAGCTCAACGCTATAATATAGGTTGTATTTGTCTCTATTTGGCGATTGGTGACTGATTGTTGAAAACATCAGTTATCTATTTGGAATCGCCAGCCATTGTAATTTCCAAGTTTGCAAGTTCGCATTACTTTGAAATTTGGTGAGGTAGATCGATTCGTTGACGAATCACTCGCCAGGGCTTTGACACAAGGCTTATATATCACCCTTGGGAACAGAGGGAAACGATGAAGGATTTCTCAATCTTTGTTGAGTCCGTTTGGCCATTTCAATACCCCTCAAGCGATCAATCCGAATTTGATAAAAAGTCCTGTGCAGTATTAGTACACCACGACTTAAAGGGAATGCATGTGATTGAGTTTTGCGAAGAAACATACTTATGTAAAGCAAAGATCCGAGGTCCATCCTCAGCTTTCGTCTCGGCTTTTTTAATCGAGTCGATCTGGCGATGATTAGTGAATGTGTAAAGGTAAATAATTGGATTTGTTAACCTTTTCGTCTCGTTCCTTTTCATCACTTTTTGAATCAGACGCAGCTTTGTCTTTATCTTTGGAGTCGTCCTTGTCTTTGTCATCTTTATCATTTTTGTCTGACTTCTTTTCGCGCTCCTTCTTCTTGCGCTGCTTTTCTTCGTATTCTTTTTTTACTAGTTCGATCTCTTTAGCCATTTGCTCCTCTTTCAATCGCTTTGCTTTGCCTTCTGTGTCAACGACTGGTGAGCAGAAGTTGCGGTCTTGCAAGTGCGCGGGGCACACGTAAAAGAAGTCCTAGAGGTTGAGTCAGTAGTACATACATACAAGTAAATGATAGTATTTGAAACGGTTCTGATATCTCCAATGACGGAATGTTTGATCGATCTCCCTTACCTTGCTATCGGCCGTAATCATGACGCTGGTGGACGGCTTGAAGCAGATCATGCATGCCTTCGCCGAGGTGTCTGCGACTCGTCGCAAATGATAGACGTTGGTCAATGACATTTTGATAATTGAATAAGAGCTTATATTGTGAATGTTTCAATTCCCTCAATTTATTCCCATAGACTGGAGTCAGTCTCGTGCCAATTAAAGGGCAATATAACGTGGCCTTGATATTGAGATACAGATAAGATCATGTGATCCTACATATCTATCTATCCGAATTTCGACGACCTATTTAGTACTTTAAAAAAAAATTGAACTTCGAGAGTTTTTGTTTTATCTGGGATTTTGGCTTGTAAAGGATAAAAAAAGAAACGCCTGACCATGCATTTGTTCACCCAACCCACGAAAATCGAGAATACAGGAGCGTTGAGCGTGTGAAAAAGTACCATCATAGATCATAAGGAATCCTCCACGTCAATGCCAGCAGCTTCCTTGGCTAATCTAAGGTCTTTGCCCTCAAGGCCAATATCACGTAGGTAAGGTTTGAAAGCTTTTAATAGGTCCATAAGACCACTCTTTAATGTGTCCAAGACAAGCTCCACATCTGGAATTTGCCGTGCCTTTGCCTGCTCTTCGGGCTTGCTCGGGAAATCAACATCAGTCCAATGGACAGCCAAGCCACCTTGATGAACAAAGGCATCAATAGTCACAATGGTGTGGGTGAAAAGGCGCACCACAGACGGCACATCGGCTTGGACTTTGCCGTACTGATCTTCAGCCAAACTGGCTATCAAAAGCCTTGTCAAAGCATCAACTGCGTCAACAATGGCGCTCAAGGATGAGTCAGGAGATCCAAGAATGACGGATGAGGCATGTTGAGCATATTTTTGTTGCACAAACTGACCAACTGGCGAACGGAGAACCTTTGCGAGAACTGGGTGGACGTTCCCGGGCTTGAAGGTGGCGGAGGGGCTTCCAGCGAGTAGTCTCAATTCCTCCGAAGAAGAAAGCAGTTTTTGTTTCCGTTCGGGAGTGAGCATGGCTGAGGAAGCTCGGTCGAAAGCCTGGCGAGCACGGGCTCGTGCTGTTGGCGTCCAATCTGAAGACTGCCCATAAGACTTAGCTGTCGAGCTGAAGGCTTGCTCAAACTTCTCTTGACGAGTGTTTGCCTTTGGAGAGGCCGCGAAAACATTATCGTTCTTTGGTGCTTCCGTCAATCGGGGCAGAGTGCTAAGAACAGGTTGAGCGGTCCCTGCTTGTGCCGCTGGCTTCGTACCAGGCGCAGGAGCCGTGCTCGCTTCGATACGTGTTGTGATACCCTTGACGACATCTGTCAGATATTCTAGAGTCTGAGACCATGTTGAACCACCCTCGCGATCAATCTCGTTGAAGATTGCCTTCCGACGATCAGGCAAACGCTGGCTGATGAGACCGAGTTCCCAGAGCGCGAAGGATTTCAAGATCGGCTTCTTCGCCTTCAATCCAGTAAGCAAACTTCCATTGGGATCCTTGGCTCCTGTTGTAAGCGGCTGCCCTCTCTTAAGAGGTTCTTTACCAATGAAAATGGAAAAGAAGAGATTTGTTGTCTGCCATAATAGAACGAGCAAGGCGCCCGAAAACAAAGACCGGAATACCAGTAAAAGGAAGCCAGGAGGTAAAAATGAGTCCGGCTCAGCGGCAGAGCGAGGGAAGTTCCAAAAGAGTTTAGCAAGGTGAAGAGACCAACTCCATGCAGTCTGCCGAAGAAACACTCGATAGATAAAGGGGGCAGCCCCTGCGACGACTACGGTCCTTGTAAGACCGGATATGACAATTCCAGGCAGAGCGCTTTTAATGTGCTTGGAAGTAGGTGGTACTCGGTGTGTGCGCTCGTCATCCTTCCTCAGCGCTCGGTTTGCGACGGGTACGCGGATCGAATCGTAGTCATAGTATAGGTGAACCACTGCCTGAACAGAGGCCAATAGTATGTGGAATGTATGAAGATAGATGGGTCGCTCGTTCAATGTGGCCCGCTCATGTGTTCTATATGATATCAGCTATTGTCCTATAAGATGGTTGATAATGAGTTCCGACTCACCTGCCCCGTTTCACAAATTCTAGGTGCGCATCCTTCGCGGACGACCAAAGGTAAATCTCAGTAAACCACCAAGCCGAGAAGTAATACCAGCCAAAGGTCTGGGCGATATTGAGAGGAAAGATATATTTCAAAGTGTGAAATGAAGACTTCGTTGTTCTTGATCCAAGGTGCAATTGACCAACACGAAGGACGAATACGGCGAGGGCCGATACAAAAAGCAAGGTGGCTCTGATACCGCATGAGCCGATAGGAAACCATGACCAAAAGACTGGATCAATTCATAATTGTCAGACTAGGGTAAACAAAGATTGGTAGAGCAGGTTAGACTTACACGATGATTTCTCGCCGATAGCGATTGCGATCGCATAGCAAACAAGGAGCGCAAGCGCAGATGCGTGGACAAACCGTCGGTGCAGAGCCGAGGTCAAGATCCGCCTGTATGGTCGGGGTTGGGCAGCGGCCATGGTTTGGTTGGTGGGTGTGCAAGCTGAAGTGGGATATATGAGGAAATGGGATCGAGACTTAAAGCATGGTCAGTGAGACCACTTCCAGAAGCTTGAAAAGCTGTGGAAAGCAACTGAAAGGCCGACAACGATATTTGTTGGCTGATTAAGACAGGGTGGAAGCCGTTTGCGCAACGCCGAAGTAATCTGAACCAACCCAAATTTAATGATTTCGAGCATCAAAACACACCAATCCAAAGTCACGTGACTATAATGATATTACGCTAGTCCTAATGAAGACTAGGTACCTAATACGTCACGTCATGTGAGGGCTGCATTTGTGGTGCAGGGTCCAGGCAACCGAATCAAGTGATTATCTTTGCGTCGGTGCTCTTGTACGTTGATTTCCTTTGACTTTTCAACATTCGACATGTCTTTCGATCGCTTAGACTCACTAGAGTCCCAACCTACTACTTTACGCCAGTCCGATGACCCACATTATCAAGATGCTCCTGGCTTCGATAGTTACGCCGAATCTCTCTCTGGTCGACTATTCGAATTAACATCTATTATTGGTCGTTTGTCGAGCCAAGTCAAGCTTCTTGGGGGCAATCGTGACAATGAGCGTGTCCGTGAACGGGTTCACAACCTTCTGGAACAGGCTCGTGATGGGTTCAAGGATATAGGCGAGGAAATCAAGAAGATCCAAACCTGGGAAAACGTCAATGTATGTTTGCCATATTGTCTCGTCTCACATTGTTATCTAACGAATATATTTTTCCAGCCTTCTCAAAAGTGGACTCAAACGAAGCTTTCGACCGAGTTCAAGGCAAGTCTAGATGAATTCCAGACTGTCCAGCGTCTTGTTTTGGAGAGACAACGCGAGTCTGCCAACGCTGCCCGTACTGCTATTGAAGAAAGCGAGCATGGAAATGTCGATACCGAAGGCCAGCTGCTTCAACAGTTGGAGGAGCAGCCTCGTTTAGCAAATCAGGGCGATGTGGACTTCCAGGAGACGCTCATCATCGAACGCGAGGCTGAGATCCGCAACATTGAGCAGAGTGTCGGTGAACTGAATGAACTTTTCCGTGATGTCGCCCATATAGTCACGGAGCAAGGTGGACAGCTTGATATCATCAGCGAGAATGTGCAGAATGTCCACTACGACACACATGGAGCGAATACCGAGCTTCGTAGTGCCAGTCGATACCAGAAAAATGCGCGCAATAAGGCATGCTGTTTGCTTGTCATTCTTGCCGTGATCTTGGCCATCATTATTCTCGCGGTCGTTCTTGGATGAACGGCTCTCTTGACTGATGCTTGTTTTGACTCTATTCCAACTCGCACTTTGACGCTCTTGTTTCCCTTCTATGCCATGTCTACGCCCGATATCCCTCATGCATGATGACGCCCAAGTTCCTTTCGTGGGCATTTATATTTCTCTTTAACTGTTCTCATGGCTTTTGATCCCGGCGTATATGAAATGGAGAATGATAAATTCCCTGTCTGTCTTCTAAACTATCTCATCTTCCCGCTCAATATCGTACATAGTGATTTATACATGAATTTTACATTTGATGCGTTGTGCCCTAGTCGCACTCACCTCGCGGTATACGAGTATGAATGCATGCCGATCTCTCTACGTCAATCGACATAACAGCGAATATATATTAAAAGCCCGCAAAGCGGCTGAATCTCAATCTCACCCCCTCAAAACTGTTCAGTTTTGGCCGAACATCCAAGTAGAAGCTGAGTTTTCCGGCCCCAGCCGCCCCCGTTAAACCGGATGTATTTCCATCAATGTCTGAAGACTTCCCTTGATAGAAGTCAATGACATATTCAACGTGTTCTCCACCGCAGCGCTCAACGACCCAGTCATGCCGATCAAACGGCAACTGGTAGCCAAGCAATCCATTGACTCGCGCACGAGGGCTCAAAAATTTTGGATCGACTCCAAGGCCACGGAACGAATACAGCTTAGGTCCTCCGCATTTCTTGCTGCCAGGGTCTAATGATGGGCCCCTTTGTTCCCATTCCAGAATTTGCTGCCATGCGCGCTCATTAACAGCGTTGTGAATGGGAATAATTGATGCGACTGATGTTGCTAGCTCGGAGGCTGACGAAGTTGATTGCGGAGTATTGCCTTTTCGCATCAATGACTCGAAAAATTGTTTTTCGGAGGGATATATCCAGTTGCCGGAGGCCTTGTCATGGCCAGTCTCGTCTTCGGAATTAGACGGCAAACCGTGCGAAACGGCGGAAGCTGCGTAGGGAGATGGAGCCTGTTTATTGGATTCGGGGCTTGTAGCTCCAAGATCACCGGCTCGAGGTATACTGCTGACCTCCCTATCTTCGGATAGTGGGCGCTGCATCTTTGTTGGTGGTTGTTGCTCTGGAGCCCCGGTTGGAGGATGAGGTGAATTGTTATTATGTTGTTGCAACCAAATCTCTCGAGTCTTATGGTCCACCGGGCATGTCGCCGCTGGTGGCTCTGCAGATGGAGTACTTGCACTAGCCCCCATTACGAAAATTGAGACTGTTGAAATAGAAATTGGTTCGGCAGATTGAATGTTCTCGGATTACAGATCAGATCGACATTTACAATGTTTTTTTGCCTCACCGCCCGCCCCCATAATATTGACACATCGCGCCCAACTAATAAGAGGCTAACCCCCCCCTATTAAACCTTTGTTGCTGGAAAAATTCCTTTGTATTTTTCCATTGCTCAGATAATTGACGAAAAAATGGCATCTCAATCTAACGAGGTCGTTTACCGGGCGACTACCACTGCTCCAGTGAACATTGCTGTTATCAAGTAAGTATTGTCCCCTCTTTACAATTATTCAATAACGGACTTTCAGAATTAACGTAAAAATTTTATTATGATAGGTACTGGGGTAAAAGAGATACCACTCTGAATCTCCCAACTAATTCTTCGCTCTCGGTCACCCTCTCTCAGCGTTCTCTTCGGACTCTGACGACCGCATCATGCTCTGCCAAATACCCCGCAGATGATACCCTGAACTTGAACGGCAAGCCGCAAGATATCCAGTCATCCAAGCGAACCCTCGCCTGTATCTCTAGCCTGCGTACTCTGCGCAAAGAGCTGGAGAATGCCGACTCTTCTCTGCCTAATCTTTCCTCCCTCCCCCTCCGTATCGTTTCTGAGAACAACTTCCCCACTGCAGCTGGTCTTGCTAGTTCGGCTGCTGGCTTCGCTGCCCTTGTCCGCGCAGTAGCCGATCTTTATCAACTACCTCAATCTCCGACAGAGCTGAGTCGCATTGCACGACAAGGCTCGGGCTCAGCCTGTCGGTCTTTGCAGGGCGGCTTTGTCGCATGGCGCACTGGTGAGCTTGCTGATGGCAGCGACAGCTTGGCCGAGGAAGTTGCACCTGCTTCCCACTGGCCTGAGATCCGGGCTCTTATTCTCGTTGTCAGTGCAGAAAAGAAGGATGTTCCTAGCACCGAGGGAATGCAGACTACCGTCGCTACTTCTGATCTCTTTGATCACCGTGCGAAAAACGTTGTTCCTGAGCGTATGACCGCCATTGAGGCTGCTATCCGTGATCGAGACTTCCCCAAGTTTGCTGAAATTACTATGCGTGACTCTAACACTTTCCATGCTACTTGCCTCGACTCATGGCCCCCTATTTTCTACATGAACGATGTCTCCCGTGCCGCTGTTCGCCTTGTGCATGATATTAACCGTGCTGTTGGTCGGACTGTCGCCGCTTACACCTTTGATGCCGGCCCGAATGCAGTTATATATTACGAGGAGAAGGACTCCGAGCTAATTGCTGGCACCGTCAAGGCCATCCTAGGCGCTACCGCCGGCGGCTGGGAGGGTCCATTCTACGAGCCTTTGGCCCAGATCACTGCGCCTGGTGTTTCCTTAGACAAGATTGACCCCCGCGTTCTTGATGTTCTGAAGGATGGCGTGAGCCGCGTTATCTTGACCGGTGTTGGCGAGGGACCCGTTTCAGTCGAGGATCACCTTGTGTCCGAGACTGGTGATTTGGTCAACCAATAGGGCCATCTACGATGATATTTATGATATTAGCGACCTTGCTTAACCAATTTGGAAGACACCCATTGCCTTTTTCCAATGGTTCATTTTATCAAATGGCGATCTAGATCTTGATTATCTTTTCGGTACATTTTTCGGGGCATATTTGCCATAATAAATTTCGGGGTTTAAACCAATCACTTCAGATGTCCAATTCGCATTCCATAATCACCATGGGAAGATTGACATCTCATAAAACTCTTGCAGTAGATATGCATTTTATTGCTCCATGCCCAGCTGGCGTAAGGCGTGCGAGGTGTTTTCATCCGTAGATCGACAGGGAGCAAGATTTTGCTTAGATGCTCACCTGCGTAGGTAACTAAATGCTTAACTGACTATTCATACTGCACCAAATTTTCTGAGTGACCTAGACTACATTGTTCAGGGCCGAAATGAATCGAAATTATGGTATGATTACGGAGGCCGATAGACGCAACCATGCAAAAACCCCTAAAACAGTAAACAGAATACGTATTTTACGTACTGCCTTAGGAATATGGTGTCTAGACACCATTCATTCTGCCAACATTTCTGCCAGTATCATGGAATTACTAATCTAACGGTCGCATCCCACGTCATATCTCCTTAATTTTATATTCCTATATTTAGTTGACTTTAAATTCCTTCTAGATAATAGAATAATTCTTTATCTAGATTTTATTATAGTAGAGCGTAGTAAGTGGAATTAAACTAGAATTAGAGAATTTTCATAAGGGACGGGTAGGTACTCTCTGACTAATTAGAGTGATAGAAATACTAAAAGTAGATCACAGTCGCAGCCCTAAAACTTTGAACTAATACCACACCACTATCTCTTGAGATATATTATCAAAATTTTAACTATTAGAGATAATATAATAGATTAGAGCTTCCCAGAGTTATAGAATAACCAGACTTAAAATAGTGGAGTGATTAGTTTATAAGTGAAATTTGACTAGAATCTAAGATTTTGATGAGGACGGCGAATCAAGCGGTAGATAAAGCGGTAAAGAATAATGCCTTAAAACTAGGGTTTCGTATTTTAAAGCTCCCCGATTGGCCAATTCTGATTACTCATATTTATATAAGTGGGTCTACAATGGGAATTCTGTTACAGGCGGTCAACTTGTATTTGTGGATTACAATACTATACATTTTTGCATGGTTGCTATCGGCCTCCGTAGTATGATTTATGTTTCATTAACATCCGGCGTTTGTCGGATTTTGGGGCGGGTTTCGGACGGATTTAGATGGCAGCATCAATACAGGTACTTAAATATTTGGATGATTCCCAGTTAGGCGGTGTTTTCCACCTTTTGAATCTCGAATTTCAAAATCTATTTGAACGTCTCATTGGAACATTAGAAAATGGCACTCCTATACAAACAAATCCTACGCAGGCCCATAGCATCTGCTGCCGCAGGTGTCATCGTCTCCGGCGTTGGAGCCTTTTATGGTACTCGACTTATATCCACAGGCCATGCAGAATCAACTGAGCCTCAATTTGCCTTTCGACCATTTGGACCACACTTCACTTCCCTCCGTCTAAGAAGTTCGGAAGCAGTCAGTCCCGATACAAAACGCTTGGTATTTGAGTTTCCAGACGAGAACGCAAAGAGTGGCTTGACATTAACATGTATGTATCAATTCTATGGGTATTGCATGATCTATACTGACCTATAGTAGCGACTCTTGTTACACTCTCTCGACCCGAGGGATTATGGCTTCCTGTTCTCCGGCCATACACTCCAATCAGCCCACTAGACCAACGAGGCTCAGTCGAGTTCATGGTGAAGCATTATCCAAATGGGAAAGCCAGCACTCATTTGCACTCGCTAAAACCAGGAGATAGTCTTACCTTTGCCGCCACGATCAAAAGATTTTCATGGACGCCCAATAAGTTTTCTCAAGTTTATTTGATTGCCGGTGGAACTGGGATTACGCCTATCTACCAGCTTATTCAGGGCATTTTGAATAACCCAAATGATAAGACCAAGGTCAATCTCGTTTTTGGCGTCAACAGCGAACAAGATTTACTTCTCAGAGACGAGCTGGAGCTTTACAAAAAGCGCTTCCCGGATAGATTTGACTATATATACACCGTCAGTCATTCAAAAGAGGATGGTCCGTGGAAGAAAGGGTATGTAACAGAGGAGCTGTTGCGAGACGTTGTCTATGAACCCAGCAAGGATACTCATGTCTTTGTCTGTGGCCCACCTAGGATGGAAACTTTTTTGGTTGGATCAAAAATGACAGGAGGCATTCTTAAGAACTTGGGATTCACGAGATGTCAGATCCATCAATTATAAGCTGCTGCTCCTTTATGTGTGAAAATTGTAAAGTTATAATATAATCGGTGATTCCCAGGCGCCTTTAAAATCTTCCAGTGTTGGAAGCTATACACATAATATAGTGATAGAGAGAGCAAGATAATTTGATATTAATGAATAAATTGACAAATCTTAGCATTTTATTCCAATCAGCTATTCTACCGCAAGGACAGGAAAAGTTTCTTCATCTTAGGATAATTGGGAGTGCCCAGACCAGTCGCTGGATCCCATCTGTAGAAATAGTTGCAATTGTTCGTCGTCTTTGAATGTAAAATATAGCAGTAATAGGCCACGGGCCATAAACACATGAATCCAGGCGTTAAAGGTACTTACTCTTAGGACACCGAGGGTTGGATGGCACGATCTGATATTGATAGCCTATATCATTATGTTTGGTAATACTGCCCTAAAGTTAGGCAGCATATTATTGAATGGTTGCGAAATGGCTTATTGATGGTAAGATGATTAAACAAGCGCTCTATGTGCGTGATCCATTAGTTCAATTCTCAAGCCCTAGGAGAGTGTATGAAATGGATCATGGAGTACAACGTGCTCGACTATTCGTGAGAGAAGGGTGCTTATGTTCTGGATTTCGCATTGTAATACTTGTAACTTTCAAGTACTGGACTCGTTGCATTTATGTGTGCCTATAGTTTCAGCCTTTGATGTTTTAAGCTTCCAATACCCTAACAGCTTAGGACTTAACAGTTCCATACTAAGTGATAATCCCAAAATTGATTGGCATCCATGGATTGATGGATACCTATATATCCAGGTATAAAGAGCTGAGTATGGTAAGTATTAAGTAGGACTGCGGCTTCAACTTGATATACGCACGGGCCACTTTCACATGCCTACCGTAGCAACTCCGCATTTTCCCATCGACATTTCAACTCCACCTTCAACCTTTTAATCTGCCTCCTCCTTCTTAACGGACATCCGAAATGGACGTAAGTATCACTAAAACTCATAAAATCAATTGAACTGACTCGGCACGTAGTTCAATTCGTCTGGCTTTGGCTCGCGTCAACGCTCATACCCAAATCTCCACCACATCTCATTGGCTCCACTTAGGCCTCGATTTCCCATCGACGATGACATAGATTTCACAGAATATTTCAACCACGGCGACACAAATTCTCCGAAAACATCCTATCTCTCTAGTGCCTCTATGCCCAGCACCCCACCAATCCTTTCCCACTCGCGCAGTGAATCACGAACCCGCCTCGCTCCCTCGCGAAGCTCAACTCGCCTCGACCCACTGAGCGACACAAATCTAGTCAGCAGAAGCAGAAATCTTACACTCCCACCACACCACCATGCTGCCACACACGGGGAAAACCGCAGCTCCTCGAATATTCGCAATATTACTGGCCATGCAAACACAAAGGCCGATGCAGAATGGATGCTGCGCACTGGTATAGCCCTGGCCTCATCTACACGAGAGGAAAAAGGCCAGAGCTGGCTCTCTAAGCGTGAGAGCTCTACTAGTCTCGTCACAGACATGGCTTTCGATGACCCTACATCGATGAGTTCTCATCGTCACCACCACCACTCCAAGTCTAGAGCATCCTCGCGGAAATCTTGCTCTGGTGCGTCGACGCCGAATGTCTACTTGACTCCGACACACAGATCTCGTGCTGGAAGTAGACGTGGCAGTCGTAACGCTCTCACTATGACCAGCCTGCCGCCCTTCACGACACTTTCGTCGGCAACAGTTGGTAAAACAGGTGTGATGAGTCCTGAAGTTCGTGGTCGCAGCACTGAGCCCGTTCCAGACTTTGTGGATGAGCGTGTTCGTGCAGAGATGATCTCGTTGCAACAGGGCCATCCGCCCGAAGAGGAACACGGGCGCTGGGATGAGGAGAATGGTAATGATTCCGAGTATGACTACTCTTCCGATGATACTTCGGAGGAATTTGACGAGACAGATCTGCAGCGTTTACGACGCGAGTGCGGATTCGGATTGGGGACTTGGGTTGACCGAATTGTTGAATGGATGTTGTTTGGCATGGATGAGTTGCCTGTATCTGTTGCTCCTGTCGCTGCCCAGACGCATATTGGAGCTGCTGTTACAACCACAAGTATTACGTTTGTGGAGTCTGAGGATACTTTGTCTGTAGTTACTACCGATGCAGAACGCAACCATGAGTCTGAGGGCGAGTTAAGTATTAGCGGTGAGAAGCCTGGTGCAGAGGGTGGATGGGAGGATGCGACTTGGTTGTTTCGAGTTGCCAAGAGAGCATTTACGTCGTAATGCTTCTCCATTTTAACGAATTATGCTGGAACGAATGTGCGAATGAAGCAAATGGCTCTATTATTATCATTGTTGAATTCGGTAATTAATTGATGACAAGTCATATTTCTTGATCCCGGCCTACGGTAGATGATATATCCTGAGCTTGACAACCACACTTCGTATCTCTTAACCGTTCTAGAAAACAGATACCAGAGTATACATAGAATATCATCAGAGCAGGTAGCTGTCAAACGTGTATGAGGCTGTATCTAGAACAGAGATGCAAGATCGAACAAGTCCAATGAAAAAGACGGGACAAAAGGAGAAGAAAGACTGAAAAGAGGGAATGTACACGACTCCGAGAAGCGCCATAAAGGAAACAAAGGACAAGAAAGGAAAACACGCCGTCCGAGATTGTGATGAGATAACAAATGACATCAAAAATAATTTAGACAAAGAGTTCGAATTGGACCATGTAGATAATTGAGATGATAAGATGGATGAAAAATGGAACAAGACAATACCAAAAGTAAGATTGCAAGAGAAAGGCGGACAGCAATGGAAGGTAGTGTACCGAGTACTTGTGAAACAACCCAAACTTGTTGTAGGGTACACTCATCTTCCATTAAACTAACGTGGAAAGTGATCGAGAAAAAAAGTGATTGGTGATTCGCAATTGCATAGTGTAAACGCCGACCGTGTGGAATCTCTAAAGGTCATGCAGGAGGTATCGTGATCGTGGCATACGTGGGAAATTGTGCGTCGGTGGAGCTCACGGCGGAGTCAATCCGGAGATTGAGGATGAGTTGCGTAATAAATGCGAGGTATAGTCATCATGTATCTGTGTTGAGTTGCTTTTTTGTCATCTTCACCATGGTCCAACTCTGACGGGCGTGCCCAGGCCATAGGTTCCCGAAAGGAGCTGGTCTCGTATAGAGCCCAAGTCATTAACACCAGAGCTGTGGGCAGATGAGTCAGGACCGTTCATCCACCCCAAGCTTGAGCCGAGCTCATTGACCGCAGCCTGAAGCTTCCCCCGGAAGTTTGGTTGTGCTTGGCCAACTTCTGATCCCAGCCTCCGTATTGTAGCTGAATACCACCTCCACGCTTTGCAGCTTCTCGGATCACCAGGATCCAGGCCTTGCAAATCTCGTCGTAGGCTGAGTCCCGCTCAATGTTATTCCTCAGTGTATTCCAGCGAGGCAAGGCATGGATGATGTCAGTCGCTTCGTCCAAGTAGCTGAGCGAGATTGACGGTTGAGATTCGATTGGAGGAAGAAAGTTCGGAGTAAATTCACTCAAGGCATCGAGGAGGTTCGTAAGTGGCTGCCGAACTCGATTGTAGGCGTAATCGGACTCGGTATTGTTGCCCAGAGGAAAGGCCGACTGAAGGGCCGCCTGGTAGTTTCGAAGTACTTGGAGAGTTGACGAAACGCTGGGTCGTGGAGAAGTGTGCAACACTTCATCTGAGAGCTGGGGGTGGCGCTCGCACATTGTTCGAACAATGGTCCGCAGGGCATCGGTATCAAGTGTCTCAAGCAGACGAGGCAGGGGAAGAGCTCTACCAGAGACATTTGGTCGAGTACGCTTTATATTCCGGAAGCCAGGGAGCTGGCGAGAAGTGAAGGCGGGTGAGCTTGGGGGAGAAGCAGACATGCGTGCATCATGGTCGTTGCCATCATCATCAGCTTTCCGCTTTCGGTTGGAAGAAGGCGTCGACACTGCAAAAGCTGGGTCAGTAGAACGTTTTTTGAGGATCAAAAAGATCAAAGACGGGGGACCGTACTCAGACGGGAAGGAGAGAATCGAGGGTTCTCGTAGAAATGGGGCGGGACAGGAGGCGTGGCCACCAGACTATTCATGTTGACAGCCGGATGGCAATAATTATAACAGTTCAAGGGATGAGGAACTCAAGGGTATAAAGGAGAAAGGAGAAAGGAGAAAGGAAACAGAAAAATGCGCCCAATAGGGTGAGGTGGAGAGGAGGTGCAAAGAAGCAAGAGAAGCGGTGGAGCGGTGGAGAAAAACCTTGGACGTTGCAGGAGGCAACCTGCGCCGCGGTTCTAGGTCAAGGTAACTCCTCGATGTGACAGACAAAGATATCCTTGGAGGAAGAAGAAAATGATGAGAAAGAGATTGAAATGAATAAAATAATACAAATGAGAAACTCTAGGCAAATTGACAAAAATTACGAAGAACAGTGATATTAGGTACACTTCAGACCAGACGACGCTCGGGCACCACTACGACATGACTAACATACAGTAAAAATCTTATACTTCATGAAACAACTCAAATGTCCATCATTAGAAAGCTCATTAGAGGCATTCATGGATCATTTCATTTTAGCCATCTAAAATATACAATCCCATTCCTTCCGATGCAATGTCGCGATCCACTTTACCAAGTGCAGTCTCCAATTTGCTCTCTAACTCATCACTGCTCACGGCCTTGAATGTCCCTACAAATACAAAGATTGAGCTGACACAATATCACGACGCACTTTGCCCAGCGCAGTCTCAAACTTGCTCTCTAGCTCATCACTGCCCATAACCTTGGACGCCTGAGCCATTTGACGCATACACTCCTCAAGTCGACGGAAGACACGGATCAAGCTGCCCTCAAAGACCTGGGTCATTTGGCTGTTGATCATTAGTTGTAATTCAGTAACATACGATACTAATGGGACCTACCAGATTTCCAAAAAGCTCTTGCCATTTGCCCACTCAAACACGACCTCCATAAGCTCCCAATGGAAGCCCTCAACGTAAGCTTGCTCGTTCAGGTCCATCTTACATTCCTGCGAGACCTTGGCGATTTCTCGAGCACGCAATTGAATCTCCTTCAGAGGTTTTGACAGCTGTTCATTGTTGATGGGGTCCGCCTGCTTGACTTGTTCCTCGAAAACGAATACGCTCAGGACAGCTGCAGTTACCTCAGGAGTAAGAGTGTTGAAGAAACCTCTGAACAACAATTCACTCAACATCAATTCGTCACCAGCGCTGATCTCACAGGCAACGCGACCTTTTAACTGGATAACATCTGCATCGTTGATGAATCCCAGACGACGCAACACACGTTTGCGATTCTTAAGCTCGGCATGCTCCAGCATGGCACTGACGTCGGATATCTTCTTTTTGATGGTTTTCATTTCATCGCCCAAATTTATCTTGCTCACATATTGGTCATAAAGCTGAGGCAAATCTTCCCGGTTGATTAATGGGGACTGGAAAAGTTTAGATTCGAGAATCTCGGTTTTCTGTTTTACGGTTAGCGTAAATACGTTAAAACTTGGTATTGATTGGCTGAAAGAACCTACTCGGATCGTGTCTTTGAAACCCGGATCCGTGATATTCATGTGTTGGATGGGGTCCAAAACGGGGAAGCCGTCTGGGAAACGGTTCCGGGCCACGAGCAAGACTTTGAATGCATCCTCACGTGCGGAAGATGGAACAAAATTGGTCGAAGGGGGTTGGATGCGGATTCCTGAGATGTTTTCAATGCAGCTCAACATGACGGGAACTAGTTCAACCCGACCATTCTCTCCTTCCTTGCTCGGCTGCAAACCGGGAGGCATTTCCTGGTGAGTCTTGGTGCCGATATCAGGCCCGTGGGCAAGTTCCAAAAGCACATCAACGAACCATTGGGACTCAGACTCCTCGGTATTCAAATTCGCTTTCTTGTACTTGTTGGAGATTTTTCGTTCGTGGGCGCGCACAACCATCCCCCATCCGAAGTCCTGATCTTTGTGTTTGATATGAACTAAGCGGCCGATCTGCAGAAATTGCAGACAGAAGTTCGGATGAGTGATGACAGAACGAATATCTGCGCGGTACTTGTCCAATTGCTTCCGATAGTCGTAGTATTCACGAACGAGTCCTTCATCTACAATTTTGATGTCGTCTTTCTTGGCACTCAACTCCTGGTACTCTATCTCCAGAGCTGAGACACTGGCGGTCTCTTGGAAGTGCTTGAAACATTTCTCAAGCATGTATTCTGGAGAAATTACCTCCACACGCATCAGGTTAAGAACCATGTTATAGCCAAGGTGAAAGGCTGAGTTCAATGAATCTTGTTCGCCACGCAGAATCTCTTTAGCAACCTTAGGATCCATCTCCACGCCAACCATCATGATCACAATACCGCGGTCGTCGAGACCTCGTCGACCAGCTCGGCCAGACATCTGAATGAACTCGGACGAAGTGAGCCAGCGCTCCCCAGAACCATCCCATTTTCGAACGTTAGTGAAAATAACAGTCTTTGCGGGCATGTTAAGGCCGATAGAAAATGTCTCGGTAGCGAAAAGGACTTTAATAAGATGTTCTTGGAAGAGAATTTCGATAATCTCTTTGAGAATTGGCAGTAAACCAGAATGGTGAACGCCGATACCTCTTCGCAGGAGAGGCAGAATATTACCGACCTGGGGAAGCTTCCGATCTTCCGGTGAAAGCATTTCAAGGGCGTGGTCGAAAACCTTACTCACTTGCTCCTTTTCCGAATCATCGTTGAAAGACATGCCTCTCAATTCAACAGCATGCTTTTCACAGTCCCTCTTGCTAAAGCTGAAGACGATCAACGGGTCGTGGTTCTTGGTGATCATCAACTTGACAAGCTTCTGAATATCACTGGTACCTTTCTGTCCACCCTTGTTCACGGTACCCTTTTTGCCGAATTTTACCAAGGCATCTCCTGAACCATCGCCCGCCTTCGTCTTGATGGCATGCATTGCTTCCTGGAAGTTCTTTTCGCGGAATAGACCGGTCTCATCAACAATGAGGCGAAGACCGTCAGAGCCATTTGGAAAGAGGTAGTGCTGTAGAGGAGTTGGTCGGTAATCGGTATAGACAACGTGAACTGGCTGTTCGTGTATTTTGCAAATCCACTCGGCGAACTGCATGGCGTTGGGAATGGTGGCAGACAGAAAGACGTAACGAACTTTGTTGGGCAAAAGAATAAGAGTCTCCTCCCAAACAACACCACGAGACTTGTCGCGCAGGTAGTGAACTTCATCAAAGATAACCCATTGAACCTCACGTGTGATCTCAGAACCACGATACAGCATGGATCGGAGAATCTCAGTGGTCATTACAAGGCAGCCAGCAGTGGGGTTGATGGTCACATCACCGGTCATCAGTCCAACATCACCAAACTCAGCAGCGAATTCACGATACTTTTGGTTACTCAGCGCCTTGATTGGACTGGTATAAATAACTCTTTGACCTTCTTTCAAGCTTTGCGCAATAGCGTATTCTGCGCAAACGGTCTTTCCAGCACTGGTATGGGCTGACACCAACACACTTTCGTTTCTCTCAATGGCATTAACGGCCAATTGCTGGAAAGGGTCGAGGGGGAATGAGTATGTTTTCGCGGGCTCGCTCTTTGGCGTGTAGGTTGAAATAGGAATGTAATCATATCCCGGAGGAACTGCCGTTTGATGGCGCAATTGAGATGATACCTTCATGCTCGAGGAACCTTCTGGAACTGCAAGCTCGCGTTCTTGCGCAGATTCGAAAGTGTCTGCGACGACTGGGACAGGTGCATCTTCAAGACGAGGGCGTTTCTTAAAGGGTTGATCAATATCGTTATCGGGGATTTGGTTTGTTTCGACTTCAAGGTTATCTGTTGAGATGTCGAGTTGGCCTTGAACTGGTTTCGCGTCATCGGATTTCAAGGTATCGGATTGACGCTTCTTGTTCTTTTTTTCTTGTCTTTTTTGACGCGACGGGCTTCGCTATCCTGTTGAGCCACAGCGTCGGCCGGCTGGGCATCAAATACGTCAAAAAGATCGTCCATCTTCAACACTCGAACCGTGTTAAAATTGGCGGATAAAGAGTCGGAGATACAAAGACCTGGACTTTTTTTTTGAAATTACGATTGGCAAAATTGAACTCGGAAGGCGGTCAAACCTGCAGTTAAATCACGTGATATATCCCGTGATCTGAAATCAGCCCATCTCTCAAGATGTTTAAGGAACCGTCCGTCTATTTCCGATTGCCCATTCTCTCCCCTCTTTACCTCAAGGTGGGTTGTTTGTACAAACACTGTTATACTAGTATAATCCTCACTCTAATATTCTCTCAAAGATGTTCGCTTCTTCCGCTATCCGCGCCGCTGCCCGTCGTGGCTTCTCCACCTCTCGCGCTCAGTTCGCCAGCCCTTACCATTACGCTGAGGGCCCTCGTTCCAACATTCCCTTCAACCCCAAAACCAAGTACTTCGCCGTGAGATACTGGTCATACATGGGTTAGTGGAAATGTATCCCGAGCTCAGTAATACAGGGATAAGCTAACAATTTCTCTCAGCTGTCGGTTTCGGTGCCCCCTTCGGCATTGCTGGTACGTTTGCGCTTGGCTCTCAATTAAAATTATCATACAACTCTAACAATTCATTTCCTAGTTTGGCAAACCTACAAGACCAAATAAGCGTGGTCCGCATAAATTTCCTCCTAACGGCAGTGTGAACGCGCTCGTGGCGGACATTTGAATTGGGCCTCGAGCCAATTGGATATCATGTACAAAGCTAGAGAATAACAATCGTTCCTTATTGCTAGACTCAATTCGTAGCGTTGTAGGTACTGTAGGTACTGTAGGTACTGTAAGCATTAGTTACTACTTGAAATATGGATGAAGTCATTGGCTGAGCGGCTGTGGAACATCAAAATCTTAAATTCTGCATTTTGATACAAAATCACTCCGAGCCACCTCCACCTCCAGAGGAACAACCAACCTCGGTCGTTTTGTCTTTGACGAGCCAAATTGTCAGTCCCTGACGTTTATCTCATTTTTCAATTATCTTGGCTCTATACAATTACCGTTTTCGGGTTCCATGGCGGGGTAAAAAAGATTTTAATACACAAAAGACTAATACCCATTAAGAAAGATGCGTAACTTGAGGAATATTCGTCTCCAAGAGACTCATCTCCAGGGTGGTCTTCCTTTGACTGCCACTGCTTGGGATACATCATCTGATTCCATTGTGTGCACCTTTGGCCCTTCAGAGAACAGTCCAGTCATCGAGCTGCGCAGGAAGCGCCCCGAGGTTACTTCCGCCAACCCTCTGAGCCCTGATGCATTTGATTGTATCGCATCGTGGGATGCCCCTTCTCCCTTACCGGACTTGTTATGCGATAGAGTGCTCTCTCTGCATTACTTTGCAGATAACCTAACGGCAATTCTTGTATTGGAGGGTGGTGATATTGTGATTGTCCGCGAGGAGCCTCTCCCTGGAGAGGACAAGATTGAGATCCTGGGATCAGTCGATGTGGGCATCACCGCTGCTGCGTGGTCCCCAGATGAGGAACTTCTGGCAATCACCACTAGAGCCAGGACTTTCTTGTACATGACAAGGGAGTTTGAGAATGTGGCTGAAATTACCTTCACCCAGGCAGATTTGCAGGCCTCGCAGCATGTGTCAGTTGGATGGGGTAAAAGGGAAACCCAGTTCCAAGGAAAGAGAGCTAAAGCCCTTCGAGACCCAACAGTACCGGAGAAAGTCGACCAAGGCAAGCTGAGTACTTATGATGATGCCGGCACTAAAATTAGCTGGCGAGGTGATGGTGCCTATGTCGCAGTGAACACACTTGATGAAGAACATCGTCGTGTCATAAGAGTTTATTCGCGAGAGGGTACATTGGACAGCGTGAGTGAGCCAGTGGACGGACTTGAAGGTGCCATCAGCTGGCGCCCGTCTGGAAACCTCATTGCAGGAATCCAGCGAATGGAAGAACGTATCGATGTTGTTTTCTTCGAGCGAAACGGCTTGCGCCATGGGCAGTTCACACTACGTCTGACTGAAGAGGAGCGAACCACCTGGGCCTCGTACATTCAACTTTCGTGGAACATCGACTCTACTATACTGGCGGTTCGATTTAGAGACAGAATTCAGCTTTGGACCACCGGCAACTATCACTACTATCTGAAACAAGAGATTCCGATAGAGGTCGATACTGATTCCTTGCTCCCATTCTCCCTTCAATGGCACCAGGAGAAAGCCTGGCGATTTGTTGTCGGAGCTTCAGGTAATCGAATTACAGAGCATATAATATGTGATTAAGCTGACTGATTTTTACGAAAAGGCTCCATTCTGGACGTGGATTATGCCTTTGATATCAACCATGGCTCTACTGTCATTCCGGAAGATGTCGGTGCAGTTGCTGTGATCGATGGAAGTGAGTATTCTTTCTGTCGCACTAGCAATTGAATCAGAATTTTAACCTAGCTGAGCAGAGAATTTGAAACTCACCCCATTGCGATTTGCTGGAGTGCCGCCCCCAATGGCACACAATGAACTCACGCTGGACTCTAACGTCATTGACGTGGCGTTCAGTAAGTCCGGGTCTCGAATTGCCGTTTTGATGGACAATAGATTTTCAGTCTTTTTGTGGTCCTTGAAGAGCCGTCCAGTTGGAATGCCACTCATTGAGTCTAGCTATCCTCTTTCAGAATCAACCATGTGTCGGCCCAGACAAATTGCGTTCGTGAACGATAATGAGGTATATGTTCTCAAAAGCAGTGGGCCAAATTCCAGCTGTATCGAAAGAACCACTTTGGAGACCCGTTTGACGCGTGTTGTATATCAATCCACGGAGTCTGAGCAACTGTCTTCGATTTTCTCCGGAATTGGGCAACAAGCTCTCTGGTTCTCACACACGTGCCTACCTGGTCAACCTGCTACTTACTCAAGCATCGATTCTGCTGATGAAGATGAAATTGCGATTTCTCCTTGGACCGAGTGTCCCACTGCCGACACACACTGGGCTTGTGCTGTTTCGATTTCAAATGATGAGGTATTTTGACCTGATTTCTCAAACCTGAATCCACAACACTAACTTCTGTAGCGGATACTAATCACCATGGCGAGATCCGGCACATTATATGTCAACAGGCGAATTCTTGCGAGAAACTGTACTTCGTTTTCGGTGACCTCCGCCCATCTTATTTTTACTACTTCGCAGCACTTGTTGAAATTTGTGCATTTAAACCGCGCTGAAGGTATGGTCTAGCAGCATATTATATCCTACGTCACCGAAGCTAAATGGTACTCTAGACATGGAGGTCCCTGAAGATGCTCCAGAAACCGACGAGAGATGCAGAAGTATCGAGCGTGGATCAAAGTTGGTATCGGTGATGCCATCTGTTTTTGCCGTTGTTCTCCAGGCCTCTCGAGGTAACCTTGAGATTATTTACCCTCGAGCCCTGGTGCTGGCGGGAATTCGTACTTTTATTGACTTGAAGAGATATCGGTCCGCCTTCCTCGCTTGTCGCAGCCAGATGGTAGACATGAACATTCTTCATGACTATGCGCCACAACAATTCATGGAGAACATTGAACTATTCATCGAACAGGTGAAGAAGGTCGAATTTATCGATGACTTTCTTTCTCGCCTCAGGTAAGAAACAAATTTACTTCTTTGGTGCTCTGCTAATATCATTTCAGCGAGGATGACGTTTCGCAAACTTTGTATAAGGATACTCTTAAGATATCCACCAACGAGTCGGCTGTTGCTCAGCCGAATAAGCCCAACCAAACTTTGACTAAGCCAGTAACGAGGACAAGCAAGGTCAACGCGATCTGTGATGCTTTCTTGGGAGTTCTGCAAAGTCGTGTGGAAACCAATCTACAAAATTTGATTACCGCGCATGTCTGCAAGTCCCCACCTGACCTAGAGGCGGGTCTGGGACTTGTTGCTGAGCTTCGAGGTAAGCATCCAATATTTGAAAATTTGTGCTTATTTGGTTGCTAATCAACTGGAATATAAGTTCGAACCCCCGATCAAGCCGATGATGCTATTCAACACATGTACTTCTTGACTGATTCTAATCGTCTCTACTCACATGCACTGGGACTCTATGACCTTGAACTCACTCTGCTGGTAGCCCAGCAAGCACAGATGGTAATTCTTCTATTTAGCCTTTTGGACTGTCCCTCTACTAATAAATTACTAGGACCCACGAGAATATCTTCCATTCCTCCGCAAATTGGAACAAATGCCTGAAGGTCGACGTCAATTCGAAATTGACAATCATCTTTCCCGATTTACCAAGGCTTTGAAGCATCTATTCACTCTTGGTGCTCATGATGAGATCCAAACCTATGTTACTAAGCATGTCCTGTACAAGGAGGCACTTGAGATTTACAAATACCAGCCCGAGCAACAACGAGCAATTACCCATCTCTACGCAGACTATCTTCAAGGTGAATCGAAGCACAAAGAGGCGGCAATTGCTTATGAGTCCCTTGCGTTATACATTGAAGCCTACAAAGCATACAATCTGGCTCATATGTGGCGAGAGTCTTTGTACTGTGCCATGATGGCTTCTTTGTCGCAAGAGGACTTACTTGCACATATCAACGATCTGGCCGCAACCCTTGTTGATGAGGATCGTGACTATGTCTCGGCCGCAATCATCTACGCAGAGCACCTGCGTGATATCGTCACAGCTGCAAGGCTGTTATGTCGGGGCTCGAAATTTGCCGATGCTGCCCGCCTGCTGACGCTCAATGGAAAGCAGAACCTGGTCGAAGAAATTGTTGACAATGGTCTGGCAGAGGCAATGGGCTCGATGACTGACCTCCTTGCTGACTGCAAGTCTCAACTCAATGCCCAGGTGCCTCGAGTTCATGAACTCCGCCAGTTGCGTGCTGCAGACCCATTGGCCTTTTACGGAGGCGACCCAACGGGCGGTGAAGGCGGTGTTGATATCCCTGATAACGTGTCGCTGGCTCCTACTGATGCCACAACCCTGGCTGGTCGTACCATGTTTACCCGGTATACTGGCAACACTGGAAAAACCGGGAAGACAGGGAACACGTGGCAGACATCACGCACACGCCGAAAGGAGGAGCGCAAACGTGCTCGTGGTAAGAAGGGCACCGTCTACGAAGAGGAATATCTCGTCAATAGTATCAGGCGACTTATTGAGCGAGTCAACTCGACTGTTAACGAGGCAGAGGCGCTTGTTGATGCCCTACTGCGGCGCGGCATGCGTGAGCGTGCATCGGCCGTTGAGAAAGCATTGGAAGATGTGCTGAAAATGTGTGCGGACTCTCGCAACGACGTGTTTGAAATTCCCGCGGTTGATGTAGCGAAGGATGAGGCTGAAGATGGTGACGCCCAAGATCCAAGTGTTTATGTCACATCTGGCTCTCGGGTTCTCGATGAGAGTATGGCTACCATTGCTGGTACTGCTGGCCGCAAAGAGGCGCCTGTCGTCAAAACGATAAAGAAATCCTCTTTGATCGCTTAGTCAAAACGTGATTTTTTGATCAATAGATAAAAATATTAGGGCATTAAATGGACTCTGGAAAAATGTATCGTTATATTGCGTTTTTATGAAAATAATTGTGAACATTGAAGTACCTCGTCACTATAACCATTAATGGATGGATGTACTAAATCTTATAGCCGCCTCTTTTATGAAAGCCCTGGGAGCTCACAGGTAAGATTGGAAAGCTGAGCTACTATCTAGATGCCAATTACAATAGGTCAAAAGTCCAATTTTTCCAGAGTCTCTTTTCTTTCCCCATTAGGAATCAGTCTTCCTATCATAATCAACCTAACTGATGAAGTTATTATAAACTAACCACATGCCATATCATGTTATTCTATTGGTAGAAGAGTTATAATAACATACTAGCTATTTAACAAGTCTAATACTTTGTGTGATATTCCCCCCTCTGAAAAAGCTGTCGACTTAATTCGAGAATGGCTTGTCTCTTCTGGTATTTATCGGTCTTGAGTCGCTCACTCAGACAATAAGGGCTGACTAGCTTTTGATATACGCATGAAGTAGAAATATTCTTCATTCCCGAATTGTATGAGCACGAGCATTCAAGCACTTCTAGTATTCGAGCTGGGTCAAGTTGACTCCAGACCTGAAAAACCGTAGACAGGTAAGAGAGCATCCAACTTGGTCCACGTCAAGCCAAATATTGAAGCTAAATCGTCCACTAGGAGCCGCTATTCATCTCCTCCCAAGATATTGTCGCTTTCAGAGGACCGTCGTAATTGTGAATACAATACGACACCGACTTACATCAGAGCTCTCTACAAGCTTCCAGACGCGACAAAATCAAAGCCAGCCAAGGGGAACTCTCTCAGTCTCTATGAGCAAGGTGATTACTTTGCCAAGTCCGACTTGGACCTTTATGACCCCGAGTTTTCTCCCTGAGTTCTTAGAGGCACCTATCCAATTCCAGCATTGGTTAATGGCGCCAACTTCTCCCTGCCCGCATATAGCGATTGTTCATAATGATTTGAAAACAAAAACAAAATTTATATTTATATTCTGCGGCTATTTTCGGGGCTTCATATTTGAAAGGTGACTCCAGTGATAAATCATCCCGAAAGCAATGGACGCAGTTTTCACAAATGCGAAGCAGTGGAATATCGCAGAGGAGAATGGTGTACTCTCCTTGAGATATAGCGAGAAACCCATTCCTCAGCTAGACGACAACCAAGTTTTAGTCAAAAGTACGATACTCAAAATTTTCTGTCTATTCAAGTAGTTTCTCACCTCTGAAGTCCACGGTACGTCTTTAAATGTAAGTTGACCTATACTCCCATAATCTCTTTCCTTTAGGGTATGTCAGTTGCTCACAATAATCCATGGTTAGTTTCGTGACCTTCTCATATCTCAAGAAAAATACACATTTGATCTCAAACCCGGTGTTTTTCCCGGTTCAGACGGTGCAGGCACTGTTGTAGCCATTGTAAAGCATGTCACTCGATTCCAGCCAGGGGATCATGTGGTCACTATCATCCAACAGCAACATCTAGCAGGATCAATCGATGCCCGGACAGCCAAATCCGGGCTTGGCGGCTCCATCGACGGCACCCTAAGACCTATCGGGGCATTTGATGAGCAATGGCTAGTCGCAATGCCCCAAGGATTGAGTTTCGTTGAAGCATCCACGCTCAGCTGTGCCGGATTAATAGCCTGAAACGCCCCTTTCGGTCTGTCTGATAAAAGGATCACAGTAGGCCAATGTGTTATCACCCAAGGAACTGGAGGAGTGAGTCTATTTGCAGTCCAATTCGCCAAATCTGTCGGTGCTAGGGTCATTGCCACTACTAGCACAAGAGAAAAAGCGAAATTTCTTGAGAATTTGGGCGCAGATCATGTTATTATCTACCGAGCTACTCCAAAACGGGGGGCTATAGCCAAATAATTGACCGGGAAAGTTGGCGCTGACCTTGCTGTGGAGATTGGAGGTCCTTCAACTTTAGAACAGAGCATCGCTAGTCTGAAGCTTGATGGTCTTCTGTGTGTTGTCGAGTCTGTTGGATCTGCTGGTCAGGATATTAAGATGCCTCATTTGCTGGACTGCTGGGTGAACCTGTTCACTGCACGGGGTATATGGGTTGGTAGCCGACTTCAGATGGAAGAGATGATTCGAGCAATCGAGGCTAATATAGACACGCTCCGTCCGGTAGTTGACAGCGTATTCCCGCTAGACCAAGTTAAAGAGGCTTATAGCTACCTGGCATGTGAACATCTGGGCAAGGTGTGTATTAATATTGAGTAGAAAGATTTAATTTTCATCTCTATGAATTGATCTACCATAGCTTCCAAAGAAACTATAAGTAGGAGGGAAATGAGATACTTTTATAGAACCACGCACGGAGAGCTATTGAGACTCAGACCTAACATGGAGGGCAATTATATCCGAAAACGGCTTACAAAATATCCGATATGGCGTAAACTCCGGGAGGAGGGGACGATGGAATCGCCATGATTATACATGGCATTGTAGGAAATCATGGTTTCGCGTAATCAAGATAAAATAGACCCCAGGATAATCAATATTTCTTGATTATGTATAGTGAAATTCTTTACTTCTTATAACTTTCCCAGCAACTCCATCATGAGTATAAATATGAAGTCAGCCAAATCATTACTAACTATTGACTACTCGAGATAAAGATGAATAGCTAGACTTATTCTAGGTCCTTGTGCTTCGTGTAGATGACGCACAGTGGAAGAGTTAGAGATACTGGAATCAAAAAAGGGAAACTTCGAGGAGGGAAGATGAATGTAACGGGCTGAAGCCCAGCAATGGATTATGTAGAAAGTTGTATATCTAATTCTGCCGATTGGGTTTCTGTACACAAAAACTCTACTGAGAATATTTTGTTTATGATCGTTATCGATCCCCTCATGTTTCTTTTAGAATTTTAGACACCTGGCAGCTTATACCTAGCTTGTTCTGAATCTAAGAACAGCTTTAGCCCTTCACATACCAAATCCTCCTTCTAACCAAGGTAAACCCACGAAACGAATAAGAATTGCTCCTGGGAAGTCTCCAGCTGAGTAACCCATGATGTGAACACGGATGGACTGCAATGAATCTGTACAACGAAAACACGATGTTGGTAATTGATTTGTTAAGCTCGCCAATTTCCCTAAGACGAGGCTCACCCCAAAGCAGATTTGAGGTACAGAAAATAGACCTTGATGCAGCCAAGGAAAACACTGATTTGCTCCTTGTCGACCATGGAACCAATGAAGTATCACGAAGCTTTTCAAAGGTCTACAAACACTGAATGGTTTAGCCTTGAAAAACGATTCATGAATCAAATTCTGCCCAGGTGTACAGGTGGCGGTGTCAGCCTCGTCTCAACGCTAATTATCCCGCCTCATAGTGGAGAATTCACTTGACACAACCCATGATGTCCGGAAAATCAGTAAAGGGGAATTGGGTAATTGTATCTTTTTCTTCCATCTCAAAGCCTTCTCGAACTCTTTCTCATTTGATCTAATTACAAGCTATGGCTCCTTTTCTGAAGGTTCCGAATGAGATCCCCCTTATGATAGCCCATCAATTGAATACGAAAGACCTGTCTGATCTTTGTCTTACCTGTCAATCGCTAGCCGCCATCCTTGATCATTATCTTCACGAAAGAGCTCAAACCCATATCTGTCCTGGTGAGGGATCTGTTCTCGAATGGGCTGTAAGATGAGGTCGGAAAAAGCTCGTTCGCAGACTTCTGGAAAGAAGCAAAGATGGTATGCTACCTGCAGCGAAAAATGAAGCTTTCTTAGCTAAGAAGGCTGGATGTCAACGGTATACCCGGAGTTCGATGTATCTAAGCATCCAGTCCACTTATTCCATGATCGATCTCCTCTTACACCACGGTGCCGATGTAATGTCCCGAGACACAGGGGCGAGACAATCCTCTATCACATGGCATCAGATGACAGGAGTAAAGATATTATGGAGCTGCTATTAGCCAAGGGCGCTGATGTGATGGCCCGAGATTCTAAAGACTTCACACCTCTTCACGTCGCGGCATTTTATGGGAGTGAAGAAGTTATGAGCCTACTTATCAATAATGGCGCCAAAGTCATGGCCAGAGCTCAAGATAACTGCACTCCCCTTCATCAAGCAGCAAAACATGGGGGTGAAGAAGCTGTAAGGATACTAATATCTCGTGGTGCTGCTGTGATGGCCCGAGATTCTGATAAATTCACACCCCTTCATTTTGCAGCAAATGCAAGTGTCCAGCGTGATTCTAGAGTTATAAAATTTCTATTAAACAATGGCGCTGATGTCATGGCCCAATATCATCGTAACTCGACACCTCTTCATCTCGCAGCATTCTATGGGAGTGAAGAAGCTATAAAGCTGCTATTAGATGATGGCGCCAATGTCATGGGCAGAAACAAATTTGGCGACAACCCCCTTCATCTTGCAGCAGAAAGTGGTTATGATGAAGTTATGGGGATATTATTAGACCGTGGCGCTGATATTGCGGCCCAGGGTCGTTCTGGCTGTACACCCCTCCATCGTGCAGCAGCAAGAGGGGATGAAGAAGCTATGAGGATCTTATTAGACCGTGGCGCTGACGTGATGGCGCGAGATTTCGATGGCTCCACACCTCTTTACTATGCAGCAAGTGCAAGTTATTGGCGTGATCCTAGAGTTATAAAGCTTCTATTAGATCGTGGCGCTGAGATCAAGGATATAAGTATGACAATAGAGCCAAAACACTGCTAATGAAAAGAGCTTTCGGGAGAAAGTGAAGCGAAAAGTAGTGTGTACACTTGTATCAAAATACTACAGCAGAGGGCAAGAAGCATGGAATCTCTCTTCTTATCTTAATCACGCTGACCTAATTCACACTAGATCAGCCTCTCCGTATCAATTCTGATGTCGATCTTATCGATAATATATCAATTTGCTACATTTCCCCCTCTTTGATCTTCCTGTTCGAAATTCCCATGTTCTCCGTTTTGCTCGTTTAAGCCGTCATGATTCTCCCCCTGCATGTAAATCAAACCCTGTCATCAACTAAGAGATATATCTTTGGTCTGATAAAGTGTAGTCAAACTTAGAATATCGTCAATCTTATACTCTGAATTAAAGTATGTCGATCGAGGTCTATGATTTGCATTCAAGGTGAATTAATCTCCGTATGCAGCGATGGGCAGTTATGAATGTGTTGATGGAGGCTGAAGGTATTTTCTGTAACCTCAAGTTAGTACGACGATCAAGTACACATCGAAGCCGATCACGTTGTCTAAAAAGAGCTAGACTTGCTATTTTCGATCGATCCACAGACTCATCCGGCTTTCGCCATCAAGGCAGGTTGGTCAGATTCTGGGCCCCGCTTCATCCACGATAAAAACATACTCATGAGCGACGCTCAGGGTGCTACTCAGATCACTATCACCATCAAATGACGACAGAATATTCATGACCAGAGCAAGTCTGGTGGTAGAGCCAAGTCAGCCCAAGTGCAGATCTTAGAGGTTGAGATTGCTTGGTTTTTCCTCAGCTCTGGAATTCCGCTCAATACGAGGCAGTGTTTCCCTTGGCATCCTTGGCTTAGTAAATTTGCCCCATATTGAAACTGAGAAAGGCCGGGATCAGATCTCTTAGTCTACTGGATTAACTAGACTGTGCGGACTACTCAGCTACTACTCTCGACATGGGCCTGACCAATAACAAACATATTCACTTTGTTCTAAGCCCAACGCTAAGACTCTTTTGTAGATCAATGATTGCACGAGTCACATTTTGTTAGGAACGGCGTAAAGTGTGTCTTATTCATCAATGTAAAGTCGTATGATGTTCATGCATATTCTGAGGTCTAACCTGAGTCCAGCTGTTCCTTTAAGGCGTCCTAGGCCTCCCATATGGGGAGATGTCGACGTGTTTATTTGAACTACTTGTGTCAGTACTGTGGATCTTCTTATCATTCTGTGAAATCCCAAAACTCGGGTACTAACCGGGCCTTACATACGTTACATAAATTAAGTGTAATTTATGTAACGTATGTAAGGCCCGGTTACTTGAACTTACTTCCCCCTCATCACTAACTATTTACAATTCACCAATATCTCAGTCATGGCAAGCACCAATTTAGCTAAGCTAGAGGTCTTTTTTCAAGAATACCCTATCAAATTTACGCCTCCCTCTTCTGCTGAGTTTTCCACGGCAATCAATATCTGGAACAAGTCCCGCCGCGATAGACCGCTGGCCGTTGTTCATCCAGCATCCCCCTCTGAAGTCGCGGCAATTGTCAGATTTGCCAAAGCCAATGCGATTCCATTCACTTTACGCTCTGGGGGCCACAACTTAGAGGGTCTCACTCTAGTTAACGATGTATTACTCATCGATCTGCGCGGCTTGAACAGCGTGACTGTTGCAGCAGATCGCAAGTCTGCCACGGTCCAAGGCGGGGTTCCGCAGGGTGATCTTGCCAACAAGCTATGGGCGGAAGGTCTATCGACACCAATTGGATCAGTCCCAAGTGTAGGCTATGTCGGTTGGGCTATATACGGCGGCTACGGACCCTTTTCATCATCTTGGGGACTGGGAGTCGACCAAATCATTAGCGCGACAGTCGTTAATCCCAATGGAGATATCGTAACGGCCGATGAAGATATTCTGCAAGGGATCCGCGGAGCTGGAGGGCTTTTCGGAGTAATTATTGATCTTACCATCAAGATTTATCCTCTCACTAGTGTAAGTATGCTCCAGCTTCCCGCTCGCAAGTTGATACTTATTCAATACTCTTTAGCTTCTTGCGGGAGCCTTGATCTATGAATCTTCTGATGTTGCTCGAACATTCATGGACTTTAACACTGCCTACCAAGTTCTTGAATCTAGAGGTTTCCCCCACAACTTGGTATCCAACAAGCCGTCATCAACACCCCAGCCGGGCGCTCCTTTGTCGCACTATGTGCCTGGAATGGTTCTGATGTCACCGAAGGTGAACGATGGATCGCAAAGATTGCTGACCTGGCTCCTATACTCATGAATACTGTCACCAGTACCACAATCCCAGAATGGCTTGCTGCCAACGGTGCACTCATCCAGGAGACAATGTACGGCTCTGGTTTCTCGCACAATATCGCTCGCATCACTCCAACTGTTGCTGAATCTATTGGGCGTAATCTTGCGTGTATGCCGACTGATCCTGGTGCGATGTATTCCGTCCATCAGCTACGCGGGCCATCAGCTGCGCCACAAAGCCACTTATCCGTATTTGCGACCCGCAAGCCACACTATATGTTAGAGATTTTAGGTTTCGCAAAGGATAAAGAAGGAGAAGATCAATCTGTGGCGTGGGCGCATCAGATGTCTGAGGACATTGAGAAAACCGACCGGAGTATTGTCCTGCCGACGGTTTACCTGTCGGTTTATAACTCTTCTCAAGCGAGATCATCGGTGGAACTACTGAAAAAAGCGTATGGGCCTCATGCGGAGGCGTTACGGGAATTGAAGACGAGCTTTGATCCCGACAATGTGTTCAGCTTGACGGTACCGGTGCTGGATTAAAATCATTAAATGACGTTCTTGTTGTCGAGTCCGAGCCTAAGACTGAGTGAATTATCAAAGTGGATTTTTCCACACTGTGTATCTAGCGAGTGAGTGCCTTTGGTGCTCCGTTTAGTGTACTTGAGAGAGCTTCAGAAAATGTGAATATCCGTACTGATGATGAGAGTCCCTATATTTGCCAGATATTACAAACCTGACTTCAGGGATTGGTTCCAGAATCGAATAACGCAATCATCAATAGATGAGCAATTGGCACGTACTTCTAGGGGTTGATGATTTTTATGAGACAGAAATGAGCATTTCGATCGATGACTATACTCCAAACATGATACCAGGTGCACTTTGCAGTGATTTCTATATATTTACCCAAATACTGCTAGTCGTTGGATTCCATTGGCTGATCAGCATTGTTCTGCATTGCTTTGCTTTTCATGGCTAATTCAGTATTTCATTCTACTAAGTGTGCTGCTGGTAATTTAGCGGAAGCATAAGTTTTCTGACCCTGAACAGATTTGAACTACAGAAAGAGTTTCAAGTTTGGATTCTTCGAAGTCTGAAAATACCATTTTTGAATGTTCTTTCAACCGATTCAAACCTTCCATGGATGTTGTAATGATCCAAGGGTCTTCTGAGAATGCCTTTTATAGTAGAGAATCTGAGAGATATATGAAGTCACATTTGAGCGGTGTTTAACAAAACCAGTTGATCATTATCTTACATAAATAGGTGGTTGAAGATGTACATGCGATCAAAGTAGATTCGCTGAATTTTTCAATATTGACTAGGTAAAAGCTGCACGTTTTAAATCCATCGATACCAATCACCCCTGCACTAGATCTTGTTCAAAATGGCAGATTTATGACAAGGATCACGGTTCTCATCAAATCTTAAAGATGCAATAGTCACAGCTTCCTAGCACAATTCCCACCATTTCGATGGAGGTTGGATTGTCGCATTCCTATAGCGGCCTCCAGGATAACGCTGTATTTCAGGCGGTCAATGACATGATCGATCTACGTTATTTGTCCGAGTCTGAGACTGACATGGAAGAAAATCGACCAAAGTAGAAAACTCTCCCCATCTGATATTTGAACATCAAGGAAATCGAGTGGGGATTGCGTCTGAGAGAACGACGAGGTTGTTTGCAATGAGGGGTGCTGCCTTCTACCCCAGATTCTAAGTACCTTTTTGAACTCTGACCAAAGTACATAAACCTTGCTGTGGCTGTGCCCAAGGTGGCTATGTCAGATCTTACAGCTGAAAGCTCAACCCCGCATGTCTGAGCCCATGAGGTTTTCTCTCATTCTAATATCTGAAAGCAAATCTCCGGCCTTCCTCTAAAAGCTATAAGCCTACCAAGTTATTTGAACAAGCCAGTACTTACAACAGTTACGGACCAAATGGCCCAAGCCGTATCTTTCACAAGTCAACAATCAGATGGTCCCACATCCCTCAATGAAGCATTGACTACGAAAGCTGAGGTCAATGTAGACCCTACTCATTCTGGACGAACAGCGCTCCAGGATGCGGCAGCAGGAGGACATCTTGATATGGTGGAGAGACTGTTGACCGCGGGAGTTGATGTCAATGCAGACCAAATACATGCACAAACAGCGCTTCAGGCTGCGGCAGCAGGAGGACATCTTAATGTGGTGGAGAGACTGTTGGATGCGGGAGCTGATGTCAATGCACACCCTGTTAGTTCTGGACGAACGGCACTCCAGGCTGCTGCAGAAGGAGGACACCTTGATGTGGTGAAGAGACTACTGGCTGCGAAAGCTAATGCCGATGCGCCCCCTGCTCATCATGGTGGACTAACGGCTCTCGAGGCTGCAGCAGGAGGAGGATACCTTGATGTGGTGGAGGAACTACTGGCTGCGAAAGCTGATGTTAGGGTGGCCCTTTTACTTTATCCTGGAGGAACAGCAATCTATGCTGCGATGGAAGGAGGACACCTTGATGTGGTAGAGAGACTTCAACGGGAACTCTGAGGCAATGGATTGGCTTGTATCAAAAAGAGCCATAGTATAGGCCTATGTCAAAAGAAGGTCATGCTTCTAGACTGTCATCACGCGGTAAAAAAAAGCCTTACAGCACGACAATAATGACTAGTTGCTTCACCTTAAAACAGTACAGTACACTTTTCTTCGGGGGTATTTATGGGCGTAGTGACTAGTCACTGAATCCGACGTGTAGAGAGCAGACGTCAATGTTAGCGGCATCGATGGACGGACACTACTCTACTGAGCCTCATCGAACGACTACGAGGCGATAGACATGCTTCTGATTGATAAGCAAGCCGACGTTGATAAGGATGGCTGGACACCACTCTACTGGGCTTCATTGAATGACCACGAGACGGTAGTCAGGTTTCTGACCAATAACTGGGCTTTGGTAGGGTGGTAAACTAGGACTTCCAACTTCTACTTTTCTTCATCTCAACCACACCCCTGTCTCATGTTATCGCTCACTGAAGTTTTCCTCTCGTTGAACTATATAGTTTCTATGTAACAGATTTCAGCTATGTGCACGTTTGAATTCTGTATATTTTATTCCAGCATACTCTTATAGAGCTTATAGAGTAGGTTTAGATGAGCGTAAAAGTAAGATCGTCAAGTAGTCGGGGGTACGAATAGAGTCTCTAGTTCACAGGAAGAGATTCTCGTTGAAATCAAAAATGGAAATTACGTGTCAGACCTAAGAAAACAGCATATTAAGTAGGCTAGAGCTGAAATGATGATACCTAAATACTGCTCAAAAATAGCTTGGAATATATTCGTAGACATAGAGGAAGAGATATATCAAAAATACTTATGATCGTCTCATATGGTTGCACATATATTGAAAATAGCCTGAATATCGCAGTCATAGACAGTGGTGGCTGTATTGTTCTAGATAATCTCCGTAGTAATGCTGCCGCTGCTCATGACGGTATAGATCTTTTTAAAGTTGCATCTATTTTGAAGGAAATACTCGCCGGAGTTCAATATAAGCATGATCATCTATAGATGGTATATGGAATTTCGAAGTCATCTAATATTCTATCATCATTAATGGGTGCTATCAAGATACTTATATGTGAATCACTGTAAGAAGATATTCTAGAGCTAATGGGAACGGTGATGCTTGAAAATAGAGACATGAGTAATTACCAGAACGACATATTGGCCATGGGTCAAATACTAACAACTCGCTTTCTCCATCGAGACTAGTACCTCACCTGCTTTTGTGTTCTAGACAACAACTCAATTTCTAGGATTTGCTGATCGAATATTCTCAACTTCTGCAAAAGGCTATCTATAAACTTGGTGTTGGCGGTCTCAAGTAATCGTGTTGTCCCACTCGTTTGTGATTTCCCTATCTCTTTGTCACAATGCTGAGCGCAATCATAATATTGTCAGAATATCTTTTCTTCGGCTTGAACACTCCATCTAAGCCCAACCATTGTTCGCTGTTCCTGCCCCGGCTTACCTCAACAGCCCTAGAATTTTCAGTTGCATGCAAGAAAATCTCGACTGTATTGGAGCAGGCGATCAAGGAGAATCCAGATTGATTTCTGTCATCAATATCAATGCCACCTCATTCATGCTGCAAATCGTCAACGCCAAAGACCAATTATCTCTTCCTGAGTTAATCCTAGCGTATGAGCCTAGCAGTTCAAGAGTGCAAGAAAGATGTCAAGTACATTGGCTGTTTTTGGTATTTGCAGTGGCTTTAGATTGATAACTACACGACTGCTTCTTATTAAGAAAAAGATCTCCTAGTTCAATGAGTCTGTGGCCAGATACATCCCCGAAATCCGGGGATCAATAGCTCAAACATGTGCGGATATTACAAAGCAAAATGATGCGATTGACTTTTTACATTGGGGAGAAGTGACATTTGGCGACTTCTGCAGCCGGGACTTGCAATATAAAAGGTATACTAGTCCCATCAAAGCTGAAAATCCAGAATAACCACAGTATAACTCTTCCATGGCTTGATGTCTGGTCATCTCATAGTGCCGACTAGATCCACACCTATCTATTCAAACGCTGCATTTCAAATTGTTGGATATGTCGTTGAAGCTTTAAATGTGCAGAGCGATCGGAGTAGAAGTCTCTTCCTAGAGGGCCACGTCTTCGTCATTTTGGTTCACGTTGGTGTTGAGCCTTTGTCGAAGGCCAGAGTTTTCCTGTCGAAGTCTTTCAATCTCTTCCTCATATTGCACCTGTGCCTCCTTTTTTGCCGAGCTTAATTCTTCAATGATCTGGAACACACGCCAGAGACGCAACACAATGACTAGGGAACCTAGTTCCTCTTCTATGCCACGGAGGGAGACTTCAATAGTGAAGGCGACAATAATAACGAGAGCGTCGAACGTGTGAAAGTAGTCGGAAAAATATCTAGGCTGGATATTAGGATAACTCGGGTGGATTGTAAGGCAATTGTGGGAAGGTCTGAACTTACCCCATTCCAAAACTGAGGACTGACACGATCAATTCCACCATAAAAAGACATGATATTACTAGACTGGAGATGCCCAGGACCTCCTGCGTGACCTCCCACCCTCCGTCAACCCCAAAACCACCTTGCTTTAATTCACAGATGTGTAATTGAATCAGAAAATCAGCGAAGCAGGCACAGACATCGATTGTGACTAGGAAGAGCACGACATAGTGGCCCCATTGAGAAGCAAGAAAGTGACGCGCATATCTCTTCCACTGATCAATGCAGGTTTCTTGCTCGATTTCGGAGACGCCTTGCCAGTAGTCTGTCGTGATCCTACCCTCATGGAGCAAGGGTTGCACAGAAGGATCCATGGTGATTTTCTGGTGTAGTACTTTTCTCGTCTCGGATTGGTGAATGGGTATGTTTTGTTTTCTGGATAACGTGATTGATTGTCGTTCGACCCCATCAAATTTTCAAAAAGATAAAAGATAACTAAAAAATTTTAACCGCGATTTAACACACAAAATAGAGTAAATTTGTCTAAATAACTCGATCAGAGCATTCAAAATATGTATGGTCTTTCTTAATTATCCAGAACAGGTTATCTGACACCGAAGAGTAGGTAGTTGAGAGAAAAGGCCTACTACACTAGCCTTGTGTAGGATGTATATATTTTCACCACTACTCTAATCAACCATTCTATGAATCTCTTCCAAACTTCCTAGACTACCTTTATACCTATGCAACCTGGTTCTTACCTTGGTACTCGCTGCCCGTTTTTTGGTATCTTTTTTTTTCGCTTCTTCTAATTGACCTCGTCGCTCATGCAGAAAAATATGATGAGCAGTTCGCATAGCGTTCAGGTGGCCGATATTTTCGTTGTCACCGGCTTTTCACCTTCAAAGTACTTAGTGATTTCTCAGTGATTTATCAAATTTGAAACCCTTTTGGTATCAGTAGAAAATAATGACTATATTGTTTTATATATGCCAATGTAGCGAAACTCCGTAGTGTCAGCGACTACTGCTAAAGGCAAAAAGATGCACTGAATACCGCAGCATTTGAATGAAGTAAATAAACAGGGGAGAAAGAAGAAAAGAAAATCAAACCAAATTCGGACGGGAATAGCTATTGTGGTTTCCGTGAACGGTGAAGCGAGCTGCAATGTTGCCGGCCGTGACAGAGACGGTAATAAGACCATGAAGTGTGAATAAATGCCTAGCTATAGGTAGTGAGGAGCAATATATATCTCAGGCCAAGATTATCCAAGTCTAAATACTTTAGAGGGCCCAGCCCGCAGCTGAACGGAACATTGGTTAATATGGGGAAATGACGAGGAAGTGACTGCTACTACACATATAGACAGATACCAGAAAGGAAAAACGATAAGAGCCAGAGAGAACAGTAGCTTTCCTCGATGGAGGATTCCACGGTTATCTCTCATCTTGTCCCGCTTGCTCCCGCACCTGCAAGGGCCTCGTCCCTGGACGCGGTCAATGGCTCCTTTGATACCGACCTGACGACTACGATGCCCTTTAACTGCCAATCATGTGTACGGAAAAAGGTCAAGTGTAACCGCGCGGTACCGAAGTGTGCTAGTTGCAGCAAGGCGAAGCTCCACTGCGTCTATCAGTCGCCACCGCCGCGTAAGAGGAAGCGCAGTCGGGGCGAAGAAGACGTCCATGAGCGTCTAACACGATACGAGCGCATCTTGCAGGACCACAACCTCCTCCCGACAGCCGCTGTCTTGACCCCAAGTGACAGAGGCGCGGAAACTTCCGCGATCAGCACACGGGCCCCGGCTCCAGTGTTGCCAGATTCGCAACCCGGCGCTACGGCTGGCAAAGTAATACTTTGCACCGACGGTAGGTCTCGCTACATTGACAATGTCTTGCTGCTGAATGCCGGCGAAGGGGACCTTTGTGAGTTACCTGAGCCTAAGCAAGAAGACCATAACCACGACAAAACCAGCCCTAACGAAGGCGCCCTAACGGGTCTTCTCGGCGCTCTCGCCGCACATACGATCTCAGGCGCAATACAAGGAAGCACGCAAAGCCTCACTGACCTACACCCTACTTACGAGGAGGCAGCCAAGCTCTGGCAAGCCTATGTGCAGAACGTTGAGTCCATTTGCAAGATTCTCCACGTTCCGACGGTCGCCAAGATGTTCGACGCTGTCTCTAAGCACCCAGCGGCTGTCTCGAAGAACGATGAATGTCTGATGTTTGCTATTTACTATTTCGCCGTGTTCTCCATGTCGGACGCTGACTGTCTGCACGACTTTGATAATTCAAGGGCACAGTTGTTGTCTAGATATCAGACCACAGTCATCCAGGCACTAGTCAATGCGTCTTGGCTCAAAACAACGGCGATGCCGATTCTACAGGCTTACAAACTCTTCCTTATCGCCTTACGCACTCAGATTGATTCAAATACCTTTTGGATCTTGACGGGGATCGCGATTCGCTCAGCGCAGCGCATGGGACTACACCTGGACGGCGAAAGCCTGGGATTGCCCCCATTTGAGGTTCAGATGCGCCGGCGGCTCTTTTGGCGACTATTGCCTTTGGACAGTTATGCCGGCCAAACATCCGGCACGGGCATATCCATTTCGCCCAGCAGTTGGGATACCAAGAAACCAGTAAACATCAACGATGACCAGATCTTCCCTGGCATGACCCAGCCACCCTGTGAGCAACGAGGCGCCTCGGAGATGATTTTTTGTTTATCCCGGATGGAGCTGTCCAATTTCTACATTTGAGCGGGTGCCAAGCTGAAGGAACACGGGGATACAATCCAGTTTCAGGATGCTGAAGACACTGAGCGACTGATTGATGAGGTGGAAGATCTCATCGAGACCAAGTTTCTGCGCTACTGTGATATCCTGAATCCCTTGCACTTTCTGACCACCGGCATTGTGCGCTCGGCCATTAATTCTGCCCAACTGCGTGCCCAGATGCCGCTACTTAAGCAACAAACTATCACCGACACCCAACGGAGACACCTCTGTGCCCTTGCGGAAAAGGTGCTCGACACCAACAGTGCCCTCTTTAATAACCATAGCACGCAGAATTTCCAGTGGCAGATGCAGGCATTCTTCTTGTGGGATGCTCTTCTCTGTATTCTTCGAAGCATCGAAGAGGTGGGATTCTACTCGCCGTCCGAACTCGCTGCTGCGTGGAGCAAGGTTGCAGACGTCTATGCAAATCACGAAGAACTGGCTAAGGCCCGAAGGACCTTGTACGTCACGATTACTAAGATCACTCTAAAGGCCTGGTTGGCAAATCCGCCCCGCCATTCGTCTCCCAAGCCAGCGTTCATCACCGCGCTGCTTGCCGAACACGAACCTAAAGGCACTAACCTGCAGCAAGACAGCGTATTGTCGGGTGACAAGGCTGCAGATGGGGCTTGTTCTTTCGACGAGCTTTTCGATAATATGAACGGAACCTACCTGGACATAAATAACGCCTTCAATCTCGACTATTCTTTAGATTGGCTGTTCTGGGACCAAATATAAATTGTCGCATCGCGGGGTTTAGTCCCGATGGCCTCGAATTTGCGGGGATTTTCGACAGTTAGGTAGGACTCGCGCAGTAGGAAGCAATAACGCCCGCACCATTTAAGATTACGCTTTTGTAACCTATGTGAGAGTTTATGATTCATGAGGCTACTTGGCATCCCACCATATCATCTTTCTCCTCCGCCAAAGCTATGCAAAAAGCGGATCATACCACCCTGTCCTTATTATCGGCGCGGGTCTATCGGGCCTCGCTGTTGGATGACTATTAACAAACAATGGGATTGCGAGTATCGTCTTCGAGGGTCCTCCGTCAGAACGTAGCCAGGGATTTACCATTTCCCTGCACGACTGGGTCGAGGCTCTCGGCGGGCTGTCCCTCCGGACTCGAAAACCAGTCAGACAAGACAGTCTCTGATCATTGGGCTTTACGAGAGAAAGCTAAGTTACCAAAAATAAGGCCCATTTTTGATAAAAAAAAATCAATATTATAAAAGCTGGAGATTGAAATATGGAATTAAAGGCTTCAAATTAATTTGCATTCAAAACACCATTCATGGATTGATCTATAAAAAAGTAAACATCCGTGCGCGCATACTAAAAGCTATTCGCTAGACAATGCGTATGACCTAAAAGATGAACGAACGCATTCAAGATTTCATCTCAAGGTTCTTAACTCCTTCGATAATCGCAGCTAAAAGTTCAGCTCTAGCAGGACCCCCAAGCTCTTCAACATCAGCGGTCATTATCATACCTGCCTCGCAATTGCGGACTGGGTCGCTGCAATCATTGAAAGTGTTATTGGCAATGAGATCTTGGGGGATCTCGGAACCAGACACACAGCGAGCAAGTGTCTGTAAGGTTGATCTGTTCAAATAATCCCCCGCCGACGGCCAAAATTTCTTGACCTCAACCTTGTGCGCTTCAAGCTTGTCGGCAAGTTGACAACGTGTCTCTTCGTTAAGGTTTGCGGCGAGCTCATCCCAACTCTTTCTCTTGAACCAGAGGTAAGAAATGATGAATCTTAGATAGAGATAACGACGCCGGGGGCGGTTTGCGCCGAGGAATTGCAGCTCCTTTCCATCAAGATCCTATAGAAATATTAGGTCACACCCAGAAAAAAGTCTGTCTGTTAGTAAAACTCACCTGCAGCAAGATCGTATTTTCCTTTCCATCAAGAGTAAATTCTCTCAGGACGACGTTGTGTTTGTTCGCTGGGTTTATCATCACACATCGCCATGATGTTGGTGATGTTGTTTTTCCTGCCATTGGAATTACCGCAATATCTCCTGTATCTAGGAGTGACTCCACATTACCATGTAGGCAAAGGCTGTTTTGAGGCATGGTCGTCACTGCATCCTCGTCGCCAAAAATGTGGCCAAGCTCGGCCCGAGATATGGACTTGGGAACAATATGAGCTGCCTTGATCAATTTGGGGTCAAAGTATCGGCCAAGTATGTGACAATAGGAGAGGTCAGGGTGCTTCTTTCGGACTTCATAATAGTCCTCAACTTCGTTTTTGAAAACTTGCTTGTCCTTCTTCGTCCACTGGGCGCGTTGTCGACCCGATGATGCCATGATTCGAGCCATGATGGTGTCTTTATAGGCTCGTTCGAGGAGCCCTTGGTCCGATGGTTCGTGCAGTCTTTGCCTTTTGCCAGTCGCGACAGCTTCGGCCAAGTCATCTGTCAAAAGACCCTTTTGGCGCTTGAGCACTTTCAAAGTCGACGATGAATCTCTGATTTGAGTCGTGTAAGGGGCTATTTGATGCCAGTATTCAGCTTCGTCAAGCCCAGATTCATCCAGGATAGCCTTGTACTGGGTAATGTATGCCACCTCGGTCTCGAGCTCTGCGATCTTTTCGCCTAGAAAATCGGACGCCGACGACTCGACCGATCCCTCGGAGATCTGCGATGTCTGTGAGACCTGGGATGTTTGTGACACGAGCGATGTGGTACTGTGGGCTTGGCCCTCGTGAATGGTGATGAGATGGGCGGGTGGCATCAGGAATGAGCGATCCTCCGCCCAGCTGCTCTGAGGATGGTTATCACCCTCCATGATGATATTAAAAGACCCTGATCACAGGGATATAAATGAGAGTCTGATATATGAAGAGAAATCTATCTAGATGACAGAGATGATGTTTAATAGAGGAAAGCGAGAGATATCATGTATAATAAATACTAGTACTATTCAGGAAATTGTGACGCCATTAGACTCTCATCTTCCCGCCAGCTGTGAGACATATCTATGGTGCATTTAGGGAATTGACTCACCACAAAATTTTATCAATTTAACAAGAATGCTAACTACATCCTTCCATGCTATCCTACATGACCATATGGTATGTCCTTTCTCGCCACATCTAGAACATTTCCATGGTGTTTTTGTCTTTTCTGCGAGTTTTTGAGGATCAAACGACCATGTTGAGTCTAATTCTTGCTTGTTGAAGGAGGAAGTAGAGGTTCTAAGAGCGGCAACCATATATATTTCTCAGAATCAATGTTAATTTTAACTGATGGATATCAAATGTTGGGATGGGCTGCTTTCGCTCTAATAAACTTCGTATTCGATATGCGCAAGGTAAGCACATTGATCTAGTAAATAGGTTAGTGGTGGGTTTGACCAATAGGAACTATTTCTTATCAATGAGCTTCTCTTTTTATAGTCCCTAATAAGGTTAACTAGTGTGTAGATTTGACGGCAAATGACATGAACTTCCCCAAATTTCAATCTGTCAGTGTTTGAATATTCTAAAGTTCTTTAATTCTCTGATTTCATACCACGATGGCCTCCATATCACCGACAACGGAAAACTTCTACGAAACCCGAGATTCCGCTTTCTCGAGGAAGTTTAGAACACGCACTTTCTTAAAAGGCAGACATATCTCCAATGAAAAGTTCTCGAGCCACGTGATATTTTAACCCGAAAGAGTATCGGTCTTATGTTCAGGCTCAGAATTGGATAACACTAATCCGGAATAAGAAATATATATCACGTGCATTATAAGGATTAGCAAAAAAAATCGGTTTTTGGGTTGGGTGTTTAGATTTTTGGCGGAAAAGCCCATTTGAACATGTTTAATTTCATGAGATATTCTGTTGTTGCGATAGTATTGCGTAATACCAAGTCGATTGGCTGGTTGCTAGGAATGCCTTTCTCTATATAAGTAGCGTGCTCAGGCCCTAGATGTAACAGAAAAGGGTACTAAGCCAATTGAATGACAATCAAAACCAATTCAGAGGACTGATTTCCTGGATTGACAGCAAAAATCGAATGTTATAGGACTCCACCTGCTGCTATAGCTAATGCCGGATGATCCGGAAAAACTGGTACTTTATAAGAGAAGCCACTGTCACAAACTCTCCACTATCCACTATATAGTAAATAAGTCCTTGTACTAGGTATACGGAGAACTTCACCCTGGTATATTGTTGGGTCTCAGACCATCCAGATGTCAGCATCTTGGATCCTATGGCAGAAGAGAGAACCCAGACACTGATAACCGGAGCACAAGCAGAGGACATGAAATATTCCCGAGTGGTATACCTGCAGAGGCTCCTCTGACCAATGGTGATTGTTTTTTACAACTAGCTCTGTCGCTAGCTCAAGCTGGGGATGCCTAGGCTATCACCTGTATACTATGTGGCGTTTTTTCAGCCGGCCTTGAAGCTATACCTCCCGTCTTTTTGTGGAGCTGAACTATGGAGCTTATCTGTGAGCTGGTTTAACTATAGTCACTCAAATCTATTGAGGTTTTTTTGCCGACGAGATTGCTATGTATATAACTTCGCAGGCATCGACTTACTTCCCTTCTTTCATCACACCAGTCGAACTACCTCATCGACGCTCAAAATGCCTCAAGTAAGGGAACACCATATTCAATCCAAACATAGATTTGTTCTGACACCTTGTAGATTACAAATCCTGTTCAACTGGCCATCCGGGCCGTGGAATCTGCACAAGATGAGCTTGTAACTGCGAAGAAGGAACTTGAATCCTACCGTGATAACTCAGCGGACATGGAAGCTGAGCTTTGGGCTGCGAAGGCGGAGCTTGTATCCTGTGTTGAGGCCCGCGAAGCTGAGGCTGCTGAATATCGCACCGCTCTAGAAGCCGCAAAGCACGATACCGAAACCGCGAAAAGTGAGGCCAAAGCTGCAAAGGTCGATGCGCAGGAGGCCAGATCCCAACGTGACGAGCTTAAAGAAATCCTGAGTGGTGGAGCAAACGGACCAATTCACATTTTCGACTTGATTTGGGGCGATAAACACTATGGGAATGAGGCGGCTGTGCATGATCAGGTCGTTGATCTCATTAGAACTGGCAGTTACTTTTGGGTGACAAACGACTTGTTTAGACATGACCCTCTCCCTGGTGTTAACAAGGTTATGACGGTTGTCTATCGGTTGACGAGTGCAGGGCAAGATGGGAGGATTCGAACTTTTGTGGGACTTGAGCAAGGGCAATATAAATTTTAAACTTCCAACGCCTGAAGTAACTAGGTAGCTGGAGTGGTAGTTACTCTTCTAGCATAGAACCCATAAGTTTAAGGAGATCTCAGTCTTTCAAACAGGTAGTTCCCATTCCTCCGTAATCTTGATTATAGACTAAACGATACTAATTAACTGCAATTCAATGGAATAGATAGTTACAGGGCATTCGCCACAAGAAAGTGACGGGTATAAAATGCTCCCAGTGCTATCAAAGAATGGTGTCGCACGTTATTGAAGGGGCGTGTTCCTCGACGAAAGTATAAACAGGCCATGTTCAGAGAATCGAGATTTTTTGACAATTTCCCATCCCCCTCAAGCAACAGTTCCAAGTCTAGACCCAAGCTTTTAAAGATGACCAAGTCTCTTTGATGATGTTCAGACCCCACTCCAGAGTATCCCATCCTCCATCCCATTTAATTCTCGCATACCTATCACCTTTGGAAACGTAATAACTGTCGCTGGGGTTGGGGCTTTTGAAGATAGCATCGATAGAGTCGAAGCCTGCCGTGCCAATGCCACGCCAATAGGCGCTAATGGGCTTGGGTCCAGCCAATACCTTATTTTGCGAAAAGCTGTACTTTAAACTCTGTGTGCCTCGAAAGAAAAACAGCTTGTCACTATCTTTGGGATCGGGAATTCCCGCATCCACGGTGTCAAAGCCGGCATCCACCAAAGCTTTCCATTGTGTCTCAAGGGTCTTAACACCGCTGTATCCCATGGTGTCCTGGAGGTTGTCGTTATCGACTTTGAGTCGAAAATACTGACCCCCATGGAAGACGTAGAATTCGTTGGTGAGGCCAGGAATTGGAATCACGGTATCGATACTACCCTAGTCTGCTTGGTTGAAGGTGGCCCAGTACGTGCGGCTATAGTTCGGACCGCCGATGAGCTTATCAGAGATACCTCCAATCTCAAACTCGATTGTGGCATACTGGGTGCCAGAGAAGACGTAAAATTGCCTGTCATGTCCAGGTTTGGGAACCGTTTTGCTCGGCTGGAGAGACTCTGTCTGAGGCTTTTCCCCGAGGATTTTCCACGCGCCATCTCTCTCCCGGACATAAGCTTCCCCTTTCGTATTCACTTGGTAAACATGGTTACCTACCGCAAGATGAGCGTTGTCGGAATGGGAATCAACAGAGTTCCACGCATCCCCATTTCCAGAATACTTATGGATCTTACCAGTTTCCATCAAGGAAAACATGCCTGCTTCACCTGCAGCTATCTCTACTGTGGGCTCAGCGCTAGCAATTCTCGTCCAATTACTTCCGGAGCTCCACACGAAAATAGCCCCGTTTCGGTGCATCTTGTAGACGCTGTTACCGTCAACCGCTAAAGCGACGGTATCAAACTCGGTCGTAGGGTCATTGATCAGTATCCAGCATCTTCCCGTAGGACCCTGATACTGAGAAATTTTGCCGTCCTCCCTGAGCTGATATACTTTTTATCCAGGCTGGTATTGAGGAGCCCAAAATGCCAGGTCTTTAATGCGGCAGTTGGACTCAGTTTCTTCCCAGGCCCAATTGGTGTGCTGAGCTTGTTGGTGGAGTGTACCTCCATTTTCATCCTGCCATTTCCAAAACTGGTCTCCCTTGGGTAATGCCCAGAGCTTTGTGGCTTTGTCGCCAAAATATTCCCATTTGGACAGCAACTTGAAGACATGGCCCACTGACTGGTGGAGTTGACCCAGAGGTTGGCTGCCAGTGATTTGCGAGTTGTTTTTGTTGGTATTGAGTCCCAAGAGGTAGATAACCCTTGAGTCCATTTCTTGATGGTACCGTCAGTCAGAAGGAGAAAGCAGCTGTCCCCGGCAGCCGTAAGCTGACGGAAGCTTATTCTTCCTTTGAATAATTAATATTAAAGCAAGAAAGAAGTTGAATAATGGATTTCTGGCTTTGAATTTCGATTTGAAAGGTTTTTAGATGTCTATCTTATGAGCAGAATTAGCCATCATACCTAGATATCAGACTAATTGAGTTCCTTTGTAGTAGTCTTTTTTCGTCCGAGGTTTTAGCAGAGCAAACACCGCAATTTTCTACGACTCTTAGGTGGGGATGACAGCCAGCCACAGTTCTCAACTGTTCTCCGATGGCTATGTCTACCTACCCCGCTCACTAGTTCACATGTTTGCAAACCTATCCCGTACTTCTATGACCCGCACGAAAAAAATGTTAGCGACAACTGTTTTCAGCCAGCCATATTCTGTCAAGCCAGAAGCCGATACCGATAAACGTGGGGGAATTCCTTCGTATTACTCTCGTACGATGGGAACTAAACCATTCTTAACTATGATAATTAGAGATCGATGTAGCTTCTCATATTTGAAGATGGTTCCGAAACAAAGCCACGCTAGGAAGTGCCGGATGGAATACAGCCCACTAAATTCTAACTTCTTCAATGGTTGCTGATGGGTTAACGAAGATATTACCCAGGCACCTATATGAAGCGTGGGTAAAACTACCCCTCTTAGAAGAAATTGAGCATCTATACAGTAATTTATTTCAGTGGCCACCGTTGAATAAGTCAATGATACAAGGGTCCTAAGCGAAGGATCGCACACACTACGAATTTCGCACGATATTTCTGAATTCAACACATTGGGTCAGATTGGAGATTGAGTTTTCGTTTTTTGGGCGATTGAACAGCAAATCTACTATGTTTTATCTTGATATTCGAGTCTTTTGTCAAAGAGTCCCTGTTCAGCTTCAGACAAATCGTCCAAAGCCGAGTGTTGTTGGAGTACCTGTATCTATGGTATTGTCCTGTCACCCTGATACGTGGAATGCATCCACAATGAGATATTCCTAATGTATACTAGCGTACTCCGTAATGTGGCTTGAGCTGACGTTTGGCTGGAAGCCATAGCCATTGGTTGGAGTGGATAGTTTTCAACATGGCGTTCTAATACCGTACGTTCGGTGTTTGCCAAGGAAACGGAAATATCTACTATAAAGCAGCTTTTCTTCTGCAGCTGTTTTGTTTTCTTCGTCAGACATAACCGACATTGAAACCTTAGCAGAAAAAGGACCACAGTGAACTCGAAATGGGGTTCAGCACTTCTTGCAAGGATATTTCACTGCGAAAAATCACCCGAACAGGCCAAAGCAACATCACCAATCTGTGCGCTTACTGTAGAGGCAACGATGGACAATATTACTACAGTGAAATCACCCTGGACTGGCATCTTGGCGTTGACAACAATGGCGGCGACACGCCTCGAATCTTGATGGACGGGAGAAATTTGACTAGCTATATGTTGAGTGATATACGCCTAGATGCCGGGGGATCAGTGTTGATTTGCACAACACTCCCAGCTCGCTATTTTGGGTATAGTTCGGCTGATGAGTTCTCGCTGTGTTTGGACATATGCTTCCATAATAACAACGGAAAATTGGTCTTTGAGGTTCCGTGAGTTCTCTTCCCCCTCTCTCAATTGATGTGGATATATAGTTGCTAAATAAAAACACAGGCCGAAAAATGTTGTTTCGAGAGTATCCCGACTCAAAGTCAATTCATGGGGTCAGCTTAGTGGCTATGCTCTCAATATTTACGGCAAAATCCGATATACAACAATAAATCTGGGTGACCATCTTGCCAATAATCAGGGCTCAATCGAGAGAAAGCGCGACGGCCACTTTGAAAGGTCGGCTCATAATATTCGTCTTGATTGGCGATGGGCTTTGTGCGCCGATTTGGATCGATATCCAGGCGATACAAACCCAGGTTCTATTTATTGTTATCAGTTGCTCGATAACTGGATGAGTATTGATGATGAAGGAAACTTGATCATGGAAGATCCGTAAGTGACATTTTCTTTCCCCCTGCTTCTTGACACTGAATTGACTTATGTAGTGCTGGCACATGGGATTTACGTGGACCTTTTTTCAGGCTTCTTGAAGATATTCCAGTTCTTGGATATGTCGTTGCAGGTATTGATGAGATTGAGGGTGATCATGTAAGTGATACAAATTAAGAAGAAAAAGGACAACATGGCTAAATAATTTAAGGATGAGGCTATGCGTGCTGTGGCAGAGTGCACATATGCTACCATTATCTTGGCTGCCTCGATGGTGGGAGGCGTCCTTCTAGGACCCGTAGGTGCTGCAGTCGCATCAGCAGTGGCAGGATATGCTGGGATGTATGCTAAAGCCGCTATTGGTCGATGTATATCTAACCCAGACATGCGTAACGAGGTCACAGCAATCACTGTCTACCGCGTCCTTATGGCAGAACTCTTCCTCATTGCCGGGTCGGGTATTGGTGAATTTTCTGGAGCTTTCAGTGACCTCCTAGTAGAAGAGCTTATGGCGGAAGGATTTGACGACCTGGTAGCTACCATGGCGGGGATGATGGGGAAAAAAGGGTTGAAGACAATGACCAAGGCAGACATGAAAATGTATGACTCTTCCACTGCTCTGTTTGATATTAGTACTGACGTGCGCCTCATTTGCAGGATTATTGAAAATTTGATGGACGCTATTCGGAATGGAAAGTCGGAGGATGAAGTCAAACATATGTTTAACGATTTTGACAATGATGGTGTGGATCTTTTGAACGCCTGATTCAAATTCTACATATACCAATGTATGCCGGACAGACAAATGACCTCGAGAGGTGCTGTAATGTCAATGAAGGAAATTTAGAGGAGTAACTGAGAACGTTATATTATTGAATCTGTATTTTCTGACAATAATGAAGTATTTCATAACCTATGTAAATGATGTGGATTTCGCAGCTTGTTCTCCTACACCTTCCTTCCTCTATACCTTGAGAGCTTAGAACGTACGGATAAACCCGAAGAATGATCGATACTAACGGCGGAGTAAATCTAAGAAGTCGGCAAAATAAAGGATCAAGGTCAAGGCTAAGGGAGTTGGCGCCTAGGCGGTTAGCTCTAACCTTATCATCAAATAAACCTGTTCGAGTACGGTAGGTCAGGCGATTGTATTACCCTCTAGCTATCGTGCTGTATCTCGTTTTAGAATTTCGCAGGTCTGACTGAATCCAACTCTCCAATCACGATGATTGGATCTATTGGTAGTGGATTGTCGAGGGGAATGATAAATGTGTCAAGTTCTTTCTTAACTCTAGTATAGAGGGTATGCGTGGCTTTGATAACCGGACTTGCTGTGATGCTCAAGTCAAATTATTCGGTCCTAGTCAAGTCACCTCAGTGCTTCTTCTAGATGACATGCTGATTAAACATCTATGAAATGATTCGTGAGTGTATATAGGAATTTTAAGAGTGAAGGTTCTTTTATCGGGAAAAAGCCCTTCCGAAAGTATGGGTATTAGGTATTAAGCAGATCCAGAAGGTTAGTGCCAATATTTACAATTACGGACAAGAAGAGAAAAAAGAAGCAGATAATTGGCTGAAGAACCTTCTAGCTTTGATGATGTTTAGTGCCTTATCTACAGCTGGGAAGCCTTCTAGCAAGATTTCATTATCATCGTCCAAATCATCTTCCATATCGACTTTTTCCATATCGAATTCTCGGTCGACATCTCGGTCGTATTCTACTGCTTAGTCGGCAGCTTGTATAAGATGAGCTTTACAGTCTCTCGGTTTCTATGGTGATTCTCCTTAGTGCTGTCGCTATGTGAGGCTGGAGAGGTGATGGAACTTGGTGCAATCATGATGATGAGGGAAAAGCTTGGTTGAATTAGATACAAATTCCAAAGTGGGTCTGAAAATTATGAGTGCAAAGATTATTAAATAGGAAGGAGAAAAGTAGGAGATTGAGAAACCCAGACTGTGCTATACAAACTTGAAATGATGATGGAGGAAACTATCCGTAGAAAAAGCTAACTGACGGATTTCCCAAGTGAGCTGGCCATCCCATTATTGTTATTTGCATACATATTTTGAGTGTTTTGGGTCTTTTTGGTACCATGGCGGTTGAAAACTAGATCGCGAGTTGAATACGTGAGATAAGATCGATAAGATCTATGTAACTGACCGGAGGAACTTTATCCCTCAACAGATCCAGAGGAAAAGTGGGCCAAAAATAGTAATTTCAAAAGCAATTAATATCATAAGCAATAGTGTCAGAGAGGGAGGGATGAAAAGGAAACATCTATGCACTCGGAGACTGAGGAACGGAGGAGAACCAGGTAGAAGAATATCCGCGGGGTAACATTCACCAGTACAGTTCGGTGATATCGATCAGGTCTTGTTCGGAGATAATCACATCGCTCTCTATGGTATTTGCCGGGACCCTGTCATATAGGGCCTCGAAGGGGAGGATCAATGGCGTGCCTGAAATCCCGTTCTCAGCAACTCGAACTTCTTGTGCGCAATAGGACTGTTGATTGAGTGGTAGTTGGGTTGTCAATGGTGGTATGTTCGGAGTCTGGGCACAAAGATTCTCCACAGCTGCTTCTGTCAATGGTTGAGGGGAGTTTGTGGGAGCCAGCTGCCACTTTTCAATGTCGATCCACTTGGCCTTAATGCTGATGATGAGGACAATCCTGACTTCCCCATGAGAGTCGGCGAACCACTTTGCCGCGTCACCTCTGAGCTGTGAGATTCCCTCAGAATCCCCTGTTTCAATAACAAGGGTCGGCCATCCCGTTTTCATCACTTGCGGCTTACATCGTGGTGGCGGTACGAATGCATCGTCAGCTTGTTTACCTTTTCCAATAGCTGGGCCATATGTAGTAGTTCCCATCCACTGGGAAGACTGCCATCTCATTCCCATACCAAGCATTGCGTTGTGGATTGTAAGCTGGGTTCGCCGAGTGACAGTGTCGTGGGGCTCATTAGGAACGACTTTGATAAGACCTGTTGTGCTCTCCCATTGGAACCGGAATTTTACCCCAAGATTGAATCCATCCTTGTCCAGCTGTTGAGTAGCATTCTCCGACAGCCCCCGAACGACAAGCCACTGGTTGTGACTCTTCTCTTGCACGTAAAACTTTTGGATCTCATCCACTGCCTTCCGCAAATAAGCCATGGTTGAATATGTCTGCATCATATATCCGACCGGTAGGGAGGCCATGATGGAGTCCGGAGGGGTCTGAGTCTTCATCTTCATGGTAGTTATGGCAGAAGCTGGCTTTTCTGGGGTCCTAAAAACGGGGAAACATCGCCGTCAGTAAAAAGGGGACGTCATGACTGAAGGTGGGTGAGACATGTACTAACTGGAAATTTGAAACACGGAATGTAAACCACTTTTTTAAATGAAGATGTCTAGGGAAGGAGCGACTTATGAGAAGGCGCAAGGTCGATTTACATTACCAGAACACAATGACGACTAGACCACTTTCGGCTATGATAATAAACCTTGAAATAACTCGACTCGCGAGTTCTCTTCCATCGACTACAGGGGACGAAAATGACCAAAGTGCAACTAGAAGTTTTAGTACTGTGGGACCAAAATCCGGGGTATTAATTAGGAGATGTCTATATTGACGCCCATGCCTTATTTTAAGGTTCTTCTCCACTTTCCACCGCCTTTCCTTCATCGATCTCCACACCCTTAATGGAATGTTGGAATATGGAACAAAGCAGTCATGCGATCAAATCGACGCTTTATAATAGCTAACAAACTAAGAATGAAACTCAGACTCTACAACCACTTCAAAAGACACCAGATATCATAGGGGCGTAAAGCGTTACATATAATAGGTGTTAGAAGTGGGCGTTAGCCTCCCATTCACCTCCGTTATCGAATAGCTATTCCACCGGTGTACTGTACCGACAATAATCATCACTTGATTTAATTTTATCACCTATTAAAAAAGGTGATTCAAAAGCATTACAATCGCACCATCTGAACAGTTTATCATATTTCTTTATATGATCGCTATAGCTATTTAGAAGAGATGAATAAGGAACAGGTGAAAAAAGGGAGCTAGTAGGAAGTGGGCTATTCCCAAGGGTAGTCTAGGGGGGTTAGAAGAGATTCAGAAAAATGTTGGTGGTGGGAATGGTGAAGTAATTTATATATCTGATGGCGAAACGCTTAGAATATGTCTACTTAAACTGATTTACCTATAATGCCTAGAACTAGGATCAATCTTTGTCAAATCCGTGTTACTTAGTCAATTTTATGGTGTTTTGGTTCTCAAATATGGGGTTGAATTTGTACATTTTTTGAAATTTTGATGGGGCATTCCGAACAAGCGGGGATTATGTTTGCGGTTGCGGTTGCGGTCATTTGCGATTTTGCGATTTTTTGCGATCTGCGGTCAATGACTTAACATTTCTATCGATCGCCAATCTACTTCTATATTAAAACATTTGCCAAAATGCCATCCGAAAATGATCCTATGGGAGACTTATTTGACTAGAAAGAATGCCTTTGAGTTGAAAACCGTGCATGCGGCTGGCAAGATTGATAGCCTCGAATCACTTTTTTGTTACTGTCTATGTTGGAACCAATAGAATCTGGTTTACTGCAGTGAATGGACTCGGGAAGTGAATAGAACTAGTGGAATCGGGGCATATCCGATTCCATCGCGGGAACTTAGGAACACACATTTTACCGCACACTTACTCCACGTATCAACGTAGCCCTTGACGAACCTAGACCCACCACCAGTAAGTAGTCCTCATTTCCCCAACAATTCAGAGCCGGAAGCAGCGATCATATGAGATCACCGAATCATAAGAACTTATGTAGACCCACACGTATGTATACTGACGTCAAGAGCTGAATGTTCTACGTAGAGAAGTGAAAGAATAAATCAGCTGAGGTTTGGTATCTGGTTTTAGCTATAAATGTATGTTTCTCGTCAGAATGCTTCCTATATGTCTACCTCATCCTATCTGAAAGAACAATCTACTATAAAGTTTAAACACTCAAAATGGCTGCGTTCCCTATCGAAGAGTATGTGGTTCTTCTTCACCATCATTCCTTGCTGTCTGATAAATATTAATATATTATACTAGTTCTAATGTCTTTGAAGACCTTATAAACCGTCCCGAACCTTCTATCTGGTACTTCTTCACTGGAAATGATGGCCCTGGCCCAGAATTCCAACCTTTACTGTCTGGTGCCGTTGGGATAGAAGCTTTCTTTGTTGACATTGACCAATGCAATGTTCAACGAGACCTTAACAAATTGCCACAGACAGTTCTGTACAAGGGTGGCGAGGAATTGGGTGTTGCTTATGGAGGCGATATGGACACATTTTTTGAGCTTTGTGAGAGGGGGCAATCAGAGGCATAAATATGGCAAATGCTTAGAACGTCCTAGATTATAGGATGCAGTCAATTAAGACAGCTTGTCCCATTGAATAAGCACCTCAATAATAACAATAACTACGCAAAATTGTCCTGTAATAATGTTGAGGCTCGCTGTAAAGCCGTTCCCTTTACACGACTTGTCAATGTGCGAATATTCAACTTTCAGCTTGGATACTTCTAACTGGTTACAACTGCCGCGCTGCGGGGCTGTCAAGGTGGTTCAGCTAGAGAATTTCATAGGTATTAGTATGGATATGCGTCCTTGTCACACTGACGGGCCGATGCCGTATCCGTCTCCCGACCCGACTCCACTGGTCGGCTCACATTACCAATTTGTAGATAATGGTGTATTTATATACTAACTAACTAGTTAGTTATCTTCATCCTGTCTCTACTTTTAGACTGTCGGTTCACAGGGATCTCGATGCACTATTACCAATCGACATAGCCATTTGAACTTTCGCCGGGAGAAAGGCAGTGTAGAGAAATGCTCTTTGTAGGCTATAGCTCATGCCGTAATCCGCCTTCTGACTCTGCTGTTCGGCTCAAATTGCCGATTCCTAAATAATTAATAGCGCATTCGTAGAGCTCGCCATGTATGGTGGGTACCCGACTCAGCTGCTCGGCTTAAATTACCGATTTATAGACAAAGGCGTATTCCAGTAGCCCGCGCTGAAAAGCCACGCGCCAGATACTGTGGAGACCAAGGGCACTGTCAACATGGCTGGTTGGTTGAAAAGGGCGCGTTCGAGGGGTATGCCATTCGGATAGAAGCCTCGGGTGTTTTATTCGAATGGATTTTTTTTCGAAGATATTGCGAAAGAAGTGTTATAAAAGCGCGAGGTGCTTCACCAGTGATTCATTACCAACCATTGAACTTCAATTGTTTCGAATACTTCCGACGAAGCTCCAACCTTCTTGTTAACATGGACGCTACTATTGATATAAAGACGGCCCAGGAGGCTAATGTGGTCAAATTCCTCGATCACCAGGAAGGCCGTGTTCGTCTCGAAATCGAGGAGTTCCTCGGAGACAATCACATGACCAATATTTTCCTCCTGGCTTTGGAAGCCATACATCAGGAAGCAATGGAGCCGGTGGACAAGCAGAATTGGTGGACAGCCTACAGTCTGGGAGGTAAGATGGTGAATCATGGTTTCGTTCGTGCCTAATGGCAAAGAAGGATGATGAAGAAATATGGCAAAGATATATGGCTAAAATCATGATAGGAATCCATGGATCTCCCAGGGAAAAGTGGAACGGGGTCGAATTTAGCACGGCAGACCCAAAGATCTCTCCATATGGGTACTGCACCCATGGCATGCTCATGTTCCCGACCTGGCACCGTGTCTACATTGGCATGTTTGAGGTATGATGATCTAAATGCTCTGTGACTATGAGTTGGCGCCAATTGACAAACAAATGCAGCAAGCCGTCGCAAACAAGGTCCGAGAGATCGCAGAGAGCTTCGGGGACGACGAGGGCCGCCTGTCGTACCTGAGTGCAGCGGATCGATTCCGATTGCCGTACTGGGATCCTACACTGCCCCGAAACGAGGGCAATGGTACCAACGAGGAATTCAGTGAAGGGATCTGGGGATTTCCCTTGATATTTCGCCAGCGCAAGGTTTGGGTAAAGAGGCCCCACAGCAAAATGGCCGCGCATATCCACAACCCTCTGTTCAGCTTTGCACTGCCTGATGAAGATCTCCTCAGAGCGAACGGCCGGTCAGTTTTGGAAGCATACAAGCACATGGTGAGTGGTATTAAAGTTCATCTACTTGGTTGGATGATTATTTCTGGCTCTCGTTAATTGACATGGCGTGATTAGCCAAAGGATGGCCTCCTCGGGACCATTAGATGTCCCGATCAGCATGGATATCCCAGCTTGCATACCAATGACTACCCGGTGGCTCCCAAGGGTGCGAATGGGTTATCCCCTAATGCACCAATCGAGAAGAGTGATAGGATCAACCTCGACCTCAAGGTTCAGCGACAGGCAAAGTCACTCAGCACGAAGCTGTGGAAGCTGCTCAGCCCTCATGTCGACAATGGGGCGAATAGGCAGCGGGACTGGTCGGCATTTGCCTCTCACTTCAAGTACGAACGGGATGGTACCATTGTTACTGAACCGTTCAAAGGCCTGCCGAAGGAAATGGAAGAATATTTCAAACGTGACTTGAATGAGGAAGTGAAGCCAGGAGATAACTTCTTTATCTTCCAGGACTCTGGTGTCTCTTTGGAAAGTTGGCACGATGATATTCATCTGCTGGTTGGATGTGGTGATAAAGTGGCTGGCCACATGGGTCTCCCCCTCGCACGCTGCCGTGAGTGATTTTCCTCCAGTTGTGTGTGTGACTTCAGACTGTCATAGCTAACGTAGCTGAGGGGATGTAGTTTGATCCCATCTTTTGGTTACATCACAAGTTAGTCATTTTGCCAATCCTATTTTGCGGAGGAGCAGTTGCTAACTAAACATTTTTGTACAGCAACATTGATCGTATCTTTGCCATCTATCAAGCCTTGTACCCGGAGAAGTGGTTTCCTTCAACTGGTACACAGCGGGCTGATAGCGCCTTGTTTCCATTCCGGAAAACATTGGGCAATGATGAAGATTCCTTCTGGGATTCGAACGATGCGCGCGACTGGGAGGGCCTTGGGTTTGCCGTTCCAGGTGATGACAAGTGCCTGACTGAGGATGGCTTGAAGAGTCTCCGCCACCACCTGTTCGACTATTATGGGTGGTAAGTACTTATGCTCCAGATAGTCTATTTTTCCGTTATTTTCTGAGTTTCTAACCACGTTGGGCATATGTTTCAGGAGCGCCAAAGGCGTAAAACCTCCAGAAGCCGTTTGCGAACTATGGCCTAAAGATCTCAGCTCCTCTTTTGCCCTTAAGGGTCCGAAAAATGTCAAGAACGTTGAGAAGCCCATCTTAGTGTATGAGGCCATTGCGGGATCTCATCTGGTGACCCGCACAATCGACCTGACCACCGCAGTCCATGGCCAGAAGCTGAAGGTGACCGATAAGCTTCGCACTATCGGAATCGACTCCAGGCCCGACGACGAGTCGATCATCAACTACAACAGCGCCATATTGCCAACGAAAGACAAGAGGCGATTCACTTGGAATGCACGGCTTAGCGTGCGCAAGTTTGCCTTTGATGGGTCCTTCAATATTCACCTATTCATCGGAGAGGTCAAGGATCATCAGCCCGAGAGATGGTTGACCAAGAAGAACGAAGTTGGCTTCTCCGCGGTTTTTGCCAGCACACTTGACGCACCTTGTTCGAACTGTCGCAAGCAGGCAGCCGAAGGCGCCGTCTATATCGACACTATCCCCATCACCCCCGCTTTGGCTGCTTACCACAAGGACAACATCAGCACCCAAGATTGTATCGCAGCTGAGTTGAGAGTCCTTGATAACTTCTCAGTCGAAGAGGTCAAGAGCTTCCTCAGGAAGAACCTCTCCTGGCGGCTAACAAGAGCCAACTCTGAGGAGATCACGGACGAGCAGGAAATTCTCGATAGTGGATTGACTATCTGCGTGGGCTTCCGCGAATTTTCAGTTCCCACCGACGAGAATCCCTTGGGAATTTACCAAGATTTTATCCCCATTGTTGACATTACCAAGGAAAAGCTTGGTGGCTGGGGCTATGGAGACAAATAGGAAAGTGAATATGGATGTTGAGCGTACAGAGTGATGGTCGTGCCCATCAATATCTTTAATTTAAAGATAAAAAGTGATGAAATTCGAAAAAAAGAAAAACTAACAGTTTCGTAAGTCATTCCACGTAAGACAGTTCAAGTTTGAAAGATCAGTACTCTAAGCCTGTGGTCCAGACGGATCAGGCGAGCCACGAGTTTAGTCTTTGCAGTTGTTTTAGGTTGGGTTTGAGTGGACCACACTACTTCCCCGGAACGGGTGTAGACGTGTTAGTGTCACCACTAACGTCGCCATGTCACCCTCACGTCAATCCACTCACTAGAATAGAGGATTCCCTCCTGATCGTTACGGATACCCCGTGAAAAAAGCATTAAAAAGCTCACGTCAGATACGTCTCTTGATCCCTACGCAGAAGAGAAACCAGACATGGAAAGAGAAATACATGGATCTGACTTTGAGATTGCATACGTTTCCCCGGTGCTTGAAGAAGATGGCAATAGGCTCGGAATAAGATCTCCAAATGGCCGAAAAAGACGGAGCTATGGCTCTAGTGAGCCCGTTTCCTCGATCGATCCAGACGGCTTCACCAACGAAGATTTTCGGGTGGGTGGTCCGTACCTCTGCACTTTGCCGGCTCATACACTAGTTGTTTCGGCGGAGGATCCTGCTTTCAAAGCCATGCAAGACGGTAGTATCCTCATGAAGGTGCAGGAAATTATGTCTGAATTTCTTGGTACCCCGGGAGGTAGTGTTTTTACGAGTTCGCTCTTCGGAAGAAAGTCTTCCGTCGGCGCTCAGTGCGTTCAAATTGCAACAATCCTCGTTTTCACGGAGCGCTACAAACTGGATGATAAATGGCTCAACACTTCAAAGTTTGTCTGGAAATACTTGCAGTCGGTTAGTCTTGAACACGTCACTGTTGAAATTATCGATCAAAGTAGGCTGGACGATGGCCTTGCAACGTCTCTTATTCTTAGAGAGGATACGATTTTTGACTTATGGGTAGCTGTATTCGGAGCCATCAAAGCAAGTGTTGACTTAGCAGATGTTCAGACAATTGCATGTCTTCGTCGAGGATTTTCAAACAGCTTCCCAGCTGTTTTGGTCACTATCAATAGAAATAGTCAGAGAAGTTGGACGGGGTTTTGTGAAAGGATCGTCTCTATCCTCGGCCAGTATAACCTCGGAATGATAGTTGTTGAGATCGGGAAGGACGAAATTTATCGCGGAATGAACAACATGCCTTTTGAAATGGAAACAAGCATCAGCCAAGAAGATTTTGAAGGACCCCACAAGCCAGGCAAAAGCTTGGCACCAAAATCAAATGAACATGGTTCCGAAAGCCTCGGGGGATTTTTGAAACTGAAATTTCAGAATGATGTATGGCATCAGTTCGCCGTGACATGCTTCCACTGCATAATCCCCTCTGGCTCTAACAGCCAACAACCAAAAGACCGCAAGCTCAATTTAACTTGGTGCTTCTTTATATAAGACTAACTATGTGTCTAGGAATTCAAAATTGGAATGAATTTGGGGTCCTGCCTGACGATTCATACGCCCTCACCGATATTCTGGTTAATTCCCCTAGCTCGCATTCAATCGATGAACAAATTGAAATTTGCAGCAAGGAAATTGAGGCCATTATGAAGTCTAATGTCTGGATTAATGACCACAAAGCTATTGAGGAAGATGTGTTCGAATTTTCGCCAAGAAGCCTACAAGCTGAGTTCAGATTTAGAGACGCGAAGCTAACCCGCGCCTCAAAATTCAGGCGAGAACTACAGGAAACCAAAAGAGATGAACAGCATTGTTTTGGACATGTCTGGGCTGCTTCTGGACTTCAAATCAAAAACAACACCGCTTTTGACTGGGCTCTCATTGAAATCCCACCAACTCGTGAAGTTCAAAACGAAGTAAGCGCCCTCATATTATACTTTTACACGATTTATAACTAAAATCTGGGGTTCTAGCTTGAGACGGGATGACAATCGTGAATTTTTCTTCAACCGCACTAGAGCATCACGATCCTCTAGATATGCAAGGGTACCGCACTGGCGTGTCGAAGGGTAGATCCAATGAGCTAGTCGTTGTAGTTGTAGATGGCCGCGAGACGACATTGAGCTTACGCATCAGGCAGAACAACTTATTGTCTAAATGGATGATGAAAGAAAGAAGGCCAATGCTATTTCGAGTTTGCTCAAAAGACTTCAATCTTAATATGAATGGTTCAATTATTTCGATGTCGCCACTTACCTAGGTGCTTTAATGGGCTGTCTAGGTGACTTTAGAGTAATCAAAATGCCGACAACTCCACTAATACGCTAAAATTTTGAAAGGTAGAACTGAGTTTGGCTGAAAGTCTTTGAAACTCATATACAATAGTATATAGTCGACTACATTTAGTCCGGAGTGCAGTCTCTTAAGAGATGCTCTGTGCCTGTGATACGTCGCTCAGATTTATACGGAACATTTGAATTGATGCAGATCTTACCCATGTATTGAATTCATGTCAATAATTATCACACCGCAATTTTGGGGCGATGATCAACTGTTTAGTCGGTGTCGGTGAGGATGACAAGGAAATTGTTGATGCACCTTCAAGTCAGGCTCCAAGGTTGTTCCATGTTGATGGAATCTTTTCTCTAATTTCCAAAAGACTTTCAATAATTCCAATCATCTAAAGTACGGAGTGAGACTCCAAGATGCTATGCACCCTAGTGGGATATCCTGTTTCAAGTTGACTCTGCGCCGATCTCAAGCTAAATTACTTTACCAGGCCTTCCCATGGCTTGGATGGCCCTAGTGGAGTAAGACAAATTCTTCTTTGGTCAGATTCGATATAAGACCTTGAGTTTGTCCACTCCAGGGACTTTCAAAGCTGCCCATCTTGGTCGTCCTCTACTTAAAGTAGGCTTTCCATACCTTTACACCTATTCTGCTTGCCATCTGAATATTTATTTCATCACAGTATGCCCGACTTTGGTGGATCACGAGTTCTATCGTCGGAGGCGAATAGTCTCCTTCGCCATGTCTTGGATGATTGGAACCCACAGTATGGCCTAGGAAACATGGATAATGGCGTGTACCATACCGCTTGGATATCCCTCATCTTGAAAGCTGATCAGTGGGTCTTTCCAGAATGTTTCGATTTTTTGATCAACACGCAGCGCAAGGACGGAAGTTGGGGAAACCCAGCATCGGAAGTTGATCAGATTTGTGATGGGCTCGTGTCTCTTCTTTCGATCAAAAGACATCTAAAGGGCCCTGTCAGCTACTCTAAGAAACAGGAAGCTGATTTGAAAGACCGGTCTGACCGTGCAAGTCAATTTATCCAGACCACCTTTTCGAAATGGAATATCCAAAGCTATGACATAACGCTTCCTATAGGATTTGAGATGTGGTTCCCCACAGTTCTTGATCTCCTTAAGGAAGAGGGTATGGAATTCACCGTTCCTCAAATGGATTGGATTTTGAAAATTCGGACTGCAAAGTTGGCAAAATTCTCTAATGAAGACCTCTTTAGTGGATCTCACAGTTCAGCCTTGTACTCGCTCGAAGCATTCATCGGAAAGGCTGATTTTAGTCGATTAGGTCAATGGAAGGAGCTCAAAATGGTCGCATCTTGCCCTTCGGCTACAGCGGCTTATCTCATAGAAGCTCCTCAATGGGACGAAGATGCGGAATTATATCTGCGCCATGTTGTGCGGTCGACTATCTCAAACAATCGGGCTGTGCCAGAAATGTTCCCTTCAACATTTTTCGAGTTTTCATGGGTAGTTTCGACATTGCTTCACAGCTTCTCCAAGAAAGAACTTGACCACACCTTGCTCCAATCGCTGCAGGATAAATTTGTCGGCTGGTTCGAAGAGTACGAAGGGCTAGTTGGATCCGGTGAATCGGTTCCCCCCGAGCCTGACTCGACCGCCAAAATGCTGACAGCCCTCCATCTTTTGGGTACGTCACACTCTCCAGCCAATATGATCAAATGTTGGGAGGGGCCCCATCATTTTGTGACTTATGCGGGTGAACGTAATGCAAGCTGTTCCACGAATGCACATATACTTATCGCCCTTATCCATCTCTCAAAAGATAACGAGTATAGTCAATTTATTGAAAAATGCGTGCGGTTCCTGTGCAAGTCCTGGTGGGATACAGATGGAATTCTTTATGACAAATGGGTAAGTGAGGCGAATGTATACGAATTCATCGGAAAGGAGCCGTACTAATTGGTGTATGACTAGAACATCTCACCTCACTACCTTATTCTGCTTATATCTCAGGCTTTCACTCTATATCTGAGCAAATATGACAACGGAGTCATTGAAGCCCTGCCGGATGATCTACTTCAACTCCAGCTTCCTATAGTACTTATACAGGCTCTTGTCCGGACCCTTCAGCTTCAAAATTCTAATGGATCATGGGGTACACCTGATTCAACAGAGGAGACATCATATGCGATACTTTCCATTATGAGTATCACACCGACACTACCGCATATCCGAAGCTTGACATGGTTTTGTGCTATAGCTGTGGAGCGTGGGAGGAAGTTCCTAGACTTTTATTCGGGAAATTCAAGGTCTAATAACCATATCTGGGCTGGAAAAACCAGATACGGTCTCCCAACTATTACCGAAGCATATTCCTTAAGCGCAATGCACTACCGCCCTGATTTTGAACGGGGAAGATTGGGAAGCAAGGTTTTTCCCAGCACTCTTGATGAAATGGCGAGATTTATCAAGTCCCACAGCAGGATCTCGCTATTTTCAGCGTCTCCCCCTTGGGTTGTTGAAGTTTCTGCTCTTGAGAGTTTTTTGCTCTTCCAAAGTCTTCCTGAAGTTGATTTATTTGGAAAAAATAGAAGCATAAGTGCATCACCACTCAAACATGTTTCTTTAGTCTTGACTGCGATCATGAATAGCAAGCTCCTTTTCCTTAATATCAGCACACAGGCTCTTTATGACACCTATAAACTGATGGTGGCTACTTATGTGATGGACGACTTTGGAGATACCCAACTGCGGTGGGAAAGCATCGACGTTGTCACATCGTGCGAAAGAGTGATTTATGAATCTTTTCCGGAGATAAATACGAATTTTCCAGAAAGTCTCACAGCAAAATCTCAACGGTCTGCGATGTTGACAGATGGGACAGGCGAGACCATCCTTCAGCTTCGAAGCGCGATCGAACTCCACAAGAACAACGTCATGTGTTTGAAAGGGATCTCCACAGCGAATGAAGGTTACAGGCAAGAGGTTCTGTTTGAAATGAGAAGAGTATGGCTGTCAATCATATCTGATGTTAAACTCGGCATCATTACCTTCGGATCCCGCGAGAATCCACTACAGAATGAACCGGGAGGTAGCGCAGGATTTGATTTCTACGACTGGCTTCAATCATACGGCGTGGAGAGTTTGTTCTTCAGCTACATATTGGCTTTCATGATATGTCGTGTTAGTGATGGAAACGACTTATTTACCCCCCTGGAAAACTATCTTGTTCATGATTGGTGTCGACACAAGACCATTCAAACCAGGCTTTTCAATGAAGTTGAAAGCATGGCGCGTGATAAAGAAGAGTCTACAGTAAACGTGGTCAATTTCTTGGCTTTTCGTGAATTGAAAGTTGCCAAGACTAGAGCAGACATTCTTCAAATGGCAAAGCTCGAGGGAGAGATGGCTAGCATTTGTTGGGAAAGGCTGGAGGCTCTCGTGTTTCCAAAGTGTTCAGCCCGCGTGAAAGCGATGATTCAATTTCTGAATTGGGTCACTGATGCGTATTCAGAATTGTATGTCATGCTTAGTATATACACATAAAGATTTCCAGGAAGCCTTTGAAAATTTGAGCAAGTACCTATCCTATCATTACCGTACGTAATACTATGTCATATACTCCATACTTATTATCAATGGCAACTATTAATCCTCGTAATTTATACTTGTAAACAAAGGAGAGTTGAAGCCCAGGCCGCAGACAATCAATCAATCATCAATCAATACCCCACTAACCTGATGCAGCCTAACTACTACCTACCTACCCGCTTCGTCAATGACATCTTGAGCAATTCACACATGCTCTCGAACAATTGCAGGACTGCAATCAGAGAGATGCCAGCGAGTCTCCTAGCTCTACCTGTTGAACTTCGCAAAGAGATATACAGATATCTCTTCGTGCGCAAAGAACCCATTGATCCCTGGAATGGAGGTCATAAGCTAGATGTCAAACTCTTCTGTACGAATACGGTAATTCTACTTGAGGCCAGCTCACTACCCTATGGCCATAATTGCTTTGATCTCATGTGGGAGCCTGGACTTATACCTGAATTTATTGATACTGTTGGTTTTATCAACGCATCTCACCTTCACTGTGTCCGCATCGACTTTCCAAAACTACGTGATCTCGAAGACGAAGTCAGCCTGGAAGATGTCAGCCTCAATATGCTGGGAAAAATTAAATCATACTACACGAGTCTAAGAAAGCTTATAATAGCCCAGAAAGCACAAATACCATGGAATACCGGCTAGATTCATTTGACAGCCCTTCAATTTGTGCCAGGGCGTTAGCGCTGGTTGCTAATCATCTCAGAGCGACTTCATCTCTCCAAAAAATTGTCATCGAGGTTTATGATAAAGGCCCTAGTCCAGATATTCGGAGGAAAATGGAGTCATGGATGGATACTAAGGTGGTAGAGCCAGCGGAAGTAGAGGAGTGGGATGCAGTCGGATTTTTGGATGATTTTGAAGATGATGAGTATCTTTATGATAAATATGATGGTAACGATTATGATGACTACGATATTGATAATAATAGTGTTTTTTGGAGAAGGGCGGCAGATTAGGAATCTGGAATGGATAGTCATTTCGGGGGCGAGGGGCAGCAAAAGAGGACCGCGACCAGAATAAGCGGACACCTCTCTCCTGAGCTGCGGAATATGGAGCATTGCATGTTTTCAAAATTCCGCTGGAGAACGGGGCAGAACTTAAATCTATAGATGATATGTACTTAACACCATTGTTGTGGCTGATATAGTCAAGGTCTACTAAAGTGGTACTCTGAATATCCTTTCACGTATTGCGCATTCTATTTTCTCTATAAATTTCAGCCCTAGACGTCGCTTACTTTGACTGACCAGAGCAGAATTGAATATTAATAATCTTCTCGGTCCTCCCGGGCGCCCCGTATGATGTCTTTCATCATATCATATAATCCTTTATCTTCCTTCTCCTATCCCCTCCCATTATGAAATTCCTCCTTCCGAAGTGTGTTGATATATGGAATAAGTTGCTGGTAGTACTCTGTGAAGTACTCTTTTGCAGATTCCAGAAAATAATCTTCCACAGATATTAGGCCTCCCTTCGTAAAAGCCAGTTCCTTTGCATCCGCAAAATTCCACTTATCAAAACTCGCAACAACTCTTCCGTTACCCGGTCCCTCGTAGTGAGTGCAAATCCAAATATCACCCAGAAGAATGATTCAAGATAGTGCATAAAACGGCGCTGCTCGCCTATAAGTGATCTAATTATCTAATTGCCATAAGGGCCCTCGTGCCGGTCTTTCCTTTTGCACCCGAGAGATCCTCTCGCTGCTCTCTTATGACTAGATCAAGATTAATCAAGAAGGCCGGCCATGATGGGTTCTTTTTGTCCTCGTTGATCATAAGATTGTTGACTAAGATATCCCGGTGAAGAATTCCTGCCTCATGCAAAGACTGATGTCCTGTAATGCAACTCTCTAGCGCGGCAAGCAGGGCCGAGTGCGTGCTTGCCTTGTAAATTGCTTTTCCATAGTCACGTAGGACGACACGCCGATGAATTCGATTTGGCATTGGGTTGCTGGGTGCCTTAGTAATGGGGGACTTGCATCATGAAGCAAACGTAGCCAAAAGATTAGTGGGTATGTTTTCGATCTCATTTATCTTCAAGCCCATTGCTAATGTCATGCCAAAGAACCCCCATTAGATTCAAACAAGAAGAATGTTTAGGCACTTTCTCTAAGAAAGGATCTCTATGGCGACATATAGAATCCATCCACTTGCAAGCTTCCTACCAGTGTCCTCAGTATGGGCACACCTTCAAACGCAAGGATGAAGTATGGGCTTTGAGACCACATGCGGGCAGTACACATCGAGTGAAATCCAGTAGCATTCAGTGGTGACGAGCTATAGCTTGGGTTTTAACTGGGTGGTTGCTAGCGAGTGTACTTACGCCTTTGTAAGCGAGTCAAATGTTATATGATGAGTCTGTCCCGATATCTTTAGAAAAGAGGTATGGTTATAATACTAAACAGGTTCTTGAATTTGTCCTCCATTAAATCAATAGTTACATTCAATTTCATACTTCCCTCCACTTATATTGACTACCTGTATTCTTGGCACCATGCTTAATGAGATCTGAGGTAGTCTCCCTCTTTGACTCCCTCGTGATAGAGTCCTAAGTCTCTGCTACAGATTGGCTAGTGTGTACTACCTGTTTGTGACTCCGAAGTCTATCCTTGCGATTGAAGGTGTGCCCACATTGAGGACACTGGTATGAAGCTTGCAAGTGGATGGATTTTATATGTCGCCATAGAGACCCTTCATTGGAGAAGGTACCTGAATACCCGCATTCCTCCCATTTGCATAGAATGGGGCTCCTTATTCATGGATGATATCAGCAATAGGATTAGAGATAAGAAGAGATCGAAAAACTTACCCGCTAGCCACTTGATCATGGTTTCTCCCCTGGTCTTGAGAGGGAGTGACGCTCATTTGAGCCACGTCATTCAGAATTGGTAGGCCAGAGATACCAAAGCTAGTAATTGGAATTAGGTAGGATGAAGAGAATGCATTATCCGGCATTCTGAGTGGATTCATCGGATGATCATACAAATCGTACATCGGGGAGGTAAATGTTGAAGGAAAGGTTGAACTATAAGGTATTGAGGTCCAGGGAATTTGAAAATTGCCTGATATGGCAGAGCGGATGGATTCATCTTCGTATGTAACGTGGTAATATGTAGAGTTGTTGACTTGTTGATCGGAGGTTGGATTGATCTCGTTCTCCAAAGGCATTTTAAAGTTGGGGGTATTATGTATATACATTTCAATTTTTTTAAGATTGGAGGCAAATGTCCGGAAGATAATTTTTGAAAAATAGCTACTTTGTAGGGTGGCGTACAAGAGACAAGAAGTATATAAGCTTCGAAAGTTAGGTTTTATAGGTGTTAAATAGGTTAGATAAATATTAATAAAATGCGGCGTAGGTGCGTTAGGTGGTAGATTACGGCGCAAAATCGTTGCTACACCAGCCACAATGGCGTCTTTAACGCCATTGGTCAGAAATGGTACATCACCATACCTGGCATCTGTGTTGAATTCACGCGGAGAATTGACTTCTACCCTTGGAAATGAGAATGAAGTACTTCAATTCTATCTTTCCCCTTGATAACATCAAGAAGATTCTTTACGATATCTTTCCGAGCATGTCTGGCCTCAAGCCAAGCAACTGTCATAATTTCTAACTATCAAATAAGAATTTGACCGTCCAACCGTCATTGGTTGACGAAACTGGATTTTCTATGTAGGGAGGAAAAACCGCTTAAATACACACATAGTGGATCCTGCAAACAGTAAAAACACACCCCCATTATCCCTCCTTTGACACTAACACATTCGATATTTGCACCTTCAGCGTCCAGGTTGAAGTAATTATACTGCCAGTTATAGTCCGACTTTTCCCTCTAAAGTTGGAGACATCGAAAAGTCAATTGACCACTGTCGCAGCTCTCCATAGTCTAGGGCACTTCCAACTAAACGACATTGCTCCGTCAATCCACCAGATCGGTACGGCGACTACGATAGACTTGCCAAAGTTCAATTACCTCCTGACTGAATATCTTATAGGGACCGTTTCGCTTGAGAATATTCGGAACGCACTCAACCAAACCAACCAGCTGGAGTTGGTAGACTCAGTCATTCGTGCCATAGATAAACTTCGGAAGCTTGGAGATATTAGGAATGTCTCTGAGCATCTCAGGACGAGGAGACCCCCACTTCTATAGGTGGTCCGGTAATTGGATATTTTCCAGACATTAAGAAATTATTGGAGGAAATACTACCAAAGCATGGGAGACCACCAGGTCGCAAGTTATTAGAGATTGATGCCGGACTTTTGATTCAGTCTGAATACGACGATATCGGCCAGATTGATCTATCTCACTCGGATCTTGATGAAATCCAGCATAGTGTTGTATTTTGCCACAATGACCTGAAACCTCGCAATCTTCTCATCAGAAAATCATCATCTGGAAAATACGAGCTTGCTGGTGTGATTGACTGGGAAATGGCGGGCTTTTCCCCCTTCGCTTAAGAATACGTTGTTAAGGATGTTTCCCTTGTCTTCCAAAACCTATATTTCAGTTGGTATACTATGTTCAAAGAAAAGACATCATATTTACTCCCACAGATGGAGTGCCACAACAAGCTTATCAGAGCCGTGAGAATTATCGAGAAATCGAAGAAGAAAACCATGTCACGAAATATTGGGGTTCGAGTGCAGGCAAAGTGGATACAAAGGGAAAAGGTAGAGAAATCTTCCGACGTCCGAAAAGGTTGGGTCCGTAAATCAGGTGAACGAAATCAAGTGTTTACAAAAGAGGATATGCAAGAACTTGAGAATGAGGTCCTGAGGGAGTTGGGATATATATAGGTGGAACCCATCTGTCGGTACACCGGTGGGTATAGCAAGGTTGGTGAGAGGCTAACGCCCACTTCTAACACCTATTACAGGAAACGCTTTACGCCCCTATAATATCTTTGTGTTATCTTGAAGTGGTTGTAAAATCTGCTTTTTCATTGATGGTGAGGACTAGCTGTTTATCCTACAAGTTGGCATATTGTTCAAGGTTGTTTTTTACTCCGAACAGGGATTCGTGATGTGGTCTAAACCGGGGTGTCGGTGTCGTTGTCCGATATCAACAAAGATAGCTTGTAAGGCAGGTTCCTGAGCTCTCGTTCGACATACTGCCCGGTCAAATCTTGGAACTTCGGTAGTTATTATTAACTGTGGAACCTTGGAGTCAGTTCAAACCATGATCACTCGAAATATTATCCGGTGAAGAAAGTAAAACTGTCCAGAATTTCTATGTCAGTGGTCATTTAGCGCCTACGGTGCGCATTTTCCATGGCGGCTGCCACTTGATATCCTCGAATGTTACAGCTGTGAGTGACAAATATTAATTGATAACTAAACTCACACCAGGGTGGTTTATTTAGTCGGTGGATTAATAGGAAGTGCATGCCACTGCAAGTACAGTTGTCTTGGAAGAAGATATAATAAGTCAAATAGCAGCTCTTACGATTCGACAGCGAGTCGGATTAATCATGGTGATACGCAAAGAATCCATTTTCATAGTACCTCTGGAGATACAAAAGCTATAAGAGAACCTTAGACTCTAGATTTTGATAGCTAACTACTCTTTGATTGATGTATTGTATAGCCTCATCCCATACAGGCCATGAGTTCTGCGATTCCCGATACTTTCGTCATTATTCATGATTCCCCGCTGGTAGACCAACGATGCTGGCCACAGCCTGTTGATAGCTATATGTTGGAGTGAACACCAAAGATGTCGTACTGTTGATGGCCTTCCAGTCACCAAGCTCATCTTCATCAATATTAGATAGGGTGGAGCTGGTGGTGAAGTGGGAAAGAGGTAGTGAAGAGGGAAAAAGGTGGAAGATGAATCACGTTGAGCGGCTCAGGCAGTCGCCTCTACGACCAGCTCGATTCACCACCTAGCTTAAGCCCCAATCCTTGCACTACTGCATCAATTGGTCTTGAGTACTATGACTGTATGAAATTATGCGTGTCGCTAGCATTTGAAATTCCTACTGATAGCTCTCAAGAAAACAAGTTCTAGAAATCCCGTCTGCGAAACACTCTCGTGACATTGCCGTCTCGCCTCTCCCCGATCTGCTCATCAGCGGTAACCGGACAAATTCAAGCGCGCTTCATATGATACGATTCTCTGGCCCACTTCTGCCTTGGACAGGATTCACCACTGCTGTCAAAAATGCCTACGATACACAGCAGTGGAGTAGGCGGGTGATTCAGATCAGCATTGAAGCCAGAGATCTCACCAATGAGAAGATTTTTGTCGGAGATGAAGCCGGAGTTTATGCTCAATTCCAGCAAGCTGCTAGATAGGTTCTTGGTGCAGTATTCGAGGCCCAATCAATCAATATAGCACTAGGGGACTTTAAATCCACTGGACTCACATACAGTAAGAGTTGTCGGCGAAATAAAGGTACCGTGGCTGATAGAGCATCAACTTGACTTGTGTGCTATGAATTCAACTTTGTTGCGAAAAGTCCTTGCACAACCTATTTTATACATGTTTGACCTCGGTTGTATGTATGGCTTCATTACCAATTACTACCAGACCATATTCATATGACAAATTCAGGTTGGGTCAACTTGGAGAATTGAGCATTCGCCCGTAATCAAATCATCCGTCAGATATACGCCTCCAGACCCCGAAAGTCAGTCTATTGGACCCGTGTTGACCTTCAATCAATGTCTTCTGTATCTTGATACCATTTCTGAAGCCCAGGGGCCGATTACCAATCCCAATCCTCGCAGTCAATGGATCAGACGAGATTAATCATAGTATGCTGCTCAGATACTTTCGTGTATAGCAAATACAGTCACGGAAGCAAAAATCTGAGACAGTGTGTGCGTGCAATTGACCCATACCTATGAATATACGATAACTGGAGCTAAATTTGGCAATGAAGACAGACTTTCGTCAGTTACATAAAGCATCTGACATATACGCCTTTATTGCACCCGCAGTGGTTGTTTCCATGTTCACAATGTCCAGCCGTTGGCATCTTTCATCCAATCCGCCGTTTCGGGTGGTGTTACTTCCCAGTTGAATCGGCTATCAGGGGGTTGGATGAACCCGGATTGGAAGTAGTTAACATCACCCCACTGTTGAGGTTCATCAAACGGAGATGCGATTTTGAATCCGCAGATTTGCCTAAAGATAGTTAAATTGTCATATCCCATATGTATAATCTCGCATAGACGCACATCTGACTACTAGACTTATCATAGATAATCTTCGTGGGACCAGCCATACATGGCATATACCCGCACAGCAAGAACCTTCTGCTCTCTGTTAGCTCAATGTTGTACTATGCTCACTAGACAACTATACGTATAGATTTGGCGAAACTTATTGCGGATGGCCTGGCGATCGGCAAAGGGAAGCCTCCAGAATTCGGAAAAATCAAGAGACTCGCCGGGGACTTTTTCCCATAGAATATACATGATATATCCCCCATGAACACCCTCGTCGTGGTCTTGCTGGCGCTGCTGATAGCCCAGAAGCGGAGGAACAACATCACAGTTCAGTTTTGTGAATTTCTTGAAAGCGATCAGTTCTGGGTGGTTAGGAGGGGTGTCGACAGCCTGGCTGGCCCGTATGGTAGCCTTTCTTGTTTCGGTTCCAGCTATAGGAACTTGTTGGTAGATGCGCAAAAATGCGCGCCTGTTGTCGTCTTCCTCGCTAGCAGGTCGGCATAAAAACTTCCCGGCGGTATCTGAGGGTCCGAGCTCTGCGGCGACGTCTTCTTTTGTCAGGCGATTCGACTCTTCGTCGAGCTTCTCAAGTGTTATCCATGTCTGGGAAGGGAAGTTGAACGGTGGTTTTGCAACGGCATCAAACGTGACCTGTGTTCCTTCAAGATCGGTGAGATATTCTATTGATGAATCCATGGCAGGCAGCTTATAGAAAAGGTAAAAGCAATGTGAGAGCACAAGAGTTACTTAATAGTGATCTCATGTTGACCAATAAATTTTAATTTCTTCGGTTCTGGCGTCAATTTCTTTTCTTTTACCTATATGTACTATTTACTTAACGGTTTCCAGTTTCTCATTCAAGTCATCCATTACTCTCTCCGACTACTAATTTTTCCAAACAACCTCCCTCAAAGCCAGCATTATGCCTTCTCGACTGCTCCTCCGACCACCAAGCAGCCCATTATGGCAACCGGCCGCTGCAGTACAACCTGTCCTAAGATTAATGGTCAAATCTATGTCAGCTCTTGTATCTTCAATGCCTTCCTGTCAAGTCAGCCGCTTACAAGATAACCAGACTTTCCATATGAGCTATGAAATACACCACAACACGCCTTATCTCAACATCGAGTCGATGTTCACCAGCATTCCTCTCTTATTCATCTGAGATCTAAGTAATGATAGTCACTAAAACCTAGAGCATACAGAAGTAGAATGATAACAGATATGAGCTGATACTGGTAGGATAATAACAGAAGATTCGAATGTGAGGAAAACTGAAAAGAGGAAGGGCAGTCAGAAAAGAAAACCACATGTATCTGACCAGTATATCTTCGTGGTCAAATCATTAACGCCCTATTATCATTCAAGCTTTTAAATGTTAGTTTGCAGTTCGTTCTTATTGGGTTCAAGTCAAAAATTAGTCATCAGTCATCATAGTTTAGTTGTAACATTTTCATACCATCGTGGATTCGACACTTTTTGCTTTTATTACACTGTGTACTGCACTATGGTACTGACTTCTTTGAGACTTTAATCTTCTCCTGCTGTTTTTGACCTCTAGGTTTAGATCTTCCTCTACTGTCTTCTCCAACCTCCATTACTGTCTCCTCTTACTATCGATAACAGTATACGAAGCTAGAGTGACGGGTCAAGTAATTCTTCCGATCTCATTCATAGGTTTTAAATATAGCTAATCCTTTTCCAATAGTCCGCGTTATGGTACATCATCTATAATATTTTCTTGCGCACTGTAGGGTACGTATAGCATCAATACATGAATACATACACGTGACAGTCGTTCAATTCAATTACATTAATGATGGATATCCTAAGGTGAACTGATATCCATATTTACCAGGTATATAATTCCTTTGGAACTTCATCTTCCGCCTCATAGTCTTCCTCAAAGTATGCCTCATCGGGGTTATAGATTTCTCCGATATAACAACCAGTTGTCGAGCTGACAGATCCCTCCTCCTTTATGAAACGAGTAGGGCGAGGCATTACTATCGACCTGGAGAGATCGGCCGCTTTGTTGATTATTTCTTGGACTTGAAAAATGATCTGATCCCGGTCTTCGTTCCAGTGAAAAACTCTTTCGGAGTACTGACCATTAAATGAAGTTAGCTTAAATAAAAAAGACTTTAGAAACAAGGATAAAAAGAATTTCTCACGTGGCTGCTTTCAGTGATATGCATGAAGATCCATGTTGATCCATCCGTCAAGATGCCGTAGATTGCTGCGGCTCGTTCCATCTGCTTGCAGGCTGTGTGAACAGCTGCCAGAGTTACAAGCAAAGACCGAGTTTGCAGCGTCACTTCCTCTGACCTCATGACGATCAAGTTTGTTTCTCACTCCCAGCAGTGACCGAACCATAACACATAGTTGATAATATGCATTTCATCTTCAACTGTTATCGCTGGACTGGTGATTTTTTTATGGTAGCTTAAGTGAAGAGGCTCATACCCAGAAGGGAGCTGAATTTTCCTGATTTTTTGTGCGAGCAAAACAAGAAGAAGGGGCTCTATTCTTAAGCGCTCTTGTCCGGGAAATAGTTCGATATCGTTCCATACGTCAGCTAAAATTTGATCAGATATTGTTCCTTTTGGTTCTTGAAGAAAAATCCACTTAGATGGGCTGGAATATCTAAAGAGGTGCACTCCCTTTCGTGAAGTGGACTTCGCTCTGTTCTCGTTGGTTGGAGGTTAAAATTATCCAATAAACGTTGGAAGTCCGCTAGATTAGTGTCATTCATGATGGTGGTATCTTTTGAAGAAGTGAGTGAAGCGAAATAGTGATAGAATGTATTGCAGAGAGTATTTGTCAGTGGGCGCAGGAGATGCTAGATATCGAATCTGGCGGTACAGATAGTCCAGTAGAGGTTGCGTCTCGGTTATTGATCGCCATGGCTACGATAGGTAGTAAACTTGCCCAGTCGTCCTGTGCGTACGTAGTAAAGGCGCGTAGAATTCGTTCGACTTCTTGATTTGCGCGTTCCGTAGCTCCATCAGTTTGGGGATGGAATGCGGTAGATAATCGGCGTCGAATCTTTAGCTTTTCGCACACGATTCGCCAGAACCCCCCTACGAACTATGGGCCGCGGTCACTAGTGATCGCTATCGGTAAACCATGATGCATATAAATATGCTTCATAAAGACATCTGCGACGCTTTCCGCAGTAATACTATGCATATCTATTAGGATCACTCCTTTAGATAGCCGATCAGTAATTACTAGATAATTCGTCGCTCTTTCTTTCCCAGTGGGTGGAAGTTCTGTGATGAAATCCATGGATAGTTCGGCCCAGATTCGTTATGGAATTGGTAATGGTTTAAGTAGGCCTTGCTTCGAATCTCTCCAAATCGTGTTTCGTCCGTAAATCGTGCAATTCCTTAAGAATCTCCGTATATCGTTCGTCATTCCTGGCCAAAAGAATCTACGGGCCAGTATCGTATAGGTTATATCCCGTCCTGGATGTCTAGTCGTGTAGGAATCGTGGACCTTCTAGATCAAGGTTGTGCGTAGTGGTTCGTTATCTAGAATCTATGTCCTTTTCCTAAAGCGTAGAAGATTTCGTTCATCTAAGTCGCACTCGGATAGGCTTATTTTCAGGTTCGATTCGGCAGGGATTCGTCGGTCTCCCTTTTCAAGTGCAAGTGCGAACTGCTGGTATATTTGATCTTCCTTCCGCGCGTTATTCCATGCTTCCTGCGTTTCTGCTTCTTTAAACATCGCCACTAGTATATCAAAGTCTAAAGGTGGACTTGGTTCAGTGCTATTGTTACGGATTGTTACTGATTCGAAGAGTTTCCGGAAACGATTCGTGAGCCTCTTATTAGAGATTCCTTTAGGTTCGTCTTGTCCTCGCCGGGATAGAGCATCTGGTTAGATCGCCTATTTCCTAGGTCGATATCGTAGCTCAAAGTCGAATTCGGCCAGGATGTCTGCCTATCTCATTTGTTGTTCGCTTAGATCCTACGCCTTATGAAAGTATCGTAGATTTTTGTGGTCCGTTAAGACCACGAATCGCGGGACCATCTTCAGCTCTGGCTTCTATTCCCGTAGCGCATGGATGATAGCGAGTAATTCCTTGTTGTGTATCATATAATTGGTCTCTATAGGTGAGAGCTTACGCGAGAGATAGGCGCATGGTCTTAGCGTCCCATCTTCTTGTCTTTGTGATAAGACTGCTCCTATCGCCCATCTAGATGCGTCTGTTTCTACTATTGTTTCGGTGTCTTCTCGGAAATAAGCCAATATTGGTGCAGAGATAAAGAGGTCCTTTAGGGTCTCGAATGATTCTTGTTTCTCCTTGTCCCATTTGAATATCGTATCTTTCTTTATCAACTATACTAATGGTGCAGAGACGTCTACGAATCATGGTATAAACGTCTGGTAGAAGTTAGCGAATCCAACAAAACCACATACTTCTCGGATATTAGTAGGTGCTTCCCATAGCTTAATGGCTTCAACTTTCTTCGGGTCTACATATAGACCTTCTCTAGCTCGTATGATGAACCCTAGGTATTTCACAGAGCTCTATTCAAATTCAGATTTCTCGATATCGTATTAAAGTCCAGCATCTCTTAGCTTCTAGAGCACCTCGCGTACTTTTCGTCTATGATCCGTGATCGATCCGTCGGAGTAAATAATGATATCGTCTATATATGCTAACACAAACTCGTCGAGAAATTCGCGTAGAACTTCATTGATATACCATTAGAAGGTTACGGGAGCGCTAATTAGGCCAAAAGGTGTAACTAGCCACTCATAGAGCCCATATCGTGTTCGAAACGCTATCTTCCATTCTTCGCCTTCCTATATTCTGATCTTATGGAAAGCCGCTATGATATCAAGTTTAGTAAACCAGCGAGCCTTCGACATGTTTCGTAGTGTTTCTTAAATTAGAGGTAGGGGGTAACGGTCCTTGATGGTTATAGAGTTTAACCCTCTATAATCGACATAGAATCGGATGCCTCCACCAGGTTTTCGTACTAGTAACACCGGTGAAGCTACTAGCGATTTACTGACTCGTATGAATCCTTTTCCTAGTAGATTAGTAAGAGTTTTTCGTAGAACTAATAGCTCTTCTCTATTTATTCCGTATAATAGCCTATAAGGTGGTGTCGATTCGTTACCATTTCCATCGCGTGTCAAGGGTATCTTATGATCGATCCCTAAGCGATGGCTCGGAAGCTTATCTACTTTCTCCTAGCTAAAAACATCTAACCAAGGGAGATATTATGGGGGAAGTTTAGCTCTCGGATCGGTGAATTTCTTAGGTTGCAGCGCCTTATCGATATCGTCCATAGTTACTTTGGCTATTCGGAGGTGGTCCGGCGACGAAACGCTATCGAATAGTTCTTTGATTTCTCCCATAGATGATTGCTATACTTTCAATTTCTTTACTTTTATTAGACCGATTAACGGGTCGATGCGGTTCTAACAATAAATACGCTCTCCATTTCTCGAATAGATATCTAAATACCCTCGTTTCGCAGCGTAAACTCCGTCGACATCTTTTAACCAAGGCGTCCCGAGTATCATTTTATCTGACTATCTTGGAATGATATAGGTAAAGACTTTCTGCTATTATAGTCCATTAACATCAAGATCGAAGTATATGGCCTAAGTAATCCATCCTTGATTCTTGATGACTCCGTTCAGGATTCGTGGTGGAATCGGGATACGCAGAAGGTTAAGAGATTGCGCTAGGTGTCCGCTGATAGATGCATAGCTATCGCTTCCGTTATCTACTAAAGTCTTCGCGAATTAAATTCCATTAACTCTAGCATCGATATAGAATGACGCCTCTTTCTTTAGTAGCTTCTTAACCCCCTTCTGCTCCTGCTCGCGGTTTAGTACAGGAGCTAATCTTTTCCCGAATCATTCTCCGCTTCATCTTCTTCGATCGCTAGCGAATACTCCCTTCTTCGGGGGTGGCTCGATCTTGGTTCTTCGACTACTATATTCCGTACCACCACTTGGTTCGGATTCCGTGCGGGCAGTAAAGGGCATATACTTTGCTAATAGTTATCTCGACCACATCGTAGACATCTCTTTTCTATACAGCGACGTTGGAGTTCTTCTTTCTCGACCCATTTTGCACGTTTTCCCACGAGATATTGATCCTCTTTACGAACCTATCCCTTTTCGTTCACAAATCGGGACGAATTCGTCTATATGGTGTTCGTGTTTACTATTAGAGTCCAGTCTATCCTATCCTCTATAGCTATGGTTGATTGATCTCTTTAGATTCGCTGGTGAGTAGATAACTAACGTCTGCCTAATACGATATTCAGTATCTCGCTATCAGTGTCGATTTCGTGGAGCCGTGTGATAAGACCTATAAAATCATAGGGAACACCACGATTCATAAGCGAATTCGTCATATCTTCATTAAGAGCGTTTAGTAAGAGTTATCGTTTTGCTTCGTCGTGCCATTCGGTTGCACCAGCATCTGCGAGCTCTCTTTCTAACTAGGGAAGGAATCGTGAAAAAGGCTGGTCGGGCTTCTATTTAAGCTAATATAGACGCCGAGCTGCTCGTGATCGAGCGTTAGGGTCTCTATATATCCTCTCAAGATATTCCAGAAGCATATACGGGTTACCTTCGCTTCGTTATGTCTTCATAAACGTTCCGGTGTTCTTAGCGGCCATTTTCTCTAGGCGGGAAAATGTATAGAGGAATTGCTCTTGTGGGGTACCGATGGCAGCTCCGTCTACTAGCAATTTGTTCTCTATCGAGATTCTCTAGGTTGGCCAATCAGAGATGTTTCCTGCATATATCGCGGGGTCGGGGAGACAAGGGCGAGGTCGTCGAATCTGGTTATTATCGCTGGTTGATTCGATTGGTATCCCTTGTGGTTCCGTGGGTGGTTCGGGAGCGGCTCGCTCCTGGGACCGAACCACTAATTCTTCGAGTCTTCTAATTCTCTCATCGGTACTAATACTTGTCTGACTGATGTGCTGCATCAACGTCCTGGCCCACTCGGGTGGGCTCGACGGTTCGCTTACAGTCATGATGATGAAGATATTCGTTTTCTTCTCGTGTTTGAATCGGGTGCTTTCCGTCTTCAATTCGTTTGTCGGATGCTTAACTAGATACTTTCTAAGAGCGATTTCGTATTCGTAGGACGCTTAATTAGATACTTTCTAGGAGCTTTTCGTATTCGTTGGTATGCTCGATCGGATTCTTTCCGAGAGCGATTCGTTCGTCTGTCGTATGTGGCTCGATCAGATACTTTCTGAGAGCGCTTTTCTTATCGTCGGTCGTGGGTTTTACTCTCGTTAGAGGAAGGATTTTATATGTGAAGGGCTAAAGCTAATCTTGAATTCAGAACTAGCTAGGCACATGCTATTTACAAAATCCTTGAAGAACGTGAACAATTCGGGGTGGAATCGTGAGGTATGCGGTTGGTGGGTCACGTGGTACAACCACGTGATAGTTCACCAGGATTCAACCTGTTACACAGGTTGCCTTATAGAAAGTGCAAGGTGGGTTGTTCCTATCCCTAAAACGATCTGTGTATGCTTGCCATTCCCTATAATATTATTAGCCAGTTATAAACCAGTTAATAGCCACTTACGAGATTGCTTTACGCTTGTGTTGTGAAATAGAAGCTTGCTGCCGGTAGACATCAGACTGGAAAGATTGAAACTTTTCCCATAATTTCTTGTTGGCCCGAAAGTGAGCTAATTGCTCTATATCAGGATGAAGATATTCACAAATCTTTACTCCAGAGCATTTCATAACTCTTTTTTTGACCTGACAGTCAAGAAAAGGACTATATATCTCTTTAAAAGACCATCGAGAGGATCCATATTGAAACTGAAAGTAGTTAATAGCTGGTTATTAGCTATCTAGGATATTATAACTTACATTGTGAACATAGTCTTGAACCTTCTCTTTTTGAGTACCCTTGAGATCGATCACATAAGCATACCCATTTTTATGAGAGATAGGATATTCGGGAAGCTGGGCAACATATTCAAAATGTTGTGCTGCAAAGATCCCTCTTGGATCATTTGAAAGTGGGGTCGGTGGAAAGTCCTATAGCCGGTTAATAAGTAGCTAATAAGTGGCTAATAACTAGCTAATAGCTGGTTATTACCCACTTATTAAGTGGGTATTTACCTCCAAGTCCTCCTCAGAGTCCTCCTCAAGCTCCTCCTCAGACTTCTCTGCGGTTTCGTCTCTAATTAGGGACGATTCTGTTGCGGGAAGGTCGATTTCAACGTCATTTGCTTCATTATCAAGCCCTAGATAGTCTAGATTGATATAATCCCCAATGGTCGCTGCCCAGTTTATTTGGTCCATTATGAGAAGGATAAGGGGTAAATAAGGGGGAATGTGCAGGGGTAAGCGAGTTGAAATTTTTTTTCGTACAGCTATGCCTAGATAGGGTGGTATGGTCCAGGTTGAGAAAACGTACTAGGCCTAATTAGGAACATGAGTGGGGCATGGTCCAGGTTGAAAAATGGGGATGGTCCAGGTTAACTGTTGTCACGATCGCAGCGACAGGTGACCCGTTATGGCCAAAGTACACTCTCCTTTCTCTACTTCGCCGCAGGAGGTCACCAATACAGAAATAAAAGGGTTTAGTTTTAACGACGAAATTCAAAAGGGCATAGCGTATGTTTAGATAAGCACATCACCATCAAAACATGCCAACTTCAACAGGCTCTAACTCTACCATTATTTAGGTTAGCGGAATTATAAGAAGACATTTGAATAGCTAGAGCCTTAATCATACAATTTGAATACTTTTCAAAGTGGTCAACCCAAAAGGTGATCCAAGTCGAAGTTGGATTTCCACTACTGGTGCTATTAGATATATATAAGCCAAAGTCGCGTTTTTGTAACTACTAGGTTTTTGTGTATAGAAGAAGTCTGGTCTTTTATTAACGGAGAGAATTATAGTAGTAACCCTAGAACTAATACCTCAGCAAAATTGCCGGTTCGTCCATCAGCACACCGTTCTTCTGCCATTTTCGCGTTTGCAATAACTAGCACCTAATCCACTGCATGTGCATAGTGACCATGTAAAAAATGATTCTAAGTTACTTGGAAGCCATGTGACTCCAATTTCCTGTTCACTTTCACTCACAGAAATGTTGCGATCAGTAATTAGACATGGACTATCCCAAGAATCTTCCCCGCTAAATGCATCAGAGGCTGAACCAAAAACTTCAAGCACCGGTAGGTTAAAAAAGCAAAAAGGGTAACCTGACAGGTCAGAGCCAGAGCCTTTTCCATAGTACTGTCCTGTTTGATTTTGGCAATATTCTGAGACTGTGATCAGATCTTTGACGTCGATATCATAGTCTTCGATATTCTGGATGGTGCTGTTGTCCACAGTGCTACTAAGGCCAAACCCTATCTTGCATAGCGGTCGACCAGGGTATGCTATCTGATAACAGCTGCCATTAATCTGATAAGAGCTAACATCGTCGCATTCGTCCAATGTTTGGCCATTCTTGAGGATATAATAGTCAGCCGATGCCATGGTTTGCCCAACCATCCACTGCTCTAAAGTGGAGTTCATTTTAGCACGGGCTTCGTTCCATATCTCTCCACTGATCTCGAAGTATGATTGAGAGTGGTATAGAAAGTTAGACACTGCGTAGGTATAAGGGCCCGAGATCAAATCCGTGGGCAAATAGGATGAATTCGTGGGATCTTGGAAAATTTCGTAATCCAAATTAACGATAAGGTTCGTAATCCTAGTGAAAAGGGATTCCATAGTGTTCGTCAAGATTTGCTCAACAGTATCTGTATCTGGAATGGTTGATGTCCCCTCGTTAAGAAGCGAAGTTATGGTCGTCACAATGGTGGTAGCAGTGTTAAGTTGATCGTAGCCAGGAATAGATTGTATAAAGGTCGAGGCCTCGCCAAAGGCAGTTGTAAATGCAGAAACGGCGCTATCAAAACCGCTTATATCTATAGTTGGGTCAAATGCCTCAACAATTTGATCAATATTCAAAGTGGATGTCGAGAACGAAGTATGAAAGGCGTCGTACCACTGAACCAGATTTGCATAAAAGTTGTGGATGAAGAACTGGGCCCAGTATAAACCCTGATCGATGCCGCCTGTGGTACAGTCAAGTGGTGCAATGGCATCGCAGGCACTAGCGAGTGGAAAGCTGTTGCAATCAGAGATACTGACAGTCTGTGTCATCTCAATATCCCAGTAGCTAAGATTTTCTAATATGTAGATGATCAGTATCTTAGATAAGTATCGCAATTTTGATGAGCCTGCTTACTTGAAGTCGCGATATACTCATCAATATAAGAAATCCCCAAGGTGAGGTATTTCTTAAGCTCAGCCGTAGTGTTTTGTCCTGGGACAAGGTTTATACATGGTAGATCATCGACGGTACTCGAACCGGAGGAATCAGAAACGATAAGAATGCCATCTGTACATGTAGGTGTCGGGCAGTAGCCTCGCTCACAGGCAAAGTCGCATAGCCCACTATCTCCACCCACATTAGAAATTCCAATGATACTGGTGTCGGCTGTCGCGGGTTCGTTCAGTGGGCCTGTTTCTGTACAGGTACAGTTATGAATCGGACAATAGCCTACATTACAGCTGTAACTGCATAGGCCGATAAAGGAGTCCGTGCCGGATCCAGCCGTACAAGTATCCGGAGTGAATGGCGACACAGTAGGAACAGTGAGTGCAACCTCGACTGTTCCACAGGCGGTATCAGGGCAGTAGCCGTAGTTGCATGCGAAGGAACAGAGACCACTGTAGCTAGCACTCTCGCCTGCTATAGGGTAACCTATAACCCCTGTAGCTGTGGGCATCGTCGGTTGAGGACCCATCTTAGAACATACACAAGCACCTACTGGACAGTATCCATAGGCACAAGTAAATTCACATAGGCCATCAAAATTACCCTTCCCCCAGCCATCAATACAAACGTACTCGGCGAATGAGCTGGTTTCAACAGAAATCGTGTCAAGAGACATTGAGTACCCAGTATATGCGTTCCAGTTCTCGATTCCTAAGGAATTAGAACATCCATCCACAATGCTTTCACCACCCCAGGCAAAGATTGTTTCTCCAGAACGAGTTACCTCAATTGCGATATCTCCAGAATGTCCAGTGAATGAAACACTTCCATGGTAAATTCCGGCACCACCACTAGGCGTGTGGTCCCAAGTGGCATCAAGCTTCACCCCGCCTACACTAACAGTGATATTGGCAGTAGACCCAAGAAGCACATCGTAGAAGATCTTATCCTGTGGGATTTCATAGGGCCAATACTCAAGTTGAAGCTGGCTCACTGTGTTTCCTGTAGTTCCACCGTCAGAGGAGCACGCCCCCGCAGCATTCAAACGGTACCACGCAGTGAGGCCCTCTTCTGTGATTGTTGTGTAGTTGTTCTTATAAGTATCAATCAGAAAAGGCAAGAGCGCCCTCCAGCCGCTATGGTCATATTTAGCAACGTAGTTATAGGGTGCATCGCCATAGTCTTCATCAAAGGCCACATATGTTGTGTCTGCTAGATCAGCTAGAACATCATAGATCGGACCAATATAGTGAGATTCGCCGTAGTCATTCCATGAGATAATCTCAACAAACTCAGGAGCGAGCCAAAATACTTGCTGCCAGCGGTCATACCAGAGGTCATCCCCCCGCCATAGCCAGTTTTTATCGTAGCCGGGCATATTAGTAAAGAACCAGGGTGATACAGGCATCATATAGGGTTTTCCATCAAGGAATTGCTGATAGGAGGCATCAATGTAAGTATCCATATCAGCAGGACCGTAAGGCCAAGCGGCCCAGCTGAAAAGTCCATCAGCAACTCCGTCAGCTTGCTGCATAGCTTCATCAGCTCCAAGAGATGACCAATCAGGAATAAAGAAGCAGTTTGTTTCCTTCTTGATATCAATCCAATCGGCAGCATTATCTGGCCCCTCAAAGGTCGAACACAGAGGTTGATCATTATAGTACCAATAAGCGCTTCCAGAATAGGTCTTAATCAAGTTGATCACATCTGCTTTAGCCCAGGCCCCATTTCCAGCATAATCAAACGAAAAGAATAGCTGAAACCCAACGTTCTCGGCAGCCTGGAATGCTCTTTCTAACGAAATCAAATTTGTTGTCTCGCCATTAGCGATATTAAGAGCAAATGCATCAATATGGGCATCTAAAGCCAGGTTCATGTGATATTCCCACTCTGATATCGGGTAGCCTTCTGTGTTGGAAACCTGTCCATATAAGATGAGTAATTAGCTTGACCCCTATAACCTGACTTCACGAATAGGGACTATACCATGAAGTGTGCAAATACCGCTCTTGCCTGAGCTTGCTGAAATAGGATGCATATTGCGAAAATCAGAAGGCTATAAAGCCGCATTCTGAATTATTGACCCAAGGAAAAGATTTGTGTAAAGCGTTGTAAAGTTTCAAAAGAAATCAAGAGTGCGGACGTATTGTTTTAAAGAGAGACTGAAGTTGAATTCCTGAATAAGGTTGATCGATTTGAAGCTTCTCTAGGCCTATTGAACAGGCTTTTATATGTTATTCTGTCTCTCCAACATAGTTCATGACTTAAAGATACTAGTAAAATTTGTTTCTTCTTTCTAATCTATTCAATAGTGCTATATCTAAGTGGAGAACTCGTTACTCTCTTTAGAAGTTATTACAATTTTATCGTCCGGTTCTTCCTTGAATGATCTATAATCTAGTCCTCATAGTGTTCCGACGGTCAAACATCTATTAATTCAAGTTATTTGCTGCTCTTTACGATTTTTACCACTCAATAGTATATGATAGTACGCCTTTAGGTCTATTAAGTCTCTACGTGTCACGGGGCGGGCAGGTGAATAGAATTATACTAGAACTGGACAGACAGTATTGCATTGACTGACAGGCTAAGACGAAGACGTAGCTTGAAGAGCTACATTCAGACAAGGTTCTGAGTTTACATGAGGTTGCGGGTCACGTGGCCCGCACTATCTAATCAATCAGTAGTCGTCTGAGCTGGCACCGTGATAGTATCCCCCTCCTTAGAGCCGAGCTCCGTAGAGGCGTAGACAGGACCTGGCTTAGACGGGTAGCGGAGGTGGAAGTTCTTCACTAACTGTCCACAATTTTCTAGGTGAGCAGCAGGCTCTTTAGTTGGGTCATCGTAACCGGTCCACTTAACCATGTATTTTAGACGTGGTGTTCCCCGGCGACCACGTTTCTCCCAGCGGGAGTCTAGGATCTCCTCTACCTCCTACTCGTCGATTCCGTCGACTTCGACAGGTGGGGCAGGTTCTTGTTGCTGCGCGGGAAGCGGGTTGTCGTCGGCAGGGCGTAATAAGGAGACGTTAAATACTAGGTAGATCATCATTCCAGGGGGAAGCTGTAAACGGCAGGCGTACGGGCTTAGAACTTTGGTGATTTCGAAGGGGCCTAAGTTCTTCTAGTCTAATTTCTTCTAGGGGCGATGGGTCTTGATGTTCCGGGCGTCTAACCAGACTTTCTGTCCTTTAGTAAATGTTTGGGCAGGCTGGTGGTGATGGTTGGCGAATTCTTTATGGCGAGCTTAGGCGGCCAGGATCTGGGCTCGTACAAAGTTCGTGATCTCCTCTATATGAGCCGCGAACCTCTCTGCATCGCGGGCGGCGGGGTGATTACTTAGGCGGACAGGCTCGAATCTAACGACTAGGTGTTGGCCGTAATTAGCAAAGAACGGGGTGACGCTAGTCGACTCGCTTTATACGGAGTTAGAGGCGAATTCGGCTAGCGGAAGCCAGTTAGCCTAGTCGTCCTATAGGTAGTTTATATAGGCTCGGAGGTACTATTCCAGGATAGCATTGGCTCGCTCGGTCTGTCCATCTGTTTCCGGGTGAAAGGTAGTAGATAGTAGGCTCTTAGTCTTTAGGCGGGTCGTCAGGTGTTTCCAGAACTAGCTTATAAACTAGGGGCCTCTATCAGATATAATTATACGAGGGAGTCTATATAGCTTCTAGACATGTTTCAAGAACAGGCAGGCGAGGTCTTTAGTGTTATAGGTCCTGTGGCAGGCCAGGAAGTGTTTCATTTTAGTTAAGTAGTAGACTACTACCAAGATTACGTCAAATCCTTGGCTCTTAGGCAGGTGTGTGATAAAGTCTATTAACAGATCTAGCTAGGCGCGGGCAGGGATTGGGAGTGGTCGTAAGACTCCTTGACAGGCTTCTCGGGACAGGGTAATTCTGCGATAGGTATAACAGTTTTTGGTCTATTGCTCGACATAACGGTAGAGGTTCGGCCAGTAGTACTCGCGAGATATAAGCTTATATATCTTTATGCGACCTGGGTGTCCTGTTGCTGGGTTGTTATAGCAGAGTCGGGCTAGTTTAGCTTTAAGGTCGTCGTTGTCTAGGACATAAATATGTCCTTGGTATAGCAGGTTGTTCCTATCTCTCACGTAGTACGCGAGCGTGATATCTAGGTGCCGGGTTTTCTTTTCGTCTAGGGCGCTTAGGATTGACTATAATATCTGGTCTCTTTATAGGGCAGACTTATATACTTCCTTCATAGCGACTAGTAGTTCTAGCTATAGTTTGTCTACGAAGTATATACTTCTTACTGTTTCTGTATTAGGTGGAGGTGGGTTAGGTTCTAGGCCTATTAGGGCGTCTAGTTTTAGGGTTAGAGGGGAGTCAGGCGGTGGTGAGGCAGGCGGGGTCAGTATTCCTAGTTCTCCTTGGATCTGGCTGTCCAGGTTTTCGCGCTTTAGGATTATACGACTCTGGTGCTTTAGTTGTTCATCCCCTTCCTTAGGTAGATCTTCTGACCTCCTGGTCAGTATATCAGGCTTCGCGCCCTATTTACCTAGGTGGTAGATAATCGTAAAATTAAAACAGGATAGGAACTTAGACCAGCGGGCTTGTTGGTGGTTTAGTAACTTAGTGCTTATAAAGTGTTCTAGGTTTCGGTGGTCTATAATAACCTTGATCGGGGAGGTCGTGCCCTTAAGTTTAGGGCGCTATTCTTCGAAATAGTATATAATAGCTATAAGTTCCTTATTATAGATTTCGTAATTATACTTAGCTACTAAGTGCTTCTTAGAGAAGAATGCAACGGGATGTAGTATTCCTTTTTCGTCGTACTAGGAAATAACGCCTATAGATATATAATCAGACGCGTCGGTTTCCAGGATCACATCTTTAGTCTAGTCAAATAGTGCCAGGATCGGGGCGGATATAAAGGCTGTCTTTAGGGTCTTAAAGGCTTCTTCGTAGGCGGGAGTCTATTTAAAGGCAATATCCTTCTTTATGAGTTCGTTTATATAGGCAGTCAGTTTCGAGAAGTCTCTTATAAAGCGTTGGTAGAAGCCAGCAAATCCTAGGAATGCTCGGATATCAGTCGCGTTCGTCGGCGATTTCTAGTCCATGATCGTCTAGACCTTCTTAGGGTCTATACAGATTCCTTCGCCTCCTATAATCAGGCCTAGGAATTTGGTCTCAGAAACACAGAACTCGTATTTAGCTAGTTTCACGAATAGCCCTACTTCGCGGAGGCGGGCGAGGACCTTATAGACGTGTCCGATATGTTCCTCCCTTGTATGACTATATATCAGTATATTATTAAGGTATATGGTATAGAACAGGTCTAAGTAATCTCGCAGGGAATCGTTGATAAATCTCTAGAATATAGCAGGGGCGCCTATTAGGCTAAACGGTATTACCAGGCTCTCGTAGAGACCTAATCTTGTATAGAGCGCTGTTAGGTACTCCTGCCCCTCCTTCACCCGAAGGTTATTAAAGGCGGAGATGATATCTAGGCGAGTAAAGTATTTCATCCCCTTTAACTGGTTCAGGGTTTCTTTAGTCAGGGGTAGGGGATAGCGGTCCTTGACCAAGATCGTGTTAAGGGCTCGGTAGTCTACATAAAATCGGAGACCCCCTCCAGGTTTCTTCATAAATAGGATAGGCGAGGCAGTGGGCGAGGAGCTTGGGCGGATAAACCCTTTCCTTAGGTTCTCGGAGATCTATTCCTTCAGAGCTTCTAGCTTAGGGCGGGATATAGCATAGAGGGGCCCAAATGGCAGGGCCTTCCCCTCTATTAGTCGAATATCATGGTCGTAAGGTCGGTGTAGGGGAAGTCGTTCGGCTTCCTTAGGGGAGAACACATCTCCAAAGTCTTTAAATTCGTTAGGCAGGGTAGGGTCAGGTTTCGGTTATAGTATCTCGTCTAGTGTCTCTATAGACGCGGAGAATAAATGATAGCCTTTCTCGCTTCGGGTGTACGCGGCGCAGGCCCTTAGGCTTATAGACTATATATCTAGGCCTTCTAGGACAGAGGGGCGATCAGGCAGGTTTATAGGGCGGGTTTTCTTCGGGACATCATATAGGGCTCGGATCTTCGGGGCCCTACTAGGGGTGTTACAGAACTTCTGGTAGTATAGGCTATTTAGCTCGAGGGTATGGTTCGCGAAATGAATACTAGGATCGTGGATCTTAAGCTAAGGCAGGCCTAGTATAATAGGGTAGTAAGCGATTTTCGTGATAAGGAATAGGGCCTTCTTCTCGTAGTGGTTCTCTACCCTTATGTTCATTCGTATAAAATGGGTGATGTAGCCCTTCTCGGGCTCTCGGCCGTCGAAGGCCTCTAGGCGGATAGGTTCTTTCAGGGTTTCGAATATAAGGCTCTGGTCTTGGGCCCAATCTTTATCGACGAACCTCTTCCCTTCTACACCACTATCTATCATAGTGTATATAGGGATCTAGGTCTCTTTCTAGGTCAGGGTTATAGGTAGGATAAAAGCGTCGGCGCAGAGGTTCTCTTCTTCGATAGAGTCTCCTAGCATAGCTGCGGATAGGCGGAGCACGTGGTTGGGTTTCACCTGGTCGCGATTTAGGCTAGGCTTACTCCATTTGTTGGCTGGAGTATAGAGTAGTCAGACTCAGCAGATTTAGTGTAGGTAGCGGAGTCAGCCTAGGCGGGGTTCTCTATTCGGCTAGAATATAGGTGGGCAGGGGAATAGGGGCGGGTGTCAGGTAGCAGGCAGTCCCGGACTAGATGATCCTTGGATCTGTATCTGAAGCACTCCCCCTAGTCACGCCGGGTGAGCTTGGCCTTAGAGAGATCTATAGGTTCGCTAGGGCCTTAGGCGGGAGTCAGGGTCCTAGGTAGTATATTTGTTGTCGCGGCAGCTGCGTACGAGGTCCTTGCGATTTTCTCCTGGGGTGTACTACCTAAGGGCGTGGGTTGGTGGGCACGGTGTGTCTATTGCTGGTGTTGGCGGAAGTGGTTATCGAGCGACTGAAGATAGGCTATATAGCTATGAAACTGGTGGGACGGAGCTGGGTTATGCAAGAGCATATCCTAGAGCTCGTTCGAGATAGCTTGTGTCAGGAGGGGAGTCAGAGCTTCTTTATG